GGGGGGAGGGGAGATGGCGATGGCGATGAGGGGGAGCGCGCCGAAGTGTGCCAAGTACTGCCCATGGGCAGCACGCACCGCGTGGCGCATATGTCTGTACTCATTTCAATCAATACGTGCAAGTGATGCAACAAGAGTGCCCACAACAACATGCGTAAAAGTCGCATCCTGGTAATACAATCCTATGGCATCTACAGTTTACGTGAACAGAAGGTCAGCGCATGACTGCCGTGGATACTTACGGTGGCGAGGTAGCTCTCAGCAACGATACGCGCACGGGCGTTGAGGCTGAGCTTCATCTCCGAGATCTCCTTGTCGACGTCCTCCATGAACTGGATCACAAAGTCGACAAGCTTGTACTTGAGCATGGTCTCGGCGTGGAAGTTGGTGATGAGGAATGAGATGTCATAGCCCTGGAGTTAGCAATTGAGGGAGCGAGGGCGTCGGCATGATGCTGGAGGACGCACTGGGATGGGGGTGCGGCGCAGGATGACAAAGTTCTCCGCACGCATCATCATGAATCGGGTAAACTTGTGGCACAAGATCTTTTCAATCTCGTCGGCCTGCTTGATGGAGATGCTAACGCGGACCGAGTTGATCGACGGTTCGATGAGGACCTTCTCGCTCTCATTACGGGCGACCACCAATGGCTGGAGAAGCACCTCGGGCGTCTTATTCGCCTCGATCTCGGGCTTGTTATGCCGCTCAACGACCTGGGACGAGAAGTTTTCCAGTGTGAGAGCGGCCGTGAGCGAGGCGCGCACGGCGTTGAGGTAGGGGCGGAGTGTGTTGGACTGGTGTCAGTGCGGAGGTGAGGTTGAGCGGGCGGCTCACCATGCTGTGCGGAGACGGGGGGGGGGGGGGGGGGGGGGGGGGGGGGGGGGGGGGGGGGCGGGAGATGAATGGGAGACGGTGGTGGGTATTGAAGACGCGTCCAAGTCGCGCGCCGACGGCCGGGAGCGTTGGCGAAATGAGGTTGGTAAGTCGCGAGGGGGGAGATTGATGAAGTTGCTACGGAGGCGCGGAGGTCGGCTTGGACTCAGTCGGACACGATGATGGTGGAGGTGTCGTCACTGCCCCTGGCCCACTGGGTGGCGGTTCAATCTGCCACCCAGTGCTATTGCCGGTTATGCCGCCCACCGTGTGGGGTGAGAAAGGACCTTAGCCGCAGAACGACGCGATCCACAGCGTCTTTGGCTCTCAGTCTACTGTCGCAGATACACATACCGCCGCCATCGCTCATCGTTCATCGTTCAATACATCTCATCTTTCTCCATCCAAGACACTCTCAATCACACTATCTCTCAAATCGTCTCACTCAGTCTCTCTCTCTCTCTCTCCATCTCCGTTGCCATCTTTACTCTTCACACCCCTACTCACAACTGCTCTTCCCTCTTGAACTGCCCTCTTCACCATTCATTGACTCCCAACAAGATACAGCTACCCCTACCCATATTCTGGTGAGCGTCTCTCACATGCTAACAAACACTCGGGCTGACACGCGTCAGTCCACAGATTTACTCATCCCAGCATGAGCGGAGGCTATAACCGCGGCGGGTACACCCCGCAACAGCGCTACACCTCTACGGCTCCCACGTTCGACACCCCCAGCTTCCGTCCACCCATGCCGCCAGCCGGCCTCCCGCCATTTCCACCGCGCAACTTCCCCACGCCTCCCGTCCCCCCTATGCCGCCCGCCTCTTTTCGCTCCCCATACGAGGACTACAATGCCTCGTACACACCACCGCAAAGCAAAACGAGCCAGCCTGGCGAAGCATATGATCCTTACGATCCACTGGCGCCTGCCCTGCGCTCGACACCACAAACCATGTCATATTCAGGCCAGCAGGCAAGGTCGCGAAGCCCGTCAGGATCTTCATTCCGTGGTCCCTCCCGCGCTGGTGACTTTCAAGAGCTCTCACTTTTGACATCACCCACCACCCTTACGATTGGGGATCTCACGACCTCGGTCTATTCCCTCCCACCAAGTCATCTTCCCATCACAAAGTACGCCACCGTTAACCCCGGTGACGCCATTGATCTCCACCGCGCCATCTGCCAGTCGGGCATGACTCACGCGGTCTGGTACGCGGATGGCCAGACTCGCGGGGGTGAGGGTTGGGGCGGGGCAGTTGAGTGGGTGCTCGAGACGAGCATGTCTGGGTCCAAACTGCGCACATGTGCAGGCCAGAACGACGCCTTGGGCGCTGAGCTCACGGCGATCAACAAGGCGGTCGAAGGCTTCCGCGATCACCTTCATCAATCTATCAAGACGCAAAACCCTATGTCGCACGAGTTTGTGCTGTTTGTGAGCTCGGTTGCAGCGCTTGTTAGCATCGACACGTCATCCCGTCCCGAGAGCCTGCAGTTCTGCAAACTGTGGCGGGAGATCTGCACCGAGTTTCTGAAAGCGCACCTCACAATCGTCCACCTCCCAAAGGGCAGCGATGTCGAGGGCTACATTCTGGCAGAGAAGATTGCCAAGGTTGCGGCAACCAACAGTTTCGCGAGGCGCAAAAAAGAACGCACGCTTGACGAGTTCTACAATCGCCCAGGAGGCGGCGATCCTGCTCCAGGAGGGAGCACTGAGGCCGGGGCGTGGCAGCGTGGCGACGCTGATCCCTCCCGCCGCAAGTCGCCCTTTGAACGTCCCAAGCCTCTCTCCAACATGTCGCCCGAGCGTCTCAGCCCCGCCCTTCCGCCCGCCCTGGATGCGTCTACTGGACGCAAGACGACTCCCCCACCTCGCGGCAATTCGCATGACGCTCCGTCCCGCCGCCGGAGCCTCTCTCGTGACATCCCTTCGCCCCACTCTCCAAGAGAAGATGCTCGCTCCAGTCAGCTCGAAGGCGGGGAGGACGACATCCAGCCTCGCAGAGACGAGCTTCTTATCACCAAGTGGGTGGGCGAGAACGAGATCATGCTGACCGTTTAGCTTCCCGGCGCATGCCTGTGCCAAAGATCTGGGGATGTTGTTTGTCCAGCATGGTGACATGTAAGCATTTGCCAGCCTTGCCTCGCTGACGGCACAGCACCTCAGTCGACATATTTTCTGTGGGGCCGGGCTTGCCTCGATTTGCCTTTGTCGCCTATGCGGACCTTGGGGACCGCTTCAAGGCCATTGAGGCTTTTCACAAACGCCCCATCGACCTGGACTCACCATTCGCCCGCGAGAATGCCGCAGAACTTGAGGTCTGGAAGGGCTGGAACGGCACTCTGACTGTCGTCCACTCAGACCCCGAGCGCCTTGTGCCACTGAGCATCGCCAGGGACTATCCTAACCTCCCTCCTTACGCGACTCAACGCAGAGTGAAGACATCGGCTTTCAAGCGCGAGCATGACCATGAAGCCGCCGAGACGACTCCGTAAGCCGTTCTGTCAATCGGGGCTGACAACCAGGCCTATGAAGAAGCTCCGGGCGGGTTCTGACTCCGCTGATCAATCGTCCTTACCCCCTACGCGCCCCTCTGGTACGCCTTCGCGGCCGGGCTTTGACGCCTCTGACCCGATGCCGCCCCGCCCGACGAACAGGTCCGAGCCCACTCACCAGGTCACTCCTCCTCTGACGTCGGCTTCTGCCTCAGCGTCACTGACGCCTGACGACGGCTGGGTCAAGATAAGCGGCAAGACATTGCAGGCTCAAATCGACCTCGTGCAGAATGTCTTTGTGAAGCACGATCGTGACAACTGGATCGCGCATACTTGCCTCATTGCAACAGACCTCGACCAGGTCCGCCGATCACTTCAGGCAGACCTGTACGCAACGGACGAGGCCGCGATCTTGTGCCGAGATCTGGAGTCGAAGCTGTCTGCGCGTGGCTTCACCCTCGCACGCATGGACACAGTCGTGTCCAGGGTCCTGAAGGTGTTGGACAACATGGCGGCTGAGGACGAAGCGGAGAACGGTGGCCCGCCACCGCAGCAAGAACTTGACAGTTCACGCCTCCAGGACGAGCTCACTCACGTCCTGCGCGATTACCCGCGAGAGACGCGCGAGGCCATGGCCAGTGCCGCCACTGTGCTCGAGTACCTGAACCGCGGCAAGGATGCACAGGAGGCCAAGCGCCTCGAGGCTGAGCGTCGCGCCGGCGTGTTGGAAGGTATGGTGCAGAAGGGCGAGCAGGTGACGGGTGTGGTGAAGTTCTTGCTGTCAGGCTAGCGGATACTCCTGTTTGAGTAAAGGTCACATTGTGTAGTCAACTAGTCAACATAAGGCAATCGGCATGGATGTAACATGTCCTGTATGAGAGGGAGGACAGCTCTAGTACGTGGTCAGGTGAGGTGTGGTGAGCACTTGGTGGTGTTTGAGCCTAGATTTGATCATCACGCTTCGACCGATTTGAATGAAGGTGCTCTGAGTGGACTAATTCACACCCAACCACGCCTCCCTCGCGAAACAACCTTGCTCGGCACCTTCCAGAAACAAGTAGCATGACATCTAGTAGAGCCAGTTTGCGACCCAGAGCACGAGGAGGACGAGGCCGAGCTTGACGCTGTCGTGCGTCTGCGCCAACACGCCGATGTTACCGAGGACGCTCATGACGGTGGAGTCGCGCCAGCTCTTCTCTGGGGCGGCGTACGCCGCGCTCGCGTTCGCGCTCCCGTTGACCGCGTTGCCGTTCTCGTCCTTGGCGGGCTCCATGAGGGGGATGTTCTCCTGGCCCGCGTCGAAGATGGGCTCGCCCTGCGTCACGGGCGGCGGGAGTGCGGGCTTTTTCTTGCCCACGGCCCACGAGGTGATGTCGCCCGTCGCGCCGCTGACCTTGTAGCTGAGCCAGCCGAAGGCGATGGACGAGACGACGAGGTTGACGGGGCGCCAGCGCGTAGCCGGCAGCACGAGGAGCACGGCCTTGGTGTCGGCCGCGAGCCAGCCGTGGAACTGGAGGATGAAGGTCTCGAGCGAGATCTGGCCGACGAAGCAGAAGAGCTGCGACGTGCATGTGCGCAGGAGGGCGCTTGCGTTGCGCAGCACGACGAACGACAGGATCGGGATGCACGACACCGCGGCGTGGTACCCGTTGTACTCGAACTTGTCTTTGCGGCTCAGCTGGAACCACATGTACCAGATGAGGCCGAGGACTGAGGCGACGATAGCGCCCGTGCGGAGCGCCGGGAAGAAGGGGCGTTCGGCGATACGCAGCTCGTTGAACTTGATGAAGGCGTAGGCGGCCAGCATGCCGCCCCAGACGATGTACAGGTCAAGCGTGACGCGGAAGGACCATTCCTTCGCGCTCCACTGGATGCGGAAGACGGTGTTGAGGAACGAGAAAAGGCCCTCCATCATCCACGTCTGGTGCATAAACGCTGTGATTGCGCCTGCGCAGACCACAAGCTTGGTGAGGAGGAAGGCGGGCTTGTCATTGTACTTAGAACCCAGGAACATGGTCCCGTAGATGATCATGTACCACCAGCTGACGAGGGGCGCAAAGTAGTAGAACGCGTAATCGGTGTTCATGGTGTACGGCAGCACGACCGAGAGGAGGTTGAGGCGCACGAGTACCTGGGCAATACGGTTAAAGCCGTAGTCGGCCTTCTTGAAGTAGAAGAAAAAGTGCCCGTACCCCGTCATGAAGAGGTAGGCTGCGACCATGACGCGGATGGGGTTGTAGATGCCCGAGATCTTGGATGCGCCGAAGAAGTGGTAGATGAGGATAGCAATCTGCATCCATCCCTTCCACTCGTCCGTGATGTCGCGGTTGAGGAAGCCGAGGTCCTTGCCCTTGTTCTTGACGGTGGCAAGGCCGGCTATCAGCGCCGCGATCATGAGCGCGCTGAAGATCTTGGGGTCCCAGTCCTTCTGCTCCTTGAGGAAGATGGTCGTGCGGTCCGCGAGGTAGAGGTATGCGATAGCGAGACCGAACGAGCTGATCGCCTTGGCGACCTTGTCGGCAGGGATCACGGCGAGCAGCGGGTGGCCGGGGCGCAGGCGAGGCGCGATCAAGCACGAGATCGGCGCCCACACGCCCAGGTAGAGCAGCAGGAGCGCCTGGAGCGGTCGCAGGGTGGTGTATCTCCGGCAGCAGGCGCCCTCGCTCACCTCCTTGCGGAGCACATCGTTGCAACGCCACGAGTACAGGAGCTCAGCCTGCTTGTCCATAATGCGGTCGGAGAAGTGGAGGCCGTCGCTTGTCTCCTCGTCCACGAGGAGCTCGTTGAAGACGCTCGGGACGATGATTGGCGGCGGGTTGCTCTGCGCCAGTCGAGTAGCGACTTCAGCATTCATCATCTCAACGTCGGCCGGGACGATAGTCTCGGCGCGCTCGGCACTGAGCTTCTCCACAACCGGGTTGGCCACGGGGACGAAGAAGACCGCGTCTGCGAGCGCAAAATCGTGCCCGCCCGCAGAGACACCGGCGCCAGTGCTGTCTGGCATAAGGCCGGGAAGCCAGTTGCTGCCGGTCGTCGTCATGGCGTCCCACGGGTTGAGGAGGGGTGCGAGCGGCGAGCCCTGCTTCGCGCGCAGCGTTTCGAAAGTGTCCTCGATCGTCTTCGTGAATGCTGTCGCGCCGCCCGAGCTAGGATTGCGCAGGTACCACAAACCCGAGCCCATAACCAGCATAGCGGCGGGCGTCTCTGGCCGAGACGCAAGGTAGTCGTGTGTCTGGGTTGTGTTGAGGTAAGGGTCCCACCAGAACTCAATCGTAAGCTGCTGGCCGCCCTTGGTGGTGATGACGGCCTTGCGGTCACTGTGCTTCTCGCCGTCGCTCTCCCAGCTCTTGGGGTAGTCAGTGCCCTTATCGACCTGGCGGACAGCGGCAAAGTAGAGCTGCCGCACGGTCGAGTCGCCAACGAAGAGTACTCGTCGGTTCGAAAGCCCGTCAGTGACGGGCGTCACAGCCGAAGGGGAGGTGAGGCACTTGGCGAGTGCGGGGGCCTTGATCGCGGCCTGGTAGCAGCCTGTCGTCAGCACGAAGCATGGGCGCAAAGGAGGAAGCGCGACGCTGATCGGCTCGTAGAGTGCCTACGGCCCGCGGCTCTTCGCCCCCGATCACGCAGTCCGCTACTCCTCAGCTCGCTAGAGCTCACCTTCAGGCTGCCAGTTCTTGTATGTCCCCTCGTCGAGCCATTTGCCGGTGGACAGCATGGCGCCGCAGTGATAGTTGTCTGGTGCGTCAAGGTAGGCCCACCGCAACAGGTTGCCGAGCACGAGTGCGGCCGCGACGGTCGCGCACGCGTAGTGGTACCATACGGGGTTGAGGCGGGCGGCCTGCGCCTGCTTCTGTGCTGGCGGCATGGCGAGCGAGGCGAGCGCGGAGAGCGGGGCGAAAGGAGTGGACGGCGCGAGGCCGGGGGAGAGAAGGGAGGCGGAGGAGAAGGAGGGCGAGAGGTAGGCCGAGAGCGAGACCTGGGGGAGGAGGGGGGAGCGGTGGCGGGGCGGCGTCTTGGTGTGTGAAGGAGAGAGTGGCCCGCGCCGAGAGATGGAGATTGAGAAGAAGAGACAAAATCGCAATGTCAAGGCGTGGAGTTGGGGTGAGGCGTGCCTGTGGACGCGACGCGGCAGGGCCGGGCGATCGTAGGGCGGCGGGCGGGGAGCGGCGGATACTAACGGAACTCTATTTCTGGAGGGGTGACACGGATTCAAGACCGGGTTTCTGGCGCAACTTGTGAGTTCTTCAACTCTCGGGATGGGACACAACCAAGACGAGGTCGCCCGATGCGTGTGGGCATGTCTACGCCAAACACGACGATGGGAGCCCGAGACGTGGCAGCAACGCCGCGCGACCGAAGCCGTGGTCCACCGGAAGTGGTGAATGAATTCAGTTCGCCCAGGTCGCGAGGTCTAGGCTCACAATTGAATTGTGGCCGGGGCCTGGTGAAGCTGGTGATCTGAAGAGATCACTCCCTGCGACTGCTCGTGTCTCTCTTAATTGCAATCGGGCGCGGAGCGAGTATCGTCCGGCAGAGAAAGCCTTCGTAACCTGCACGCCGATCTGAGGCTGGTAAAATGCTGGCCACCAAACTGTCTGGGCGCCCATCCACTCCGAGGAGCCTCAGGTGTCGCCGACTTGCGCTCTCCGTCTCATCCGAGCTATCCCTCGCTCTCCTATCCGTGTCCGTGTCATGCCTTCATATCACAAACAACCTGCGCATATATGCGCGATCTAACTGCTACTACCCAATGCTACTATTGAGTGGCCGACAGACACGCTGGCGTGCGTCGACCTCCAACCCATGCGGCTGCAGCCGACGGGGACGGACAAGACGCAGTCTCGCTCGCCTCCGCCTCCGCCGCCTACCCTGCTCCATGCAATGCTTATGCGTACTGCTTCTTGAGGAACTTGGCGATGGTCTCGAGCTGGATGTTCGAGGTGCCCTCGTAGATGGCACCGATCTTCGAGTCACGCCAGAACTTCTCAATGCCGGTGTCACGGGTGAAGCCGACACCACCGCACCACTCGATGGCGGCACCGGCGGCGCGCTGGGCAACGACCGAAGCGAAGTACTTGGCCATGGCAGCCTCCTTGGTGAAGACACGGCCCTCCTCCTTGAGACGAGCGGCGTTGTAGGTCATGAGCTTGGCGGCCTCGATCTGGGTGGCAATGTCGGCGAACTGGAAGCCCATGCCCTGGAAGTCACCGACGGCCTTGCCGAACTGCTTGCGCTGGTAGGTGTAGGGGAGAGCCTTCTCGAAGGCACCCTGGGCAAGACCGATCATCTGGGCGGCGATACCGATACGGCCCTCGTTGAGGATCTCGATGGCAATCTTGTAGCCCTTGCCGACCTCGCCGACAATGTTCTCCTTGGGGACACGGATGTTGTCGAAGTTGAGGACGCAAGTCGACGAGGCACGGATACCGAGCTTCTGCTCCTTCTTGGCGATCTCGACGCCCATGTCCTTGGAGACGGCGAAGCAGGTGATGCCCTTGTAGCCCTTGGAGGGGTCAACGTTGGCGAAAACGAGGAAGGTGCCGGCCTCGCCCGAGTTGGAGATCCACATCTTGGTGCCGTTAAGGATGTAGTGGTCGCCGTCCTCCTTGGCGGTGGTGAGGAGGCCGAAGGCGTCCGAGCCGGCAGCGGGCTCGGTCAGGCAGAACGAGCCGACGGTGTCGGTGGCAAGGCCGGGGAGCCACTTCTCCTTGATGGCGTCCGAGCCGTGGTGACGGACAACGGTGTTGACGAGGGTGTTGTGGACGTCGACGAGGACGGCGACCGAGGGGTCAACACGCGAAATCTCCTCGACGGCGAGAATGGCACCGGTGAACGACATGCCGGCGCCCGAGTACTCCTCGGGGATCTCAATGCCCATGAGCTGGGATTGTCAGCGAGAGCACTACGAGTCTGACGTGGCAGCGCCGCATTCCTGGGCCATCTAGAGCTGGGTCTGCGGGGCCGCCGGGCAGTGGGTAGGAAAAACTCACGCCGTTGTCGAAAAGGCCCTGGATGACATCCTTGTCCATAACCTCGGACTCGTCCATCTCGTAGACCTTGGGGGCGATGACCTCCTCGGCGTACTTGCGGACTGGGTGTGAGTTTGGCACATGTGGGTTTTTGGGCCCAAGCGAAGATCCGGGGCGAGCTCCGAACTTGATCCCTAGATCAAGGCAAAGCGTCCGGAGCTCGCTTCGCACTTTTGCTGGGCTCCCAGCGGGCGCCGCAGTAGCTGCGCGACGTCGGCTGCTACTCACCAGTGTCACGGAGCATGATCTCCTCGTCGGAGAAGTTGTGGAGGGACTGGGTCTTCTCCGAGGTGCGGTACTCGGTGTTGTAGGCGCGGGTGGCCGAGACCGAGAAGGCGCGCTTGGCGACCGAGGGGGCGGCGCGGGCGACGGGGGCGAGACGGGAGAGCATGGCTACTGTGTTTTTGTTTTGGGTAGGAGAGAGAGAGGAGAGAGGTGAGCGAAGGCTGATGAGATGGAAAGAGATGGAGGGGGGAGGTGGCTGGGGGAATCTATATAGCGGGTGTTCGGCAAGAAGTGTGGTAGGCCGAATACTTAGGCGAAGAGAGTGGCAGCAGCGCCGAGTGCACGGCCAGCGCGGAGGCACGCCACGCTGCAGGCTGTGCCTGATCCTCCATCCATGGTCTCTCCCGGCTCTTGCCATTGCCGGACCTTGCGCGACGCAACGACGGATCTCGCGCCTGCTCACCCTGCGATACCCCACACTCGCCGCGACGGCCCGCACGGCAAACTGCGCGTCGCCCAATCACACCGCACGGGTCCCCAGCCCCGCCGCGTCTACCCGCGTCCACGCCCCTCCCACAGCGCGGGCCCTGGAGCCTGCCCAGCCTGCCCCACATCGGGGGCTCAAGAGCGGGGATAGCACACGTGCCACTCACGTGATATTTTCGCCTGCTGCCAATTCTGCCGACGTCTGGCTCCACGGGCGTAAGACGGACTCTGGCATGCCTCGGCGCCTCACGCCTCGGCGCCTCGGGTGCGCCACGAGTGGCTGCGATAATGCGGGCGACGAGATCCTCACCCGAGAATACTCCTTTGTTACTAGTGGAAGGCGAGGGAGGGAGCAAGCCTTGGCCCGTGAGCGACGCGATTACCTCGGCAATTTGAGAAATTCGATATATCTGATTGTACCTGGCTGGAAAAATCGGGTGGCAGGCGTGGGAGAGTTGGCTCAAGGACGCCGTGGGAGAGCTCTCCCAGCGGACTAAGATGCAACTCCGCTCGCCACTCACGTGCACGCGGAGTCTTCGGCCGCCTGGCTGCGCCTGGACATGCTTACATATGCGCGCACTCCCATTGGCTGTGATTCGCTCGGCGCTGACTCACACGGCGACAGTGGGAGCGGAAGCAGCTGAGGAATGCACGTACGTCAATTGGCGGCACCAAACCACGTCATGTCATGTGGACACCCCATCTCCGTCCTTGGCTCTCTCGACACATATATAAGGCAGTCCAGTGCATTCTCTTCTCCCCGTTCCATTCTAGCAATCGAACTAATCTCGCCCCTCCTTGTGTGTACCGCCTGTACCCTACCGACTCTCGCTTGTCCCTCGCATCGCATCACCACATCTGCACCCACCGTAATGTCCGAGTGTACCGGCAACCCGAACTCGTGCGGCTTCTGCTCCGGCGCGCCCGCCGCGCACGACCACTGCGCGAAGGACGAGGTACGCGGATGCGCGGCCGACCCGGAGCACTGCGAAACGTGCCGCGGCGCAGGGTGTCTCGCGACCGAGTGTACTGGGTGAGTCCTGGAAACAGGAAGACCAAGGACGCTGACACCCAGAAACGCGTCAACTTGCAAGGCATGCCAGGCGGGCCACTTCCAGTCGTGCCGCCGCCAGGCCGTGAATGCGACCGAGGGCGTCGAGCGCGTCGCCAAGTAACCGCCCGGCCGTATGTACGCGGCTGAGCCGCTGTTGTATTAATGCATGGCACTAAACGAGAACGAGACTGGCGTGTTGCGCAGCGCTGGCTGGCGCACTGAAGCATTTGCAGAAACTGACATAATATCTTCTGAGACACATTCTATCTTGCCAACCTACCAGCTATTCTAGGGCGGCCTAGATCCCCATGTCGTCGCGCGCCATCTGCGCACACCATCCCTCCTCGTCCGTCTCGACGACCCACGCGGTGAGCCGGCTCTCCGCGCCGCTCACCTTCCGCACGGCCCCGCCGCCCCGCTTCTCGTTCGCCTCTCCCACGCTCGCCCCGAGCCAGTGCAGGCGCTCGATTACGTCGCGGCGGAGCTTGGCGGCGTTCTCGCCGATCCCGCCGGAGAACACGAGCTGCACCTCCGTGAGCGGCACCTGCACGAGCAGCTTGGCGAGGTACTGGCTGATAAACACCATAACGCGGTCGAGGAAGATGTCGTACGCGAGGCGCATGCGCTTCTTCTCCGCGGCGTCTGTGGCCCCGCCCTCTCCGACCTCGCCGAACGCCTTAGCCGTGATCGTGCCGAAATTCGGCGTGCCCGCCAGCGCGGACAGCCCGCTCTCTCTATTCATCACCCACTCGCCCCGGCTCACGTGCATCCCGCTCAGGCCTGCGTCGCGCGCATACTCGGGCGTGTGGTGCATGATCGCCGTCGGGTCGATGTTGCCTGTGCGCGTGCCGCCCACCAGGCCTTCGAGGGGCGTGAGGCCCATGCTCGTGTCGATCGACTTGCCGGCACGGATGCAGCATGCGGACGCGCCCGAGCCGAGGTGCGCCACGACGAGGTTGAGCTTGTCGGGTGTCGTGTGCGTGTGCTGCGCGAGCTGGTGCACGATCGACGCGTACGACAGGCCGTGGAAGCCGTACTTGCGCAGCGGGATGGCGAGGTCCGCCTTCGTTGGCGGGAGCGCGTAAGTGTATACTTCGGGAGGGAGAGTTTGCTGGCGTCAGCACATCCGGCGGCGGACGCACATGGAACAGAGTGTCAAAGTACAGCAGCTGCGTGCTCTTCGGCACGGCGTCGAGGCATGCGCGCACGCACAGCACGGCGTGGTGGTTGTGCAGGGGCGCGAACGAGGACAGCGCGTCCATCTGCTCGAGCTCTCTCGTGTCCTCTTTCGTGACTCTAAGGCCCTTCTTGTTCATGCCGCCGTGCACGATGCGGTGTGTGACGTACTTGATCGCGTCCTCCTTGATGCCTGACGAAGTGATGTGTTTGAGAATTACCGGGAAGATGTCTCTATCTGGCGTCAGGCACTGCTCTCGGCACTTCCGCACGCACGCTCGACCTCGCCGCCGTCTCCCATTCTCTCGTCCACGTCGTCCCGCCCCTCGTCGTCCAGCCACTTGACGACGACATGGACTCTGTCGCCCTTGGCGCCGATGTTGAGCACCGAGATCTTGGCCGCCGGCTTGAGCGGCGCCTCCTTTGACGGGAGGTGGAACAGCTTGCCCTTGATGGACGACGAGCCGCAGTTGAGCGTGAGGACGTACATGGTGTGATGGGAGACGAGGGGTTGGAGAGCCGAGAAGATATAGCGGCCGTGGGTGCGGCTGAGGATGACAAGGACGCCACGCCCCGTCCCTGACGTCATGCCACTGCCGCCGGCAACTCGACCGATCGACCAGCTGATTCCGATCTCAGCATTACGCGTCTGGAGCGGGCGCGTCGGCACGGGATCTGTACCTGGTCATTGCCTGCGGGAGATGAGCTCGCCGACGAGAGTGGCAGGCACGGTTGCGTTCATTCGGGTTGACAGAGACGGAATTACAGGAGGGCCGCACAATGACGAGTTGGTGGCTTGTGTGGCGCAGCTGGCGAGGATCGGATGGGTGGAATGCCGCGCGGGGATACAAAAGGATTAGAGACTTGATGTCCCGAATGTTGTTGGGAGATATGGTACAAAACTGCAGCATACAGGGCACCGGCGATGCCGCCTGCACCAGCGCGTCTGTCGTGCAGGGGGGTCTCATGCGTCACGAGAATCTTTGTGGAGTGCGCTTCTCTCGGCGCCGGTGACGGGTGGTGTCCGAGTCTGAGCACACACTGTTCGGGGTTGGAGGCGCATGGGCGCAAAGAACGCTGGTGGAGGCGGCATCTGAGGCGGGACTGCACGCCCATCGGCATCGGACTAAAGGAGACTGCTGTAGCGCCTGTCCGTGATGTGTCGGGCCGCTGTGACACCCGCATGCACCCCACAGATCGGGACTGCGGGATTCGGCTGTATCTTCTGCAAGAGGTCTGTGCGATAAGTGTAGCCGGGCCCGCTGCAGAGGCCGATTGCCGAACGCCAGTTCCGGATGAGTGCGCCATCAGCCGAGACAGCGTGAACAAGCGGCCATCTCCGAGAAGCTGAACGAACCAAAAGTAGTCCGTGCGATGACTGCTTTGGCGCTTTGGCGAGGACAACCAAACCCCGTGGCGCCGTAAACACAGAAGATAACGAGCGGGGTTTGGCCAAAAGTTTGCGTGAGCGGCCGTTGCGGCCGTGATGGGCGATGGGGCTAACGGAATGTCATCTCGGCAAGTCCTGGTTGCGGCATCGCAGGACGGAGTGCCGCCGCTAGACAGCATATACTGGATTGAGACTGCAATACCTCTGTCCTGCCCTTGGTGTCGCAGAAGAAGAGCGCAAGGACGACCGCAGGCAACGAGAGATAGCCAACCTGTCCCAGGATCAATCATCTGAAATCAACGCAGGCACCGCTCGGTGCCGGCGACGGCGACGAGAGGTCAGGCTAGAGGTGAAATCTGATGCGGGATGTTTGATGGGACAGAGGGAATGTCCGATAGGAGGCTGCGTGCAATGCTTCTTCTCATCACATCGTGAGGCTTTTGTGGCTTTAGGCAGAGTTCCTCGATGGTCGAAAGTGAGTGGCGAAAGGAAAGGATGTGAGCGAAGTACCGGAGGTGAGGAAGGTGCTGGGAGTCCTTGCCAGTCATTAGTCCTGTCAAACCCCACTCCTCCGGTCTACCGGTCCGTGATTGCAGTCGCGCATCGCTGATCGCCGTTCGCTAGGCTTGTAACACATGCACCCAAACTACGCCCGGCAAGCCCACGCTGGCGGCATTATACTGCTCCTACTCTCCCTCAGTACTCCCCAAACTCGACGTCTGCAGTCAGCGCATCCACCGCCTCGACTCACGCCCCGTCGCCATCGCATGCTCGCGCGCGCCCTTCTCGCCCTTGAGGCCGATGCCGCACACACCGCACCGGAGGTCAAAGTTGGCCGTGTCGGTATAGTATTTCTTCGCCTTGAGGCGCTGGACGAGCGTGCGCGCAGCGTCCATCACCGCGGCGTCGGAGAGGGGGAACACGGTCGTGTGGAAGCTCGGCGGCGCAGCCGGCATCGGCGACAGCGTCATCGCGTCGTAGTCTGCGTCAGCGGAGCGATGGCAGACGCACGAATTCCGGAGTACACTAGGAGACAGCTGGCGTCAGCGCGCGCGACGCGTCAGCGTACCGCTGGTCGTGCTGGTCCTCTCCGAAGCGGTCGCAGCGGCCGGTTGCGACGTCGAAACTCGCGATTTCTGTTTGGTAGCTGTCGTCAGCGCCGAGGTCGTGGGGCACATACTGCTGCGCGAAAATGGCCAGCTCAACCGCTCCACCCCAAGTATTCGGCTCAAGGATTTTGGAGATGTACGTTTCGCGCGGTTGTCTGTGTCAATTCCGCATTCCAGGAGGCTCACCCCAACATGACGTCCGAGTAGGTGGTGGGGTCGTCGCGGATCGCGTCCGCGACCACCCGCCGCAACTTTTGTGCCGCCTCAATACCGCCTTCGAACACGACGGCGACAGCCGAGAAGAGACACGAGTTGTCGTCCGGTACGATGCGTAGCTGGAGATACCCAGCGTCGCCGGGGAGCGTGACGCTCTCACTCGTCTCGAGGGGCATGTCGCGTGCGGTGTCGACGGCTGGCGCCGGCGGGCGCGGGGCAGAGAGCTCGGCATCAAGTTCCTTGACGCTCGGGCGGCGGGCGCGTTTCGGCGAGCGCGCGCGCACTGCCGTCACGATCAGCTGCTCGCCGCGCGTGATGGGGATGCTGGCGAGGCGGCCGGCCGTATCCGGCAGCGGCTTGGGCGGGTATCCGAACTTGACTGGCGTGAGGAATGCGCCAGAGGTGGCGGGATGGCAGACGGGGGACGACGGCGGGGGAAGGTATGCTTACTCTCTTGTTCCGAGGGTGGGATCTCGGTGCTCGAGAAGATGAGGACTTTGAGGTCGCGCACACCCTGCGTTTCGGGGTCGACCTCGATGGTCGTCACCCCTCGCGGGTGTCGGAGGCGGACCTGGTGTTAGTGCATGCAGGCCGGATTAGTGAGTGATCAGTGAGAGGGACGAGCACGCACGGGAATCATGGTGAGTGAGGAGGCGAGGAAGACGGTAGATGTAAGAATGAGAGATGAAACGATGCGTCATCGAGTTGTCTCAAGTCACGGGGCTCCGCCACGTGCCTCCCCTCGGAGATTGATTCATGCCTCCTCCCCTCCTCTACCCCACTCGTGCCCGCCTGCGCAAACCTTGTTAGTGCCATGGTATGCGCGGAATGTCGTCGCCGTGATCGCGAGAACATGCCGACAGATGGAGGCACGGGAGAGTTTGCATCAACGGCAGCAGCAAGATGCCATATGTCATCACCGCGGGTCGCGGGTGGGTATCCCGCGATCGTCGATATGTAGATCTTGATCCACATCCACATCCACACCCGCACGACAAACCCCGTCAATCCGCCACGCCATTACTACTATTGATGCATGATGCTCGCAACTTGTGTTAGCTACAACGCTGCAACTGCGGGCAAGGCAGTTGGCTCTGCCAGTGTGTTTTGCGGATGACGCTGATTCCAGTGGCGCATTAGTTCCTCCGATCCCTGGACGCCGGACTACTGGAAAACTGGTGACATTGTGCGCAGCACCGTCGACGTGCACTCTCAGTGGCAGCAGCTTGCTGTCGGCGCAGCTGTCCGAGTCTCGGAGCTGCGGGGAACTGCTGCATGACGTCAAGCGTGAGCCTCGCAGCTGGCAGGCTGGGAGCTGGGAGCTGCCAGCTGCCAGGGCGCAGGGGGACATGTCCGTGCCACGCGCATCCCCCTGTGCATCCTTCCACAGGTTGAGAGAGTGTGGCGGTGGCGGCTGAATTTGTTGGCCCGATGGGTATGCGACGGGTGAGGCGGGTGATGACGAGCTGGCTGGCAGCTGGCAGACCGCAGGCCGCTGGCTGCAGGCTGCAGGCTGCAGGCTGCAGCCCGGCGGGCAGTCGTGCAAACACTGCGCACTGCCAAGTGCTGAAGGGCCAGCGAGCCGTGACAGCGGCGAGGGAGACAGTACTGCAGGAGAAGCAGTGGCCCTGATCAGAGAGCGAGCGCGTCCCGGCGTATTCGGACGCGACGTCCGCCGTCATGTCACTAACTGTGTAGTGCGTCACGGGTATACGGTGGTTCTAGTGACGCAGTGCTCTGCGGCCCCCGAGAGATTGCGCTACTGTTGCTAATATGCAAGTCCGTATGGGCAGCATGGGCAGATCGGCCAGTGTTTGCACACGAGTGCATGTATAGGACACGAAGCTTGAGGCAGGCGACCACGGCTACAGGCACTGGTAGCGTTAGTCGCTGGCACTAGGGCACTAGTTGTGGCAAGGGGGATATCACCAGTTCTGCGCACCCTGGGAGACGTCACGAGGTTTATGCCACGGGGTTGCGAGGACGCGAGTACGCGCCGACTGAGCACGGTGGACTTGTCTAAGAGGCTAGGACGCTAGGAGCGGCGGAGCTAGGAGGCCAAGAAGGAGGCCACGAGGCGGGTGAGGAGATGGCAAATTCATCATGAGGCTGCGCAGATACACTGTGATTGGGAAGTAAAGTTGACTGCTGAGAGCCGAGGGGGTCATGAATGCGCGAGATGTACGCGCCTCGGAGGGTGGTGCCTGCCTACGTCCACTCTTTGCTATCGTGGCAGTTGCTACCAATAATCAGCGCCGAGCTCCTCCGGCAGCCCGGCATACTGGTATGCTGGTGAGGCAGGGCTTCAAGACGGCTACGCTGCTGGTCATGGTGCACACATATTTACACAAATATACAAGGTCCATGAGATCCGGGGATTAAACATGACACTTGAGCAAGCATGAGCCTTGGGTCATGTTCCTGCGTTCCTGATTTGTTTGCCCTGAGAAGCAAATGGCTTCCCATTCCCTTGACCCGATCTACTTTGGTTTAGCCCCCTAGCTCCGCCGTCCACCGTTTCCCTAGTTACCCTAGGGAGTGACGGCACTCTCACCCAAGAGTATGGAAGATACGGCAGGGTCATACGGCAAGTGGCAGGCGGACATGGACTTTGGAATCAGACATATTTGTAATGAGTAGAATAGGGCGGTATCAAATCTGTCACCGTTTCCAATCAGAAGGCACTTTGTAATGGCCCTCTCATTCCTTCTCCGCTCCCCTTGGGCCTCTCCGCCCTCTCCGCCCTCTCCGCCCTCTCCGCCCTCTCCGCCCTCTCGGCGTCTCCTCCCTCTCGGGGCCTGCGGCGTGTTGAAGGGGAAATGGTCGTCTGCGCTGGAACCTATGCTCCCTGTGCATCCCTAGCATCCGTCTGGAACCCTGTGTCCTGTGACCTCGCGAGGCAAAGCCGCTGCAGGCACTCACCCAGCACCCAGCACCCAGTAATATGATAGTGTGGGCTGCACAGTGGCAGTCATTCCTCTCGTTATTCCTCTCCACAGCTCTTACTCCACTCGTCTCTCCCCCCCATCCAACATCCTCTCCACCACATCTCTCTAGCCTCTCATCCCCCCAATCGTCTCTCTCTCTCTCTCAAGCGTTATCATCCATCCTCAACGTCGACGCCAACCAGCGCTCCGGTCGCTCCGGTCGCTCCAAGATCCCTTCCTCCATCCTCCCGCACAGCCCAAGCTCGCCAGCGCTCCGAGCGTCCTGCCTAGGCCGGGTGCGATTCCCGGCCACCCCGTCTCCCACTCCTCCCAATTTGCCACGAATTGCCACCTCTCCCACTTGTCACTTTGCACTCCTCCTCCTCCCGTGTCCCATTTGTCCATTTGTCCATTTGTCCATCACCCAAACTCCCTTCCCCCGCGTCACGACGCGTCTCCTCTCTCCGATCCACGATCAATCCTTCCTCTTCTTCTTCTTCTTCCTTGGTCCTCCCTCTCCCTCTCCCTCTCCACACCTCCCTCTCCCCTCTCGTCACCTATCCTACTCCCCATCGACCAGTGCAAAGCACCAATCCTCCTATAGAGTTTACCCAGTGTCAACGATTCGCCCTCGCCCATCTCACCACGCTCTCCCCGCAGACTACACTAGCTCGGTAGCTCAACTGTCCCTTGTTGAGCATTGTCCCGAACGGCCCCGATAGCTGCCGCGCGCCGCCGCATAACCGACCACGAAATGCTGTCGGCTCTGATGTGTACTGGTGACCAAACGTCAACGACATCTCCGCCACCCCAGCTTTCAGCGCCCGAGCGAGAGTCTTCTCTCGACTCGCTTGCCCAGTCGTCCCACATACTTCGCACGCCCGACCTCTCAGCCCTGGAGGTAGACTTTGGTCAACTTCGTAACAGCGACACGGTGCCCTCGCGCTCTGATCTGCACCTAGGCGGAATGGCCCCTACTTTACCTCGCACCACGTCTCAGGTTGACAACCGATCATCCGCACCCGGCAAGCGTGACAATGTGCACAACACAAGCCGAGATTGGAGAAAGAAGTATTCTGCGTGAGTCTTGATCGTGCCTTCACAAGTAGTAGTATCCCGCAATCTCACTGGTCGGCGATCGACGCGACCGAAGGTTGTCGTCGCCGAACTGGGTATGAGCGGGATGTATAGGGCCCGCTCATTCGCACTCTCCACTGGTGATGATCAGGCCGAGAGTGGGCGTGCAGCAAGCATCTGCCGCCTCCAGCTGTGCACTGTGCAGACTGTGCAGGAGCGCAGTAGGATCGCCAGAGGAGCGCCTGCTGCTGTGTGCATTCGAGTTGCAAAACGGCGCGAGCTGTGACGTCACGTGTTAATCCCATCTTGTGCTAACACCATCCTCCGATCCTATTACTGCGCACCAACGATTATCAACATTACGCTCCTGCTACTCCTCACCTCACGACCTCGATTCGCCACCAACATTACCGCCACCGTTCATTTGTCTCATTCACCATTCATCATCAATCAAAACACAATGATCTATTCCTTTCCCCCGCCATCACACAGCCTAATCTGCGGCAATGCTCTTGGTTACGAGCGCTCCACCCCCGGCCTCGATCACACGAGTGGCGATTCTTTCAAACCTGAAGACGACACAGACATGACCTCCGACACCAGTGCTGCCGCTGCTGGCCTGTATATCTCGGCGCCCCTCGCCCCACCAGTCGGGTATCCCATGCCCGGTTCTGGTCAGCCGGCATTGCGAGCTTCAACGCCGTTGGAAGACAATCGCGCCTCTGTCATTTCCTCGTCTTCCTCTGGGTCGTCGTCCCATGGCGGCTCGGTGAAGGGTAGCGGAACAAGACCCACTCCACCGCAGTGGGCACAGCCACCCAAGAGGTCCGGCGACCGTGCATCCTCTTTCGATTCCGGACTGGACAGGAGCGCCGTAGAGAGGCCACCACAGCTGCTAGATGTTACTGAGCACAATCCCGAGCAGTTTCGTGGTCCGGCAGGCGAGCCATTCCAGATCCTGCGGGGTGCACAGGGCCGCATCGCCATCAAGAGCACGACGTATCAGTATGAAGTGCTTGCTTGGCTGCCCAACTTTAGGTGAGTCCGCTGCTGGCCAAGCAAAGAGTCTAGACCGCATCTGACGCGTAGCTTGGGAGACATCACTATCGTTACGCGCAAAAACCACGTCTTGCATATTGTAGCAGACCAGTGGGACGAGAATGGTAAGCCAGCAACTATGTGGCTCTGGCAAGCTAAACTCTTTAGATCACGCTCAGTGGGAAATCCGCCTCGGCGACGATGCTGTGATGAGCTCCGTCCGCGCAACATTCTCTGGTAATGAGCTCGCGATCAGGGGTGAGTAGCGCCGCACAACGGGCATCCGATGCTGACTTGTCCAGTGGCTCGCAGCCCGAAGCTTCGCGACAACGTGTCGATGCGATCTAATCTCTCGATGAGGTCGGCATCGACACGAGCACCAAGCCTCTCAGGCACACTCGGCCATCACGAGCGTAGTTTCAGCACTCCGACTATGCCGTGGTCCGACTTGGATCGGCGCGATCTCGAAGCCAGGATGTCGCGCGGAACCGAAGGCTTCTAATCGGCTCGGCGCTTCTGTAATCAGCAAGCATCCCCAAGTATCCCAGGACATTCCCAACATCCCACCACACGATACCCATATCTCTGTGGCTGGCGACCTCATTCAATACACACCTGCACTGATACCATCTCATCGGCCTTTGCCCGACTGTCGCAAGTCCTGTCGGCATTGGCGTTGAGCATCCGCTGTTCGGGTTCCCGTACCACCCTTCTCACATCGAATCACCGTCAGCTACCCTTCTGCGTCGGTTACGTGGCTCGCCTTCTTACTGTAGCAACAATCAGATCATGTGCACAACATCCTCTTCCCCTCGGACGAGGTTTACTCAACCCTCGCATAGCCGTCTTCCATGCCCAACCTAGACTTCATCCTGGACTGCACTAGCACGCCCGCCTATCTTCAGCGCGAAGGGGCGGGTTAATCCCAGGGATGACAATGCAAGATTGTCCAGACTGTTTACATACAGAATGATTGTGCTGCGAAGTCTCTACTGATGTGTATATCTCACTAACTACTACTTGGTCGCAAGGTCTGGAATTTCGACCTTGCCTTGTGCCGTTGCGGCGACGCCGGATGTCACCAGTCCAACGTACGGCATCAGGTGGTAGGAAAGCGTGATGTTTGCGTCGTGAATGTTTCTGTGGTGATGTCAGATATGGGTCAACAAATTGGAGGGGCCAGCCAGGGGAGAATGACGGCGCCGAGCTCGGCGGGTCTGTGCAGCGGTGCGCCCGCAGCAGGGTGGCGTCGAGCAGCAGGACACCGAACAGCGCCCTACACCCACGTCCAACGCCAAAGCACGACTCACTTGAACGAGCGTGACGGGTTACGCCACGCGTACTTATTCTTGACGTTGTCCATGCGAATCCTGGGCCGCGGGCTGCGGTTCTTGCGCGCCTCGGCGTCGCCGGTCGTGCGGAAGTCCTTGATGTCGCTGCGCGTGATGATGCGGTCCCAGAGGACGACTTCGTGCGTGTCGCCACTCACGTCGTCGGCGTATGCGGCGGTGAGGTACAGAAAGAGCTGTTTGGTGTTGTAGCTGTTGAGGAGGGGCGTGACGTCAGCGCGCACGTCGAAGCGCAGGCTCGCGAGCTCTTCGGGCGCCGCGCCCCAGCGGTTGACGCGTCCGCGGCGGCTGCGTGTCAGCGAACACGTTGGTGTAGTGCGGCGGCAGAGCGGAAATGCGGCGGAAAGGAGGAGACGAGAACAACGTAGAATAGAGACAGAAGGAAGAAAGACAGGAAGACACAAGAACGGAGTGAAGGTCGGGAGGTAAGTCGACCATGGCACGGCTCACGCAGCAACTCACACGATCAGGTCGTTGACGCTCACGGTGCCCGGCTCGACAGCGGGGAGAGTGAAGAAGCTCGCGAGGCTGATCAGACCGAGGAGGACCATGACGAAGGTCGTCGAGATCGAGCCATAGTGGTTTAGGCGCTGGAGGGTCGAGTACATCGCAAGGGAGGGGGGCCGGAGTCGGCCTGATTAGAAAGAGGGTGGCGGCCGCAGCGCGCAGAGGCTTTAGATGTGGTTTGGACGGCGAAACAGCGGGCGGCGCGGCGGTGACACACGATGATCGAGAATCGATGACACGGCACTTGCGGCACTTGGCGGAGCTGACGGGCGTGGTGGAGGCGTGCAAGCGTGGGCGCGTGGAGGCGGAGGAAGTGCGGGCCACGTGTCCGGGATCAAAGCTGCCAGCATATTCCAGATTACCTCGGATTACCTCAGAGCCATTAATGATGCGGTGGCGGTTACAAGTTTATGAGACCGGGGAGCACCGCCAGGGGGGCCAGGAGCCAGGGTTCCACGTCGACGGAGCGGCAGAGGTGGCAGTCGCGTCGCGCCTGGTGCCCTCCGAGGCGCCACGCTGGCAGCACAGACGCCGTCTCCTCATATACTCGCCAACTCCACCCCGAACTCTTTTTCTTTCCTCCATTACTCTACTCTCTTTTCCATCCACCCCCACACTCCTTGCCACCATGGCATACCCACGCGCAAGCATCAGGCCGCGCGCACACAAGCGCAAGGCCGCCTCATCATCCCTCATGTCTAAAATCACCCTCTGCGCTATGGTTCTCCTCGCCGTCATCTGCTTCCTTCCCGCCGGCAACATGGTCCGCGCACAAGAGAAGCCCGAGATCAAGGGACACGTCATTGGCATCGACCTCGGAACTACCTACTCGTGTGTTGCTGTTCAGAAGAACGGCCGTGTTGAGATCATCGCCAACTCCTTGGTACGTACCCCGCCTTCCCCCCCCCCCTTCCTCTCTACGGACACCGCTAACAAGCAGGGAAACCGTATCACGCCATCTTGGGTTGCGTTTACCGACGAGGAGCGTCTTATCGGTGAGGCCGCCAAGAACCAGGCGCCACAAAACCCGGAGAACACAATCTTCGATGCCAAGCGTATGGTCGGTCGCGAGTTCAAGGACAAGGACGTCCAGCGTGACGTAAAGCACTGGCCGTTCAAGGTTGTGAACAAGGGCGGTAAGCCCATGGTCCAGGTCGACAACAAGGGCACCCTCAAGGACTTCACCCCCGAAGAGATCTCGGCCATGATCCTTACTCGCATGAAGGAGACCGCGGAGGCGTACCTCGGCGAGAAGGTCACCCACGCCGTTGTCACCGTTCCAGCCTGTGAGTGTTTTTTTTTTTTTCAAATGCACAGAGATGAATAGTGGCTGACGATACTAGACTTCGACGACGCCCAGCGCCGCGCCACCAAGGACGCCGCCGCGATCGCTGGCCTCGAGGTCCTCCGTCTTGTCAACGAGCCCACCGCCGCCGCCATCGCCTACGGTCTTGACCGCTCCGGCAAGTCTGAGTCACAGATCATCGTCTACGATCTTGGTGGTGGTACCTTCGACGTCTCCCTTCTTTCGATCGAGGACGGTGTCTTCGAAGTCCTCGCCACTGCCGGTGACACACACCTTGGTGGTGAGGACTTTGACAACCGCGTCATCGAATACTTTGTCAAGGAGTACAAGCGCAAGAACGACGTCGACCTTTCTAAGAACAAGAAGGCTATGGGCAAGCTCCGCCGCGAGGTTGAGAAGGCCAAGCGCACTCTCTCCAGCCAGATGTCGACCAAGATCGAGATCGAGTCCATCGAGGGCGGCAACGACTTCTCCGAGACGCTCACGCGCGCCAAGTTTGAGGAGCTCAACATGGATCTTTTCCGCAGGACGATGAAGCCTGTCGAGCAGGTTCTCAAGGACGCTGGCGTTAAGAAGGAGGACGTTGACGATGTCGTCCTCGTTGGTGGCTCAACCCGTATCCCCAAGGTCCAGCAGCTTCTCAAGGACTACTTCAACGGCAAGGAGCCCTCGAAGGGCATCAACCCCGACGAGGCCGTCGCCTACGGCGCCGCTGTCCAGGGTGCTATCATGTCGGGCGCCGACGGTGCCAGCGACCTCCTCCTCATCGACGTCTGCCCCCTCACTCTCGGTATTGAGACTACTGGCGGTGTCATGACCAAGCTCATCGGCCGTAACTCGGTTGTTCCTACCAAGAAGTCGCAGATCTTCTCGACTGCGGTCGACAACCAGCCCACCGTCCGCATCCAGGTGTACGAGGGCGAGCGCTCGATGACCAAGGACAACAACCTCCTCGGCGAGTTTGACCTGACCAAGATTCCCCCCGCGCCCCGTGGTGTTCCTCAGATTGAGGTCACCTTTGAGATCGACGCCAACGGTATCCTCAAGGTCTCGGCCGCCGACAAGGGCACGGGCAACGCCCAGTCCATCACCATTACCAACGACAAGCGCCGTCTCTCTCCAGAGGACATTGAGCGCATGGTCGCCGAGGCGGAGGAGTACGCCGACGAGGACGCCGCTTTCAAGAAGCGCATCGAGGCCAAGAACGCTCTCGAGAACTTTGTCTACACCCTCCGTGGCCAGATCAAGGACAAGGAGGGTCTTGGTGGCAAGCTCGACAAGTCGGACAAGGAGGAGCTTGAGACCGCCATCAAGGAGAAGGAGGACTGGATCAGCGAGCACCAGGACGCTGAGGCTGAGGACTTTGAGGAGCAGCTTTCGGAGCTCCAGGCTGCTGTTGCGCCCATCACTTCCAAGCTCTACAAGGGCGGCGAGTCGGGTGGCGCGTACGACGACGAGGAGTCCTCGTACGGGCACCACGACGAGCTCTAAACAGGGCTCCATAGCATTGCATAATGTGTCATAGTTGCATGGCGGCGATCAGTTCATGCATAGTGTTTCGGAAGCGTGATCTCCTACATGTTGTGAAGAGTAATTTCTGAGCGTGAGTGAGCGCGTCATGTAGTCACGCAGGTGATGTTGTGGAACGGAACATCCGTCGTTTACCGATTACCGAGCCAAGTGTGTGCAGTCATGGACATGTGCTTGCGATCTCATCTTGGCACATGCATCCGACGCAAGCAAACAATCGATGGATACGATGGATGGATTGTTTGTGTCATGGTCATTGCTGCGAGACGGATGGACGGGAGGCGCGTGCCGACCTGCTTGGGTCATAGCTTTTATAATAATGCATGTAATGACGGTAATACGGTTAGAAGCTTTGTTGATCAGGAAATAATTAGGTTCCGTGGTTGATTTGTGCAATGAACCACGCGAGGTGGCTGATATATTCCAGGGCTAAAAGCCAGGCGCGTCAACAAGGGCCGCGCAGGGGAGCGTGCGTACGGTGGAGCAAGCGGGGGGGGGGGGGGGGGGGGGGGGGGGGGGGGGGGGGGGGGGGGGGGCGAGACAGTGGGCTGGCTGGGGTGGCTTCCTCGCTCACCCTGGCTCCATCCTCCAAGCACACTCCATCCATCCCATCATCCTCTGTTCATCTCCATCTCCATCCAGTCTCTCCTCCTCTTCATCTCCTTCTCCACTCTTTCTCTCTTCTCTCTTCTCTCCGGCCCCATTCTCTCCCCCCTCCCACCCATCTCCCTCCTCACCGTGCTTCAGCTGCACGCCGCCCGCCGCAGCGGCACTGCGACACCCATCTCCTGCACTCGTAAAGGGCTATGTCGCAGGCGGCCACCCGCTCCCTCCTCCCTCATGACCCACCCAGGTTCCTCCAGCCCTCAGCCATGCCGCGTCCCCCACCTTCTCCGGCTCTCCGCGTAAGCCGCGTCCCCGACAAGAACAACGACGCCAAGGTCCGCACAGTCCTCGGCCGCGTCAATGTCAACGCGAACGCCGCGACCGCGTCCGCTTCCGCCGCGCTGCAGAAGCGCGTCGCGCGCCCCAGCCCCAACGGCACCACCGTCCTCAAGAACAAGCAAGCGTTGCGGCCTGCGGTCGACGCGGACGTGTTTGGCGATGTCAAGCCGCTGCTAGGGAAACGCGGGCGCGCCGATGCGCCAACCCAGTCCGTCAAACGGACGCGCCCAGACGCAGCCGCCATGAAAGGACTGGAAAAGGAGCAGGAAGCATGGGTTGCCAAATGGCAGCAGGCGTTCCCCAACCTCACCTTCCACTTTGAACTCGGTACGGAGGAAGGTCTGGGGCGTAAGATGCGGCCGCGCGTGCTCAAGCTTGGAGCAGTAAGCCATGCCCGACGAGAATAAAGCTGATGCCAGCGCGTCGACCAGTTCTTCTCGCGTAGAATCACTCATCTCATCGTCAAGAGCGAACAGTCACCACAGAAGCCGCGCGTGGCGGCGATGAAGCGAGGACAGTCGGATAACCCCTTCCTCCAGGCAAGTCCGACTGACCTCCGCTCCAAGGCAGAGGAGTATGGCATCAAGGTCTGGACGGTCAAGAGTGCGTTCATCGTGCATTGCGAGCGTCAGCTGATTCGCAGAGCTCTTGGAGATGATCGACCGCCTCGACCCAGTCAACGTCGTCCAGCGCGAAAGCCTATCTCATATGCTCGCGGACGAAAAGCTGCATGGCACGCGCGAGCGCGACGAGTCAGCGCCACGGCCCGACCACTACTACTTCCGGCCAGGGAGCAAGTATGTGCTCATTGAAGACGCAACAGGAAAGCACCGCACCATCATGGTCAAGGAATACTCGGCCAAAGAGCAGGACTGGCCGGTATTGCACGACCAGTTCCTCCGACTAACCACCTCGTGCGCCCTTCCCCGGTCAATTAAGAGTGTCGACCACCTGCACCGCGATCTTCGCGCGCGTGCAATGGCGCTGTATGTCAACCACGAACCATACAATGGGGAAGAGCCACCCACGCGCTCCCTCAAGCGGTCTGCCTCTGATCGCCAGTTCACCGTCCCAGCGCTCCCCGAGCCTGACCAGCTGCCATACTGCAAGGCATCGGGCAATAGCGTCGTTCTCACATCCAACATTGCCTCGACGTCCACCAATCCTCAGCACCCCACTCCTGGCGGAGTGCTCGCTCAGCCTCAGAACGGCGGACGCCGCGGTGCCATGCAAGTTTCGAAGCGTGTCGAGGTTCTCAAGCGTAACCTCCCTGCTGCCCGCGGCGGCGCCGTTAAACGATCAGACGCGGCCGCGCGTCAATCTCTTTTGGGGCGGCGCAAGTCGGCCGCGGACCTGCCGCCTTCCTTCTCCTCCAAGCAGTTCCTATCGCAGGCCGAGGTCGTCAAGATGCTCCAAGGCATCCGCAAGCCCACCAATCTCCCAAAGCCGACGTTCGAAGAGCGCCTCGCCAACCGCGAACTCGTAGACGCCGGCCAGAAGCGCAAGGAGCAGGACACAGCGAGCGGATACTGCGAAAACTGCCGTATCAGATACACCGACCTCTCAGTCCACATGGCGTCGCGCAAGCATCGACGCTTTGCGCTCAACGAAGCCAATTTCGCCGAACTAGACAAGATGCTCCACTGCCTCCAGCGCCCGCCAAACCCGATGATCTGCGTGCCCTCGCGCGTCTGCCGCCCCTGTACAGAGCGGCACACACAGGCTGACGAGTGCAGCCGTTGCATGGACGACACGGAGCTCTCCGAGGATGGGTCATCGGAGAGTGACTTCTCCATCCGCGACGGCATGATACACTGGTATCCCTCGCCGTGGGTGGGGTTGTCAAAACAAGTTGGGGATGACGCGACGGCCGAGTGCGAGAGCGAGGGCGAGGAAGATTCGCACAGCGCCGCCACCTGCACACAGCACGAGCACTCCTCCCAGGGATGGGTGGAGGAAGAGGATGTCGAGATGACCGAGGGCGAAGGCGAGGATGGAGGTGAAGACGATGTGCGCGGTCCCACTACTTCATCACAGTTGGTACGCGAGGAAGATGACGAGAGTACCGTGAGCGAATTCAACGGCGAGGGCGCAGAGGTCGTCGGCCACTAGACGGAGCCCTTACAGATGGGGCCCATTTCATTGTGCGCCGCCCCAGGCATGTTGGTCTTCTTGTTAGCATATGCATTGTTAATTTACTCAATAGTGGAGCGGCCGGGCGCAACGAGTGCACGTATTGTATGATGCCAATGACGACCTTCACCAAGAGGGCCTTCGGAAACTGTTACACCTGCCACACCCTCCCACGTCACCTGTGCACGTATATGCATCCCTTGGCCCTATCTACTTCTCGACTCGCACAACGATCCCGCGCCCCAACCTAACCATCTCGGCCACAACCGCCTCCTTATTCAGCGTCACGAGTGCGGCCTCACCATCCGCCGGCGCCCCGTTGAATCCGAGGAACGGCCTAAACGCGCGTGGCACACTGCGCGCCGGGTTCCATAGCAGCCCGACCGCCCGTCCGCCATGCACGTCGTGGAAGACGCGCACCGCGTCGCCGTACGCCCGCTGGATGTCCGCGACGAGGAGCGCGGCAGGGTCGAAGTCGAGCCGGAGCGGGCGCTGGCTCAGATTGCGCAGGGCGCCCGCCCACAGCCCCTCGTCCGGGACGAGGGCCTCGCCCGAGCGCGGGCCTGGTGCGAGGGAGAGCACGGCGTCGTAGTGCTCGAGCGGCGTAGCGAAGAGGGAGGGCACGAAGTCGCCGGCGGCGGAGGCAGAGGCGACTAGACTCAGCGTCGCGTGTGCGAGCGACGCGACGCGGGCCGCGATCAGCGGCCCCACCCGTCCCGTCCAGCGCGTGCCCGTCACATCGGACTCGGTCACGAGCGCCCACGCCACGTGCGCGTCCTTGTCGGCGCTGCGCGCCTTGTGGAAGGCCGCGAGGGCGTCCGCGCGCAGCGCGGCGTCAAAGCGCGGACGGCCGGACGCGCTCGCTGCGTCCCGCGTCACAGCTTGCAGGGGGACGAAGGCGGGGGCGTGCCGCCAGTCCCAGGCGGCGAGGAAGGCGAGGGTACGGAGGAAGCCGGCGGTGGCGGAGGCCGGGGGCGCGAGCGTCCCCGGGTCGAGGTAGGTGCGGGCGACGAGGAGCTCCAGGGCCTCAGGGCGCACGTCGGCGGACGTGAGCATGTGCGCGGCCGCCCAGCGCTTGAGGAGGCGCGTAGCGGTCGAGAAGGACGGGAAGCGGTGGTGCAGCGGCGCGAGCGAGGCGTGGTGCGTCGGCGCGTGCTGGAACCGCGCGGTCCATTTCGCGAGAGCCGGAACGACTAGGCGCCGCGGGGGCCGTGGCACCTGGTCTGGAAGGCCGGGGGGAGGGGGGTCCAGTGCCCACTGGAGGAGGACGGCTTCGCGATCGTGGTGGATCCGCACGCGGAATGTCACGCCTTGAGGCATCAGCACCTCGAGCGAGGCCTGGTCCTCGATGTCGCTCGCGTCGGCGTCAAGCGCGATTGATACCTTGCCTCCACGCAGGCGGCTTTCTGCCACGCGCGCGAGCTTCTCGAACATCGCGAGCTTGAGCTTCTGAATCGCGGCCAGGTCGTCAGGCCACCGTGGAGACGACTCGAACTGCAAGGTCACCTCGGCGACGGGAACATAGCCGAGACACTCGGGGGCGGCGGCGGCACGGCTTGCGTCAATGGGGTGTGGCACGAAGGTTGACGAGTAGCGGAGTAGGTCAGAGGCTGGCGCCACATGCAGCACCGCGAGAGGCAGCTCCGAATCGACCGACTTGAGGAGGTTGTAGAGCGCGTCGTATCCCTCCATCATGGGGCGGAAGCCGAGCGTCTCGCACCTCTCGGTGTTGACCGCGTCGCGCACGCTCTCGGGCACCTGAATGACAGACAGCCATTCCTCGGATGTCGAGATAGGTGTGGTTGACGCGCCAAGATGAAGCTCGAGCAGCCACTGAACAGCGCGGAAGGGGATGAGAGCATAGTCCTCCGGACGCGCGATGGACCAAACGACCGACTCGGCGATCGCACCGTTCTTGAAACGGCGCAACTCAGCGCGCTTGCCCCACAGCTCGCGGAAAGCAGCGCACTCGTCCTCCTTGTCAGAGGCGGGACCCATCTCAAGGTTGCGTGCGGCATGCTCGCTGTTGAGGAGAAGCCCGACGGCAAAGGTGGTTGGCGAGAGGACACGGGTATGGACTAGCCGTGCGCGGTCAGTCAAGCCGCGGCGAATAAGTGCGGCGGCGTGGCGCGCGATGCGGTCGATAGCAACCGGATCTTCGGCAGTCTGGACGGCAATGGAGTCGAGCTTGGCCTCAAACGCGTCAACAATCATGTACTCGTCGAAGGATGCGGGGCCGAGAGTCTGCGAGTTGAGGAAAACATCCGCGAAGTGATCGCCTGTCGAATCCTCGAGCATCGCTAGCGTCTCGCGGGCATAGTGGCGCAACAGCTGCACATCACCCTTCTCCCATCCAGCGAAAACGTTGACCGTGCCCGTTGGGTCGACGAGGATGTCGCTGAAGGCGTTGATAAACTCTGGTCGGGGCACGGCCTGTTCGCCGGCAATGAACACGGGCGTCGCGGCAAAGTCGGTGTTGGCGAGCAACTCCCACACGGCGCGCAGCGCGCCCCACGCGCCAAGCCCCTTGCCGAGGCCGCGTGCGCGCTTGGTCGTGGCGCGAGAGCCCTTGCCTCCGATGTCGGCGCCTTCCACGGCCCAGGTGAGGAGCATGGCAGCAAACCATCCACTAGCACCACGGGCGCGGGCGACGCCGCGGCGAGTTGTCCAAACTCGCCACAAGGCGAGGAACTTGTCAACCGTGCGCTCGCCGCTCATCTTCTGGCTCAATTGGTGAAGGTTGAGAAGGTGGGGCTTCTGGAGCGAGTCGAGGAGGATCGCCGTGCTGCAGACCGGGGTTGGACCGGCGTCTTCGCCCCTCACGAGCGACTTGCTTGGGTAGAGCGTCGCGAGCGGGAACGTGCTGGCCGGGACGGACGCATGAATGCGCACCTCGAGTGCTTGCTTCAGGCCCTGCGGCTTTCCAGCCTCGAGAACGACGATTGGGCGCTGCGCGTCAAGGTTCTCCCAGCGGACAGTGACGCCGGAGAGCGGCCCCTTGGCCTTTTTGATACCTGCGGCGATGACAGCTAGGTAGTGCGCGCGCTTGTGGAAGTAGCGATAGCCGATGCGGTCCTTTGCCGAAAACATGTCCTGCTGTCAGATTTTTCAGCTTCGCAGCTCACCTGTGGCATCGTGACAACAATGTCGATGTTGCCTGCACGTCCCTTGCCCGTCTTGTACCCGCCGCAGACGGCCCACGAGCCGCCGACGACAACCTCGGCGGGCGCAGTGAACCCGAGCGTCCACTTTGGCTCACCCTTGAGGGGCGAGAGCTCGGAGGGGCCGGGGAAGGGGATGGCGCCCTTGCCGAGGCGCGCCTCGGCCTTGCGCGGCGACACGGCGGGGAGCGCGGGGAGGGCGTGGATAAGGTCGTGGACGGCGCCGAGAAGAGTCCTGAGGCTGGCGGCAGGAACGGGCGAGAGCAGCGTCGAGGAAAGCAGCGATTCGAGCTGGAGCGCGAACGTAGTGCCGCCTGTGGATTGGGCGGCGCGCAGCTCGTCAAGCTCAGCCAGCGTCGGGGGCTTGTAGAGCCCGCGAGAGCGCGATGGGCCCGCCGCCGGCGCCTCCTTCTCGTCATGGCCGTTATCTTCGCCGTCGAACTCTTCCACGTCGTCATCTTCTCCGTCAAACACCTCCGCACCTTCCTCATCCATCTCCTCGTCCTCTTCCCCGTCGCTGTCAGACTGCGGGTCGATCATGGGGTCGACGAGGGTCGGCGCAGCGGAGTACGCCTCCTCCTCGTCCTCCGTGTCCACTGGCGATGCCTTGCGCTGGCGTCAGCTATATCACTTGCACAACTCACCTTCTTGTGCGCGGGCGCCTGGCCGAGACTCTTTCGCTTGACCATGATAGTGGATGTTGATGAACCAACGCGGTGGAGGCCAGTTGAGCCATCTTGAAATTTCGCCTGTGTGGCCCCGCAAATTCACGCCTGGCCCAACCTCCACTCCGTCCGTCCGTCCCGACTTTGCACCATCAACCATGGCCAAGCCTGCATCAGAACTAGCACCAGCAGCATCACCAGCACCGGCAATCGCGGAGATGGACGACGCTGCGCCGCCCGCGCCGTACCGTCCCAACCCGAAGGTGGCGGTGGTTGTCGCTGGGGCTGCGGTACGTCCTTCCCCCTTCCCCCTAGCTAACCTCAGCTCGCAGTCACAGTCGGCCTGACGATCCTGGTGATCCCATATGTGCGGCAGGCGGCGAAAATCCAGGCGGCCGAGGCGGCCGAGCACGCACTGAAAGCGTCGGCGCGAGCGACGCGCGCCGAAGCGGGCGAGGTCGAGGCGCCGCTCACGTTCCGCGAGAAGCTGGACGCGCTGAAAAACGCCAAGACCGAGGAAATGGAAGACGAGGGCAGCGAAGCCGAGCCCGCCGAGCCCGTCGAGCCCGTCTCGCCGTGGCTGGGCTTCCAGGCGCTCGGGATCGCGACGGCTATCGTGGGCGCGTCTGCCGGCTTGGGGGTGTGGGGCGCGGCCAAGCTTCTAGGCGTGAACAGCGTGAGTGCTGAGCCTGGCCTGGGCCTGGCCTGGTATGCGACGGCGCTGACGACAGATGGAGGAGTTCGCGGCGCGCATGCGCGGATCGCTCGAGGAGACGTATCCCGAGCTCATCCAGCAGGTGCGGCGGGAGGGGGACGAAGCGCCGGTCGACGCGCCCGACCTGCTTACGCGGCACGGTGAGTTCAACGAGCCCAAGTTCGACGACTGGATCCGGGGGATCGAGGCCGAGGAAGCGGCGGCGGCAGCGGCGGACAAAGCTAGCAAGGCCGGTGCGGATGCCTCAAGTGCGGCGAACTACGGCGCAGTCCCGGTACAGGACAGTCGCGTGCTTGCCGAGCTGGCGGCGCAGCGTGCGCGAGCGCGGCAAGAGACGAGCGACGTGCGTCTAGTCTAGATCCGCCCCGGGTCATGTGCATACCACACCCCACTGCATTCCGCTGCACCAAGCCCGAAATTCGATAATCTCGGGAGATGGAGACGCCATTCCCATCACCGTAGGCCCTCGCCGCTCACAGCTCGCCGCTCGCCGCCGCCGTCGCTGACGGCGGTGGCGAATCATTGCAGACATGGAATGGCATAGCGTGGTATGGTGCATGCTCTTTGGCTTTTGACTTCTGACGGTATGCGTGCGCTGACCTCGCCTCCCTCCTCGCCTCTCCTTCTGCTCATTCCTTCTCCCTTCTTTCTCCCCTCGCTCCTCCTATCTATGATGACCTCGGACCTAGGACCTAGTCGCGCCCGTCCTGGCGTCAGTGACATCCTGCGTGACACCCGCCAACACATACCTGGTGCAGCCGCTTGAGCTCGGCGAAGCTGTATCCGCCCTGGACCTTGTGGTGCTTGCTGGCGGGCTTCTTGTCGTCGGCGGGCGGCTTGTCGCGCTTCGCGGCGGCCTTGTCGCCCCCCGCGCCCGGCTTGTGGATCGGCACACCGAACTGCGTGCTGAACAGCGGGCCGCCAGTGTCCGGCGTCGTGCCCGCCCCGTGGCCTGAAGCCGCGCGGGCAAGAAGGGGGCGGAGGGCTGGGCGGGCGCGGCGGACGAGCGTGAGCATGGTGGTTTGCGTTTGGGAACGAAGGGGGAGGGCGAGGGCGAGGACGAGCGGACGGGGGTGGGCGAGCGGGGGTCTGGGCGTGGGCTTGGGCTTTGGGATGGAGTGGGGGACGGGTTATATATCTCCAGCTTGCCCGCTTCAGAGCTATCCCGCACGCCTTCGACGCATGCCAATATGCGAATATGCCAATATCCAGCTATCCAGCGAGCACGGGCATGCGGCCTATGGCTCGCGGCCCACAGCCCACAAGCCCACAAGCCCACGGCCAACGGCCCGTTGCTGAGCGATCCCGAAGGAACAAGAGTGGAGAGGTACGTCACCAGGGGGAGGCACGGCGGGAGTCAGCTGACGTCTGGTGCCGTCTCCAAAAGGTGGAGCGTGCGTCGCAGAGATAAGACTGATAGACGGTGGCGAATACGGCGCATGCAGTCACCTGCTCTAGCGCAGACGAGGGGACGAGCGGGCCGCTATACCCATAGCCGGAGCCACGTGCCGCGCCACTAGTCAGATCAGCGATCGTGGCTTAATCATGCCGAACGGAAGGGGTGGGAAACACTTGATGAATGATGAGCTTGATGCGCAAGCAATCCAATCAGTCAGCGATCCGTCAGAGCCAGCGCCTGTCGCAAGTAGACGTCATCAGCCTTCGCCGCACCCTTCGCCCGCATCGCGTCGCGTTTCCAATTACTCTTACTCGTGATGCCAAGCTGACGCGTCGGTCACGGCCCCTCCGCGCTACCTCCCTCCGCGCCCATCCCCGCGCGCTCGACATATCGTCACAATGCATAATGGTACACCCCCGCTACTTGCTATCAGCGTCCTCGTCCGCGTTCTCCTCCTTGGCACGCTTGACGTCCTCAGCCTTGACGCCCGCCGCCTCGGCGGCCGCCTCGTTCCGCTTCTCCTCTGGCGACTTCGAGTCGTCAATCTCCTGCTGGACGTTGGCGATGCGGTTGTCAACTGTGTATTGTTAGCATCACTTCAAACCTGGCCAACACTCGACTTACTGAGGTTGTGCAGCGCCAGCACAGTGCGGATGATAAGCCCCAGGTACATCATGACGTTCTGATCGTTGACCTGCACACGGAACGCCTTGCCGAGGTTGACATCTCCGCCGAGCTGCGGCAACAGCCCGACAATCTCCTGCACCTGGTAGATGATCTGGTGGTTGACCGGCAGCTTGTTCTTGCGCACGTCGTTCAGATACTCTGAGATCTCGCCCAAACGGGCGTGCAATCCCCGCAGCGACTCAAGCTGTGACGACACGCGGTTCGACAGAGTCTGCGTCGTGAGGAGCGAGCTTGATGCCGCGCCGCCAGCTGCAGTGACGTCGCGCAACAAGTGCTCGACACCAATCTCCTCAGCTTCTTCGGCTTCAATCGACGTAGACACATGCGTGAACGTCCGCTGGGTCGCAGTCCCGTCATCGCGAATCTCCTCCACCGCAAAGTACGCATCCGTCGGGATACCAGTGTCGCCGCGACCGCCGTGCGCGCGGACATCCACAATCACCATCACGGGGCGAGGGCAGAAGCGCTTGAACAGCTCAGTGATTTCGAGGTCGGATGAGCGCAGACGTGGCCCAGTGTGGTAGAAGCCTATTGGGCGCTCCTTGGCTGCATGTCAGCGCGAGTAGGACACCATCGACTCCAGCTGCTGATGCCTCAGGCAGGCGACGAGCAGCAGCTGGGCAAGACCACCCACCGTTGACCTTCCGGAACATGCCCCACATCTCCTCCACGTAGTCGAGGTCGAGGAAGAATGTCTTGGGATCCTTCTCGTCCTCTTCGAATGGCACCGCGAATCTGGAGTCAGCTTAGGTGGCGCAGCGCGACGCACGAGTTGGCGACATTGATCGTGTTGCCATCGTCCTGGCCTAGCAGCACGCCGAGCACGCGCTTCTTGTTTGACAGGGGCACACGCGAGGCGTGGTCGACCACGGAGAGGAGCACGAGGGGGTGGATAACGCTGGGGTTAGCTGTCCGGCTCTGGGCACTCTAAGCCGCGGCAAGTCGAAGCGACAGCGTTGCAACGTCAGCTGGCACACTCACACATTGGTCGCGGAGAGCTCGTTGACCTGTTGTTAGCGAACGATGCGCCATTGGGAGCTCCAGAACGTACCTGAGCAGTAGTGAGGCCCGGCATTGTGGGCAGGAGGAAGGCGTAGTGTTGTTGTTGGCGATGCACACCGAATTCGAGGTGGACGACCTCTCAACATCACTCAACGCGTCACCGTCGAGGATGCCATGTGCGACCACGTGGTTCTAATGCCGAAACACCGGCCGTAGATTAGCTTTATTCAAATACACACTCAAATACAATTCACAGTGTAATCCTGCACGCTAATGAATACATACGGAGCTGTCTATTGTTGTCACTCCACGCTACACCCAAGGACTCCCAACCTGCTTGGCTTTCATGAACCGACTTAGCACGATGAACGCGCCGCCAACGAGCAGCATACACCCCCCAAACAGCGATGCGGGGAGGTATGTCGGGTACTTGTCAATGAGCGCGGCGATCGCCGGCGCGCCCGCGAGCCAGAACCACGATGTAGTGAAGAAGCACATGCCGAGATACAGTCCCGCCTGGTTGACGTGGGGCGCGAAACTCGCCGCGCCGGGGTTCAAGCTTGCGCCGTACCCGCCGCTCGCGACGCCGTACACGCCGAGATAGATGAGGATGGCGGGGGTGGAGCGCGCGAGCGTCCAGAAAAGCTGGGCGGCGCCGCTGGCGAGCGCGAAGGTCATGAGGACGTTGATGGGGCCTGTGCGGCGCGCAAGGATGAGTGGCAGCGTGCGGCCGAGAAGGGAGACACCGTTCGAGATCGCCGGCGCGTAGTTGGCGATCTCGAGGGGCACGCCGCGCGACGTCGCGTATGTCACGCCGAAGGTGAAGGGCGCATAGACGGAGAGGGCGCAGAGGCAGGCGCCGACGAGATAGACGGAGTAGGCGGGGTTGGCATAGACTGCCGGAGAGAGGAGGGCGAGCTTCTTGCGCGGCGGCTCCGTGGTGGAAAGGGCGAAGAAGCCGATAGTGGTGAAGACCAGGACCATGAGTGCCACTAAAGTCAGGGGGAGGGGTGAGGGGGCGACACTCACACACGCGCATGCTCCACCCGAATCCGATCGCAGGTATCAAATAGTTGAGCATGATGGGGAGGTAGATGCCGGCGACGGCGCTGCCGCACGCCTGCAACCCAAACACGAGGTTGCGGTGTCGTGAGCGCGCAAAGTGGTGGCTGAGCGTCGCGACCGACGGGCTAAACATCGTGCCCATACCGATACCAACGCAGATCCCGTGCGCCAACAGCACCTGGTAGTACTCGCGGCTGATGCTCGCCATAGTGAGGCCGAGGACGTACAGCGCGCCGCCGGCGAACGTGAGGTGTCGGAGGTATCCTGCGTCAAATAGGGGCCCAGAGATACATCCGAGCATGGGGCATAGCGCGGCATTGATCGCCCCGATCCATGAGATGGCCATCGCGCTCTCGTCCGCCAGCAGCTCCGTCTCGTAGTACTGCTGGAAGACGCCGAAGGACTGTGTCATCCCGTCTGCTGTTAGGTTTGCCAGACATAGACGCACAGCATATCATATTGATCGCGACACTGCCAGCTACGTTCAGCCAGCCTTTCCATCCGGGCTCGACGAACTCGGGTTTGCTTTGTGCCGAGACGCACGGCAAGATCTTCTCGTCGAGAGCCTCCGGATCGGGCGTAGGGTTACGGACATAGGGCGCGGCCTCAACGGAGAGGTGGCTCTGGACCGGCGTGAGGGCTAGGTGATGAGGTGGGTCGGCGCCTTTCATCGCGGGGAACGGAGGGAGGATGAGGGGTAGGGGGCAGTCCACAGTAGTGAGGGACTGTGATCACGCCGTGTCGGGGTGGCTGAGCCAAGTCAGTTATGAGTCTTCGATCTGCGAGAGAGAGAAATTGAATCATGCGCACCGCAGACTGAGGAGAGCACATGCTAGTACTAACACCGCCCACGGCTAGCTCCGCCCCCCTCCAATTCTTACTAGAAACTCACCCGTCGGTGCCGACCGGGCCGGACTCCGGAAATTGACCGAACTCAGTTAGGACGCCGCCAGCCGCGGTTGCACTAGTCGGCCGTTGCACTCGGCCTTGCGTTTATGGAGAAGGATGGAGAAGGACGTATGAAGAACAACTGGCACTGCTCGCAGTACGCATGCGGAGGTTGCACCTCACAGCTTGTTTGTCCCGCCGCAAGCCAAGTCCGATGTCCGGGGTCGGTGGACGGATATGCGCGGCCCGGGGATATGATATTTCGGATATGCGCTGGAAGTAGCCGTTGACTCAAGCTGTTTGTGGCATTCAGATGCGCGTTGCGACAGAGAAACGGGTCACCATCGCGGAAAGTACAAGCTCGATATTACAGGGTCAACAGCAAGTACGTACAACTTTGCGAAAACTCGCAGCTGGGCGCATACTACGGAGTCGGGCGCGCCCAGTCGCCAACCAGGTAGCACAGCGGCTCGTCCGCCTCGCGATCCCACGTAGGCGTAGCGACGAACTCGTCAAACTGGGCCGAGCCCCACTCGATTTCCTCCGGAATCCCGGTAAGAGCGCGGTGCACAAGCTCAAGATAGCTGGCGTGCGGCGTGTGGAAGGCCTGGTACACGACGTTGAAGAGGTCAGAGTAGAGCTCACGCGCGAGTGCGACGTGGTCGCGGGCGCTTAGCCAGTGGAGGTACACACTCGCAGGGATCGGGGCGCGGATGTTGGTCTGCATCAGCTTAGGCAAGTTGTTGTCACACCTTGACAAGCAGGCCGGCGTCATGCCGTCCTTCGCCCTTGGGTCCAACCTTGACAGACAGGCTCTTGTCGCTCCACTCGTCCTCGTTCCAGCCCAAGAGGAAGGGCGTAAGCCCGCTCAGCTTCCAGCCGCCACTCTCCATGTTCGCCGCCCAGCGACTGGAGAGCGCTCCACCCGCCTGGTTGGCCGCCGTGGGAATGATGGGAAGCATGGATGCCCACGGGGCGTAGTGGCGGTCCCAGGCGGGGCGGCAGCCCTGGTTTCCGGCGTGTGGGATGAGTTTATGAGCGAGAGGAAGGTCGCGAGTGAGAGGCGGGAGAAGGGCTGGATCGATGAAGAGACTGCACTTAGACTGCTGGTGCTAGGGGGCGAGAGAAAGGTGTCGCACACTCACCCCTCGCGCCGCTTAAAGGCTTCAGCCAGGTACTTGCGACCGGTCTCGACATGCTCAGGCGTGCTCGGTGTGTCGGGGTGGGTGCCCGTCGGTCGGCCGAAAAGAGACAGATAGGCTGCTACATCGGGCTGGCTGCGTGTCAGCGGTTCATTGTGATGTTGCAGCTCCACGTAGGCAACATACTCGGAGTAGTCACGGCGCTCGAGATCGATGAGGCAATCCGCAGTGTGCGTGGCGAAACCGTCAAAGGCGGGACGGGCATGGCGACCAGCGCGGGCGTGGTGACTGTGACGCACGGGCGTGGTGAGACGAGCTGTGATGCGGCGGGGGAGCATGGTAATATGGTAAGCTGGTGAGCGGAGAGGAAGACTAGATTGGCAGCTTTGCAGTTTAACGTCGAGATGGAGAGATCAAGAACGCGAGACCCAAGATAGACATGTAGACAAGAGGCAAGAGGCAAGAGGTAAGGAAGATGCAGAGAGGCGGTTGACACGACATTGAGTGTGATTTAGTGCAGTCAGTGTGAGACAGAACCATGACATGACACGAGGGCGGCCAAAGCAGGCCCAGGCCGGGCGCAAGGATCAGCGGACCAGCGTTTTCGCGTACATGGATCGCATGGAGCGGCCGGAGCAGGAGCGGGGAGCATATGAGCTCATGAGGATCTTCTACAGTGTACATGCATGCTACACTGGCTGTTGTCGAATTGTCGAGAATTGTTATCGCCAGAGGCTGAACTTGATCGCACGCCAGTGGCGACTGCGTCTCTCGTCTTGCCATCCATGCACGTGTGTGAGGGTTGATTGTTGAGCAGCCGATCGCGTCCCGCATCGTCACTGCCACTGGCTTTTGACCGAGATTGGGCCAGTGGCCAGTGGACATGGCCATATGGCCAGTAGTAATCTGTGACCGAGAGGCGGAAGAGGACTTGTGTGGCACGGCCATGGCCCACACGCTGGCCCTGGGTTCGTCGGAGTGACCAAAACCCGCGACCATCGGGTTAGTTGCAAACCAATTCCCACGCCGACCCCAGCTGGCATCCGTCTGACTTCCTGTTTAACTGGTCGACGGTCTCGCCGACCAGTCTGACCATGGCCAACTGGGCATGCCGGGGAACTCGCTCCGAGCCGCAGCTTCCATCCTGCAGCCTGCGGCGCTGCGGCCAGCTTCTATCTGCGAAGCCGAGAAGCACCAGAACAAGTCCGATACGGGAAGTGGGTGATCATGGGATCGCCGGCGCCCGCGCGGCCGCAGGGATCCAGGGATGGGCGCGTGCACAGCCCGCGCAGCCCGGGCATGACATGCAAGTGCCTGTGCGTGCTCGCTTCACAACGACTACTAGCTACAAGAAAGACGAATTGCAAGCTGCGCAATAAATGGGCGGAATGAGCAGGCTCGCATGATCGCAAAAGCACGCGTATGCGGCGTCGACGCGTTGCCGATGGTTAGCGCGCAGAGCCCATTGCCGGCGGGCCGGACCAATGCCCTATGATGGAGCATGGAGTCGTAGGAGGCACGGGGTGTCAAGTCCATCAGGCCACTAGGGAGAGTGTGGGGGGAGGGGGGAGGGGGGAGGGGGGAAAGGGAAGCGCTGATCCCACGATACGTCACCGAACACGGTGGCCCCAGACTGGGCGGGAAGCCAATCTCATTCAAGCTCACCCCGTCAGGCCGTCAGCTGCCAGCCGCCGCGTCTCACGCACCCCTCTCTCATCCCTCTCTCGCTCTCTCGTCTATCCACATCCGCATCCACATCCTCCTCCATTCTCCTCTCAACTCAACTCACTACTCCCCTCTGGATCTCTATCCACTAGGTCTCTCCACTCATCCACTCATCACCGTCACATCCCTCCATAAACATGGTATGTCCATCATCGCCCCGCTGATCCCGCGACCGGCAACCGGCAAGCAGCCGCGCGTCCCTCCTCCTTCTACTCCCTCCACCTTGATACGCGCGTCCTCGTCTCCACTCTACCACGCCCATTGTCTTAGACATCACCTTCCCCTCTTGCCACTGACCCCGCTCACACCAGTCGTCCAACCAGCAGCAGGGTCAGCCCGGCCAGTTCGCCCAGCAGGGCCAGTACGGCGCCGTCACCGGTGGCGGCTTCGGCGGTGCACTCGCCAAGGACCGCGATGGTAACCTCCTCCAGGGAGGCCAGCAGCAGCAGCAGCAGCAGCAGCAGGAGCAGCGCTCGGCATACGAGGGCTACGGCGCCAACGACAGTGAGTGGGCGTTAGCGGGGGTGGCCAATCGGGCCAATCAGGCGCGGCATCCTCCCCGCACTCTCCAGCTTCCAGCGGGGCTCCTTGCTAACGACAGGCTCGGCCAGCGGTGGCTTTGGCCGCAACGCCGGCGGCTCGTCCTTCTCGCGTGCGGTGAGTGACTGAGCGCACCGTCTCAGTTGTGGCGGAATGAACGCGACGTAGCCTGCAGAACCACGGAAGGCTAATGACAAGAACCAGATGGGTGTCGACAGCCAGGGCCCCCAGGGCTCGGAGCAGGACAGCTACAACGACTACGAGAGCGGCGCAAAGACCGGCGCCAGCACCCCCGGTTACCGCAAGGACGGCGAGGATGACAACCTCAACTCGCAGTTCCGTGGCCAGAACCTTGCCTTCTCGGTATGTTGTGGCGCGGCTGAGGTCGAGACAGCGCTGACTTTTGCAGAAGAAGAAGGAGGACGAGGAGCCCGAGATCTAAGGGCAGGCAGCAGTTCTCGGTCAACCGCATGTGCATCGTCATGGCCGCGTGTAATAATAAAGGAGATTGGTCAATGAAGCGAGTCTGAACAATCTGAACATGTTCAATCGGATACGAGCTGGTTGTTATGGTTGTTATGGCCGACTGGCGCGACTGGGAAAGCAGGCGCGCATGTGCGCGGAGATGCACACGCGCATTAGATGAGAAGTGTACGGCGCGAAGGCGTGCAACCTCCCCGATCATTGTGCACCGCCATGGAGCCATGGAGAATGGAGGTGTCTGACATCCGATTGAGTTAGGGTCAAGCGGTGGCGCACATGTTGCGGAGTTCCTGGGCGCTGGGCGTTAACGCGTCTGATTCAAGAGTGCGCTTCTCGCCTTCTGGTTGCTCCGAAGTCAGCTGCTGCTGGAGCTGGGTAGTGAGCTCTCCGAGGTCATAGACTGCAATGTTGTGTTGCTGAGGTGAAGAGACGACGTGCATCACCTTTAGCCATCGTCCAGGCGACGACACTGGTGATCGTGGGCGAGGCCCTGGCCGGCCCACTGGCAGCGGCCAGATGCCAGGCAGCAACCAGGGTCTATTTCAATTCATCTTATCTCTACAACTAAGCGCCCCTTAGGGCCTGGTCGAACGCCGTACGCCGCACCCCCGTCGCAAACTATTCATCAAGACGCGACTTTTGACTGTGCACCTTCACACTCTCCACTCCTTCTCACCACCGACCACTCGTCAGACCACAGCTCCGTCGCGCTCCCCGCCGTTGCAGCCATGGTCGACACGTCGTCCGGACGCCCTCTTCTGGCGGCCTACCACTCTCCTCCAGACTCGCCACCCCGGCCCGCTCATCCTCACCCGCCTTCCTTCCGCAGGCGCACACGCTGGGTTCGACCGCTCATCATCCTCGCTATTCCCCCTCTCCTCCTCTTCCTCTACACCCTCGCACACCCCCTCATACCCTCCCTCCCAGCCCCTCCGAGGATCAGGATTGAGACAGGCGAGCCCATCGACGCGTCCTCCGCTCTCACAGACATTGAGACTGAACCACCTGCGCCCGTAGTGGCCTCGGCTGACGCTTGCGTCTGCGGTGTCACGCCTCGCGGCAAGGCGCTGTGTGATGTCTATCAGAAGGCTGGCTTACGCGCGTCCCGCATCGCCCACAGTACTGGCGCACGGCTCCGTCGCGTACTCGGAAAGGCTCGCGATGGCAACGACATCAAGGCTGGCGTGCTTGGCGGAAGCGGTGAGTTAGATCTCTCTAACGCCCATTCAAATCTCACAGCGCCCCTTTTCCCCTCTCGACGTCCCTTCCCCATGAACTGAAGAACGAACTAACATCAGTGTCGGCTTGTCGTGGTGTCCACCCATCGCCCGAGCATCCGGAGGGCGACCCTGCAGGTCCCGGATGCTACACCACGGTCGTCCACGAGTATCTCAAGGAGACGTTCCCCGACTCGAATGTCCAGATGATCAACGGCGCTCTCGGCGGCATGGACAGCTCGTACTACGCGTTTTGCGGGGTGAGTTCCGCACTGCCGTAACGCTGCAGTGGCTGACGTCAAGACACACCACATTCCAACCGACCTGGACCTGATCGTGCTCGAGTTCGATGTCAATGATGAGCCGTGAGTAACTTTGCTTTCATGCAAAGCTGATGCAGTGATCCGATCTACCAGAAGTTCTTCGATCAGCTCTTGCGCGTACTACTTGAGTTTGAGACGCAGCCGGCAATCGTCATCCTTGGGTCTTGGGCGCCCCAGATCGCGCAGGACGTGGGGTATGCCGACCCCCAGATCGTGCATCTCCCCATCGCACTTTACTACGACATCCCGTACCTCTCACTCAAGCGTGTGATGTTCGACCACTACACGCGCTTCCCTCACTCTACGGCCAAGACCTTCTTCCTGATCGACCAGCTGCACCCCAACGCGCGTGGACACCGCCTGCTCGCAGATCTTCTGATCGCATACCTGGAGTCGGAGCTCTGTATGCTCCACCACTTTGGGCTGCCGGCCGTTCCCTCTCTTGACGAGACAATCGCCACGACCAACCCCGCATCTTCACTCGTGGAAAACGGGTTCCCCCTCCAGATTGACCGAGCTGTGGATTGGTCAACCGTCCCCGACAACTGGGAGATGACCTTTGACACGGAAAAGCTCGCAGCAATCGGTGAGGAGCGCCGCCACTTTGCGCTCCCGCAGACGCCCTACAGCGTCCCGTTCTTCAACACGTTCCAGCCACTGAGCGAGGTGCTTGACCCGTCTGAGCCTGACCCCGAGCGTCCTGACCACATCATGAGCTTCCCTCAGCCCACGCTGTACTGCGCCGACGCCAACGACCCTGAACATCCAATGAACCCGGTTGAGCACGAAGGCTGGGAGGCCTGGGACTGGAAAGGCGAGAAGCACTACTGGATCTCGTCCACTGTCGGGGCGCGCATCCGCGTCAACATCAAGGTGGCCGCTGGACGGTGAGTTCCACCCATGGTAGTGTGAAGCTGACTTCAGTGTGGCCATCTACTACTTCCGCAGTAAAAACTACGACCTCGGCGACGCCAACTGCTGGGTTGACGACAATGAGAGTGGTGCTGTCCGCCTCTCCGGGTATTGGGAGCGGCCATACAACCACGCGACGGTGCACTACATTGACCGCAATGTCACGACAGGCGACCACTATGTAACCTGCGAGGTGGCCAAGGAGACGAGCCACAAGACCAACCCTGACGCCCACCACTTCCGCATCGTCGCCGTTATGGCGACATAGACACTGTACTCCTACCACACAATTCAAGACACTCACCCCGTGCTTGTTAGAAGACTAGAATACATGCATGGTTGTAGCACTACTTTCTCCTTGCCGCCGCACTCAACTGCTCAAGGTCGGCCTCAGTCCCGATCTCAGCTGTTTGTCGCTCTATAGCATCTAGCCTGTCGGCAGACACCTCCTCTCGTCCGCTGGCGAGGGCCTTGCCCACAGCCCAGGAGAGGTACGCCTGGCGACCCGTCTCCCATGCCACGCCTGGCGGGACACCTGGGGCGCGAGGCTGCATCTTGACATCCTCAAGGTTGGAGTGAAGGGTTGAGAGGGCGTCGACCACATCGCCGGCCTTCTCGTCCAGCGGCGCGACTGCTATCAGTGGTCACCTCGGCTTTCAACTTACGGCCAGCATCCACGACGGCATCGCGCACGAACCCGACCTCTTTCCGCCGATGCTCGGCGACCTGCAACCGGCGGTCGAGCACAGCCTCGGCCATCTCCAAACGGTGCCGCACGAGGCGCGCCTGCTCGACCTTGCTGCGCAACGCCTCCAGCCGGGCGGCGAGCACGTCCTCTCCGCCTAGCATCTCCGCGACGAACTCGGCGCGCGCAAAGTCCCTGCCCTTCTGCCACGGCTGCGTAAGCGCTTCCTCGCGTGCGACTCACCAGCACGAGCTGCACGCCGTCGGGCACGCCGAAGGCGTTGCGCAACGCGTACGCGGTGTACTTGTCGAACGCGCGGTCGATGACGTTCTCGAGCAGCGTCTCGAATGCGTGGCTGCCGCGGTCGACCTCGGCGTCGTGCGCGGCGCGGTTGGCCGCGATCGAGCGCGCCCACCCCTCCACGGACGAGACGGTGGGGTAGATTGCCTGCCGCGCGTGTTCCGCAATGTCGGAGAGCACGTGGTACGGCTCAAAGCCCATGAGCTGGGGTTAGCGGGAAATGTGGGAAATGAGGGGACGCACCTCGGCCATGAAAGCTTCTTTATCGTCTTTGGAGAGCGTGGCGGGCGCGCGCGGTGCCGGCTCGTAGTCCCATGTGATAGAGTCCGGGAGGTCGAGCGGCGGCATGTCCAGCGTGTGTTTGGATGAGGAGGCAGCTGGTGGTGATGGTGAAGGAGCGGATTTGGTGGGGAGGTGCGACGCGTGTGACAGCGATTTACGAGACATGGGGAGTCAGGAGTGCGGTGGAGACGTTGTTCTGAGAACTGTGGATGGGTTTGTTTTGATCTTGTCTGGGGAGGATGGTGATTGCTGGTCGTGACCACGTGGTCGCTCAGAAATGACGTGTGGCGGTTGTTGTCGCGCCTCGCCTCCCGCATCATGGCGAGCACAGAGTCGTGTCCGCTCTGCACTTTCCCCGCCTTCCTCCATCATACCTTCCGGCACGCATTTGCTGCACCATGAAGGTTATCAAGCCCGCATGGGTCGAGCACTCGACAGGTGGGCCGCTGCGTGAACACTCTGACCCCAGGCGACAAGCAGACCCGCAGCCCGATCTACTCGATATCGGTGCATCCTGACGGGACGCGCCTCGCGACTGGCGGCCAAGGTGGGTTGGTAAGGAGCCCCGCTGATGTAGATAACAAAGTCAAGATCTGGAACACGCTGCCCATCCTCGACCCCGCGGCGGCCGAGAACGAGCTCAACCACAAGCTGCTCTGCACCATGTCCGCGCACACTGGTGAGTTTGAACGCGGGTGGGCTGACCCCAGGCCCCGTCCTCACTGTGCGGTGGGCGCATCACGGGCGATTTTTGGCGAGCGGGAGCGACGACTCGGTGCTGCTTATTTGGGACATTGACCCCGCGGGCGGCGGCCGCGTCTTCGGCTCGGAGGAGGTCAACGTCGAGAACTGGAAGGCGCTGCGGCGCTTGGTTGGGCACATTGCTGATGTTGTCGACTGCGCGTGGTCGCGCGACGACACGATGCTTGCGTCCGTTGGCCTCGACTCGAAGATTATCATCTGGGACTGCACAAACAACTTTGGTGAGTTGACCGCCGGGTCATAGCTCACGGCCAGAACGGATGATAACCATCGACGCGCACGACACGTTCGTCAAAGGCGTGACGTGGGATCCAGTGGGAAATTTCCTCGCTACACAGGTGAGCTTCGTGGACGAGCAGCAGCTCATCCTAGTCCGATGACAAGACCGTACGCATCTGGAACACGGACACCTGGCAGTGCGTGGAGAAGGTGTCGAAGCCGTTCGAGCTGTCGCCATCATCAACCTTCTTCCGCCGCCTCAGCTGGTCACCTGATGGCGCATTCATTGCCGCGTCCAATGCCATGAATGGCCCAGTCTTCGTCGCGGCAGTCATCGAGCGTGAGGGGTGGCAGTCGGACATCTCGTTCGTTGGCCACGAGAACACTATACAGGTCGCCGCCTTCAACCCACGTCTGTTCTTCCGCATAGGCGACGAGCCAAGCCGCGTCAACGCTTCGTGTATGGTCGCCCTTGGAGCGGACGACTTCTCAGTCTCCATCTGGCGCAATACGATGCATAAGCCATTGACCGTCATCCGCGACATCTTCAACCGGGCGATTCTTGACCTGTGTTGGTGAGCTACTGCGACACGGCTGGACTGACAGCAGGTCCAATGACGGGTTGTCCCTCTATGGCTGCTCGGCCGATGGCACCATCATGGCTGTCTCCTTCCGCATTGAAGAGTTCCCGGAACTAGGCCTTCCAGAGATGACCCAGATGATCTTGGACGAGTACAAGTACAAGCCGGCGCGCAAGCGCAAGGCACTCACCCTCGGCCCATCTTCCAGCTTCGCGGCACCCGCACCGGGGGGCGAGGAAAAGGTCAACATGCTTCAGCCTCGCAAGGGCAAGCCCAAGCCGCGCAAGATCAACTTGCATGGTACAATGGCGGGCGGTGCCGTCGGCGCCAACGGCCGATCATCATCATCTATGAGCATGGGAGGAAGTGGCGGTCGCGCGCCTCTTCAGCGGCCAGAGGACAACATTGGTCGGTCGCCACAACGGCCTGTGCTGCACACTGAGCCACGCGGCGGTGCGCTGGACGCATTTGCTCGCGCTGCCGACGAGCCATTGAGTATGGGCAGCAGTTCTGCCGCTCGGGCGCATATGTTGGAGGGCGCACGCGGGATATTCGACGACCGCGATCGCGACCGCGCGCGCGGGCGTGCGTACGACGACAGGGAGTATCCGCGCGGAGGTGAGAAGCGCAAGGCGAGCATGAGCGGAGACGACGACTATGGGCGACCCACGAAAGGGCGGAGTCTCGGACCATCGCGAGCGTTGCCACCGGTGCAGGAGATTCGTGCGCCCTTGGTCACCATCTCCGGCGGCAGCCTCGGCGGCGGCGTCCAGCCGCTTCCCTTCCCTCGCCCGCAAACCGGCATCCAGACGAACCAGGAAGATGGCAATGGCTCATTCAAGGCGGTGAATGTCGAATCGCCGCAGGGGTACTCTGTCACCTTCTCGCAGGGTGGGAGCGACCTCTGGATGGACTTCCTTCCCTCCCCTGCCATTATCATTGCGGCAACGTCTCAGTTCTGCGCGGTCACATGTCTCGATGGCACTGTGCGCACATACTCGACTGGTGGGAGGCAACTTGACAGCTTTAAGCTTGCCACGCCCGCCACCGACATCGTTGGCAGTGACGGACGGTTGCTAATCCTTGCCGCCGATGGCAATCTTTCTGTAATGTGAGTCAGCTGAATCGAGGACAACAAACTGACGGTAGCGAAGTGAAGAGCCGGCGTCAGTTCATCCCACCGACCTCCGTGCGCCACCTCATCCCGGACGCGGCGGGAGGCGACCAGCAGCCCGTCGAGACATTCCTCCGCCCGAATGGAACACCTGTGTTGGTGACCTCTGAGCCGGCCGCCTGGGCGTTTGACCGCGACATTGGCGTGTGGAGCCAGATTGCGGCATCCTGGTGGTCTGCCAGCCCATTGAACGAAAACGAAGGGCGGACGCGCAACGGGCGATCAGGGCCGAATGGGCCGCTGGCCGAGATTGAGGCCAAGGTCACCGCGATGCGTCGTGACGCCCCGCCTGATCCGAAGCCCAAGTGGTGGAACGAGTCGATGGCGTGCGGGCACTACGAGACGCGCTTGCGGGGTGCGCGTCTGCTCGGCTCCAAGGAGGAGTACCGCCACTGGCTGAAGGAGTACGCAAAGTACCTTGCGGACGAGAGCTTCCGGGAGCGCGCCGAGGACGTGCTTGCCGAGCTGATGGGGCCGATCTTCCAGTGAGTGAGGACGCGGGGCAGGCTGACATCATCAGTGTTGAGGGGCGCTCAGTGGACTGGACGCCGCGCATGATGGGGACACACAAGCACGACTTTGCCAGGGACTTCTTGAGTGTGCTGCGGCACACGCCGGCCATGAAGGGCATGGCTGAGGACAAAGTGCAGCTACTCAAGAGCATCCAGCAGGCGGGCGTGCGGTGGGCGCGCGATGAATAGAATTTATGCTTGTATGTTTCAATCGGGATGTTAATTGTTTGCAGCCTACTGGAAGCCGACATAGGAGAAGTAACACGCACGAGGGATCAGGCCAGAGTTGCGAGAGGAGTGAATTTTGGCGTAGGGGAGAAGCGTCTGACGCAGACAGAGTCGAGAGATTGGGTTTTAGCTACCCGGAGTATAGAAGTCACACAGTCTCGGGTTGATCAGTGGCGCCACGCGTTAGTGATAAAAAGTGATGTCGTGGAGAAGTAGGGGAGGGCCACTGTCAGACGATAGGAATGTCCGCTTTGCGCCAGTCCAGCGTAGATCAACGACACGAGATGCGTTTCTGCCCATGCGGGGAAGCCGAGTGGCGCGAGTGGCCAGCATATCGAATTCACGGTCTGGCAATTGCCACCAGAAAACAAGCCAGGACCAAACTCCCCACTTCGGCTGGGTGTCCTACTTCTGCCCTCGACTGTGTCCGTTCCACCCGTTCACACAGCAATCCACCCCTCCAGCACATGAGCGCAGAGATCCATCTCCATCTCCATGCATAGTACAAGTGCCCAACACGCCAATCGGTCCCTTAGATGGTGGTCTCGTAGGGGCGAGCGGTGAGGGTCTCGGGCGCGTTGTTCTTGATCGAAACGTGGCGCGCCTCACGGGGCTGGGCGGGGAGACGCTTGAGAACGACGGTCTCGCCCTTCTCCTTGGCCTCACGCTTCTTGGCGGCGTTCGACTTGACACGGTCGAGGAACTCCTGGCGGCACTTGGAGTGCTTGACGTGCTCGATGCGGACGTTGACACGCTTCTCCATGTAGCGGCCGTTGACGACCTTGTAGCAAAGGACACCGACGGCGCGGGGGGCAACGTTGAAGACGATGCCGGTCTTGCCGTGGTAGAACTTGTGGGGCATACCCTTCTGGATCGAGGCGTTGCCGACCATGTCGACAATGTCTCCGACCTTGAAGGTCTTCAGGTAGGTCGAGACATTGGGCGCGCCGTGCTCTGCGGGTTAGTTTTGCCTGCTCGCACGCTGAGAGCTCGACGAGCTGGGCGGAGCTGGAGCAGCTGGAGAATCTCGACGGGTTTTGGGATGGCAACAGGAAGGTGGGTCGTGTGGGCGTGAGCTCAAGATTCCGGGAAACCTTCAGCCGCCGCCCACATGCGACTGCACTTGCTTGGAATCGCAGCAAGTGACGCGCGCGCTCATCGTCGCTCGCTTCAGTCCGGCCTTCCCTCTTGTTCGCCGGTCCATCCCAAGAACCTTTCCCAGACTCGCAACTGCCGCCCAACTCTTCACAAGCTCCCATCTCGAGATTCGACGTACGGCGGTGCTTCTGCCTGCACATGTCAGCGCTGTCTGGTCCATGGGTACTCACGAGAACAGGTGACGCGTCCGCGCGCGGGAACCGAAGCTGGACAAGTTAGCATCTTCTCGACATCTCGAGGCCCGGAGGTCTACCCCGCCGCTAGACACAACGGTCGTTAAAGTCGACGCGGGCAGCCCTCCGCGGCGCTCGGATTCGCGAGACCTACGAGTGAGGCATGGTTGGCTACTTTCTGGGTCGTCAGCACGGTGTCGCGGGCTGTGGTCGTCGCTGACAGCGTCGTCGGCACTCACTTTGTTGCTGGATGGAGAGGACGCTGTGGCCGCGAATCGACATGCACTCAGAGACGGAGTGAGCGGGACCAAAATCGGCGTTAAATTTTGGAATGTCGGCGCTAAGAATTTTGATGCCGTGCGCGGAGGCAAAATTGGGCGCCGAATCCGAGGGTCGTTTGGTTGGAAGAATCGCAGGCATCCAACTCATCCCTCAACAACCGCCATGACCGCCGCGCCTCGGTACGTCGACCTCGGACTCGGACGCATCGACATCGGAACGCGCGCGACGCGCACGACGCGAGAGACACCGGCGTGGAAGTTGGGGACGGATAGCTGAGGGCTGGAAGGCTGAGGGACGGGCAACAACGCGGCACGCAGCGGTAGGCGATCGCGTGCACTCAGCCTACTGAGCTGCGTCGCCGTCGTTCTGTGCTGTGTGCCGCTGTGTTCGTGTCGCCGGTTTTGCCCCAGCAAGCCGCAGAAGCTGGGGTGCGCCTGCAAGATTTGCAGGTCGTCCTTGTCTCGAAAGGAGATCTTGAAGAAGGGTGTCTCTCAACCAACGTGTCTGCGATTGTGCGCTCCGATATGCGTCCGACGCTCGCCAGGCAGGTGGCATGCGCAAACATGGCCAGAGATCAGTGTCAAGTTCTGTTGAACTTGTCGCAATTTCTACGCCTAACTCGCGGTGCTTCCAGCCTCTCGACGGAGCCCTAGCTGACAATGCAGTAAGCAGTCGAAGACCTACAAGGTCCCCAAGCGCCCGTACGAGGCCGCCCGTCTCGACGCCGAGCTCAAGGTGAGCCTCCATGTTGCAACTCTCCTAACCCCAGCTCGCCGGCGAGTACGGTCTCCGCAACAAGCGTGAGATCTGGCGCATTCAGCTCACCCTCTCGAAGATCCGTCGTGCGGCTCGTGAGCTCCTTAAGCTCGACGACAAGGACCCCAAGCGTCTCTTCGAGGGCAACGCCCTTATCCGCCGTCTTGTCCGCATCGGTGTGCTTGACGACTCGCGCATGCGTCTCGACTACGTGCTTGCCCTCAAGACCGAGGACTTCCTCGAGCGCCGCCTCCAGACCCAGGTCTTCAAGCTCGGCCTCGCCAAGTCGGTCCACCACGCCCGTGTCCTCATCCGCCAGCGTCACATCCGCGTCGGCAAGCAGGTCGTCAACGTCCCCTCGTTCGTCGTCCGCCTCGACTCGCAGAAGCACATCGACTTCTCGCTGAAGTCGCCCTACGGCGGCGGCCGCCCCGGCCGTGTCCAGCGCAAGCGCGCCAAGGCCGCGGAGGGTGGTGACGGTGAGGACGCCGAGGAGGACGAGGAGTAGGCCTGCCTCCTCTAAAAGACCCCAGCGGTTCGTCTCGGCTCCTTTGTACATTGCGGGGTGGTATATGCAAATACTACCAGACCACTCCAGAGGGCCGTAGAGAGGGTCAACACAGACTAGGGCCATCTGCATTGCTTCCTATATACGTTGGGGGTGGCGGGCTTGGAGGAATGAGGTGCATGGACTGCCATTGAAGGAGAGAGCGTACAACATTATCTACGCGCCATACCGCTGCTGCGCCATCGCCTTCAGCCTGCCATCAGCGTCGCGATTTTCTTGCCTTGCTTACATTGCCATAGTTTCCAGCTCCTTCTCGCGACGCTCAGCAATACGCTCCTCGTGCGCGGCACGCCGTTCGGCAGCTTCCTCGGACTTCCTGTCCGCGCGTTTCGAGGACACCCCGTCCCTAGCACGGAGACTGGCGTAAGCCACACTGAAGGTGGATCAACTCACGCGGCTGCAAAGCTGCTGCCGTCGCCCATGAGCGTGTCATCATCAACCTCGAGGCCAGCAGCAGCGTCCTTCTCTCGCATCTGCTTGTTCTGCTGGTTGGTCGCGCGCTTCTCAGCCTGTCGGCCTTCCTTTCCAGTCTGCCGGGGTGCGAGCTCCTCAACACGCTCAATCACCACCTTGCGCCCAGCGCGACGTTCAGCATTGCGCTCCATGCGCTCGCTCTCAGCCTGCACTTCGCGTGCCATTTGGCGCTCGGCCACGTTTGGGGCACTCGGCCCAACTGACGGCCCGACGAGCTGGGGTCCGGGTGATGGCGAGGCCTCAGGAACAGGTCCTATGTCTTCGTCGCTGTCACCGGCGTCATTGCCTGGCTTAGAATGTGTTGCGCGGTCGACCGACTCACGCGCCCCCGCCAGCTCGACCGAGCTGAAGCGCGAGCTCGCCGTGAACGTCCACTTGCTGTCGTTAGCCAAGCTTCTCATCTGACTCACTAAGCCGTGTTATTAGACGCGCGCATGCTGGTGCTCTCGTGAGGCGCATAACACGCTCTAGGAAGGGCGCCGTCATTCCAGCGCCGGACAAAGCGACGGAAATATTTGTGGGCGTCGGCGGAGGAGAGCTGGTCAAGATACTTGTCGCGCTCCTCCCTGAGCCAGAAGCGGAACTCGCCTGCTTTGAGACTATGGGGTCATCCGGGAGGACACGGCTGGCGTCAGCACCCCGAGCGAGGTGATCAGAGAGTGACAAGGTGGCAAGGACGGTCGCACACAAGGGACGGGGAGAGAAGGAAAACTAAGAACGAGGAAAAGTAAGAACGGGATGGGCGCATAGGAAGCGGAACTAGACGCACAAGTAGTCCTCCTCAGTGATCCGCTCCACGCCGAGATCATCAAGATCCAACAGGTCCTCAGACGACTCGCTCGGCGACCTCTGCTGACGGACTTCTTTCCCCGGGCTACCGCGGCGCGAGCGCTCGCGACTGCGATCCCGGCGATCCCGGCGGTCGCGTCCCTTGTCCTTGCGCTTGCGGTCATTACGGTCTTCGTAGTCGGCCCGGTCGTCCTTGCTAGGCTTCTCGCGCTCGCGCTCGCGCTCGCGGTAGCGAGGACGGTCCTCGTGTCGGTCCCTGTCCTCGCGGTCTCGCCTGTGAGAGCGCTCGCGGCGTCGATCGCTGTCGTCATCGTCGCGAGATCGCCTGCGCTTCCGTGGTGAGCGCGAACGAGAGCGATGCGAAGAGGGCATGATGGCCTGGTGTGTAAGAGAGGAAGCAAACGTGGGTATTGTTGGCGGCACGGAAGTGGAGGTGAGCGATTTACGTCGAAGGTGGAGGTGTGTGGCACCCTCCACAATGATGATCCTTCCTCGGTCGGGTTCACGACGCTTCGTCAATGCCCACTCGCACTAAGAGAACTAAGAGGAATGCGCGCTAACGACAGCAGAGTAGGGCTGACGAGGCTGCTAAAATGATCCATCTGATTCAGGAGGGGCCTCACTCGCCCCGCCCCAAAGGCGAGTGGGAGGTCGACGGGGCACCAACGCACTTGCTCACGACGCTGTCTGCTTCGCAAGTTGATGCTTCTATCATGCGACGAGCGCGAACGCTGAACGCGTGCCCAAACAAATCGCCAGCAAATCGCATCTCGTGATTTACTCGTCTGCAACTCCTGCTTCTCGTCGCCTGCCCACTCACAGACCGCTGGGACCTGAGGGAGTGGCACCGACATCAAGCTGCCGGCTGCCGGTTCGCCAATCGGCTGGAGGCCGTCGGGCTGGACACGAGCTTGGTGGACACGTCGTCGCGAGGCGCGCGATGACTGCCTTGGCGCGCTCCGGCGCATGTAACTCCGCAGTAAGGGCGGCGCTCAGCCACTGACACGCTATCATTGCCGGACCCCTGAGCTGTCTCTGCCTGATCAACGTCCGAATGTGGTCGGTTGCGGGAACACTCTAAACAGCGAGGTGAGGACTGTGCCCCGTCTGATGGTGAAGAGCTGTGCGATTGTACAGAAGAGAGGAGCTCGCGGTTGGCTGACGCCCTAGTGTGCAGTGGGCAATTGGGGCGGAAGCGAAACGAGGATTCCGCCCTTGGGAGCGCACATGCCGCCCCGATAAGTGATATCTCCGCTCAACCGTCACACCTGGGCTGCCAAGGGAATGGCTCCATCTCATTGCTGAGATTGATCGGCGGCGCCAGGCCATTATTATTGCTTACTTCAGGACACGGTGAGGCTTGCGCGGTAGCATCACCGATGCTGCGAGCGAGGATGCGGACCTGACTTGGGCCGCGAACCAGGAGGAGGGTCTGCTGACACTCGACTCTTTGACATTGGGTGGAGACCGAGGTCATCATTGGGGGGTCGACAGACCTGGTGATATGATTTCCCAGACGAGGTTGCCCCGAAACAATGCCAGGACCCCCTGAAGAGTGTGGGAGCAGACAAGGAGGCATGTGCCTGCGGTTAGGCTCCTCGAGCGGCACATTCTCTGCTTATGATCCTCATCCTCTGGTCTGGAGCCTGCTCCAGCTGCTCAAGCACTCTCGAGGCCGAGGTAGTCGCCCAGGGCAAGGGCAGGCATGGGACGGCAAAAGTGCCAGTTTCAGGCTCAGCTGCCCTCCCCCTTGGCAGTCATCAGGCCGATTTTTCCTGGGCCACGGCTGAGTGTGCGTCATTCCATTTGGTTCGTAGTCCAATACGACGACCCCATCACATTGTGTTGCTCTGCCAGCATGCCATCGCCCCACCTGCTCTGCTCCTCTAACCCGTCCTCTTGTCAACTGCCCGACTCTTTGTGACCCCCGTCAAGAGCACCGTGCTCACTATCGTTCTTCTCTTCTTTTCCCACTACCTTTGTTTTGCTTCGGCTGCCCTACTCTCCAGCCTCGACCTCTCCCCTCGAATCAACCCACCATGGCTGGCATCGATCCGGCGACCGGAAAGGTCTCCAAGACCACCGTAAGTATCTGGCTCCCTCATCTTGCCATCTCGATCACAGTACCCCACCCTCTACCCCCTCCTGTCGACCCCCTCATGCCCGTGCTGACTACTTCTCAGCTCAACCTCGGCAACCTGCCTCCCCGCAAGCAGTCCGTGGCACCTGTGGTAAGTCGATCTGCTACCCCGATCAACGCGAGCAGCTCGCTCTTGGTCGTGATCACTGGCTCGTTGGCTTACCTCATAGGCCTTCCCGCGTACGCCGACTCGCGTCAACCCAAGTGAGTACGCGGCTTGGCCGTCGCGCTGGACTGTGCTGACCTTTAGACCAGCCTCCTTGGCCCGCGTTCCGTGGCTACCATGAGTACTCGTTCGCCCACGTGAGTTTCTTCTGAGCGAAGGATGTCAGCCACGTAGATCATGCAGATCAGCTCGCACCCTTCTTTCGTAACTGCGGAGGCACCGACCAGAGTATCGGCTGACGCTATCAGGCCGTCATGGGTGTCCGTCTGCCCACGATCCTCGCCAAGGCCATCCAGGATGTCTACCTTACCATGAACGCAGAGTATGAGGAGGAGCGGATCACCGATCTCCTCAAGTGTGTCGAGCGTATGGAGAAGCTCATGGACGACCTCCAGGGCAACGCTAAGCTCCGCACCATCATTGACGATGGTGCCGGTGACGTTGCGCTTTGGAACAAGGTAAGTTTCTCTGAGACGTACATCATGTCTGACGCGCAGGAAATCTCCAAGTACTTCAAGGGCAAGGACTTCATGAACGCGCCGTGGCTCTTTGCCGAGGCATACAAGTACCGTCGTCTCCGCGAGTGCTTCTCGCTCAGCAAGTTCTGGGTGGAGTACGATGTCTTCTTCCGCCAGAAGGTAAGATACGCCCCACAGAGATTGCTGACCGGAAGTGCGACACCTTCAGCCGTTCGGCAACAGCCGTCTTCGAGCTCGCCTCCCGCTTCGCTGAGCCAACAATCCTTGACATGAACCTCACTCCGGAGGAGAAGCGTACCAAGGACAAGCTTGTGTTCCACGAGCTCGCCCAGAGTGAGTAGATGGTCGGTGGCGTGCAAAAGCGTGCACAGGCCACCCGCAATCTGGTTCCCGTCCGTGCTGACGCCAAGTCTGCCTGTGGGGTAACTCGACTGACCTGTCGCTCCTGATTGACATGACTGAGGACGACATTAAGGCGCTCCAGTCGACTGGTGGTGACCACCTCGCTGCTACCGAGAAGAATATTCTTGGCAACGACCTCAAGGTCCTTGGTGACCTCGTCACAGGCATGAGCGGCGGTCGCATCGACTTCATCCTCGACAACGCCGGTTTCGAGCTCTACACTGACCTCGTCTTCGCTGACTGGCTCATTCAGTCGGGCATCTGCCGCGAGGTGCACTTCCACGGCAAGATTCTCCCCTGGTTCGTCAGTGACGTCCGCCGTCAGGACTGGAACTGGATCCTCAACCAGTGTGTCTACGGCCACCTCTTCCAGTCCGAGGACCAGAAGAACGACGTCAGCGAGGACGACATTGCTCACCTCCGGACCCTCGGCATGCGCTGGAAGCAGTTCGAGCAGGAGGGCAAGTTCCAGTACCACCAGCACCCGTTCTGGTGCACGGGCTTCACCTTCTGGCACCTCCACTCGGAGGCCCCTGATCTCTGGGACACGCTCTGCGAGTCGGACCTCGTCATCTTCAAGGGTGACCTCAACCACCGGTACGTGTGACTACAACGAAGCTTCAGAGACAGCACTGACGTTGCAGCAAGCTCACTTACGACTGCCACGCGCCGCCCTCGACGCCGTTCGCGCAGGCCATCGGCCCCCTCGCCAGCGAGCCTGGCGCGCCGCCCATCTGCTCGCTTCGTACCATCAAGTCAGACGTCGTCGTCGGCCTGCCGGAGGGCGTTGCCGAGCGCCTCGACGAGACTGAGACAGAGAACTGGAAGATCTCGGGCAAGTACGCCGTTGTTCTTCTGTCGCCCGGCGACAGGGGAGTCAAGATCTAAATGACACAAAATCACCAAGGGTTAGGACCGAGTGGTAAAGACTCGGTGTCTGCGGGTTCTGTATCATTACGCGTATGCCAAGCAATGTTTCTTCAGCGCCAGACCTGTGCGACGTGTCGATGTGTGATACTGCAATAGCTGCAATGCAGATGGCAAGATTAGGCCCGATGTCGGACGGACAAGCCCGGACAAAGCCGGCTCCGCCTCCACCAACAGGTCCACCCATTATCCACAGACGTGGTTGGGACGTTGTTGCGTCTGCCCTCTCACCATGAACCGCCTTCCTCAGGCATTGAGAGGCCTCTCTTCGAACCGCTGTCATCCCGTACTCCTCTCCTTTCGGCTCTTGAGCACCACAGCCCCTCGGCGCCGGGAGCGTCGACTCCCGGCGACGTTCTATCGCGGCGGAACGTCTAAGGCGCTTTTGATCAAACGCGATGACCTTCCTCCTCACGGCGCGCAACGCGACGCAATTCTCCTCTCCGCAATGGGCAGCCCAGATCCGAACGGGAGGTGAGCGTGGCGTGGCTAGAGACTCCATACCCTACGTCTTGAAGTCACTGACACCAGGCAATTGGACGGCATGGGCGGTGGGTACTCTTCCGTCTCCAAGGTTGCCATCATCGGGAAGTCAGAGCAGGAAGGATGTGATGTCGACTACGAGTTTGCCCAAGTGCTCGTGGAGAAGGCTGGGGTGGACTACGGGAGCAACTGTGGGAACATGCTTGCTGTGAGGCAGTCACAGGCAAGGTATGCTGACGGCAGGCAGTCGGCCCGTTCGCACTGGAGAACGGTCTCGTTGGCCCACACGACTCTGCGGGACTTAGTCTCGTACGGATCTACAACACGAATACGCGGAAAGTCATCCACGCGCGCTTCCCCGTGTACCCTGGAACGAGTGAGGCCAACCTCGAGGGGGATTTTGCCATAGACGGTGTGAGCGGTACGCACGCGCGTATCACTCTCAACTTCCTCAACCCGGAGGGGTCGCGGACAGGAAAGCTCTTCCCAACCGGCAATGTCACCGACACCCTTGAGTTCGGGGAGAGCCTGCAGGCGACACTAATGGACTGCGGTAACCCGTGTGTCTTTGTGTCCGCCGAAGGTTTCGGGATCAAGCCCACGATCCTGCCCGCCGAGTTCTCAACAGATATGCTGAAGAGGCTGGACGCACTCCGCAATGCGGCGGCCGTGAAGATGGGTCTCGTCAAGAGTCTAGAGGAGGCCGCGGCGAAGAAAGCCGTGCCGAAGGTGTGCATCATGTCCTCAAAGGCAACGCATGTGGTGCTCTCCGGCGCGACCGTGACGGAGGAGCAGGTGGACGTTGTCGTGCGGTGTATGAGCTCGGGGGATCCGCACCGCGCGCTGCCAATCACTGCGTCACTGTGCACTGCGGCCGCGGCGCACGTCCCGGGCACGGTCGTGCACTCGATGCTGCGGGGAGAACGGGTATCGGACGGCATCGTCATTGGACATGCGTCGGGCACCATCGCAGTCGATGCGGATGTTGTCAAGGGTGACGATGGGGAGCTGCACGTCCCCACGGCGAGGGTGTTCCGGACTGCGCGCAAGCTGTTTGAGGGAAACGTGTTCTACCGCGCATAGGAAGTGACATGAGTACACTCCGGCCCGCTGGGATTGTGGCGCCGCATGCATGGAGTTTGGAGGCGAACTGCGCCGTGGCCACGGCTCAAAAGAGCGTGAGAGGTGGTCAAGCCTTTGTCTGGACCCACAGCGACGCCACTCTGTGGTCTTGCAGTGCCGTCTTTCCGGGCCCATATCGCTACAGATGCACTCCTTGCAGAGAGGACGATGCAGCTGTCACACATGCCCTCCGCGCATGTCGGCTCCCTCCGAGGTCGCTAGATGACGCGAATCGGACTTGGTCAGCACCGAAGCCAACTCCATCCGTTGGAAAGCTTCGGTCACCTGCAGCGGACTGGGTTGTGCGACCAGTCCGCGGCTGGGAACATCCGCGCGTGATTACAAGCCACATGTCCGACGCCACGCCGGCAGATGTACAACACCGAAGGCCGGCGCCATGCATGTGACGTGCTGTCAAACGTTATGAGCTCATGGTAGGTGGACGAAGTGGCATCTGCCGAGTCTTGGCGACTGCCGGCGGCTTCGTGGCGCGGTCGGAGGGCATGACGGGCTCGTGCCAACACGCGCACAGGGCGGGTAAAGCGCATGTACCGTTGACACCAACATGGCTGACCTGCAATCCGCAACCTGCCCACCTCACATCAGCTTTGCTGACCCAGGTGGCGGTGGCGCAGTCGGCGACTTGATGGCAGATCCGGGAATAGTGTCCGATATATGCTATCTGCAAGAGAGCCAAGAGTGCGAATGGACTTGGCCGACTGATGTGGGCAGAAGAGTGGGGTGGCGCGGTGGGCAGCAGCGCCAGCGTGCCTCGTCCAGTGATCAAGAAGTGCCGCGGTAGACGGTCCTGTCCGGGGCCGCGACCAAGACGACGTTGGGCGCGGGGCGACATGGGGCTCACTTGCGCTCACAGCTTTGGCGAGTCGATGTAGCGGGGATCGGCATTGACATGCTCCGCAATGGATACTTAACTGCACCGTCGCTTGCCCGTGAGCCCCATCATCTCGCCAACATGCGCCAGAGCCAGGAAAAGCCAGAGGTCGAGCACCGCGAGTCGATTGACGACATCGAGAAGGTCGCGCCGGTCGAGGAGCTGCCGCTCGATCCCAAGATGGACCGGCGGGTCAAGTTGAAGATCGACTTCATCCTCATGCCGGTGCTGTGCTTCATCTATGCCCTCAACTATGTGAGTGTGTTTAGGCGGATAGAGAGCGGGCGGATTAGGCTTCTGGTAAGCCTGTGCCGCTTGCTATGTCACCACAACCTCCCGCTCACACCAGCTCGACAAGACGGCGCTCACGTACGCCTCAGTCATGGGCCTGTTTAAGGATACTGGCATCAATGGGACGCAGTACTCGTGGGTGGCGTCCATCTACTGTGCGTGCATTCCTCGGGATGGCGGATCGTATTCAACGACTCTGACTCCAGACTTTGGCTACCTCGTCGGCGCCTACCCTATGGTAATCGGGCTGCAGCGATTCCCGTCAGCCAAGTTCACCGCCATCAACATTGTGATCTGGGGCGTAGCTGTGGCCTGCACGGCGCTGTGTAAGAACTACGCGGGGCTCCTCGGACTTCGCTTCATGCTTGGCGTCTTCGAGGCCGTCATCTACCCGGCGATCGTCATGATCACAGCCGAGTGGTACAAGCCGCGCGAGCAGGGCACACGCACGGGCGTGTGGGGCTCGATGACGGCGTGGGGTTGCATCCTCGGAGGTGCAGTGGCATACGCGCTCGTGGAGCGGCAGACAGCCGGCACGCTCGCCATCCCAGGCTGGGAGATTGTCTTCATCTGGCTCGGGGCCATGACGGTTTTCTGCGGGGTCGTCTTCTTCTTCTTCGTTCCCGACAGCATTGAGAAAGCGTGGTTCCTCGACGCTGAGGAGAAAGCCGTCGCGCATCGCCGCACCCTCGAGAACAAGCAGCACATCGGCGAACGCGAGTGGAAGTGGTACCAGGTGCGCGAGTGCCTGCGCGACCCCCAGTGTTACCTCCTGCTCTTCGTGACGATTTGCTCGAACATCCCCACGGGCGGTTTGACGAACTTCTTCGCCCTTATCGTGCAAGGGCTCGGCTTTACGCCTGCCGAGACCCTCCTCCTAACGATGGGGAACGCGACACTCGGCATCGCCACGATGGTGCTCATGTTCGCAGGCGACAAGGCGCGCTGCCGCTCCCTCGTGTCCGGCCTCGGGCCGCTCATCTCCATCGCAGGCGCCGCGATGCTCTGGGCGCTGCCGGCCGAAAAGAAGATTGCGCGCCTCATCGGCTTCTTCCTGTGTATCTGGAACTCGATCGCGACGTACATCATCACGTCGTTCATCACGACCAACATCGCTGGCCGCACGAAGAAGTCTGTCATGAGTGGCGCGTACCTCGTCGTCTTCTGCGTCGGAAACCTCATCGGCCCGCAGACGTTCAGGGAGAAGTATGCCCCACGTTACGCCCCGGCGCTGATTACGCACATTGCCCTCACGTCGACGAACGTATGCCTCTTCGTTGTGCTCTTCCTCTACTACCGCAGGGAGAATGCGCGGCGCGACCGCGAGCACGGGCCCGTCGTGCCCGTCAAGAAGGACGAGTGGGTCGATCTGACCGATGTGGAGAACGAGACGGGGTTCCGCTACGTGTATTAGGGGTTGAGAGGGGTGAGGGGTGCGAGGGGGGTGGGTTAGGAGCCTGTAATGATGAGTTGGAGCGCGCGGGGTCCGTACAAGGCAGAGAAGTTGTAGAGTACTAGGCGGCGATGATAAGTGGGGCTGCGTGCGTCAGTAGAGGTCAAAGGGGCAATGGTACTGAAGTCGTCGGAGCGCGGTGTATTCGACACGCGTGACTGCAAGATGTAAACGAGTGAGACCGTCAGCGCCTCTCATGTCAGATCTTGAGATGAACGCACACAAGAGCACAAAATCATTCCTGAGCGTGGCCAACATCTGTGGACGTCCGAACACCGATGTCTTATCTCGGACAAGTCTCGGAGCAAATTCCATCAGAGTTTCGTGTATGTCACCTTTGATGAAGCTCGCTTACCCTGTGAATCACGCCATCAACAACCTGCCTGGCGATTTCGTGGTCGCGGACACGCACATCCTCGCACCACGCGGGGCACACGACTTCAAGACTCCCGTAGGACACACTGGCGTGCCGTTGTCGGCTGCATCAACATTATAGGGAGTCAGAAGACTCAGCGATCAGGTCCGGGGGTGTGGCGGTGGCGTATCACGGGGTGTGTATCTCGTCAGATCACCTGTTCACTGGCGGAGCTGATGACGAGCTCACTCTCGCTTGTGCTGGTGCATGCAGCGTGCGGCAACGGCAGCGGCAGCGGCACCCGCCGGCCCCACGCACACGCGCCCACGCGGGCCACGCGGCTGTACCACGGGGCAAATGGCGACGACGATCGTCATTTGTGTTGTAGCCGTCTCCTCTTGCTCTCATGTGTCTCGCGGTTCGCAAGAGCTAGCGCTCGCCGCTGCCGTCGCGCTGTCATTTAGCGTGCCTCTGCATCAGGGCGGCGGGAGAAAGACCAGGCCGTGCCCGGAGATCTGGGAGACGAAAGATGCGGCGAAGCGCCGACAAGATATAGCGAGGGCAGGGATATTATGGCCCAAAGGGGCAAATGTTGGGGATGGCGTCATGCCGCCTGCGCCTGAGTCAGATGTTGGTGTCTTGCTCCAGAGCGCTCTGCCACAGGAGCGCGAGCATGCATCTAGCGAGGGCTGGAGCGGTCGCGGTGCGATTGCAACGGGGCGGGTCACCGATCAATGAAAGAAAGCATAGATAAACGGGCCTGCCTGCGCCGCAGGACGCCCTCTATACCTCCCTCCAACATGACCGACACGGCGAGAACAACCTTCGAGGAGGACAAGGACAAGGGGTGGCACGATGCGCGCTCGGACGTCGCGCCGCACGCGTACGACATCGCGGTGCTCGCGGACGAGAAGGCGACGCTCCCCGTCGGCACGTTCGACCCGGTGTACGAGGCCAAGGCGCGCGTGCTGAACCGCGCGATCCAAGACATCGGGATGGGGTGGTACCAGTGGCAGCTGTTTGTGGTGGTCGGCTTCGGGTGGGCCGCGGACAACATGTGGCCGATTGTGACGTCGCTGATCCGTAAGCCCGCGTCGGGAGTGGACAGAGCTGACCAGTGCCGCCTGTTGCACGCGAGTTCGGCGTCGCGCGCCCCCCGCTCCTCACGCTCGCGCAGAACATCGGCTTGCTCGCCGGGGCGCTGTTCTGGGGCTTTGGATGCGACCTCTTCGGCCGCAAGTGGGGCTTCAACCTCACGCTGGGCATCACCGCTGTTTTCGGCATGATCTCTGCGTCGTCGCCGACGTTTGCGGCCGTCGGCGTCTTTGCAGCCCTTTGGTCGTTTGGCGTTGGCGGAAACCTCCCCGTCGACTCGGCCGTGTTCCTCGAGTTCCTCCCGCCGAACAAGCAGTGGCTGCTTTCCGTCCTGTCGGTCGACTGGGCACTGGCGCAGGTGCTTGCGGCGGGTGTTGCGTGGCCTGTGAGTCGGTTTTTGCACACTCTCGCTCTGCGACCTGCGTCTGGGGCACTCGGCCGGAGGTCGAGTGCCGTGACCAACGCTGACCCCAGCTCATCGGCACCATGACGTGCGCCGCAGACGAGCCATGCACACGCAAAGCGAACATGGGGTGGCGCTACTTTGTGATCACGATGGGTGCCGTCGCACTGCTCATGTTCGTGTGCCGGTTCTTCTTCTTCACGATCTACGAGAGCCCCAAGTACCTGATGGGCAAGGGGCGGGACGAGGACGCGGTGCGGATTGTGCAAGAAGTCGCGCGGCGGAACGGGACGACGTCGAGCCTCACGCTCGACGACCTAAAGGCGTGCGAGCCGGCCGGCTACGAGGCGCAGACGGACGCGCGTGCGGCGCTCAAGCGCAAGCTCGAGAGCTTGAACGGTGCGCATGTGCGCCAGCTCTTCCGCACGCGCAAGCTCGCCTTCTCCACCGCCCTCCTCATCTGCATCTGGGCGTTCATCGGCCTCGCGTACCCGCTCTACAACGCCTTCCTGCCGTACATACAGGAGAACAACCCGCGCCTCAAGTCCGAGATGGCGAGCCAAACGGACACGACGTACACGACGTACCGGAACATGCTGATTATCGCGTCGCTCGGCGTGCCCGGCGCCATCATCGGCGGGCTGCTCACCGAGACGCGCGCGGGCCGCCGCGGCGTCCTCGGCACCGCGACCGCGCTCGTCGGCGTCTTCCTCTTCGCGTCCACCACCGCAAACAAGGTCAACACCCTCCTCGCCTGGAACTGCATGTACAACTTTTTCTCCGTAAGCTTAAGCACCCCACCCCCCCGCCTCGAAGGCTTGCGGCAGCTCACCCTCCCAGTCCGTCATGTATGCCGTCTTGTACGCGTACACGCCCGAGCTCTTCCCCACCGCGTCTCGCGGCACAGGCAATGCGCTCACCGCGAGCGCGAACCGCATCTTCGGCGTCATGGCGCCCATCATCGGCATGTTTGCAGATCTCTCCACACCCGTCCCGGTGTACGTGTCCGGTGCGCTCTTCATCCTCGCGGGATGCCTCGTTTTTATCCTCCCTTACGAGTCGCGCGGCACGGCCGCGCTGTAGATAGACGGAGTGAACGCGACGCAATCAACAGTCCCGCCTCGCCTCGGCTCGCCTCGCGCCCGGCTCTCTGTACTTGTAGTTTTGATTGGAAAATTGCCGGCGGTGTGCGGGATGGTACTGACGTTCTGACTGAATGACTGACGAATGGCGACTTGGCGACGTGGATTAGCCGTGCACATGTGATGCCAAGACTGGACATGCCGTGGTCAGTGTCGACCGACACCTGAAGGCCCAATCTCATAATCACCCGCCCCAGCCTTGGCATTCCTCAAACGTGTCCTCATCGCACCACTCCATACTCTTACACCTGCGTACAGATGCATGGCCTATAGCGTGAGTACGGCCACAAGAGGGTGATGGCAATGGGACGGGTGCTATTGCATGATATCGGCTGAAAGTGTCCGTGCGTGCTACGAAACATCAGACGGGGCGGGGCTTAGATGAGCATAGCCGCCGCGGCGCCGACAAAGACAAGGATGCCTGCGGCAGTGGTGCGCGTCGCGCTCGACGGCTTTGCAGAGCCGCTGGGCGCCGCCGCCGAGCTGGCGGCGGCAGCGCCAGAGCCCGTCATCGTCGAGCCGGGCGAGTTGCCCGAGCCGCTTGAGACGGGACCGCCGACGAGCTGGCCAGAGATGTACTGGTTGAAGTCGGGGTAGGTCTCGTTGGTCTCGACGTAGGGCGTGGTCCAGTTCATGCCCGAGGCAATGGGGACAATGTACTTGAAGTTTTGCTTGATCTGGGCGTACTGGTCGATCATGTGCTGCATCGTCCTGTTGTTCGACTCGTGGTTGAGGACAATGGCGCCGTGCGTGTTGTACTCGCCGTTCTTGGCCTTGTCAAATACCTTCTGGTAGTTGTTCTTGATCGTCTCGGCCGTCACGTTCTGGGTGCCCTCCTGCCAGTCAAACGTGTCGTCCGACCAGAGAATGTTGGTGAGGTTGAGGAAGCCGGCAATGACGCGGATACGGTTGTCAACGTCACCGTAAGGCGGGCGCCAGCACTTGGGGGTGACGCCGGTGACAGCCTTGATCGCCGCACGGGTGTAGTAGAGCTCGGCAAAGGCCTGCTCGTTGGTGAGCGTCGTCATGGCAGAGTGGGACCAGGTGTGAATGCACATCTCATGTCCATCGTCCTTGGCACGCTTGGCCTGGAGGGGCCAGTTCATGACGTTGGAGCCGATGAAGAACATGGTCGCCAATTGCTTGTTCTCGGCCATGAAGTTGTACAGAGCGTTGTGCGAGCAGTTGGGTCCGTCGTCGTAACCAAAGCCCCAGGTGTTGGGCTCGGGAAGCTGGCGAATGTCTGCGGGGATCGTCTGGTCCTTGGGCTGGGTGCAACGCGAGCGGGTCCACCAGCAGTCGGGGTCGGCGGCGTTGTCGTACTGGTAGCCTGAAAAGTCTCCCATGGTGCCAACCTTGATTGAGACATTGCCGACCTTGCTGGCGAGGGTCTGGTTGAGCTCCTGGAAGAGCGCGGCGGCCTCGTCATCACCGGCGACGAGGGTGGCAGGCGCCCAGTTGGGAGGGAAGTCGTTGATGATGGAGGCGACCGGCTCGTAGTTGTACGGCACGCACTGGGCCGCCACGTCTGTGTGTCAGGCATGTCACGCCCCGCAAAATGACTCACCAAGGGTGGCTGGGTCGTATGCGCGCGTGTAGTGGGGGTTGCCCATGCCGTGGTTGCGGGTACCGATGTGGTGGCCGCTGCAGCCGATGGCGCCTGCGGAGACGGACGTGGCCGCGAGGAGGAGGGAGGCGGCGAACATGACGGGGACAGGGGAGGGGTGGGAGGCTAGGGAATGAGAGTGGGGAGGGCTCTTGCGAGTCCGCGTTGGAGAATGAGGAGGCTACGGGTAGCGTGTGAGCGGCGATGGCGCCGAGAAAGAAAGAGAGGACGAGGATGAGAATGAAGAGGATGTGGAGAAGAGAAACGGCTGTCTCGTGCTCGTCGTCGCGCTGCGTGATGGGGGAAGGTGGGTGGTGGGTGCTCAGGGTTCACAACTTGCAAGGGAAAAAGGTGACATGGGATCAGGGGAGGGGGAAGCAAAACACCGGCCACTCCTCGTGCTTTCAGGGTCCAGATGGGAAGCCAAGCACCCTGGAGCGCCGGAGCAAGGGGGAAATCCTGGAGGAGCGCTCAAAATACTCGGGCTTCCTCACTCGCTCACTCGCTCGTCGTCGCCGCCCGTTCGTCGCCGCCATCGCCGATGCCTTGGCTGACGCTATATTTGTATCGTGTGATGCCGCTCCCGCCCTGACATGTGATGCGGAGCCAAGTGGCCAGGTGGCCACATGGCCTTGCCAGGTAGCGAGCAATGCGATGCGATGAATCGCGCGATGAGATCCGGCGACATTCCAACTACAGTACGCCCGCATCCCGCCGGCAGCTAGCGACGGAGACTGCGCATGCACAGCCCCCGGCCTCGGTACGCTCGGTAGCGCGCTCTATTCCGTCCCCCTCTGTTGCTGGCTTATTGGGAGCGGGGTGATCGGAGCTCGATTGTTGAGATGGGCTAGAGCTGGGCTAGAGGAGCGCGGGCCAGGAACCTGCGACGGGCGTCGTGACGCGTCGACGCGCTCGTCGAGTTGATGATTCAATTCACGGCAGTCGCAGCAGAGCAGCGCTGGGCCTCTGGCCTCTGGGTCTACGTATCTACGTGGGCCGTGGGCTGCCAAAGATGGATCCGCCGGTCTTGGCACGCGCGGACGCGCGGACGTGCACTCCGGCTGGCTCCGGCGGGCGATCAGGAGATCACACCATGCCCAGCACTGGCTGTGCGCGCAGCTTATCGGCGGGACGATGCATTCTGTCCTTACGTTTCTCTTCATCCTCTCATGCCTCCCATCCCATCGTCGGCCGCCTACATGTGGACGGCCGTGACCGCGATACGCGATACATGACAGCGAGCAGACCTGCACGGCTGCATCCGCAGCTCCGCAGCGGTCGCGTGCCGCGTCGATCCGCAGCATGTCCCCCGAGTCTCCTGATCCGCAGCTGCGCGCGACACTCTTCTACGCGACCGCGGTGGACAGTGCACTGACTTTTTCCCAACACTCTCTTGCATCTCTTGCATCTCTTGACCTCTTGTGGCCAAGTGAACTGCCAACGACTGACAACTGACGCCTCCCCATCGGCTAGCATATCCAGTCGCATGCTCCGGGTTTCCATCGGGTGCGTGGGCTGCATGGCTGGGCAGTGCAGTGGCCATGGCCGAGCTGTCAACCCGCTCTACCCGGCGAGGCTGTACAATAGAGCACAGCCAGCCTTGGCGACGAAAGAGGCCGTGACCAGTCGCTCCGCCCTTGCTCGCATCTGCCGCTCACGGCCCTCACACCGGAGAGGACCTCGGACCTGCTGACTCCTCGACCGCAGATCCACCCCCACCCCGTACCAAACACATGCATCCATCCTACTATTCTAATGGCCAAGCCGACAACTACAGCCGCATTACCGCGACTCGAGGGAACCCAGGAAATCCGAGAGCTGGAGTCAGCCAAGTCACCTATTGTGTCCGCGACACTCACCCGCAAAGCCCCCGCGCGGATCTGGTCGCCCAGCTGCTGCACATTCGGGTCGGCCATCACGCGGCTCGCCATGTCGCGCACGTTGCGCTCTACGGCCTGCAGCGTCTCGTTGCCCTCGAGGCCCAGCATGCCGTCGCCGCCGCCGCCGCCGCCGCCGCCGTGGTACTCGTCGTCATCGTCCTCCTCGGGCCGGCCAAAGTAGGCGTTGGACGAGATGGCCGTCGCGCCCTGGAACTGCTGCAGGCGCGTCTGCGCCTCGCTCGACGCCGCCGGGTCATACGTCCCGCGCCCAAAGTACATGTCGCTTGAAATCGCCTTTTGCGTCCCGAAGCGGTCGCGCGCAGTGTGGTTTGTGTCCTCCTCCTCAAACACCGCACGCGACGTGCTTGCCGTCTTGGCAGGCGCCGCCGTCGACGCAACTTGTCCGAAACCGAGCTTGACGGGAGCAGGCTTCTCGTCCTTTGCCATACGGGCCGAGCTGAGTGGCGTCGCAGAACGCGAAGAGTTGATACCTGCAGACAGGTTTTTACGCCTCTCCTCCTCCTCGCGCGCCTTGAGCGCCGCGGCCTCCTCCTCCTCCTTCTTCTTGTCGTACCCCAGCCGCTTGATGCGCTCTTCCTCTTCACGCGCCTTGCGCTCTGCCTCCTCAAAGTTGATCGTGCCCGCCTTCTTAGCTCCCAGCTTGGACGCTCCGAGCTTGGACCCGCCGAGCTTCATTGCCTTGGCTCCGGTGCGGTTAGCGCTGACGGTACGCGACGGGTTTGCCCGCAACGAAGCCGAGCTGACAGTGCGTGGGCCAGTCGATGCCGATGCAGAGGTGGTCGCAGGCGAAGGGGTACGGCCGATAGAGGGCGGAGGGGCGGGAGAAGCGGGCTTGCTAGGCCGCGGCGAGGGCGTCGGTGCCGCCTTGTCCCAGTTGTCAAAGAAGTCGTCGTTCGACTCATTGGCAGGCGTCGACGTCGCCGTCTGCATGGGTGTCAGGTCCAGTCCGTCGATGTGGATGCCATCAGGGTGCTGCCTCGCATCCTCGGCAACGCGGCGCGCCAGTTCCTCCTTGTACAACGATGCGGGACGAGACGTGTACCGCGTACGCGCGTCGCTGTTGCCAGGAGGAAGGAGGTTGGAGCCGCCGTGCTTGGTGAAGAAGTCGGCGAGAGACTGGTTGCCGCCAACCTTTAGCGTACGGAGCTGGTTCAGCTGCCACGAGTCGAGGTTGGTCGAGCTGGTGTAAACGAGAGGAGGAGGGAAGGTGAACGAGCATCATCGGCATACTCCACTTGTGGGCGCACGCCGCACTCGCCGTCATCTCGCCGAGACAACACTCACCGAACAAACGAGATGTGCACGCCGAGGTTACGGTGCACACTGGAGCAGTCGAGGCAGAGGTAGATGCCAAAGGTGACGGATGTCCATGTTGGGTTCTTCGCGAGGCAGTCAAAGCAGGTCTGGCATAAGTGGATGTTAGCGGAGCGGCCGCGGGCGGAGCGCACGGCGGAGCAGGAGATGAGGCGCAGCGCAGCCAGCGGGGGTAAAGGGAAGGGTAAGACGAAGTGCGGCGACAATGCTCGGAGAGCGCGCGCGAATCGGGGGTTCATGGACGGAGGAAGGAGAGCGCAAGAGCTGCCTGCACGAGGACGGAGGCACAACCCACCTTGTTGGCGTTCTGCGCCTTGAGGTGCTTGAAGACCGCGACGGTTTGCTTCTTCGTGGGATCCATGATGCGGCGGCCAGCTGTCGGTTTCGGTGGATAGGACGAGATCAACGAGATGAGAGCGCGCGACGTTGGTGGTCGTCGCCGTGCTCAGGCCACGCCGCGGCGCCAGCACGACGCGATACCCCTCAACCTCCACCGGAATATTCGGCGCATTATCTGTGAATTTTCTCCCGTCACGTGTCGTCTTCCCAGCAAGCAGCGTTCACGAGCATGCACAGGCGAAGACACTGACACAACACTGCGATACCTCCTCTCTGTCCTCGCCGCCTCAATCGCGACAACATGAGACAACATGACATGCGCAACAGTATGGCGGGGTACAATGGCCAAGACAGTGCACGGGATGCACAATGGGAGGCGGTGGTGTAGATTGTAGGCGGGGATAAGGGTATGGTTGGATCTAATGAGAGTGTAGTAGTGAGTGTTCACCAGTCTGGAGTGCGCGAGTAGGAGGCGCGGACGGTCTCGTCCTGCGGCCTGAAGCCGAGTACTTCCAGAACGGTACGGCCGTTGCGCTGGCACAGGATCGCGCATTTGTCGTCGCGGAAGCAGACGCGCCACACGGCCTCGCATGGGCTCGTGAGCTCACGAATGAAAGTGCCAGTGTGAATGTCCCACAGCTTGACGCGCCCGTCGTTGCCGCCGCTCACAATGAAGCGGTCGTCAAATTGGAGGCATGTAACGGAGTTGTCGTGCGCACATAGGCGGTGCACACACGAGTAGTCATTCAGGTCGAAGACGATCACGCGCCCATCTGAGCCACCGGTGATCAGTCGGTCACCGCTGAGCTGGAGCTGGCCTACAAGTGACGTGTGCCCCTGCAGAATCGCAAGGCACTCGCCGCTGCCGGCGTCCCAGACGCGCACGGTTGAGTCTAGGGACCCCGAAACCACGCGCTCGCCGTCAAACGCAACAGCGTAGATTTGGTGGTAGTGGCCCCGGAACACCTGAAGGCATTCGCCAGTGTCAATGTCCCAGAGCTAGAGGTTAGCTTCAGGCCTGCAAAGACTAACTCACTCGGCAAGTGTAGTCGTAACTGCCACTAACGACCTGGTTGCCCGCAACTTCGAGGCATCGGACGCTCTGACTGTGCCCTTCAAGCACACGTAGCATACGTCCGCGGTCAATGTCCCATACGCGCAGTGTGTAGTCGCGCGAACCCGAGATAGCAATCGGCCGGCCGTCCAAAACCTTGAGGCATCGGATGGTAGACGAGTGACCCTGCAACGTCCAGACCGGCTCTCCCGTGAGAATGTCCCAGACGCGGACCTCGCGATCGCAACCACCGGACACGACAAGAGTACGCTTTATGCCGCTCCAGCTGGCGGCGGCACCGCACACGTCGCTCGAGTTGAGACGCTTTGTCGCGCGGCTGTTGCTCGGCGAGCGCTCGCTGCCGTTGGACGACGTCGAGCGGTACACGGGGACGGTGTCGGAAGACAGCTCGGCCGACGCTCGCGTGCCAGTGAACGAGGCCCGGCGAACGCTCTCCTGCCGTTTGAGTGGGACCGCGGTGCGGCTGCGAGCGTGCGGGGACACGAGAACCAGAGCCCAAACACCTTGCTCATGCCCCAGCAGAGACTGCACGTAGTGACCGGTGCCAGCGTCAAAGACGTGAATCTTGGAATTGGCCATGCCTATGACAATGTACTCCTCGTTGACGACGAGTGAAGTAACAACAGAGTCGCCCATGGAACAGTGCATGGTGAGGAGGCGCCCGCCGCTGAGCCAGTTGTTCTCGGTAAGGTAGGCGTCACGGAACTTTTCGCGGTAAGAGCGTGCTTGTGGCGCCGAGCGCTTTGGGAGGGAGCGCTTGCCCCAGGCCGCGGCGCTGTTGCGTGGCGGCCTGGCTCCACGCTCGAGTCGGCTCTGGGTGGTGGTTGCGTAGGCAGCGCTGGGCGGCGGCTGAGGTGTATGAGACGCAGACAGCTTGGGACGGAACAATTGACGCGTGTGCATTTCGCGCCATAACCGTTCGTCTTGGAGAAGGTCGTGCCAATACTTGCAAACGCGCATGGCGGAAGCCAGAGTGCGCGGGTCGTCGATGAAGCTGACGCAGTGCAGGGCTAGTTCGACGGGGAGGTCAGTGAGGAAGTCACGTTTAAGGCGGGGTGATATCTTGCTCGAGACGGCAAGGGCCTCGCTGAGCTGCAGCTCGCCAACAAGGGATGAGAGGAAGGCGAAGCGCTCTGTTTGTGGGAGGCCGCGGAACTGTGTCATGAGGGCGGATGCGACTGTGTGTCAGCACGAGCGGGAAGAATGACGCGGGGGATGGGGGAAGTGGGAGTGGGAGTGGGAAGTAGAGGAGGACTTACGCCTCTTGTCGGCGCTCTCAGGCTCATCGTGGTCCTCGCCTCCTAGTTGGGGGGCGAGCGCGGCATAGGCCCAGCGCTCTGTCGGAGTGGGGCTGGGTGCTGGTGTGGGCGGCGAGAGAGCCTGTGCGGGGATATTAACGGGAGCGGCGGCGGTTTGAGAATGAGAGTGTGAATGGGCGTGGGCGTGGGTGTGGGCATGAGGGTGTGCCGGTGGGTGGGACGACGGGGGCGGTGGGTTGCAGGCTGGCGGGTCGCGTGGTGTGACTGGGAGGGAAGCTGAGGCCGATGGGGGTGAGGGGGGACAGGCGGGCGGGGGCCAGCGGCGGAGCATGGTGGAAGGATTGAGGCTGTGGTGGGTGAGAAGGGGAGATGGCGAGCCACCACAAGCACTGATTAATGAGGAGGAGGAGGAGGAGGAGGATAAGAGGATGAGAGGGAGGAGAGTACTGAAGATGGCGAGTGCGGGAGGATTGGTGGTCAGCTCGGGGGGTGCGAGTGGGGCCGTGTGCGAGGGGAGGGAAGGGAGATCGCGTCTTCGCTGGGCCGCTGGCCGCTGGGTGGCGCCGCTGACCCACTGTAGAGCAAGCGGCTGCAGATCGGCCCTTGCCTCTCAAGCTTGCGGAACCAATTTCTGCGCTGTCGTAATTCTCTCGGCCTCTTCCACACCGACCGAATCTATCCCCATCACTCTAACCAACGTATACACGCCATGCACTGCAAAATGCAAGATGCCAGCCAAGCAGATGAGTTCCATTATGGATACGACTAGAATGGTCTCAGATCCGATCTAAAGAGATGTGACGCTGGCGACTCTCGACGTGAAACGGCCTTGTCCGAGGTCGCCGAGCGCCGAGCGCCGAGCGGGTATATGTCGGAATCTCGCGTGATGTTGCTAGCTTGAAGGCAAAGTGCCACATCACGTGGGTTTCGCGTGGGGGCTCGGAATACTCTGCAATTGGCCGTAATAACCGGAGGTGGATACCCAGAGACTGATGGACGTGCACAGGGTACGCAGGGCGCACAGGGATCGCCTCCTTCCGAGATGCGATCGACGGTTGGTTACGTCAGGCTCCTCCTCTCCTGCTCTGCTCTCCCGGCATTTATCCATTCAACCTTCCCTCGCCAAGTAGTTTCATGCCGCGCCTTGCCACGTCTTCGCGTCTCCCGATCTCCCTCTTAACATCTCGACGTCTCTCTCCTTTTTTTTCTCTCTCTTCTCATCTACTCTTCTCTCTAACATCAACAATGGACTTCCTCAAGCAGGCGCAGGGCTTCATGGGCCAGCAGGGCGGCCAGCAGCAGCACCAGCAGCAGCAGGGTGCCGTCGACCCCAACGTCCAGCAGCAGCAGCAGCAGCAGGGCGGCATGGGCGGCATGGGTGGCATGGGCCAGCAGCAGCCCCAGGCCGGCCAGGCTACCGGCCAGATGGACGCTCTTGGTGAGTTCTCCTTTATCTGTTTCTCTTCGCGGCGTGAATGCTCTCGAGTGATCCGGGGGATGGAGTGTCCACCCCTCCTCCTGGCCTTGCCGGCTCTCGCTCTCCCACTCGCATCGTTTCTCGCCTCCCTGCAAAGCTTGGCATCCCCTCTGGTTGAGCTCAGCGCCTCGCTTTGCTTGTAGCCACCTCCACTTTCCCCTCCACCACCACCTCCACACTTCTTTTCCACATCGTCAACCTCCCCAATCGTTCACATCCCCCGTCCGTAGCCCCATCTTCCGGCTACATCCTCAAGCATGGAACTAACGAAACCAGACAAGGGTGTCGACGCCGTGCTTGGCAAGTTGGGCTACAAGCAGGACACTGCCACCAACGAGCGCATCTCGGACGGTGTCCGCTCGGCCTTCAAGTCGGTGAGTGTGGCGGCGGCGGCGCTGGAGGAGGGAGGTAGAAGACTGACCCTAGGCCACCGGCAAGGACATCCCCATCCAGGACAAGCAGTAAAAGCGTGGTTACACGTAGGGATATGCAGCGGTTCTGGGTCTGTGGGTCTGTGGCTTGGTAGAATCGTTGGGCAGATGTGGATCGAGATATTGAGAGGCTGGACGTCGAGCTATGCGAGCTGGAAGGGTTGTGAGTCCGAGATTAGAGAGCAAAGCCGGGAATAGCACGCCCGCAGCAAGGAGTTCGTGCCACTTGTGATGTTGCAACGGGATGAGTGGACGACTCGATCCAGCTTGCATGTTGGCTGCCGTCAGCCATGAGCCACGAGACACGAGCGCATGGAGCGCAATGATCGCCCCCACTGCATGTTATCTTATCGCAATATTACTCCATCAATGATCGTCCAAGGGCAGGGATGCAGATCATGCAGACAACCAAGCATCTCAACCGCGAGGCCATCCCGCGATGGCTACGTCATGATTGATGATTGAGCGTAACCACGCGCGACGACAGCGCTAGTGCGACAGCGCGACAGCGCGACAACGCGACAACGCGACGCTAGTCTAGCGGGGAGCGCAAGACGCACCCGTCATGCCTCCCAGACCAGAGGCATCGTTACGATCCGCCATCCCCGATCTGGGGTGCTCATCGCGGCTCACTCGATCGCACGTTACATCCCACGCCCACGCCCACGCCCACGGGCTATAAGCTCGACCTCCACGCCTCCAGTCTTCACATCCCCCTCTATCCCATCCTACTCACTTCAATCTCACCATGGATTTCCTCAAGCAGGCTCAGGGCGCTCTCGGCGGTGCTGCCGGCGGCCAGCAGCAGCAGCAGGGTGCCCCCGCCGGTGCCGCCGGTGCCGCCGGTGTTCAGCCCGGCCAGGCTGGCGCCGCGGGCCAGGCTACGGGCCAGCAGGATGCGCTTGGTGAGTCCTCCGTCATCCTTGCTCCCATCCACCACCGCCTCTCCTTCCTCGTCGTACATCTCCCGCTCTCTCGTTCCCCCACCCATCGGTCCTCTCCTGCCTCCGATACCTCTTCCAGCTGCATCCTCAGCATAGAACTAACGGCAAGACAAAGGCGTAGACACGCTCCTCGGCCGCATGGGTCACGCGCAGAACGCGCAGACGACCGAGAAGATCTCGGACGGCGTCCGCTCGGCGTTCAAGTCGGTGCGTACGGCAGGCGCAGGCGGACAAGCGGACAAGCTGACAGCAGGCGACGGGCAAGGACGTGCCGATCCAGGACAAGCAGTAGGACAAGGAGCAGATGTGATGCAAACAAGTTGAGCTGAGCAGTGTAGAGAGTGTATGGCCGTGGCCGTGGCTGTGGTAGCGAACATGAGCGAGCATTTGAGACATCCCCATCCACCCCACGCCCCCCACATCGAGGGACTATGGAGGTGGGAGGTAGGCCCCGAAGGCTATGGTCGCCACGTGGCACCCGCCACACTCGGGAATACTTTTCCCCCGGGTCCTTCCGGCCCCAGCCAGCCAGCCAGCGAGCCAGCACCCCCGCTCAACCCGCCGGCGCGCTCGCTATCCAGACCTCGCTCACCACCACTCCGAACAACAACAGCAAAAATGTCTGCCTGGCGCGAGTTCATGTCGTACGTTGCCGTCGGAGGTGTGCGAGTGTGCGAGTGCTGACGCGTTCTCGACTTTCGCCGCGATTCCCGCCGCGCTGCCCGTCCTGCCCTTCCTGCCCGCCTCTCCGCCTACGATCGCCCGTTCCCCTTCCCCCGTCTCACGCTGCTCGCTCGACCGCTGAATTGTCATCTCTTGCTTGCCATAATCGTCCCCTCGTACGCCCGCCGCTCGCCCGCGTCGCGCCCGCCCATGCCCTAATCACATCCCCAATGCGCTACCACCCGCCACCACCCGCCGACCGAATTACCATCCCAGCTGGAACAAGTACACCCAGATCGCGTCGCGCGCGGTCCGCACCGCGCTGGCCGAGAGCGAACGCGTCGCTGCCGAGAAGCGTGCGGTCGTTGGCGCGTGAGTGGCCGATGCCGCGTGGAGCGAGGCGGCGGCATGGAGGCGGCGGTAGAGATGGAGGCGGCGGAGGCTGTCGAGATGGAGGAGGCTGGGCATGGACGGCTGGCGCGTAGCGAGCTGAGGAGCGGAGATGGACGGCGGGACGGGGACGAGTCCCCGGATCTGCGTCCTTCATTCCCGCCCGGCCCCATCGTCACTTCTCTACCGCGCTCCTTTCCTTCCCCCCTCCCTCCCCTCCTCCCTCCCTCCCTCCTTGCTCCCCTCCGCGTGACTTGGTAACCCGCTAACCCACAGCAAGTACCAGAAGTGGGAGAACGGCCAGCCCTCCGAGTCCGAGTACATCCAGCCCCAGACCAACAAGGACGCCTAAGTGGTAGACAAATGCATGGATCGTAGAGCGGCTCGAGGCACGAGGGGTTGGAGAAGGTGATAGAGCTGAGGCAGTGGCATGGCGTCTGGAGTCAGGATCTCGCGGCGGCGTTGAGCAGTATCTGAAAAGCACAGAAGATGAGATGAGCCGGCTCCAGCTCCAAACGCTTGTGCACAATCCCCTGTTCAATACTAAGGATGCCATACGAAACCTCTACATCTCTACTGCGACCCGCCCAGACCCGAGATCGTTCGCCGCCGCTCTGGACGATGGAAATACGTCGTCTGGCATCAGCACTCTCCCTGACGCAGCTCACCGGGCTCGCGGGCCGCTCGTCCGCCTCGGGCGTCGAATCATCGCCATCCTCGCCGTCGTCGCACCACGCATGGTCGTCCGGGAACGCCATGACCCCCGTTCCCCAATCAAAGCTCATGCCGGGCGAGCGCGCTTGCCCTCCAGTCCCGCCTGCAGGCGTCGTCAGCGCCGAAGCAGATGCGGGCGATGGGTCGCGCCACGGGTTTGCCGTCCAGCTCGTTCCAGCGTTGTTCGTGCTTTCCAAGACGCGCGGTGGCTCATCTCCGCCACCAGAAGGTACGGGGGCGCCCGCGGCCCAACCCTCCGGCACATCGGCAAAGCTGCTCTTCGAGCGCTGAAGCCCCTTGACTTTGCGCCGCAGCGAGAGCACTACGCCGCGCCGCTCCGCAACGCCGTCCCCGAAGCCGCGCGGGCGCGCGGGCGACGGCAGCCATGGGCGTGGGAGGCGCCCGTTCAGCGCAGGGTGCCCGTACCGCCGCCGTCCGGTGTTGAGCACTCCGTCATAGAACATGTTCATCGGCGGTTGGCTGTAGTCTGTCCGCGAGTCGGCGGGCGCGACGTAGAGCGTATCGTCGTTGACCGCGTACCGCCGCAGATTCAGGTGCTGTTGCGAGCGCGGCGCGGGTGGGATGCCCGCCACGTCCTCAGCGCCCTCGCCGTTCTGTACCTCGCAGATGTTGCACAGCGCGGTGTACTTGCTCAGCGGCGTAAAGTCGCGGTTCATAACGTAGCCCCACCAGGAGGTGTAGCCGAACAGCGCGACCATAAAGAGCACGGCTGTCGGCTTCTTGCGCAACGAGAAGAGACCCGTCACGAAGACCTGGAAGAGGAGTAAGCCCCAGATCATCCGCCTGAACGTAATGCTCCATGCTGTGCCGCCAGCCTCGAAAGGCTTGAAGTACACAAAGAGAAGCTTGTATTTGTAGACGAAGTCTGCGTCAGTTATGTGTCTCTTAAGCGCAACTCACAAGCCATGCCAAAGTAGACTGTGGCAAACATGACGACGAGCGGCGACTCGACGCTATACACCATGGCAATTGTGAAGATTAGCAGCGGCGGCGACATGACCCAGCCGTAATTGATCTCGGGCGGGGCGTTGGCCTCGGCAAAGTCACGCGGCGTCTTGGCAGACATGCGCGAGAAACCCAGACTGAAGAGCGGCCCAATGTTGAGGAACTGGAACGGCATCATGCCCAAACCTTGCAGGCAGACGTACGAGACCATGAAGTTGCGGGCGTTAGACGAGCGCAGCGACTCGGCCAGCTTTCTGGGAATCTTGGGTGAGCTTCTATGTCACAAGGTCGCGCTCACTTCTGAGGGGTTGTTCCCCAGATCTAGCTCGAACCACTTTAACCACGTCGTTGCCACCACGAAAATCAGGAGCACCGAGAGGACGAGGAAGAGGTGGTACCTGGTATCAGCTTCGTATCGTATTGCAGATGCCTCACTTGCGTAGGAGCGAGAACTCGACCGCACTCCGCGAGCGGAATCCCTGCATGTAAGACAGCCACTCGAGGAGGAAGGGGATGAGGCTGTTGAACGTTGCCACGAGAATCGACGGCAGGGTAGTCTGGATGAAGGCCTTGATCCGAGCGTCGCTCTTCATCCATCTCCACAGCCACGGCGCGCGTTTCTTGATCAGCTTGTCAGAGAGTAGCGAGGCGAATGCCGCGTTGGTGGGCACTGGGTATCAGCTGAGCTACCACGGTCCTACTCACAAGTCAGGAACAGCAGCACGAGCGTCATTACGCCCATAATCACCACGTCTCTGATTCCAGCTGAGCGACGAGAGATGTTCACGCGGTTCCAGATAATGTCGCGCGGCTCAGGAGCGAGGTTTGTGATAAGCTGCGAGTGCTCGCGGTAGTGCACGACCTGGGCCGCACATTGCGTGTCCTTGATGTCCTCAAAGGTCACAAACGCGACATGCGCGGCCGGAAACTCGCCAGTTTTGCGCAAATGCCGTACTTCCATGTCCGCCTCCTCAAACTTCTTCTCCCAGTAGTCAATCGCGTCGACCTTGGCCCCAAACATGTGAGGCCTGAACATGGGGCGCGGTTTGGAGGTGTGAATGGCACTAAACTCGCGACGCAGCACCTCCGGGTCGAGCTCAGTGCTACCATAGGTGGCGTTGATGTCGCCTGTGCTCTGCACAAGAGGAGTAGTATCGCTCACGCTTGCGTCCTCGGGGCTGGTTTGACGAGGAGCCCCACCGTTGCCAATACGCATGGCCTTGCGGTAGATGTCCGGGGTGTAGCCCTCGGCCTTGGCAGGATTGCCGACCCAGTCGACCCAGGCGCGCTCCAGGCTGCGGAGGGCGTACGTACGCTTGTCCAGTGCAACTCGAATAGGATGCACATGGCGCCCGATATTGACAGACTCGACCTTCCAGCCGCAGCCCTCAAAGTACTCAGCGAGCTGGCGATCACCGCGAAGGTAGGCAGGCACCTGCGTGACGATGACGGTGCGTGAGCTGACCGAGTGGATTAGTCCGAGGTTGAACGCCTGCCGTGCGTTGATGAAGTAGTGGTAGTTGCGGTGGAGAAACCACAGCGTCAGACCGGTGAAGATGTACACAAAGGTGATGTAGACGGTAGTTGGCGGGCGGGGGTCCTTGAGAATATCTTCAAATGAGCGCTTCATATGGGTGCCATTAAGCACCGGCCACGCATCGTTGACGCCCGTCGCGCTTTTGGGATCTTCCACGCCCTAGGGTAAGCTGGACAGAGAAGGAAAGCTCACATCTGGCTCAAGGATGAGGGTAGCAATGACCTCGAAGAAGGACAGCAGCGAGAACAATCCGAAAAGGCAGAATCCCATGAAGAAGAAACCGAGGAGCTGGGGTTAGGGGCGCCTGGGCATGACATACGACAGCGGCATCGAGGCCGACGGTCTGCAGGACGACATAATCGCTAGTCTTGAGCGTCGGAATGATCCAGCCAAAGAGGCGGCGCCATCCGCGCTGCTGTACGTCGGGAACATGAGCGGCTGCAGGGGAGAAGTCTGGCGTCAGCGGTCCGCAGCTGCGTAGCACAGGCAGGACTGACCTTTCAGCTTGGTGCGGGGCATGTACACGAGCGACCATCTTGTGCGGAGAAAGCTGAAGATGATGAAGGAGGTGAGGCCGATACTGAGGGAGAGGTAGAGCTGCGTCTGAAGCCATGGTCCTGGGCGCGTCAGGTTGGTCGAGGGAGTAACATACCGGAGAAGTCGCCGACCTTCTCGTCGCCTCGTCCTTTGGTGAACATGGCGGGTGGGAGGAGGCGCGCAATGGCGATGGCGACGGAGATGTGAATGAGATGAGAGAGAGAGAGAGATGGAGAGAGAGAGATAGAATGAGCGATGAGAAGAGCGATGGAGGAGGAAGGAGGATGAAAGTGACACCTCCACCGATCCACCGACGACATCATTCTGTGCCTAAACAAAGTGAGTGGCAACTGCGGTGGCCGACATCCATCATCCCATCATTTGTCCTTCTTGCCCTCAGACATGTCACAGCATCACGCAGGTCACGAATACAACGACTACAGAACACCAACTTGCCCCAATCCACATCACCTCGTCACCTTTCGCGTCCAGCACTGCATAAAACCCTGCGTAACACAGAGACCAGCTCTGTGCTACCACACAAAACAATGGACTACGAGAAGATATGTAAAAGATGGGGGCAGACCTACGGTATATACTTACCAGGCCTTGGGGCCGACGTTCTCGCTGAACCACTTGGCCGTCTCCTCGTCGCTCGTGTACGAAACGTAGTTGCCGCGGGGGTCGTACTCGCAGACAAGGATCATTGAATTGCCGTACTTGGCGTCAAAGATCTTGCCCGGCTCGCAGACCTTCCATGCGCAGCCAATCTGCGTGGTGCCCTTCCAGACGGCCTGGGTAAAGTGGCCGGTGGTGTTGCTGTAGCCCGGGTTGTTAAAGTCGTACGAGTAAACCTCGTCGGCCCACATCTGGAACTCGGCAGCGAGGTCCCAGTTCGAGCCCGTGCCGGCGGCAAGGTTCTCGCCGGTGCTAGCGCCAGAGTGCGCAAACTGGCACTTCTGAGCGTAATCCGCGGCATAGTCGGCCAGGCCCTGGTTCCAGGTAACGGGACCGGCAGAGTACTGCGCACGCAGGTTGTTGTGCAGGTCGAGGAGCTGCTGCTGGTACGCCTGTGGGCCAGTCTGGGCGGGGTCGGTGAGAGCGGGCTGGGTAAAGGCGGTGCTGGCGGCCGTGCTCGTGGATGAAACGACAGGGGTCTCGGAAGGCGCAGGGGTCTCCGAGGGGGCGGGGGTCTCAGTGGACACGGGGACGGGAGTCTCAGCGGGCGTGGGCGTGGCCTCGTCGGCAGAGCTGGAAGCGGGCTGAGAGCTCTCGACAGGAGCAGGAGACTCGGATGGCGACGAGGAGGGCGACGAGGAGGGCGATGAAGAGGGCGACGAGGAGGGCGACGAGGAAGCGGAAGGAGCGGCCTCGTCAGACGACGACGACGACGAGGGCGAAGGCGTCTCGGGAGCCGGAGCGGGGGTGTCCTCGGGGGTGGGAGTGGGGGTGACAGCCGAGTCGGAGCTCACGCTCGGCGTGGGCTGCTCACCAGCCTGGGTGGGCAATGGCTGGGGCTCGCTGCTACTGTCGTTGACGTTGTCGTTGCCGGCGCTCTGGTTGGGGCGAGGGACGTCGGGAGTGTGCTTGGGCTTGCACTGGCGACGAGGGTGAGAGCGGGCGGTGGCCGGGGCGACGAGGGCCGTGAGGAGGGTGAAAAGGGCGAGAACGCGCATTGTCAGTGGTATAGGTGTTGGGTTGACGAGGTTTGTCGGGAGTGTCGAGTGTCGTAAAGGAGTGTGGAGTATAAGTGAGATGGGACTGTCAAAGCCCTATCGTAGTAGATGAGATGGTGAGAGAGACGAGGAGGATGGAGAAGAGAGATGAGGAGATGATGAAGAGCAGCGCCTGGCTGTTCAAGATGGCGAGAGAGAGAGAGAGTAAGAATGAGAAAGAGAATAAGAGAGGGGGAGTCTGAGCGTTGTTTGCAGGAGTAGCCTTCAGGAGGAGAAGGCCGAACAGGACCAAAACCCTGTTGTTCCTGCGGTCCCGGCATTCCCCCAAGGCGCGTCGTTGGCGCGTGGGATGGCCCTTGCACCCTGAGACATCCCTTACCTGCGAGTTGGAGCATTAACTCTTGAATTCTGGTAAATGTGATAGTCTAGTTTCATTCAGTATTCTTAACCATCCCATGTGATTGTATTCAGGGGGTTGTTATTAGAGGTTGGGCTAATAATTCATCCAACGTTATATGTGACGCGTCTTCTTGGCTCGAGCTGCCTCATCAAGCTCCTTGCATGCGTTGCTTGAGACCGTCCACACCAGAGCTCAGCGGCGCGTCTTGACGCGTTATTACGTGGGTACATACTGTACTGTACAGTACTGTACATGAAGTGATCTCTCCCCGTTCTGTTCTTCCGCGTCAGACGGACCAGACGGCCAGACGGCGTCAGTTGTTCTCATGTTTGAGCCGCGTGAGCTCGCTGAAGACAGTGTGCTGCTGCAAAGGGGCACCCATCGAGTAGTAGTGAGTAGCGTAAGTGACGGGTCTTGTCAGTGAAACAGGCCAAGCCAAGGTGAGTGATGAGTGAACACTGGACAAGCGACTTGGGACGACTGCAGAGGATGAGGAGGCCGGGGGGGGATGTCGTGGATGTGATGATGGACGAGAGAAGAGGAAGAGTGGGGTTACCGAAACGCCCATCCCTTGATCCCAGACCGGCATCAGGAACGAGGTACCACCCAAAAGCCGCATCTCCTTCCGTCACAACTCTTCCCCTGTCTTGTCTCATGTCCCATCTCTTCTGCTTGATAATCTCTTGATCACGACCAACTCCAGATCAATACCCATTCTCCGTCCTCTGTCTCGCTGTCTCAGAGATTCACCTCGCAGCCTCGAAGACTGCAGCGCGCATTCATGTGAAATGCCGTGACTCTTGATGAACACGCCCGGCTGCCCCATCCCCCATGCCCTTGTCCTTACCGCAGGGCGTGGCGCCGACTCCATGCCCTGCATGTCTGCACGTTTGCGCGTTTGAGCGTTTGGGTGCGTCTCATGTTCACCGGGTAGACCACACGCCAGAGGTGCGAACGCACTACCCTCCTCCCTGCCGTCTTGGCGGCCTGGGGTCATGGATCGATGATGGAGCCACGAGCATCGAGCAGCGACAAGCACCTAACATGGCAAGCGCATCGAGTGGAACTCGACACGGATCGTGCCCGTCTGCGTTTGCGCGCACGCCCCGCTCGCCTCGCCCTGCCGCCATCTTCTCAAAGCCAAGACCACCGCATTGCTCTAACGCACATGTGCGCATGACGCTCGGCTCAATTACCCATGTTCTCGGCGTTGCAGCCCCTTCGTCCCATCTTCGCTGCAGGACAGACTCGCTGCCTCGCGCGCCCTCGTCGCCAATTACCCATATTCTTTTCGGGAGCAGAGAATGTGCTTGGACGTCACCTTCTGTCAACACGCACACAGAGCTCTACCGTATAGGCGAGGCGCAGCTCGGGCGGGCGCCAGCCCGAGGCCGTTGTTTGCGTCCCGGTGCGGAGCAATGACATGAGCAGAGCAGCAATCTGCGTGCCGCAGTTTTCGAGCTAATGGGCTAATGAGATACTGATGAGCGCGCTCGGCGACCGGGGGGTGTCACTCTGAAAAATCCCAACTTCCAAGTAACAAGTGACGAGATGAATCCCCTCTGCGCCTCGGCGTGGAGCCTCCGCTGGGCGCCGTACCGCTCCGCCGGTCCCATTCCGCTCCAGAAGAATGGTACCAATTCCGCCGACAGGGCGCCGAGTGCGAGAAGCAGCGCCGGCGCCTGCCAATCCATGCAGGCTTCTCCCGCCCGCCGTCGCCGCCCCGCCGCTCCCTCCCACTTTCCATCAGACCGTGCAAGACATCCTCATCGTCGACGATGTGGCCGCCCGCCTTCTCGTCCATAAGTACCCGCTGCGAGGGTGTCGACCCCCACCCCGCCATGCCTCCGCTCACTTACGTGACCTACCAACCCTCTTTCGAGCCGTTCACGACCGACCGTGCGCCGCCGCCCCGCCCCGCTGAAGCCAGAATACATGTTTCCCGAGGAGGACTCGTGGAGCCTCACGTGTGTGCCTGCGTGCTCTTGGACTAACGCAGCGACCTCGAGAGATTCCAAGTCGACAACCTCGTCTTCGAGGTGCGGACCCCCCTTCGCTTGCGCTGATGCAGGACATCAAAATCGCCGAGAGCATGTACGCCTACACGCCGCCCGCGCGCTGCGCTGACCAGGCTCCACCCGGCCCACGTGCCGGCCAGCCAGCGGTGGTGGTTCTCCGAGTTCCTCCCGCGCGTCGTATATGTGCGTGGCGCGCCGCGGCCGCTGATTCCAGGAGTGGTGTTTCTGGTTCGACCGGTGCGCATGCCTGGGGGAACGCTCACGCAGATCCGTGACGAGCGAAGAGGTCGACGCGCGCATGGGCGCACTCGTGACACACATGCTCGCGCAGTTCCACTACCATATCCTCGATCCGGCGGGGGTGCGGTACAGCGTCGCGGACTTGCTGCAGAGCGTGCGCGCCGTGCGGGATGTAAGTGGCGGTGACGGTGTCGGTGGGCTCACGCCAGCGGCTGCATGTGCAATCGCGCGGGTTGCGGTGGGACGACGAGTGGCCGTAGCTTGTAGTTGTAGGCAAATGGAGATGATGTCGGAACCAAACAAAGAAGAGTAGTCGAGAGCGACTAGGCACGTGACCTCCACCTTGGTGACCTTCTTTCTGCGTCTTGTCTTCATCCACACTCGCATCTCTCGTCTCGCCCACAACTCAACTCATCATGGGCGAAGGGAGTCCCGGCACGCTGCGCCACAAAACTCTTTCAGTCTACTATCCCCTCCTGACCACGCTCGGCGCCCACCTCTCCGCGACCGTCTACAACTCCGATCCCCCCGAATACCGCGCCCTGCTCTCCACGACCATCTGCGCACCCAACGCGCCTGGGCTACCTCCGCCCCCGCCCCCGTCCGGCCCGCTAGAATGGACGCAGCAGGAGGCGATCGACCGCATCGTGCACGAGCTGGTGCGCCTGCGCGGCCCGCGCGGCGACGCGCTCGTCTGGGGCACAAAGGTGTGCCGTCCCCGTCCGCGCTGACGGCAGCCGTGGAGCATGAGCACGCACATCAACCTCTCCCGGCCGGGCGTGGAGGCTGCGTGTGCGCAGACGCCGGCATCCGTGCTCCGCGGTCGGGCGTGGCACATTCTCCGATCCAGGTGACCGGTGGGGTCGCCAGTGCAAGTTGCTGATGCCAGGCTTGGCGACGCGGTGTTCCGCCAGCTCTTCTTCTCCACCAGCTTGTTTCTGCCCCTCGGGAATAACTGTTATATGCAGCTCAGCGGGGCGCCGCTCAGCGAGAAGGCGGAGGGGAAGAAAGCGGGCGAGCAGGGGAAGAAGCGGGCGGCCGCCGAGGCTGAGAATGTCGAGGAGCGCGATGGCGAGACGAAGCGCGCGCGATCGGGGGAAAGGAAGGTGTCGTGAGTCTGGCCAGTGGGAACGAGGGGCAGATCAACCGGACCGAAGGTCTGATCCCAGTCCGGCGAGCCTCGTCCTTCAGCGTCAGCGCATCTTCTACGCGCGACCACACATCGACTCGCGCGGCAAGATCATCCACGGACTCTCTCCGGATCGTGAGCAGTCTGTCGGGATTCGAACTCACCCAGACATTCTCAACAAATTTCGCGGAAAGGCGCCCCCGTCGGACGACAAGTGCGAAGTGTTGCTGCGAACCATTTTCCCGCCGAAGAAGCCGAAGCCGCCGCGCTCCGGTGTGAGATCCGTTGATCCCAAGCTCGGGAAGGCCGACGATCGCGACTCCCCGAAGTTTGGCGAGCCGATTCTGTCGAGGCAGCGACCGAGTCCAGCACGCAGGGCGAGTATGCTCGACGCAATGCGCGAGATCCTGACACGTCACTCGCGTACTGCCTATGGTGGCATCCTGTTGAGGTGTTTGGATCGCACGGTATGTCGAAGCTCGCGAGTTGCGCTAACTAATAGAAGGACGTCAGACTGGTGTGGCAGAGGCTTATTCAGTGCTAAATGTTGCAGTCAAGTCTTGGTTTCGAACGGAGTGACGCTCCACCCGAGCTGGAGCCGGTGCCGCACACTCAAGTGAGTCAGTTGAGGCCACTCCAGCTCACCCCAGGTGTGCCGATATCTGGCTACTGTCCTCCGCTCCGTATTTCCCGCGACGTTTATCGGGTCCCGCAATCTCGAGGTCATTCTTGCCAGTGGGTCTCTAATCGCGGCGCGCTGACTCCACAGACATGCGACGGCTAGTGACGCTCAACCAGAACGAGCTCATCAATGTCCACTCCCTGATGCAAGGTGTGCGCGTGGACGAGCTCACTTGGCTGTGCGTCGAGCACAAGCAGCGAGTACCCATAAGCGAGGCCACGAAGCGCCGAGAGCTGGCTACGCAGTTCATGCACTGGCTCTTTGACAGCTTCCTTATCCCTCTGCTCCAAGTGAGTGATCGCCTATTACGGCAAGCTCATGCTAAAGGCGACGTTTTATGCCACTGAGACGCCGACGACTGGTTACGGGACGGTGTACTTTCACCACGCGGCGTGGGCGAGCGCGAGTACCCCGCACATCGCCAAGCTCGCGGCGACGACTCTGGAGGAGCTTGATTCGGTACGCAGTGCCTTGCGTTCCCGCTTACCGTGCAGGAGGCGGCCCAGGAAGCTGTTTACAGTCAACTTGGCGCGGCTTCCGTGCGCTTTATTCCTAAACCTAACGGTCGCTTTCGACCGATCATCAACTTGGGCAAGCGAGCTGTCCGTCGAGTGTATGCTCAACTGACTTTTTAGAGCGGTGGCAAACGGGGCTTGGGTGGTTCTGCGTCCGTGAACGAGGTGCTCAAGACCGTCCAGCAGGTCCTGACCTTTGAGATGGTACGTCCTCTGCCGGACACTCTGACAGCAGCACCGTCAGCGTGACGAGCTCGGTGCTGTTCTTTTCGGGACCAACGAGATCTTCCCTTTCCTACAGAGTCTGAAGAAGGAGCTCATTGACGAGCGAGGCCGACTGTGAGCGGGGCAAGCGGCAGAACTGATCCCAGGCCCAGGCTCTACTTTGCCAAGATGGACATGCAATCCGCCTTCGATACGGTTAAGCAGGACAAGATGCTAGAAGTCATGAGGTGTATTCTTGAGAAGGTGGGCGGCGATGGGACGACGTATGGCTGACCGAAGAACCACGAGTATGCCCTGGCCGTCCATTGTATTCTGTTGCCGCCTGCAAGTAAGGCGTCTCAGGGAATACCGCGCAAGCTGTACAAGACACGGGCGTCTATTACGCGTGCGTGCCGGCTTCGCTGCATGTGCTGATGTATTAGAGGACGCACAGTCGGGATATGGGCACCAAGCGAGGGTTCTGGCGGAGAGCTTGCGCAACGCCGTCATCGCAGACCTGCTGCGTCCACGGGACGTCACCCGCGCCGAGGTCATGGATCTTCTTCGCTCACACGTGAAGAATAACCTGTGGCAGTATGACGGCAAGCTCTATCGGCAGAAGGTCGGCATCCCGCAGGGCTCCTGCGTGAGCAGCTTGCTCTGCAGCTTTTTCTACTCGTGGCTTGCGTCCGACTACTTGTCGTGGACACGGCGGAGAGGGACGGTGAGGTCCTCATGGGGAGACGTCCGCTGAGTTTAGCGTCTCTTGCGATATATTGACGACTTTCTTCTCGTGACTGACGATTACCACGTAGCGCGGCGGTTCGTCAATACCATGTCGCGCGGGTTCCCAGAGTACGGTGCGCATGTCGCGCCGTCTAAGACGGTCCTGTCGTTTGAGTTGGCGTATGGAGGCCAGGCGCTGCCTGTGATTGCTGCGCGGGGCGATGGGCGGACCTGTGAGGTTGGCATTTGTTTGCGAACTAATGCCAGACATGCCCTTTTGTGGCTTCCTCATTGACACGAAGATGCTCGATTTCTCCATCGATCCGGACCGCATGCTTGCAGCGCGTAAGTAGCTGTCCGTCAAGTTCACAGCTGACGCAAAGCCATCCGACAGTCATTTGCGCTACGCAAGGTGCGCGAGCCAGGCGCCTTCTTCGTCGGTTGGCTCAGCCGGTAGGTCGCTGCGACCGTGGCGGTGGTTGACGTGCAGACAACTACAGAACCGAAACCAGGTGGCCTACGTAAGACCCTCGCCGCCTCAGCTAATGACAGGTTGACACGCACCACAACTCGCTCCCAACAGTCTACTTGAACGTGTTTGTCAACTTTGCCCTGAACGCTATGAAGATCCCACACTATTTCACGTGTGACATGAACGCGCGGCGCTCAGCCCTGGTATTCGGCTGGCTGCTCATGGCGGGCGAGTACACGTACACGGCCGGCCAGGCGCGGGTGCACCACGCCGCGCGGCACGACAGTGCCGAGCACTATGCGCTTCGTCGGAGCGCTTTCATGTTGTGGGTAGGAGAAACGGGGGAGGTTGTTGACATCAGCGTGGCGCTCAGCGCGTATCGCCTCGTGCTCACGCGCAAGGCGTCGCGATTCCACCGCGTTGTGGACTTGCTCGTGCGCGAGCTCGGGAAGTACCGCGGCGAAGCGGGGCTGGAGGGGGTCGTGAGGCGAGGCTGGGCAATTGTCAAGGACGCGAGGTATTAGAGTGCACATGTAGCCATATTCTGTACTCGTTCTGTGCCGTGAACGTATCACCGCGCTTCCGATGCCGCATTCCACGCGTCGGAAACCAACAAGTCATTTCCGCCCAATGAGGCGTGCCTGAAGCGGTGCACCGAATGCGCCACGCCACCGCCTCGTGCAAGTCCAAGCGCTAGCTGCGCATGGGGATATAACAAACGCGGCGTGCCATTCACCGCGCGCACATCACTCACTCGCTCATACATTCACCACTCTCCCGTTCCCTCGCCTTATCCTCGTTCCGCCTCATCCTCGCTCCCCGCTCCGCCCACCCTGCTACGCCATGTGCCCCCCAACAACCGTGATCATCACCGCGCCCCAGCTCGGCCTGGCGTGCACGCAGCTCATGCTCCGCCATCCGCGGCATCACGCGGTGCCCTATTCTGTGCGTTCGGCAGGGGCCTGCGAAATGAGTGGCTGGCAGGGGGGACGGAGACTGGAGACCGGAGGTCTGGACAGCGACCTAACCCCAGACACTGTACGACGTCGCGGCCTCCCACTTCGTCCCGGGCGCCTTCGAGATGCACCTCCTCTCGGAATGGACGGCGCGGTGCGACCTCTACACGCCGTGCAGCGCGCCACTGGATCCAGGCATGGACCACGACGCGTGGGTCGCCGTGCTCGAGAAGCTTGTGCGCGGCGACGCGCTCGTCGTGTGGTACCCCCGGTGGAGCGGGCGGTGGCCTGGCGCGTGGGAGGTGTGGCGGGTGCGGATCGCGGGGCGCGTCGCGCGGCTGCCGCTTGCTGAGCGGGGAATGCGAGTAGGCGCTTGGATCGGCGCGCTGCTCTTCGCGCTGTGGGTGTGGGTTGTGCGACTGACTCCGAGGGGGTACGAGCCTGTGCGCGACGTCGAAACGGGTGAGAAGTGAGTTGGAAGTCCGGGGTCAGTACGCTCGTCCTGCCATGCCATGTTGTGCCATCATCTACTAGTCCGTGTCCATCTTGTCGTCCTTCGGCTCGGTCTTGACGTCGCGCAGCGCGGCGAGGAACGAGCGGAGGTTCCACGCGCCCCCGCCGCCCTGGACCCACGGCATCATCGAGTCGGGGAGGGTGCCGTTGCGCAGCGCCATCTCGAGGTCGTTGACGGCCGCGCGGAACTGCGGCGTGCCCACGACGCGCTGGAGCCCGCTCGCGCTCCCCACCGCCTCGCCGCCGGGCAGCGACAGGTCGGGCGGCATATGCTGCGCCATCTGCGCCGCGAGCTCGGGCTTCTCGGCCAACAGGCGAGCGACCGTCTCAGGCGTTAGGATGTCGCTGAGCGACGCCTCCTCGCCGTCCGGGATAGGCAGGTTGTTCTCCGCCCACTGGAAGAGGAGGCGCGCCACGTCGCTTTCCTTCGGCCCTGCGGGCGCAGCGGCCGCAGAGGAGGAGGACGACTCGGCGGGCGCCGCGGCGGAGGTGCTCGCTTCAGGAGGCGCCACAGCGGCGGCGGGCGCATCGGGCTGGATGCGGTGCGCCTCGTTGAGCGGAGCAGAGCCAGGACTGGGTAAGCAGCGTGACAGGGGGGTGACGTACATGTACTCGGGGTCCTTCAGAATCTCGTCAATGTCGGTGGTAGCACGGTGGTCCTCTTCGGCGAGCGTGCCGCGCTGCAGCCAGAACTGGGGTTAGTGGGTGGGGGAGGGAAGGGAGTCCAAAGACACACGCACAAAGTGCACCTGGTTCGAGCTGCTGAACTTGAGCACGAACGAGCGGCCGGTCCGGTCCTGGCGTCAGCTGGTCCGCGGCTCTACGAACCGCAGCCACGCGCTCGAACGACGCCTCGCCCGGGAAGATGAGGAGCTCGTCCTCTGCGCGCTTTGTGGCGGCGTTGCGCCAGGCTGCGTCAGCTCTGTCGGGCGGGCGGCGTACTGAAGTTGACGATGCCCTGGTCTATCGAGACTTCGATGACACCCTTCTCGGGTTGCGGGTCGACCCACTTTGCGGCGTCGGAGCGGCGGAGCGAGCGGCCGGCAGGTACGGCGACGAGGAGGGACATTGGGTTTGGTGGTGGTGCTGACTGGAGATAGTGGAGGAAGTCGAGGATAGGATGGTGGACGTCAGCGTTGCGTCACGTGCCTTGCACGTGGCGGAGCGAGTGACCCAACCGTGGTCCAAACATCCAAGGTCGCGACGTCGCCAGCCCAGACCCACCCACGCTGCACGCTGCCTCGTACAACTGCATCGCCAGTACAATTATGTATGCTCCTACGCTAAACGCTCACACGCACACACGCACACACGCATGCGCACACGCACACGCACGCATTACGATCCAGCCGCAACACCTTATGTGATGGTGATAATCTCGCCGTGCGCATCGCGCAGCACGACCAGGTCGCACGGAATCGTCTCCCCCGTGTCCATGTACGTGAGCAGCGTAGGATCCAGCGGGTCGACCTTGATGACCATCTTCTCGACCCACTGCCGGCCCAGCACGACGTCAAAGTGCTGCTCCTCGCTCAGCATGACGTTGTGGACTGCCGTCCGGCTCCCGACTGTGATGGGCACATTGCCGAGGATCTTGAGCCCCGTGTATCCGCCCATACCTGGGCCGTGCTTCTTGGACAACAGGCCGTGGCGGACGGCGAACGCGCGTGAGAGGTAGATGTTGCGGTACCCCGCCTTCAGGAGCATGCGGACGTTGTCTACATTGCCGACCTTGCCCACAACGGTGCGCACCCCATTGTTGGCGTGGAATTCCTCAAACTGGCGTCGCTTGACGTCGCCCAGTGGCTCTGCGTTGTCATCCCCCCACTTTGACCGCCGAGAAGTGGTGGAGCGCATGGAGCGCACGCTGCGGGCGCCGGGAGTGCGTGAGCGGTTCTTCTCTGCGTTTGGAATACACAAAGTCGTCGTTGCCACCACACCATCATTTGCCAATTGCCGAGCGGACTGAGAGCGCGCCACAGATCCAGCAACGGACCCGGCGTGTGAGGTTCGGCGGTCCTGCCCTCCGGCCTTGACCCTGTTCGGGGTGCGGTACGCGGGCGGCGGGACCAGACCGTTCGAAGTCATGGGGTCGGGAGAAGAGGGCTGTACGACATGCAACGTGATGCTCGGAGTAGGGTTGTTTTCGGCGTCAGAGCGGAAACGCGCGGTTACGATGGCGAGGTCGTCGTCTGGTGTGAGCGGGTTGTGGCGGGGCAGGTCTCCTCCTTCCTCCATCGCCCTCTACCGCTCTGCGCCCTACGCTCGCCTAACTCCCTCCCATCCCTCCTCTATCCCTTCATCGCTCCCATCCTCTTGTATCACTCCCTCCTTGCCATCTCGCCCTCCTCACCTCCACCCTCCCCTAGCCAACTCACCATCCTCCAGCGCCCACCGGTCGCCCTCGAACTCGTAGACAACCCCCGCGCCCTCCTCGCGGCGCCGCACCGCCTCCGCATCACGTGCCGACAACCGCGCCTTGGCCACGATGCGCTCGATGAGCGCAGCACAATCCTCGTTCTCTGCTCATCAGCTCCGTCAGCGGCGGGACGCACCCTTCGCGGCCAGCGCGAACGTCTTGGACGGCGCGTGGACGTTGTAGATGAACATGGGTGAAGGTGAGGGTGAGGTGAAGGCGAGGAGAATGGAGAGTCGGAGGCGGAAGAAGAGGGGTGGAGATGAAAGTGGATGGATGGATGAAAGATGAAAGATGAACGATGGATGAAAGATGGACTGGAGCAGGTGGAGGAAGAAGGTGGAGAAGCGAAATGAAACGACTAGGATGGACGGGCGATGGAATGCGGCAACAATGTCCTTTCCGGTCTCAGGGTTGGCCGGCCCACGAGGCCACCCTCTTCCGCTGCCGTTGCCGCAGTCGCTCATCGCCTCGCATCCTCCCACCGCGTCCAGCTCCGCGCTCGCCATCATGCATGCAGCACTCATCATCCACATCTCCACATCTGTACGAGACGCACGTGTCTCTGTCTGCTCCCTGCTCACCCCGAGTCTACACACTGCACCCGATCGCCTTCCCCTGCACGCTGCCCTGTCGGGGTTGGCGTGGAGCCAAATTATCCGGTACAGCCGACGCGTCAACAATGACATCACATCACATGTGCAAGCCAGGGTGACGTAACTCGTACTCTGTACACAAATGTCCGGCAGTGTACGTAGTGTCCAGCGTCCAACTACGGCTCTTTTAACCTATAATAATGCGCGTCCTTATCGCCCCCCACTAACGCTTCAGTAGCGGCTGCGTCGCGTCAAAGTCTCGTAATCCACGCGATTGCGCCACGCTCGTGACCATCTGCTCGTGGTTCATCGAACGCCGGTGCTCATTCACATCCACCCAGCTGCGCGGGCGGTCAGACACGCCGCCGGCGCCTTGCGCGTGTCGCGGGCCCGGTACGAGCGTCCGCATCGTAACGGGCGTCCCGATGGTCACAAACTCTGCGACGTCGTCGTTGTATCGCGGTGGTGGGCCGGAAATGGCGGGCTCAGCCACCTGGACCAGACTCGAAGGACGCGAGAGGCGGTCGAGCGACGCCTGCGAGCGCGAGCGCGGCACCAGCACTGGTGAGTTTGGCGCGCTTGTGCGCGAGCTCGGGCGCATGACGGGTGAGTTGGGCTCAGAAAATCCGTCCGTGTAGCGCGTGGGGAAGGTCGATGCGATACCGGCACCATATGGCGCGTACGGGTCGGTGTATCCACTCGTCCGCTGCGAGGGGGAGCCAAGCACTTCCTGCCCGTCGTACTTTCCTGAATCGCTGCGAGAGGCAAAGAATGGCTCAGTGGACGACGGGTGCTGCGGCAGGCCAAAGAGGATCGAATCCTCGAGCTCGATCTCATCGTTGTGGCGCCGACTTCTGCGGCATGCATACCACCCACCGATGATCAAGGCGAGGCCGGCGATGCTGCTTACGGACGCGATTGCGGCCACAGCGCCGGTGCTTAACCCAGAGTTCGGCCCCTCGTCGACCGTGGTGATGTTGGTCGTGACTGCCCCAGGTATGATAATTGTGGTGGTGCGCCCCTGTTCATCCGTGGTGGTGAGCTGCGTCGGTGGTGCCGTGGAGACTTTGGTGGTTGTCTTGACCTTGTCAGGTTTTGGCGCTTCACTCGATTGGCTCGGCGCCGGCGTCTGGCTCGTTTGCTGACTGGTGGTTTCCGAGGTGGAGGCTGATGTGGAAGGTGAGGACGTGGTGGTGGAGGGGGAGGAAGAGAAGGAGGATGGAACAGTAGAGTCCGAGGTGGACGTGCTGCTTGAGCTCGATGTGCTCGAGCTCGGTTGTGAACACACGTTGGCGTAGGCTGGGCAGTCGGCGTGGCACCCGACTTGGCCAAGGATGTGCGAGTAATCAGTGCCGTTGGAGGTCACGACTACCGACGCGATGCTTCTAGGCGGGAGATCGACGGACCACACACACGAGTCGCCAGTTGCGCTTAGAACGCAGGCATCTGTGTCGCCTGCGGCGTTGACGACTTTGCTGGGTGTGAGCGGGATGTTTGAAGAAGAGGGGGCTGAAAGAGGGGCGTGGGGTGGGTGAAGTGAGAAAGTGGATGAGGGAGGAAGGTGGCGCAACTCACGCGGAGACGGGTGCACTAGCTCCAGTCCAAGTGATGGTGCAGCGGCTGCACACGGCAAGGTCGGGTCTACATGCCCAGTTCCAACCAGTTGGCTCGGCGACGACTGCGGAGGCGAACAGGGAGAGGAGTAGGGCGGGGTGCATGGGGAGGGGGAAGTGGGGAGGGGGGAGGGGGGAGTGGGGAGGAGGGGCAGATGAGGGGTGAGGCGTTGTTGATGAGTTGGGGTGTACGAAGGTAAGAGATGCGTGAAATGAGAGTGATGCAGTGTGGGTGTGAGTGTTTGAACTGAGTCGAGAGATAGAGAGAGAGAGAGAGAGAGAGAAAGAGAGAGAGATGCGCAATGATCAACTTTGAGAGGAACTGGAGGCTGGAGGAGTTGAAGGAGCGAGGAGGTGGCCGTGGTGGCCGTGGTGGCCAGGTGGTGAGCTTGGACCGGGCGGCGGTGTTGGGGGGAGTCTCTGTGCGTTGTCGATGGGAAATGAGCCGGATGGGGGAGTGGAGAGGGTTGAAGAGGATGGAGGGCATGAAGGGGTCGAGCGAGGTAGACGCCTAGAGGCCTAGAGGGAGGTGCATGAGATGGTGTCTCGCACCGAAGAGTCAGGTTCTCTTGTTGCAGCTGGCACATTCTACCCTCGCTGCTTAGATCACACGATGCGATGAGATGCGATGAGAGATCATGAGAGATGACAAGACTTGCGTTGACAAAGTCTAAGGAGATCAGCATGATTTAAAGAGACCATATTCTGCATGCATGTCGCTGGCATAGGTGGCCAACATGGCCAGCAGCCAGCTCGAGGATGCAGGATGCAGCTCTGTAGGTTTATCTCGCACAGACATGGCAGAGTAGCAGGATGGCAGGGGAAAACAACGCACGGACGACGCCATGCGCCGCGCGCCACGACCAAAGATACCCCTCCCTCGATCCCTCACTGCCTTGGCACTGTGCTTGATGCATGCATTTCTTGACAACGATACAACATGATACTACTCCCTTACCCAACAGCCTGCAACCGATCCTCCTCTACAAAGATCTGTGGCCGCGATGGCCGCCGACGCAGGTCGTCTTCCTCCTCAATCACACCCATCATTGCGTGCCGGTTCCCCCGCGAAAAGTACATGGCTGGCTCACGCCGCTGCACCGCCGCCTGCGTAATAAGACAGTACCGCACGCTCTGATGTCAGCTCCATCGCCCAACGTGACTGACTGATCCAGGCACCTCAAACATGGCGTCCACAAGAACTTCCTCGAGGACACCGCGCAGTCCGCGCGCGCCACCCCCTCTGTCCAGACCCTCCTGCGCAATCGCCTGCAGCGCACGACGGGTAAACACCAGCTCAGACCCGTAGCGGTGGAAGAGTGCCTTGTACTGCTTGATAAGGGCGTTGCGCGGCTCTGTCAAGATGCGGACCAGGTCGTCCACTGCCAACGGGTGGAGAGAGGACACGATGGGCAAACGCCCCAGGAACTCGGGAATAAGACCATAGTCCTTCAGGTCGGCCATGGTCGGCTTGAGCGTACCAGTGACGACGGGGCTCGAGAGTGGGGCGCCAAAGCCTATCGACTGTGCGTTAGCTGACGCGAGATGCTGGCAGGCTTACCCCCTTGCCTAGCCTGCGCTGGATAATGGGGTCCAGTCCCACGAATGCGCCGGAAAGGATGAACAGGATGTTGCTTGTGTCGACGACATAGGTGTCTCCCTTGTTGGCTGCCGTCAGCTCAACACTCAATTTGTCAAGCCACACTCACGCGGGCTGCTGCCGCCGCCACTGAAGCCCGGCAGACCTTCCCGCACGCCCTTCTTGCCGGGCGCGTTGCCGAAAGTTCGGTTCATCGGGTTGTTGGGATTCCACTCTGGCGCCTCTGGGAAAGTCGATTCCGACTTGGGCGGGCTGCTAGGTCCTAGCGAATTCGTGTGGGCGCTGGGAGAAGGCGGGTTCGACCCAATGGGCGCAGCCTTCGCCGATAGAGTCACTGTCGTGCCCTCGAGGATGCGTAGCAGAGCTTGCTGAACACCCTCGCCGCCGACATCGCGGCCACCACCCCACGTGCCGAGCTCGTTGCCACCCCGGCGAGCGAGCTTGTCCACCTCGTCGATGTGCACGATGCCAACCCTGCATGTTAGTTGGCCAACAACGCTAGAGCTCACTCAGCCCGCCCAACATCATAGTCCGCTGCCTGTAGAAGTCGAAGGATGCAGCTCTCCACGTCCTCGCCGACGTCTGACTGTCAGTCCAACACCTTCTCGTTCGACCCACATCCTGCTTGCGTGTAAGTTGTCGCGTCGCACGAAACGAACGGCACATCAAGGGCCCGTGCAAGGGTCTTTGCCATCAATGTCTTGCCGGTACCCGTCGGGCCGCTACGTGTCAGCTTCTGGATGAGAACTCTGCCTTACACGACAAGAACGTTGCTCTTCTCGACGGTGACATCGATGTCTTCCGGGAGGGGCCTTTGACCCATGGCTTCGTTAAGCTCCTCAGCGCGACGCGCCCGAGCTTCCTCCTCAACCCGTTTGGCCTCGCGTCGCTCTTCGTCGACCTTGCGCTTTCGCGAGCGCTCCTCTGCCTTTGAGTCTTCGGTCACAGTAGCGGCACCTTCCTCCCGCGTCCGACGGCCCACCCGCGCGAGGAGCGTAGGAGGGGGTCGGCGTGACGAGAAATACCCGCTCCCCCTTGCTTCCATCAGCATTCACCTTTGCCAGACGTACTGCTCCACTTCTCCTCAGCGATGCTATGCGTGAGGGTGGGGTCTGACGAGTCCGCCACCAACGTCGCGTCTGGGATGCCGTTCGTCTTCTCAAAGTCGGCGTCAAACGACGACGGCACATGTACGGCGTCCTTGCTGTCAAAGGCCGGAGATGTGGGCATCATGGCAGCCATGGGCTCGGGAGCGGGGTTGATGCGTGGCTCGATGCGGCGGTAGTGGTTGAACACACTTAGGAGGGTCAGGCACCACTACGGGCGGGAGGCAGGGTGGGTACTCACGCCACCGACAAGACCTTCTTCGCCGCATCCTGACCGATCACGTATTGAGATAGATGATTGAAGAGCTTGTGCATCAGTGGGTTGCCTATCGACGCGTAACTCACGTCCTTTGGCGACCTGGTGGGCGCGACGGTGGAGTTGAGTCGCGCGGCAAGCTTGGGCGAGAGCCGCAGCCTGATTCGCGCCCGTGACAGCATGACGAGTGGCGACGATGGGAGTGTAGAGTGTCTAGTTTATCAAATAAGCAGCGTTGAGCTGGACAAAGCAACGTCGAGGGACAACAAGCAGACAGTGAGGGAGTGGTTGGAGGTGAAGTGGATGCGTTGTGGCTGGTGAGAGGAGAGGAGGGAGGATCGAGTCGTTGATCGTTGATCGATGAATGGTGCTCGGCTGGAGTGCCTATGGATGCCGAGAGTGATACGGTGATACGGTGGCGTGTCTGCGTGTGCGGGGGAACCCTTTCCCCTCCACCCTCCCTCCACCCAGGCGGTCAACTCCGTCGCCCAAAGCCACCCCTGCCCCACAACCTCCCCATTCCAAGCGGCCGTGGGAAAGCTAAATCCTCACCTAACAATCACGTGACCACACTCACAATCGGCTTGTGCCCCCCCTCATCACCGTCGAGATGAGTGGTTGTCCCGACGTCGCTCTTTCTTACACTCCCCATCCTCCTCTGATCCATCCCAACTCATCACTCCTCCCGAGTTCCCATCCATATACATCAATCTCCTTTTATCTTACTCCTCGCGAGCCTTTCGACAATTTCATCCCACATCCAAATCATCCCCTCCCGCACAACACCTCATCGGCTCCAGTTTGCCCGACACCCACCGCCTCCACACCTGCTTTGCTCGCGCTATATCCTCTCACGCTTGAGCTAGCACAATGGCTGCGCTAGCCGACCCAAGGCGGACTGAGCCCATGGACTTGGCCACGGACCTCAACAACCCCGACCGCAACAACCGTCGTGTCGCCTAGTGAGTCACCCCTCTCAGCTAAACTGACGCGCAGTTTCTATGACCGTGGGTCGCCACTCCTCCACCGCTAATGACAGACGATGTTGGCAACTATCACTTCTTCCTGGGTCACCCCATGAAGCCGCACCGTATCCGCATGACGCACAACCTCGTTTCCAACTACGGATTGTGCGATGAGCAAGAGTACGACGCACCCGACGAGGTGGGCGAAGGGATGCGCGCGCTCAATGACCCCACCGCCGGCATGGACGAGGAAATGCAGGAGGCAGCCAAGTGGGAGCGCCGCATCATGAATGGCTCACGCGGCAAGGCCATGCAAGTTTTTGTGCGTACGCTTGCCAGCAGCGCTGACAGACAGAGGCCCCGCCGCGCCACAAAGACTGACATGACCAAGTTCCATACCGACGAGTACATCGATCTCCTCGAAGCGGTCACCCCTGAGACCGCGGATGCGCTCACCGGCGGCGGCACCAGGTGTAAGTTGTCTACATGATGTCGAGGGTCGCCGCTGACTTCCAGGCCTTACTGGCGAAGATTGTCCCGCCTTCGAGGGCGTGTTCGAGTTCTGCACGATCTCGGCCGGTGGCTCCCTTGGTGCTGCAGAGAAGCTCAACTCCGGCCATGCGGATGTGGCTGTGAACTGGGCTGGCGGCTTGCACCACGCGAAGAAGTCGGAGGCTTCTGGTTTCTGCTACGTCAATGATATGTGAGTTCGAGACACGCTGCACCGCTAATACCAGCGTCCTGGGCATTCTTGAGCTGCTTCGCATACACCCGCGCGTGCTCTATATTGACGTCGACGTTCATCACGGCGATGGTGTAGAGGAGGCCTTTTACACCACCGATCGCGTCATGACTTGTTCTTTCCACCGTTTCGGCGAGTTCTTCCCCGGCACTGGTGACGTGCGCGATACTGGTATTAAGCGCGGCAAGGGCTACGCTGTCAACGTCCCTCTTCGCGACGGCATCACCGACGCCACCTATCACTCGGTGTTCAAGCCTGTAAGATCCGCGATGTTTCTACAGCTGACCGCAGATCATTAAGCAGATCATGGACACCTTCCGTCCCGGAGCCGTCGTCCTGCAGCTGGGAGCCGACTCTCTGTCAGGTGACAAGCTGGGTGGCTTCAATCTCACTCTCGACGGCCACTCCATGTGCGCTCGCTATGTGCGATCCTTCAACGTCCCTGTGATGATGGTAGGGGGCGGAGGCTACACCATGTGAGTTGATCATTGTCCTGTGCGAAGAACCACTCGCTGACGTTAATAGCAAGAACGTCTCGAAGGCGTGGACGAAGGAGACTTCGATCATGTGCGGCGTCGAGCTTCCAGAAGACCTCCCCTTCAACCGATACATGGAATACTTTGGACCAAGATACAAGCTAGAGGTTCTGCCGACCAACGTCGACGATCACAACCCACCTGAGTACCTGGAGGCGCTTAAGCGCCAGGTGTTTGAGAACCTGCGCCAGCTTCCTCACGCGCCAGGCGTACAAATGCGCGAGGTATCCAGCAAGCCCCTTTCGCGCGTCTTGGGCATCAGCAAGGAAGACGACGATGACGACCCGGACAACGAGTTGGACCAGCGCATAAGAAGTAGGTCGAATCAACGCTTACGCTGACTCTAGAAATCTTCCGCCAGCGCAACGGCGGCGGCGAGGAGTCGGAGTCTGACTCGGACTCTGACATCGGCGCGCACGCCCACCGCAGCCGCGCGCGGCGGCAAGGAGGGTTGCCGTTGCGCCCGAACCCGCGGCCTCGTGTCAACGGCTACCCGGCCAGCAAGCGCCAGGCATCCCTATCGCCAGAAGGGAGCGAGGGGGATGGGCGCAAGAAGCGCACCTTTTTCTCGTCGCGCGTAGGCGATGGGACATGGGACCCTACAATGTTGCTCAATGGCGGAAAGGCGCCGGACGACGGCTTGGTCAACGGTGTCAAGCCCAAGCTGTTCGGCGGTATTCCTGAGACGTGGAACGTTGGCCGGACAAGTCGCGCCGGTAGCCCCATGAGCGTCACCTAGGCCAGCTTAGGCATAGACGTGTAGAGTACTGTAGTCATGTATTTGTTTCGAAACTCTCGCAGACGACAGTATCTGTTACGAAACTCTCCAGACTGCAGTATTTGTTTCGGAACTCTCGCAGGGAGGGATTGTGCTCTGGGAATTATACCGTAGGTGGTTTTAGTGGCGAATCACTAACGGAGGCCGAAACAAGTTTGGCAAGGCACGTAGAGTCGCCACCTAAAAAAAGACAACTTGGATCATCTTACATCAACATTCCCCATATCGCCATGTCTCAACAGGTCTGCCGGCACTATCTTTCTGGGTAGGCAAGATGGTTTGGCAGCAGCTGACAGCAGCAACTGTCGCTTTGGCTCCAACTGCCGCTTCGCGCACCCACCACGCGACTCGCGGGGCGGATTCAGCGGAGCCAGCAGCTTCTCAACCACAAACATGCAACCGCTGGGATCACGCTCCCAGACAACCAAGTACCAGTTTAAGTGAGCATCTACCAGCGTCGTCCGCTCTCGAAGTTCCTTGGGAAACTCGAGGTGTTGGCGCGTCGCTCTTGCCACAGCCTCTGGGTCCCCTCGTCCCACAACCCCTCACTAACCCCTGCCCTCTCCACCCCACCTTCTCCTTGTTCTGAACTCACACCAGCGAGGACACCATCCGTCTCGAGCTCGGCCCCGAGCGCCCACAATGGCCCGCCTCCGTCTTTGGCGCGGCAAAATACGAGCCGAACGTACTTGGCACCGACGTCTCGGCCGAGGAGTTGCGGTGGAAGAGCGTGCAGGCGCTGAAGGCTGGCAACGCGCAGGCGTACATTGAAGAGGAAGCGCAAGTGTTCAATAACGCCAAGAATACCCTCGACAATGCTCTGCGCAATCTGAGCCAGGTTACGAGGGCTGCGGAGCGGCTACACGACGTGCGCTTCAAGGACGGGGCACTGGGCGGTCCTCGGCCCGCAGACTTTTCAGAAGCTGCCGTGTTGAGCGGAACCAACACCACCGCGGGGAGCGGAGGATTTGGGCATAGTGCGTTTGGCAGTGGAGCAAGCGGCGCGGCTAGTGGCAGTGCCTTTGGCGCAACGGCCGGACCCAGCGCGTTTGGCAGCTCAAGCTTTGGACAGAAGCCCTCAGGAGCGTTTGGGACTTCTTCTTCTCCCGTGAAGAGCGCGTTTGGGACTTCAGCATTTGGCTCTGGATCTGGATCTGGATCTGGATCTGGATCCGGGGGATTTGGGACCACGCCCGGTACAGGGAGCGCGTTCGGGCAGAGCGCGTTTGGCCAGAAGCCCGGGGGCTCTACATTTGGCCAAACTGCATTTGGGAGCGGGTCATCCAGCGGCGCGTTTGGCAATGCCGCGCCTCAGACCCAGACGACGTCCGCATTTGGGTCAAGTTCTACGCCACAGGCCGGGTCAGCCTTCGGGCAGAGCGCATTCGGGCAGAAGCCCGGCGGCAGCGCATTTGGATCCAGCGCGTTTGGGCAGTCCTCTCAGACGCAAGGGGGATTCGGCTCTTCGACCACGACTCCCGCGCCCGGCGCCGGCTTCGGGCAAAGCGCATTTGGCAAGTCTACGACGGCGCCCGCAGCCGGGACAGGATTCGGACAGAGCGCGTTTGGGGCCTCGACGACGCAGGGCTCCGCCTTCGGACAGAGCGCGTTCGGCAAGCCCGCGACGGGGGCATTCGGCGCGCCGACCAGCGCCTTTGGCAGCAACACAACTACAAACAATAACACAACGACGACGTCCAGTGCGTTTGGCAGCAGCACCGCGACTAGTGCTTTCGGGAGCGCGGCTCCCACGAGCGCGTTTGGGAGCGCGAACGCTGCCCCGGCAGCAGGCGGGTTTGGGCAGTCAGCATTTGGCAAGCCCGCGTCTGGGTTCGGCCAGTCCGCCTTTGGCCAGAGTTCGACCCCGCAGGGTTTTGGGCAGCCCTCGCAGCCCTCGCAGACGCAGCCCCAGTCCGCCTTCGGGTCTGCTGCGCCGACGTCTGCTTTCGGGCAGGCGTCGCAGCCCTCCGCGTTTGGCCAGAGCGCATTCAGCAAGCCTTCTACATCAGCATTCGGCACCGCCGCGACGGCATCGACCCCGGCGCCCAGCGCATTCGGCTCGACGCCCCCTGCACCTGCCCAGAGTGCATTTGGTTCGACGTCCTCCGCGCCAGCCGCGAGTGCATTCGGCTCCACGCCACCTGCACCTACGAGTGCATTTGGTTCGTCTGCACCCACAAGCGCATTTGGGTCTACCTCGGCTGCCGCCACAAGCGCTTTCGGCTCGACTCCTGCGGGTGCGTTCGGCTCAACCCCGGCCGCCGGCACCAGTGCCTTCGGGTCGGCGAGTGCGTTTGGGCAGGCCAAGCCGGCGACGTCCGCATTTGGCTCCTCCGCCCCTGCCAGCGCTTTCGGGCAGCAAAACGGGACCGCGATCGGCAAGCCCCCCGCGGGATCTGCCTTCGGCGGGGCTGGCAAGCCCGCCGCCAGTGGAGCACAAGGCGGCTGGAGCTGGGACGACCCGTGGTCCGCCTTCCTGCCTGGTGGCCCGGAGGCGGAGGGGCTGGACCCGGCGGTCGAGGCGGCGTTCAAGGCCGCGTCGTTCGAGATGGACGCGATTCCGCTGCTCCCGCCGCCTGTGGCGCTGCGGGGCTAGCGAGTGGGGGAACCGAGCGGTCAGTGAGCGGAGGGGTATGAGGGTGTGAAGGGTATGAGGGAGGGGTATAGGGATATGTAGCATATGCATGCAATCCTACCACATGAGAGGCGATGATATGGACGCGTGTCGACTTGAGGCGCGCCCAGCATCCGAAGCCCGGCTTGAGGGCGGGTCGGAGCATAGAGCCTCGCGGGCTTATCTATGCGAGGAGAGGGCGTACACTCGGCGGGGTCCGCACTGCGCGGGCGCCGGGAGGGAGTGCGGGAGGGGGCAGGAAGTGGGAGGCGGGTGCGGCGTTCGTTTGGCGGGGGGAGAAGGGCTGGGCTGTAGTGAGTGTTGGAGTGAGAGTTGAGGGGGGCGTGGAGCGGGAGGCAGGCGCAAGCCTCGACGTAGAGTGGAGGATGGGGCGGGGCGCCTCGGTCGCGCTTGGCCAGACAGCCGCGCGCTTGGGCGTGGGCGCGTCTGGGTCTGCTCTGCCCGCCTTGTCTGGCAAGTCTGGGGCCGGGGGCTTAGGCTTGATGGCTTCTGCGAGGGCCGCGACGGAGAGCTTGGAATGTGGCAGCGCATGGGGCGCCGTGACTTGTCTAGGCTCTGCTACGCTTGGCTGGCTCGGGCTGGGCGGCGAGGGCGAGGGCGAGGGCGACACGGCGGAAATGGCAGGGCGGGGGAGGGACATGGTCGAGATGCTGCCATCCCTCGGCAACGGCGGGGGTGGAGCGGGTGACGGCGTGCTCGAGGGGGAGTGTGGGCGGGCGGGGCGGACGGGGGGCACGGCGGGGGGTTCGTCGAGGGGCATGGGCGGCGCGCTCCCTCTCTTCTCGATCTGCGGGTTCGGCGGCGCGCCGGACATGAGCGCGATGCGCGCCCGTGATGTTCCCGGAGGAGCGGGGGGTTGCGCGCCGGGCGGGAGGCGGGGGATGGGCGGGCTTGAAAGCCGCAGGGCGGGGACAGCGAGTGGGAGGGCCATGCTCGCGCGCCGTGGGGGCAGTGTGCGGCGGGCATTTGCTGCGTCCCATGCTGCGAGGCGGGGGTCGAAGGAGCGGCGGCGGGTGGATGGCGACAGGCTCAAGGAGGGAGAGGGAGAGAGGGAGAGGGTGGGCGAGAGAGGAGGGGAGAGCGCGAACACGTCGTAGGATGTCGGGGGGAGGGAATGGGGTCTGGGCCGCCCGGGGCTGGGCGCGGGGGAGATGCCAGGCGGGCAGGACATGCGCAACGGCGGCATGGGTGAGGGGGGCATGCGTGGTGAGGGTGCTGATAGATGAGGGAAAGGAGAGGGCATGCGCGGCGAGGGCGGGGGCATGCGTGGAGAGGGAGACGGCAATAGGCTGGGCGACGGGATGAACGACGACATGTGAGGCGACATGTGCGGCGACAGCGGCGACGCGTATGACGGGGGCGAGGGCAGCGGCGGGTGCGGTGCGTCGAAGGGATGCGCGGGTGGAAGGTCGGGATGTCCACATGTGCAGCGCGGGAGGGTGGGTTCGGCGCGGCGGAGGTGAGGTTCTGACCTTGTGCGCATGCGGAGGTGAGTGCGCGAGGGGAGCGTCGATGCGATGCCGGAGGGCGCGTGCTCGTTTACTGCTGTGGGCTTCGGGGGCCGCTTGTCGCGGCGGAAGGGGCGGAGGAGGTCGACCATGGGTGAGAGGGAGATGAGAGTTAGTGAATGAGTCAGTTTGATTGAGTTGGCGAAGAGATGCGGAGGTGTACGCGATCAGTGCGTCGTCATCACCGGGGTCGGGGTGCGCGGGGCCCAAGTGGCTTGGATGACGAGAGCGGCATGGAGATTGCTGGAAGCTGCGGAGTGCGAGGAGGACGGACACTTACTGGTCACTGATGCATACCATGAGTAGCGAGCACTGAGCACTGGTGGTCGGGAGACGGCGGAGGTGAGATCGGCCACCATTGGCAAGGGAGACGTGGTCGAGATACGCAGCTGAGTACTGTGCTCGCTATCACGTTCGCTCCTGGCCGTGGAACGCTGCGGCGACGGGCATCTCGGACATGATATGGGCAATGCAACGCTCGCTCGTACACTCGGCACTTGGCACTTGCTTATACCATCCCCCAAACCACCATCTTGCCATTTATTAATCGTCGCCGATCGCCACACACCTCGGTGACATGATTCCAGCTTATCTCACCGGATTTCGGCTTTGCCTGATCCGACATTCCTGACAACATCATCTCAGCTGACTGCATTCCGCCACCTCTCTCCTGCCCACCCACTCCTCCCGCGCCTTGCCACGCACTCTCCTCGGTCCAACCCCGCACCCCGAGTTCCAGCCGATCTGCTGACCCTCTCCAACCTCTCCTGACGACCCGTGTGCCCGCTGACCGCAACATGAGTGACGAGGCGCGGGCTTGGCCGTGAGTGGTAGCGAGGGGGACACAGGGGTAGAGTGAGCAGGAGTATATATGCAAGCCATGCTGCAAGACGACGACGCTCTGGTATCTCATTCTCACCCACCCTCCTCGTCCATTCAACCCCCCCCCCCCCCCCAACACCCCACCATGTCCAACGAGCGCAAGCCCCCTATCCTCCGCGAAGTCCCCCGCGCCCAAGTCACCGACCCCAACGTCTTGGAGTACTACAACAAGCTCTTCGGGGACCGGGACCCGGTCAAAGAGCGCGGCACAGCGACCGGCACGCCCGGCGACTGGTGGCCGACGTTTGCGCTCACGCCCGACATCTTCAAGCACTGCACCGACGGCTTCAAGCTGTACCGCAACCCTGAGCGCAAGCTGGACCCCGTGCTGCGCGAGCTGGGCCAAACGCGCGCCGGCTGGGTCAAAGGCTCGCAATTCGTCTTCTCGCAGCACTGCAAGTCGCTGCGCGGGCTCGGCGTGTCCGAGGCCAAGATCCGCAGCATCGCATTCTGGGCCGTCGCAGACTGCTACGACGACAAGGAGCGCACTGTGCTCGCATACACCGACGCGCTGATGATGGGCGACGGGCGCGTGCCCCTCGAAGTGTACGACAAGCTCAAGACGTTCATGGACGACGTCGAGATCATGGAGTTTACGTACATTACATGCCTGTACGGCATGCACGCCGTCATGACGCGCGCACTCCGCCTCGAGTACGATGCGCGCGAGGACCCCATTGTCGAGATTGCGGCCCCCGAGGGCTTCAGCGCCGCAGACTTCCTTGGAGGAAGCAAGAAGCCGCAGCAGCAGTAGGGGTTCTTTCTGCGTGTGTAGTATAGAAGTGATGTATCTGTGTTTGCCTGTGGGTTGTTCGAGCTTTGGGTGTGACGGCGGTGCACATCGTCGGAGACGAGCGAGCGGTAGCAGCTGGTGGTCCATCTACAATATCGGGCAACATCGACCACATCTCATTCAAACTACCGAGGTACACATACAACCCACCCCCATACTCCTACCGCGACTCCCCACCCCTCATCCTCGTGGTCTTCTCACTCCGCATGGTCCTCAACCTCGCCCTCGCGCTCCGAGGCCGCATCCGCCTCGTCGACCAGCACGCCGCTGCTCTCGCTCTCAGCCTTGTACGGACTGAGGGGAACCTGGTTGCGGTCGTCACCCTTCTCCTTCTCAGCGTCCGCCGCATTGGGGCCCGCCACCTCCGTGTGCAGAATGTCGAGCACACCGTCGCGGTAATGCGCGAATGCCTGCGTCTTCGTCGGCACCACGCAGTCGATGATGGGCGTGTCGTGGACTCCGTGCTCGTCCTGGTGATGTCAGCAGTGCTATTTCCGCATCGGCAGCTATTTCCGAGCTACTGCGCCGGCTACATGTAGCCGGATACTTGGGCACCAAGACCATGAGTGCGTGCTCGCCGCTCGCCACACGCCACACGCCACACGCCGCACTCACCTTCCACACCTTGACGGTCACGCCGCTGGCGCGCATGCCTTCGACAAGTGCCTTGTCTTCGTCCGAAAACACTTCGATGCCGCCGTACGTCACGAACACTGGCGTGTCACGCAGGAAGCGCCAGTGCCCGTCCTCCGCGAGGGCGGGGGAGAAGAATGCGCCGCGCTTCTCCTCGTCCGCGTAGTGCCGCGTGGCACTGGCGATCGCCTTGCGCAGCTTGTCTTTGGTGAGGTAGTCGAGGGTGTGCCGCTCCCAACTGGGGAAGCCGCACGTAAAGTCGACCCAAGGGGAGATGAGGGCGAGGCCGCCAGGCAGCGGCTGGCCAAGCGCATGCAGCTGGGTGACGAGGGCGAGGGCGAGGTGCGCGCCCGCCGAGTCGCCGGTGACGACGATCTGTGCCGCCGAAAAGCCCATGCCGGTGACGTGTGCCCATGCCGCGAGCGCGTCGAGCAGCGGCGCGGGGAACGCCGTGTCGTCCGTCAGCGACTTGCGGTACTGCGCGCAATAGACGCGGTGGCCGGTCTCGGCCGCGAGGCGGTGCGGGAAAGCCGTCCACAGCGGGTGGCCACGGATGTAGGCGCCGCCGTGGATGTAGAGGACTATGCGCTCGTCTGGGCGTGCGGGGCCGCTCGCGACGCCCGACGGCGTGAGGAGGAAGCCGGGCATGTCGATGGCTTTGGCGGGGCCCGCGGCGTAGTGCACACGCCAAGAGGCGAGCGCGGGCGCGGCCGTCACGACCTCGACTTTGAGGGCGGGGCGGCGGCCGGCTGTGCTCGGCACCGCCCAGCGCGCGGCCCGTGTCTCGGGCGGCGGGAGGACGGGCACGAGCAGCGAGAGGTAGCGCAGCACACGGAAGATGATGAACGTCTTCAGCGTGAAGCCGCGCGGACGGGTGAAGAGGTACCGCAGGACGTTGGCGGGGAGGGAGGCGAGGATGAGGAGGAGCGCTGGGACGGAGAGCGCATTGTTGAGCGCCGCGGAGCGGCCGGTCGGGCCGGTGTAGGCGCCTCGGCGCAGCGTGAGGGCCGTGGGCATGGTGGTGGTGGGAGTGGAGGGCGATGAGGGGAGGAGTGGTAGCGATAGCGAGTGAAGTAGCGGCCATGGCCGTAGTTTGGTGGCCGGCCATGGCCGGAGAGGGGACGAGGACCGGATACCTGCCGCCCAGGGGGTAGCCGGTGGTGAGGCCGGAATGGGCGATCCGGGGCGGCTGGGGGACGACGTCATGCCTCGAAACCGAGACAGAGAGAGTCTGTGCCGCCACGCTGCTTGCTTTGTGCGGCCTTGGGAGCTTGGGAGAGTGTGGGAACGAGGATAGGAGTGAGAATGGAAATGCACATGCGTCTTGAGGCGGAATCAGCACGGCAACTCTTGCTCCGGGTTGGAAAAACGTGGTAGACATGGGCGATCGCCGGGTCATTCCCGATCGAGCCGGACGTGGCAGTGGAGAGGTTAAACACGGCGTACGGCGTACGGCGGCGTGCCGGGTGCCGCGCGCTCGTGATTATTCACCTTGGGACGCGGGCCAGCCCAGGCTAAACCGATGCCCGAGGCCCTAGCCCTGGCACTGGCAAGGCGATCTGTGCAAGTGGCGCCGCCGCCGCCGCCGCCGCCATCTTCCGCCTCGTCGAGAGTACGCGAGAGGTGACAGCCAAGGCGGCATTCTGCCTGACCCTGTTTCTTCCAGCTTGCACCGAGATGCAACGTGGCGACGTCGCACACTCAGTCCGCTCTGGTAGCCTCGGCACGCCGTCCGCTCGTCATCGCAGTGCAGCGCAGGCCGACGCGGCCGGACCGCCCTGAAGACCCCCCGATGAGAGCGGAGAGGTGAACGGCGACGCGACAGCGAGGAGGGCAATGTGGTGTACGAGATTACGCGGAGAGAGCAGAAAGACAGTGGAATCCAGGCTTTGTGCCTGAAATGAGCGACTAGCGCATAGGGCGAGGTCCCCACGGGGAGAGAGAGAGGTGTAGATGACAGGCGGCAACTCCGAGGAATCGTATCTCCCTCTTGATCTCTCCCCCGTCGCTCTCCTCTTCCGCGCTCTCGCTCAAGCCACGGCATGTGTCCTGCGCTTGCCAGACCTGCGACGTGCGGCTGCCTCTGCCCACTTGCACTCTATCGCCCGCGATCTCATTCGCTGCCGCTCCCCCCCCCCCCCACCACGGCCTCCACCGAACCCGGTTACCCCTCACCTCGCCTCAGCCGTAACCCGCGGCGCAGCCCACCTTGCACCACCTGCATAATTCCTATTCATTTCCTCCTCACATCTCTCTCTCCCTCTTCTTTCTCTATCTCTCCCCTCCCCTCACCTAATCCTCCACCAAATCCACAATGACCAAGAACGACGCTCCTAAGCCCAAGTCGTACGAGGCCGACCGCGACTCGTCCTCCAGGCAGACCATCTACACCGCCTCTAACGGCGCCCCCGTCGCCCACCCCTACGCCTCCCAGCGCGCAGGCAACGGCGGCCTCCTCCTCCAGGACTTCCACCTCATCGACCTCCTCGCCCACTTTGACCGCGAGCGTATCCCCGAGCGTGTCGTCCACGCCAAGGGCTCCGGCGCTCACGGTATCTGGGAGTCGACTGCTGGTGCCGAGGACCTCTCGTGCGCCGACTTTCTGAAGAAGGGCAAGACCTGCCCCATCACTATCCGCTTCAGCACTGTCGGTGGTGAGAGCGGATCCAGCGACAACGCGCGTGACCCCCGTGGCTTTGCGGTCAAGTTCAAGACTGAGGAGGGCAACTTTGACTTTGTTGGCAACAACGTGAGTCTTGGGAAACGGGCTGACGGCGTCATGCCGAGCCCCAGCCCCCCCCTTCTCATGCCTCATTGCGCCCAGAAAACTAACACCCAGACCCCGGTCTTTTTCCTCCGTGACCCCGCCAAGTTCCCCCACTTCATCCACACCCAGAAGCGCCACCCGGCGACTCACCTCGGCGGCGGCGATGACTCGACCATGTTCTGGGACTACCTCTCGAACAACCCCGAGTCGATCCACCAGGTCATGGTGAGTTTATTTTTTGCGCGGCTTTGCATAGGGTGGCGAGCCAGTCAGCGGCTAGACGATTGTAGATGGAGCGGAGAACGGCGGAGCAGGGTAACAGGCTCGGCGATCACTCGCCACCATCGGACCTTGCCCACCTTGTCAGATCCGGGATTCGCCTCTCATCGGCGAACATCGGCGAGGTTGTGTGTCTCTGCCTCTGCCTCAGTCGGGCTGGAGCTTACAGCCCTTGCTGCATGCGTGCGCGCTCTTCGCGCATGCACAGGCGCATGAGCTGCAGAAGGATTGAGAGTGGGAAGTGGCGAGCTCTCTCATGCGCCTCGGAAATACTATCCCGCCGGATATCCCAACCCACGCCCAATCACCCCCCGCTGACACCAGATCCTCATGTCGGACCGCGGCATCCCGGACGGCTTCCGCCACATGCACGGCTACTACGGACACACGCTCAAGCTCGTCAACAAGGACGGGCAGTGGGTGTACGCGCAGCTGCACCTGATCTCGAACCAGGGGATCAAGACGCTCACGAACGAGGAGGCGGGCAAGCTGTCGCCCGACCACGGCCAGAAGGACCTGTACGAGGCGATTGAGCGCGGCGAGCACCCGTCGTGGACGCTCAAGGTGCAGACGATGACGCAGGAGCAGGCGGTGGACGCGTGGGAGAACAAGGGCATCAACGTGCACGACCTGACGCACATCTGGCCGCACGGCGACTACCCGCTGCGCGAGCTCGGCAAGATCACGCTCACGACCAACGCGGCCAACTACTTCGCCGAGGTCGAGCAGGCCGCCTTTTCGCCCTCGCACATGGTGCCGGGCATCGAGCCGTCGGCCGACCCCGTCCTCCAGTCCCGCCTCTTCAGCTACCCCGACACGCACAGGCACCGCCTCGGCGCCAACTACCACCAGCTGCCCGTCAACCAGCCGGCCACCGGCTTCGTGCCCGCCAGCTTCCAGCGCGACGGCCCCATGGCGTTCTACAACCAAGGCGGCCGCCCCGGATACCTCTCGACGCAGGACCCCGTCAAGTTCCTCCCGCCCAAGGTCAACGTCAACAAGGTGCACGCCAACTTTGTCGGCCAGGCCGTGCAGTACCTCTCCGAGATCCGGCCCGAGGACTTCAACGCCCCCCGCAACCTCTGGACCAAGGTGTTCTCCGAGGGCGAGCGCACGCGCCTCATCGAGACCGTGTCCGGCCACATGAGCACCTGCAAGGACAAGGAGATCATCCGCCGCCAGATCGCCATCTTCCGCGAGGTCCATCCCGACATTGCTACGCGCCTCGAGAAGGCCACCGGCGTCCAGGGCCACAAGACCATCCGCGGCGTCCAGTTCAACGGGTCTACCAACGCCATGGACAAGGGCCGCACCATCCCCGCTAACAACGTTCCCGGCATCAACGAGGGCGTCCCCAACAACGGCGCCGTCCAGCGTTCCGCCAAGCTCTAAGCTTAGCAAGCATTGTAGTCAGCCCGTGTATTTGGGAGGGATGGGTAGTTTTGTGTTCAGTAGATGTTGCATATGCAAGGAGAAGTATGGCTAGGGATAGCGGGTGGGCGGGTGGGTGGGTTGACCGTTAGCTGGTGGGTGAACGGTAGCCGTAGTGATTAGTTCATGTTCACTTCGCTTCCGCCCTAGACTACTTCATGACACTGGCTACCTTCACCTACATCCCTATATCTAGTACGTCATCTCGACCGCGGCGCGCCGCGCATCCGCAGCCTCCGAGACGAACCGGCCCACGGCCTCACGCATACTCCCCAACAACGCCGTGCGATCCCAGTCGCGGCGTGACCGCCAAATCCGATCAAGGAGGGAGGCACGCAGCTGCTCCAGCTCCTCGACATTGAGCTGGGCCGTGCTGTGCTTGAGTGCGCGCGAAAGCTGCTCAAGCTCCTCCTCCGGCACGACAAGCGGTGGGTACACGACCTCAGGCTCTGGCGAGGGCGTCGGTACGTGCACGGGCGCAGGTGCAGGCGTGGGCGTGCGTGCCTTTTCGGGTTCGGCGGCGTGCGCGCCGTTCATTTCGATGTCCATCGCGTCGTCGCGCGCGCGTTTCGACGGCGGCTCCGGGTCCTCGTCTCCTTCGCGGTCGCGTTTCCCGTTCGCCACGGCATCAGTCACGGGCTCGAACTCAGTGGGCAACTCGGCGGGCACCTCGGCAGGTACCACGGTGGCAATAGCAGGAGCTGCGGGCGCGCCAGGGAGAGCACCGTCGGCGCTCGCGGGACTCCCGCGACGCGTGGCTGCCTGGCTAGCAGCCTTGGCGGCCGCACGCTCGGCCTTGCGCGCACGCATGCGCACAGCGAGATTCTCAAACTCAGGCGTCCAGCGCGGGTCAAAGCTCTGCACGTGGATGCGCGCATGCCCCGCCATCTCGATGACCTTGAGCTGGCGGTCGGGATCGCTCGAGTGCCGTGCATTCTCCTCGATGAGAGCAATGTCTGCGAGAACCTCCGTCGGCGTGTAGTACTTGTGCCGCGTGAGCTTGCGTTGCACTGTGTCAAGGTCCATGTCGTGCGGCTGCCATGCGGGCAGGGCAACTCCAGGAGCCTCAATTGGGACAGTCGGGTCTGTTGACTCGGCCACAATAGGAGCAACAGGCTCCGGGTTGATGGTCATCCCCACTCCGTCAACCGGCGCCTCAGCCACGGGCACGGTCGGGTCCAGTTGGGTCATCACCATGGCGCCAGGAGCGTCGGTCACTTGGGACTCGACAACGCCCACGCCATCTGGTGCGCCGTTGACGGTCTCGGCAACGATGCCCTCGGCAGGTGGCGGCGGCTGGCTAGCGGCGGCTTGCTCCGTGAGATAATTGTGCAGTGCAAAAGCCTCTTCCTGATTCGTTAGCAACATTCAATTGACCGAGACAACTCACCTTTACAATTTGCACTGGCCGCTTGTACTTGCGGCATAGTTCCGAGATAAGCGACGAAAAGCTCACGTAGAGCATCTGGCGCGCCGCCTCTTCACGGTTCACCTCGCGCTGCACCTCGGCTTCGGTCGGCTTCCGTGGAGGCAATGGCTCAGCCTTCGGAAGCTCCTCAAGCACACGCTTCTTGCGAGCCACGCCATCGGGGAAGGCGGTGGGCGGGCGCTGGACAGTGTCTATCAGCTCCTGGAAGAATTGGCCACGCTGCTCCAGGGTCGGCGTCCCAAGCTGAATGCGATTGTCGTCACTGAAACCGAACCATGCCCGCACATCGGGAGGAAGTGTAGAAACAGGCCCATCGACAATGGCGAGGAGAAGCACTGGGTCCGATGGCGAGATGCCGTCCAGCAGTGCGCGCGCTGTGGAGCGAGCAGTTTCGGACAATGTCTCGGACCACTGCCCGAGCGACGGAATAAAGATGATGCTTGGTTGATGACGCTTGGCCTCCACAAACATCTGCACGATGGCTGCTTCGGGAGTCTATACCGTCAGTAAAGCCCATATGGGGAGCAACTCACCCTTGTCGAGTCGCCCATCAACGTCGCAAGATCAAAGGATTGGACGTGGAACCCCTCGAGGTGGTGGAGAATCGCTGGGCCTAGGTAAGTCTGGCCCGAGCCTGGCGGCCCGTGAACAAGTAGGCGCGGGCGATACGTTCTCAGCTGGTCCAGAGCTATTGGCGTCAGTCGGCGGAACAACAAGCAGACCTACACTGCAGCATCATCTCCTTCTCGAACGAGTCCCCATCATCGTCCTCGAACTCAGCCTCCTCCAGTGCTGTGCGTTTTTTGACGCGGGGCAGGGCAAGATCGACGGCCGACTTAAGTCGGTCGAGGTCATGCGAGAGTAGCGGAACCAGCTGATTTGGCAGCTGGATGGCCGCAGAGGAAGTGGATCGCGCCGAGGAAGGCACAATTTCTGCCGTCAGTGGATTGCAATCTCTGAAGACTCACTCTTCACAGCAAGCATGAAGTCCTTCGGCTGAACGCGCACCGATCCAGGTTGCACCTGCAGGCGATCGGTCGTCTTGTAGATCTGGGGGTACTTGCGCTGAATCGCGTTTAACGCGGCCTCAGTGCAGAGCGCCTACCGTTAGCTGGACATCTACCTTTCGACTCACCCTCAGGTCAGCGCCTCCGTAGCCTTTCGTGATAGTCGCGAGCGTATCGAGCATGTCTTCAGGCAGCTGCGGCTCCCATTGACGAGTGTTGATGGAGATGATCTGCCGGCGAGCGTCGCGGTTCGGCAGTGGGAAGTAGAACTCGCGGTCGAAGCGACCCGGGCGGCGGAGAGCAGGGTCGACAGCGTCCGGGCGGTTGGTCGCGCCGATGACGATGACCTGTCCGCGGCCGTCCATGCCATCCATTAACGCGAGGAGGGTGGACACAAGACTGGCGTGGATCTGGTCCTGCTTGCTGCTGCGCACCGGCGCGAGGCCATCAATCTCGTCGAAGAAGATGATTGATGGCTGCGAGGCGCGCGCTTCCTCAAACAGCATGCGCAGCTGACGCTCCGCCTCACCCACCCACTTCGAGAGGACATCCGCGCCCTTGCGCATAAAGAAGGCAATTTTCTGGTTTCCGTTGCTGCACGACGCGGCGAGAGCACGCGCGAGAAGCGTCTTACCGGTACCAGGAGGACCATGAAACAACACTCCGCGAGGCGGGATGATGCCAAACTGTTGGAAGAGCTCGGGGTAGAGCAGAGGGAGGGCGACCATCTCCTTGAGCTGGTTGATGTCTGCGGTCAGCTCTGCTGTAAATGATAGAGGGCAACTCACGTCCATCCAGACCGCCCACACGGTCAAATGTGACATTTACATCTACGCCCAGTGGATCAGCGTCGGCCATGTTCGACTTTGGATTGACGCGCCCAAAGTTGGGCACATCCGTCGGTCCCGGAATACCAGGCCCCCTGGCACCTCCTGGCCCGCCAGGACCACCGCCACCCAAGGCCGCAGCTGCTCCTGCTGCGTTGGCCCTGGGCAGAAGGTCATTGTCCGAGTCAGATGAATCGGGATCACCCATTGCCTGGGCAAAGTCTTTGCCCTTCACCGACCACGGGAGGGGTTTGAGGCCGCCTCCATGGCCAAAGCGAGCCGCTCCGCCGAAACCCCCTCCCGGTCTCCGTCCGCCACGAGGGCCTGAAGCCGCGGCGATGGCCTTGTTCACCATATCAGCTGCCGCAATCTCCGCAGAGATATCCATGGGGGGCAACTGGTAGTTGGGGCGCGACTCGCGCTTACGCAAGTTGCGGCCCTTGGAGCCATACTCGTCCTCTGAGTCGGGATCGGCCCGTCGTCCGCGCGTGCTCCTTCGAGGTGCCGCAGTTGACCGGGTCTGACGGGTCTGGCGCGTGCTCCGCCTCGGTGGGGTCACGCTGACGAACGAATCCTTCTCGTCATCCTCATGCTCGTCGACAAACTCGACCCCATCGGCATCAGTCTCTGAGGAAGATGCGCGCTCCGATTCGCTAGGATTGAACGACTCGCCATCCTCCTCTGAACTTCTGCGCTTGGCACGCGCCCCACGCTGGCTCAACGGCAAGTCGTGAGCGGGTTCGGGTACGGGTGGTTGAAGGGGCGCTGGTGGCTCGGCGCTGCCATTCACATGCGGCTCGTGCCCTTCTCCGTCGTCCGAGCCCTGAACAACTCGTCGGCGGCGCGTCGTTCTGCCTCCTACCGCAAGCGGCGGCGAGGCTCGCGCACCTGGACCTGGGCTCGAGTCCACAATCATAGAAGTCTCAAAGTCGTCTTCACCGTGGAAGCGTGTCGACGTCTTGGATGCGCGCGACGAGCGCCGCGTCCCAACGAGCGGTGTTGATTCGTCGGCTTCACCCTCTGCGTCTCCATTCCCGTATTCACCGTCGTCGTCGTCGTCGTCGTGACCGCGCGTTCGCCGCGTCGTCCGCGCAGGCGGCGGTGGAGATTCAGGTGGGTCCTCGAAGTCGTCATCATCCTCGGCATAGCTCACAGCCACCGCAGCTCGGCGGCTGTGGCGGGTGGAACGGCCGTGGTCCTCCTCAACCTTTACGGACGTCGACTTGCGCCTCCTCGTGTTCACTGGCATGTCGTCACCCTGCCCGCTGGCGCGGATGGCGGCGAGGTTGAATTTGATTCGAGGCGGCACGGTGGCAGCGTTCTCGCCCAGGGGAGCTGGCGCGGACGGAAGAGAAGAGGAAGGGGCGGGTGTGATGGCCGCGGGCAGAGGTTGCGCAGAAGGCTGAAGGGGCGCGTGACTTTGCTCTGCGTGCTGCTGCTGCTGCTGCTGCTGCTGTTGCTGTAGATAGAAGTGAGGTTGCGGTTGCGGTTGCTGCTGTGGCCAGACGGGCGACGGTTGCGCAGGCGAATCGAATGGGCCTGGTGAGGCGACTGCAGAAGGAGAGGGAGCGAAGGCGTTATGAGCACCTAGATAGCCTTGGTGAAGATATGAGCCGTAGTCGGGCGTCGGGGGAGGGTAGATCTGGTGCTGATGATGCGGATGAGGCGATGACTGCTGATAGTAAGGCTGTGCCTGAGGAGAAGGAAAATGGGGAGGGGATTGCTGGTGCTGATGATGATCGTAGGCAGCAACTACGGGTGGGGGATAGGTGGAGGAAGAGGAGGAGGAGGAGGAGGGATGTTGCGAGTGAGAGGAGAGGTGTTGAGGATGAGGTGGGAGATGAGGAGGTTGAGAGAGCTGTTGATGAGGAGGGTATGGATACTGCTGTTCGTGTGGGAGATGGTGTGGGTGTGGAGAATGTGGTGGATAAGAAGTAGATGTGATTGTGGGAGAATGGGAATAAGAAGAGGATTGTTGTTGTTGTGGATGGATTGAATGAGACGAGTTGTTGTTTGGGGGATAGCCCTGTCGAGGTGGGGGAGGAGGCATCAGAGCGCCATCCCGGACGGTCGCGAGTAAGAGACGGGGGGATGAGGAGGGATGACTGATGGGAGGGGAGTGGGGTTGAGGACAATGTGGATGATGGCGGCTGAGTTATGGATGACGAGGGGAGAAATGAGATCAGAGTACGAGTTGTCAGAGGCGACGAGGAACAATCACCTTCCCTCCTCACCCAACTCGATCCAGGGCACCACGCCGCGCCGCGTTTGCCCACAAAGTGAGTGACCTCTTTAGGTTGCCACGTGTTGTCGAATTGCTGCCGCTCACACTCACTGCCCCACTCCATGATGTTCCACGTGCGAGTCACGTGTCTGAAGCTGACCCTATATCTCCCGTCTCCGTCCCATCCCCAGGTCGTCGAAGACTCGCCACCACCGTCCATGCACATAAACTCACTCACCGTGACTACATGAATTGCAGACCGCGCTAGACTCGAGGGCTGCTTCTTGTCCATATATCTGTGTAAAAGAAGCCTGCCTATCGATGGAGCACAGCAAGTTGGAAGTGTGATTTCATGGTGTGTAGTAGGTTAGCGACCTGCTGTGTTTCCGGGGACAGAGGATGCGGCGGTTAGAGCGGATAATGAGGGGAGCGAGGAGAGCGGAGGCATCGTCTGCCTCTGTCCAGAAGTTGCCACTGTGCACGAAGGGAGTATTGGATTGGAGGCAATGCACCAAGGCAAGGAAGGTGTAGTCTGTTCTCGTCGTCACCTCTTTCTAGTCCCCCATCCTCTTTCTGTTTCATCCACTTCCTCATCTCCTCGAGCTCCCTCCTCCTCATCCTCATCCTCCTCCTCCTCCTCTTCTACTCCTCACTTCTCCATTCACTCATCCCCTCATCACCCATCTCTCATCGCTGTATTCCATCTGTATCGAGCGACATTCCGCCTGTCCTACTAATAGCCCATCCTCCCATCCTCCCATTCTCCACCAACTACTCCCATCCTCTAACCCACACCACCCACCCATCCCACCTCAAACCCATTTATCACCTTGCCACCTCTCCTGCAGATCCCGCACGCGATTTCCGCATCACTTCCCTCCTTCTCATCATTTCCCCCCACATCTCCCATCACGCCTTCACAAATGAGCCGGCCAGACCATCAAGACATCAATCACATGAACCTTGCAGAGCTCGAGGCGCGTGAACTCGCCCACGCTCTTTCGGCTCACACTCTCGCCGGCACAGAGGCGCACAGTGCCCTAACAATCTCTGGACTACTGGGTACCTCTCCTGAGCGGCGACTTGGTATGTCCTTTCCAAACGACGGCATCGAGCGAGATGTGTGGAACGAAGCTGTCGAGTCGGCTCGGCGAGCAGGTTACGACCCCGTGCGGCGGCGAGCCGAGAACCGCGCCATTGCGCAAGAGTACCGGCAGGCGGCGCAAGCAATACGCGATCGCCATCTAAACCGCGGGCCCATGAGCCTAGGTCCCCACCCTATATCTGGGTGGGACAACAATGGGCGCATGGCAAGCACCATCCTCCGCCGGCCCCCGCGGCGCATCTATGGCTTTGACCCGAGCGACATCGATCCCCCGGGTGGTGCGGACGATCATATCTGGGAACGACTGGGGGCCGTAGAGAGTGACGAGGACGACGATGGGTGGGGCACGTTTCGCACGGCATCTGTCGAGTATCCGGGACAGCAAATGCTCGTCGACATGTTCGAGGTCGACGGTTGGGGTGCCCCACCCGATGCCAATTCCACCCTTACGCGTGGAAGGATGAACCGGCGCCGTCCGAGTCGAGGGGACGACGGGCGACGACGGCAGCGCGACGATGACGAAATGGAAGGCGACTCGAAACGGCGGCGACACGTCGAGCCGAGCCACGCGCCAGACAACGAGCGACCCGGTTACCTCCTGTTAACGACGCTGTCGCCTAACGCCAAGCTACCCACCATGTTCGAGTGCCCGCCGAGATCCCGCGATCCCATGAAGACGAGCTTCCTCGATCTCACTGTCGAGGAGCGCGAGGGCGTGTGGCGCCCTGTCGTGTCATTTCGCCCTGAGGCGGGCGACAGGCTATCCAAAGAGGATACGGACGCATGCTCTTTGCACACGTCTGCACCTATCCCTCCCGGCGTTGGTGTGTTCTACTACGAGGTCGAGATTCTCAACATCGGCTCGCAAGGACACATATCTGTCGGCTGGACCAGGCCCGAATGCGACCACAGACGGCTCGTGGGCTGGAACAAAGGCAGCTGGGGGTGGCATGCGGATGACGGCAAGACATTCGAGGGTAGAGGCGATGGGCGAGACTTCTCGGAGCCGTGGAACAGTGAGTCTGTGTAGCTGAATGAAGCTGACAGCTAGCGGGCGACGTGGTCGGATGCGGTCTAGACATGACGATCGGGCGCGCTTTCTTCACACGCAACGGGAAGTTGCTAGGTAGGTCGTCCGAGCCGCTGGCTAGAAGACCAGAACCGGCTGACTCCAGGCCACGCCTTTTCCAAGATGCCGCCCGGCCTCTATCCTGCCGTCGGCATGAGAAACGAGGAGGAGTCAGTCGCGATCAATCTCACAGGCCCCTTCCGGTACAATATCGTCGAGCACGTCCAGGCTGTGAGGGACGGCATCCGCGCCACCCTCGACCCGCAGCACGAGGCCTTCTCCGACCTGCCACCGCCTATCCCCGTGCCGAAACTCGTAGGCCTGCCAAGCACATCACCCTCCACGCCCGCCGACAAGCGCCTCTCGGAACCCGAAGCCGTCCTCCTCTCCAAGCTCAAGGCAAAGCTCAAGTTGCGGCGGGAAGACTCGCCGTTCTCGCCGCCCGACGGTTCGCCCCTCGTCAGGGGGCCGGACCGTGCGGCCGCCGCCCTCGTTCTCGATTTCCTCTCATTCAACGGACACAGCCGGGCACACTACTTGTTGACAAGGGATATGCGCGCGCGTGGGTATCTGCCACCACGCGCGCAGCCAGAACCATCTGCCCGTCCCGAGCCTGGGCCGAGCGGAACCAAGGACGACTATCCAAGCACAAGCGCCGCGATCCGGGCCGCGGTGGACGCTCTCGAGGCCGGCGAAGTGCGCTGGCCCCTCATCCGGTCACTAGGCGGCGCTGGCGAGTTGGCGCGGCGCCTTGACGTGTACGCGTTTGCTGCCGAGGCGCGTGCCGCTAGCAGTCGTGTGTGCGACGACGAGGCCGACGACGAAGACGGAGAGGTCGCTGCCGTGGCTATGGGGCAGGATCTGGACCGCCGTTCGCGCTCCGAGGGATGGCCTGACGCCGACCTTGATCTCTTGGGCCGCGCCAACCGCCAGATCGTACTCCCGGACGACTCGTTGGATTCGGACCGGCGAGCTGACGCCGCGAAGCTCAATCGCTTGCTCCGCGATGCAGCGGGAATCCAGCGCCACTCGTGTCTCTATCTCGCGACAGCGCAGACGGGCCTCGTGCACGATGTGCTGACGGAGCGGGGGGACGAGTCGGCTGCATTCATGGGGCTCTCATACGTGTTGGATAGTTAAACTAGATGGTGGAAGCATGTATACTACTACGTTGAGATCTATACTCGTGAACTTGAGCGTCGCACTGGACCACGGAGTGGGCTGTGATGAGATTTCGCTACACCAGTTGAGCTGGTGGCCTATGAGCGCTTGCGCGTGGCCTTGTGGCGTTGGTGCTGCGACGAAGGCACGGGCTGGTGTGGTGCGCTTGCGTGTCCTCGCAGAGCAGGTGAGAGAACATGGTCGCCAAAGGAATCGTACTCCTGCGACTGCTCAGCCGACTCGAGCGAAGATTCCGGGCTGCTGGCCTACAGTCAGCGCGGGGGGCCGTCAGTAAGTCGCACCTTGATGTGCGGAGGGCTCGCAAAGCGTATCGCCTTTTCTGCCGTCTTCTTCTCGACCTTGCGTCCTTCACTTCTGTCACCGTTGTCATCACTGTATCCGGATACAGTGGGACTTGTCACACGCTTGCGCTTGCGCCGAAGAGCAGCGGGCGGATTCGTCTCCTTCGCAATCGTTGTGTTGTTTTCCGCTAATGTTCGGCAGGCAGGCGTCTCGTCCTTGCGCTGCGGTGAGCTATACGGTGGTGCGGGCGCACGCTATCTTTCCTCTTGCCAGGCCGCTGAACCTTTCGGCCGTTCTCATTGTCGCAGACACATTGCATCTTACCTTCCCAGTCAGCTTCCGAGGGCCGGAGACTCACGCCTGATCTGCTCCACGATGTCTAAGAGCATCAGCTGCCTCCATGACTCGACCTACCCTTGTCGCCCTCGATCTGTCTATCAGCTTCTGGCGCAATGCTACACCATACAAGCTTGTTGGAGTCCAGTCGGGCCACAAATTCGGCGAGGGCCGACGAGTGAGCAATCTCCATTGCGTCCTCGCGTTCGGCCAACTCAAACGCGTGAGCGATTGCCTGGGTGCTCAGCAACAGCACAGTCTATGTGACACTTACTTGATCCTCCAGCTCGCGTTCTAGCTTCTCGATCCGCTTCTGGAATTCCAAGCTCTGCCGCTCCGAGTGCGCGAGCTTCTCACCCAGGAGGCTGTCCCTCGCAGTCGTGACTTTGAACTTGTTGGCCGTAGCGCTCAATCTGCCACGCGCGCTCTTGAGCCTGTCCAGTTCTTTGTAGGTGCGGTCCAAGTCGTTCGTGAGCCGGCTGACTTGGGTCTGGAAGTAAGCTTGTCTCTATTATCTCTGCTCACCAGACGCTCGGCCGCTAAAGCTTCAGCGACAGCCTGGGCTTCATGCGCGGCGGTTGATGTGGACTCATGGCGCGCAATCTCCTGCTGCGCGACATTCCTCGCCTGCAATGCCTGGTCGAGCGACACCTGCATTGCTGCCAGAGCGGCATTGGCACCTGCCTGTGCCTCGCGCGTTCTGATCTCTCCATCCTTAAGTTGCTTGCGAGCTAGCGTCGTTTCGTCCCTGCTTACATCCAACGCTTCTTGAAGTCTCATCGTCAGTCCTCCACTCAGCGTTGAACTCACCGAACCACCTCTTTTGCTGCCCTGCTGTGTTCAACCATGCGTGCGTCCTCCACCTTCTCTTTTGCCTTGATGGCTTCGTGACGCTCACGGTCGGCGTTTCGGCAGTCCCGGAGCAGCTTCTCATTCCTGTTGTAAGACCGATACGCATTGCAGGGTCACCTCTCCTCGAGACCGACGATCTTATCGTTCAACGTTCGGATGATGTTGGGAGAGAGGAGCCCGCTGTCTTGAAGGCTGACAGTTAGCACGACTCAACACGGGATGTAGCGCCATGCAGTCTTCACCTCTTCAGCGCTGAGCCAAACCCTTCACCGTCGCCTCCCATTGCCTTGCAGAGTATATCGTTAACCTGGACGAGCTGAACACAGATGTTAACCTAGTATGTCGCATTTACAGCCCACCAATGAGCCTTTTCTGCCTCAAGCCTCTGTTCCGAGTCCATGCACTCTGCCTGTCAGCTGAGCGAAGTTCGCAAGTGAGGCTTCGCTCGTACTGATTTTTAGCTCCTGGAGTCGTGTTTCATAGAGTCCGGTGCTCAAGTTTGCCGAATCGCTGAGAGACTTGATCCGAATACGTATGAGATTGAGGCCTTCAAGTGCCTTTTCCGTGGCTGGCGATCAGGACTACTACGGAGCGCGCTCACCTTGACGAGACGTCTCAGCTTCACTTTTGATCGTGTTGAGATCCTCACGAGCACCGCAGATGGACCCATTGATGGCCTCCTTTGCAGATGCGTGCAGGGATCGAAGGTGCTTCGAGTTGGCCTGCACCTTATCCAAGCTACACTGTCAGCGCGCCAGGCGTCGCCCGCACCCACGCGGACCTCAGCCGCTGCAAAGACTTCTCTTTGGTGCGGAGAGTCTTTTCCTGCTCAAGCTCCTTTTCCAAGGTCTGTTTCAGCCTGGCCTCAGTGTCCTTGACTTTGGCACAGAGCTGCCTCTTCTCCTTCTCGAGCTGCTGGTTGGTCAAGCTGAGAGCAGCCATTTGCGCTAAACTTCCGTGGGGTTTTTGTTCAGTTCTCTCCTGTCGACGACTCCTTTCCTGCCGTTTAGCTAAGGCGACCGCATATCGAATCTCACAGACGTGTCTACGTCCTCGGTGCCCCATGGCATCTCGGCGAGTGACTTGTGCGCTCCCGAGGCAGTACGGCTGCACGCAGAAGTGGTGTCTGAACGTTTGGAGTTGCCACGCGTATTCTGCTGCCTGGCCCAGCCGTCTGCGTGCTTCTCGCCGCTTCTCAGGTTAGCGGAGCTGAAGATCGACCCTTCCAAGCGGCTAGAGGTGTCATCGGAAGGGGCATCAGGGACGTCTTCCTCAGATTGTCCTTGGTAGCTGTACGCAAAACCATAGCCGTCGAAGTCACCATGGCGCCAGATGTAAGGCTGCTTCTGAGTTGCGGGCTGAGCATGCGAGTGATCGTGGACTAGTAGAGGGCGCCGGGATGAGTGGGCTGAGCGTGGGGCACGCGTAGGATGCTTGGTGGTAGATATGGTATAGGTGTGTTGCGTTGGGGGAGGACATTGAGTGGCCGGAGGGGTACGTGAAGGAAGGTCGCCGACGTTGGGTCGCCCAAACGTAGACACTCCGCGCTGTCCAATCTGCGAGATCTCTCGTGACTGCGGTCTCGTGTCTCGAGGCCATGCGTTAGCGGCATGCTTCTGTTGCGCATTGGCGAATTCGATGGGCCGGTCGCCGGCGGGCCTAGAGGCATATTGCTTTGAGCGGTTCATGGTGTGAGTAGAGGCGATTTAGATGGCCAGGAGCAGAATGAGTGAGTACGAGACGCGAGGCAGAAGGTTTGAGACTCGAGTTGGCAAGGAGCAGAAGGAGTAGTAAGTTCCAAGGAGGTTTGAAGAGGGGAGGCTGGACTGGACGACTGACGCGCAACAACGTCAGTTGGGATCACGAGCTGTTGCCCTGCGGTGGTGAGCGATGCCGTACGGAACGTGGCGGGGCGGTGAGCAATGACGAGCGAGAGAAGCAGCCGTCAGGATCAGATGAGTAGGTGTGGCCAGAGAGTTGAGATGTCGAGGTGAATTGAGGAGAGTGGAAGATTGGGCAAACGAAAGATGAAGATGAGGTGGTAACCAGGACCCTCCTCGCCCATGGGCCCATCGGCCATGGGCCATCGGCTGACTGTGTCAAAGGAAGCCGGGAAGCTAGACCGCCAGGTGACTCACCTCTCTCAGCCTCCCACTGACACCTTCCCTCCCTCCCTCCGTCCCTCTGTGATCATGATCCATGGCTTCCTTCCGCCCACGCAGTACGCCGAGCCGCCACGCAAGCCACCTGCGTCAGCTCGACGCGATGGTACGATCGCGACGGCGAGTGGACGGCGATGCGAACGGGCGATAGAGCGTGCACAGACCGTGCCCATATGCCCATGGCACTCTTCGCGGACATGCTAGTCTGGTCCATTTGTCATCCTCACTTCTTACACTGTTCGTTGCCACCATTCCGTCTCTTCATCCCGCGGCCCAGGCGCCTTCGCCGAAGATGGGTCGCCGCAGCCGGCTGGGCCGGCGGCTGAGCCGCATGGCTGATCGTCTCCGGCACAAGGTGGGGTAAGCGGAGCAGCAGGCAGCGGAGATGCGGCCCAGCCAGCGGCATGGAGGGTCGGCCGGTTACATCTGGGTATCGTGCGGAATGCTCACACCAGTTTTCGAGGGCCCGGTTGCAGCCCAGTACGGAATCACTGGAGGCGAGCGCGAACGGCGCACCGACGTTTCGCGCGCTTCCAGTCGATGATTTGCTCGAGCGCATCTCCGAGCTTGAGGCGACATACCTTCTCAATATCAAGCTGTGGGGATATCCGCAGTTGCGAAAAGCGCGGTACTGGGATCGTCGAAAGATCTGTGAGTCAGACTGGTGTGATGGTCAGCACGTCAGCAGCTCGGACTGGGAGCGGCTGAGATGCGCGAGATTAGCTGGAGCGAGCGCGGGCGCTGACGGCAGGGGTGGTCATTGACCAGCTGGGGCAGGCGGAGGAGGCGCTGTCATATCACATGCGCGAAGCCGAGGCGGCGTTCAGAGCGCTGAGCGCACGGCCGCCTCCGAAACCGCGATCTTTGTTCCACGAGGCGTCGCTGCAGTTGCCTGTTCTGGACGCCAAAACGAAGGAGAGGCCGGCGGCCATCGCTTCTGAGGGTATATCATCCTCGGAGTCCAGCTCGCTCATCATCGATCCGGCCGCGCTGCCCCGAGCATCAGCAAGCAAGTTTCTCACCAGCTACTACCTCTCGCTAAGCGAGATACGCGACAGCCTAAAGCGGTGGCGTGCCGAGCTCAAGGCAATTGCTGACCATGTGTGACGCGCGTGTCACCATGCCACTTGCCGAGACACCGCAGAGACGACAAGACGCGACGAGATGCAATAGAACGCATCGACGGATCAGAGTAGTCGATTGCAGCGCAGCGTACCTGTAGTCCATAGATTCATTCAGTAGTACCAAGTCACAAGTCGACGTTCGCACAAAAACACAGCCTGGGGCCCTGGGGAATGCCTGTAATGCGGGGAATAGAAATCGCCCCCTTTAGCGCAGCGGGCTCCACGAAGTCGGTACCATGATTGTCGTCTTCATCGTCTGGGTGAGGCGCGACGTCTGCTGGACCGTATCGGCCCACCCGCCAATGGTCCACGCCTTACCACGAGCGCTTTGACGGGTTGCCATGTCACTGCACGTCAGCGTGTCTGCACTGCAGGAAGGAAGCAAGGCGACTTACGGGTATTGCCAGATGTGGTGAACCTCGTGCAGCTGGCCAACCTGACCAAAGAAGCCGCCGACGGGCTGCACGAATCGCAACCGAGCCTCAACGCCACGTCTCCATGCCGATTCCCACTCGAGCAGCTTGCCGGGCTGCAGCTGGTATGTGCGCATTTCGAACACGCCGCCGTCGGGATACCCACTGTCGCGAGGTGGCGACATTGGGAGGAAGACAAATTCGGACATGAGCTGGTGCTGACGCGTCTGAATGTGCGGAAGCATGGCGTTGAGGTGCTTCTGGAGGGTCTGGATTGTCAGCGCCAAAGTGGGGTGGTCACTTGCCTCATTCTTCGACACCAGCAGGCGGGTCTCATCGTAGCCCTTGTAGCCCTCGTGCTCCAGAATGTGCGTGAAGTTGCCCACAGCACCAACGATGGTTTCCCAGCTGCCGCACAGCTTGACGTTGCCTAGATTGTAGCTTTCCTTGGCCAAGGTGGTGAAGTAAGCCTCGGCGGCTTCAAGGTACGCATCGCGGTGCCCCGGGATGACGGCGTGGGTGATCTTCTCGTGAACGTACTTTCCGCGGCCTACGGTCTTGGAGTGCTGCTTCTTCTCCAAGAGCTGAATATCGCCCTCGGCACGAGCATGCTCCGAGCCGTAGAAGAGTGACTGCAGAAGGTCAGCTGGTGGGCGATGGGGAAGAGTGCTGCTAGGTGACTCACGCCGAGGAAGCCCTTGGTGGCGGCCTTCTCTGCTTCGGTGGCGACTGGCTTGTCTTTATCGTCGAGGATGGGAGTGGTGGCGTGCAGGGATCGGGCCGAGACGGCGATTAGACCGCGGGCGGTTGCGAGTGGGCGGCGAGCGATAGACCTAGTGATCATGGTTAGGGGAGGATGGGGGTGGTGGAGAGCGAGAATCAAGAGGAAAGAGGAGATGGGGTGATGACTGAGGAGGGTTAAGAGGTTGTTTGTGAGTGAGTGAGAGGAGACGAGAGAGAGAGAGGAGAGATGAGATGAGATGGGATGAGAGATGTCGGTTGATGGCCGGTTAGGAGGAGTGGTGACGAAGTGCCTAGGCGCGTCAACAGTCTCATGTGACGACATTGCTCATCCTCATCCGGACCGGCCACAGCCGTCGCCCGATTATCGAATTCCTCAACGCATTCCAATCAGCCGGGGTCCCCGCTATGCCACCGCCAACGCACTCACCGTACCAACGTGCAGGCCGTAATCCCAATCTCCTGAGATTGATGACTCGCATCTCCACTGACACCACCGATGCTGTCCTGATCTCCTGAGATCATAAGATCCCTCATTCGTCAAATGCATCGCTTGCTCCATCCGCGCCATCCGATCATCCGACCTCCGCGCGACCTGGTGGCTGGTGGTCCAAATTGCAACCGCCACAACGTCCTGGGCACCGGAATTAAATTATCGCGTGGCAAAAGGGGAGGCTTAAAGATACTCTCCGATACTTCCAGGCGCGACCATTATGGCACGTATTGATGCTGGCCGCTGTTGCTTTGTTGCTTGGTGCTTGTTGCTCTCCCTCACTTCGCGCACCCCCCCCCCCCCCCTCAACATCCGCACTCATCTTCGACCTTCGTATCCTGTCTCATCCTCGACATACGGCTCTCAAGTGCATCGGTACCGCAGAGCACAGCCAGTGTTCCTTTAGCCAGGTGTCGATTTGAACAAGCCTACGTCACGCAACCGATAGACACAGCCACAACACACAATCTCTTTCCTTGCCTCGCCTATCACACATCTCAAGCCTCGAGCTTTGATCATCACCCAGTCCACAACACAGACCTCGGCCGCGTCTGAGAGATCATGTCCGGTTACTCGGGGTTACCTGCGCGCCCGGTGGAAGCCTCTCCTACCCGCTCGCCCGAGCGTCCCCCTCCACCAGATGACCGCGGGCGTGCTGGATACGACGCGCCCCCTCATCGTGACTACGAGCGTGGGTATGACTCGGAGCGTCACTATGGAGGTTCACGTGATTATGATGACCGCTGGCAAGACGACTACGGTGAGTTAAGGAAGGAGCTTCTGACGGGCAACTAATGCCAAGAACGCAAGCGCCGCCGATCGCCTTCTCCCAGCTACCCACACCAGCGTCAGCGCCGTCGATCCCCTTCCCCAGGGCGCTACAACCAACTTCCTGACCCAGCGAGCTTGGAGACGGTCCTCACCTTCAAGCAGTTTGCTGAGTGGTTCCGCGTCTCCCATCCCCAGACGGCCAAGGACGACGACGAGGACTTGCGCCGCATTCGCGCCGACGTCGAGTCTGGCGCGTTGCCCAAATCGGTGCTAGTCGAGAAGCACGGTATGGCCAAACGCTACGAGAGGTACAAGAAGGAGTACTATTCGCGTCAGGTGAGTTGGCTGCTTTTTGCCCGTCTGACGCCAGCTTTTTGCGCTGTATCTCACCCACCGGGACGATGCATGGTTCCAGGAGCGTTATGGACAGAGCGAGGAGGTCGCGGCATTGCGGCGGCGAGTCAACCGTCAAGGCCGCGTCCCAGCCGTCGAGCAGTACATAGCCGAGCTGCGCGACGGCAAGTGGGACGACGCAAATTACGATCACTCCGAAGACAAGCTGCAGCCGCCAGAGGTCAGGGATGCAATGGACCGCGCTCTCGGCGACGAACCGCACGACCCTCTGCGGATGGTCGTTCCTCCCCGCCCTGGACAAGTGTTCGTCAAAACAGTGCCCCCGACCACGAAACGAAAGGACCTAGAAGGTGTCTTTGCCAAGCACTCTGGCTTCCAGTGGTTGGCTCTGTCTGAGCCCTCGATGAAGCGCAGCTTCCACCGCGTTGGATGGGCGCAGTACGAGGATGGCGTCAACGTGGAAGACGTGGTCAACACCATTGACGGTTCCAAGGTGAGTGGCAGCGAGGTCTGGATGAAGGCTAATTGCACAGGTTGACAACTTCACTTTCCATATGGGCGTCAATGCCTCTGCTATCGTCGGGCGTATACGCTTGACTCCTGCCATCGCAAACACGTTGACGCGAATTGAGACCGACGCTGAACGCGCGCGCGAGCTCGCCCTCAAGCTCGAGGACGAGCTGATGGAGACCGACGCACCGCCGTCGGAGCCGCCCGCAGACGGCGAGGGAGCCGAAGGCGTCGAGGAGCAGGAAAAGGAAGATAAGGCACGCGGTCTCCACGAGCGTGGAAGCGATGCTGTGGCTGACGTTGTCACCCGTTTGCTTGCTCAGCAGGGTCTCGACGGCGACGAACTGGACGAGGAGCAACGCTTGCGCAAGGTTCGTTTACTCCCCGTATTATGACTGACATTTTAGGCCAAGATTACTCTTGACCAGTACCTCTCCTACTTGCGCAATGCCCTCAACACGTGCTACTATTGCGTCGTGCCGACTGCGTTCCCCGAAGAGTTGCAGCGCAAGTGTGTCCAGCATCTGCGTGCGCCGGAGGAGACGACAGCGAATGACGAGTCTGGCCGTGACGGGGAGGAGGACGCAAAGGAAGGCGATGGAGCCGTGGCTGAAAGCCGTGAAACCGAGGACAGTACGCCCCGCGAGGCTCCCAGCAAGAGGTACACGTACCCGTCCAAAAGCAGTGAGGAGCGGTGGGTGGAGAATTTGGATCTCAAAGTGCGGGGCATCATCGATGAGGATCCGGATGTGGTCGAGTACGGCGGGCGTGACATTGAGGACGAGCAGCGCCGCCTGCTGGCGCCTTACATCAAGCAGGAGGAGGTTGACAAGTACCGCTGCAAGGAGTGCGGCAAACTCTTCCGCGCACCGGAATTCGTCATGAAGCACATCATGAGCAAGCACAACGTCACTGTCAAGGACAAGCTCGACGAGGTGAGCTGCAGCTTGTGGGCGTTGGCTGACAACAGATGCACGTGTTCAACGCGTTTGCACTTGACCCGCAGCATCTGCAGCCGACGAGCTCGACGCTCGCCGCAGTCGACGACCAGCTGCCCTCCCGTCCTGCGCTCTCAGCCTTCAACCCAGCCGTCGCCAGCCAGGCAATGTTCAACCCTGCAGCAGCAAGCCAGCCTGGCTTCAACATGGCCATGCAGCAGCAGATGATGATGATGATGCACATGCAGATGATGATGCATGGCGGCAGCACTGGGATCGCTGGTCCCGCCGCCGGCCCCAGCCCCGCAAAGGGGCGGACGCGCGACTTCGATGCTTCCGAACTCCCGCCAGCACCGCCGGGCGGCGAGGACCCACGCGCGCGCAAGGGTCCCATCTCGTACCGCGACCTGGACGAGCCTTCGGGTGCAGGCGATGGTGGCCTCCCGTATTAGGTTAAAAGCAGCATGCATTAGGGAGATGAGCTGAAGATGTCTGGAGATACGACGAAGGTGTGGTGTTGTTGTCGTCGGGCGTGATAGGAGGTGGAGGTCACTTTCCCACGGTGAGTGTTGACAACAATTTCAGAAGTTGAATGCCACCATGGACCCCAAGTCCAGTGTTCACAACCCAGAGATCCAGAGACTACTCTACGCTCATCTTCACCGCCATGTCGTCCGCACTTTCGGGCACGACGCTTATGGCGCTTCTCACATCGCTTCCTCTTCCATCTTCCGCTGCTGAAGAGCTGGTATCACTCCATGCGCCATTCGTTCAGCCGTCCACCCTCTCTCAATCACAGCTCGGCAAGTGGCTCGCCCGCTTGAACAGCGCCGTGATGGCGCGCGACCCCGCCGCCGCATCGCTCGCCGCAATTGTGATCGAGCAGGACAGAGAGGGGTACGCCGCTGCACAGCACGGCAAGGGGTGGATGGGCTCCTGTTTGGGTGTGCTTGCCGTGAGTCTCTCCACCACGTCCACCTTCCTCACGAGCTCCCGCCGTTGCCGCTTGGTCTCAAAGCTAATGCCAGGCCCCCGCCACCACTGTCGAAGCTCTTCCTTCCTTCCTCAAGCTGACGTGTGCGCTCGTCGCCGCCGCACCCCAAGCTCCCGCCTTCGAGCGTGAGGTTGTCCAGCCAGCGATGGGCAAGATTGCCGTATCCCTGTCCCGCCTCGTCGAGCGCTTGGTCGAAGCGCAAGCCTATCCCGCTATCAGGGAGACCTTGGAGGCAGCCAGCGCGCTTATTTCCGCCTCACCGCCGCCCTTCCGGCCCGCAGCACCGGCCTTGCGCGCTGCTATGACCACTCTGGTGTTGGGCGGGGAGGCGCCCGAGGATGTAAAGTATGCCGCGGCGCAGACCCTCGCCGTCCTCCACATGGCCGCCGGGAAGGCTGGCGCTCCGGCCGCGTGGGGAAGTGACATGCGTGAAGCACTCGGCGGCCTGGCGGCCTCGATGAGCGCGATGACGGCCGAGGCCATGGAGGAAGGTGAGCTCGTTGACAGGGTCAGCTGACATCAGAACCACCTCGCACCGCCGCGCCCCCGCCTTCGTCTTCCCTTCCAGCCTTCCCTGTTGACCACATCGAGCGCGTGAACGCAGCTCTGTTCGCCGTGGAGGGATACACTGAGTTGGCCGTCGCGCTCCTCACAACCGCCACGGCTCGGCCGGTACCGGTCCCCATCGCGCAGATCATCTCCGCTGCACTTCGCGCACTGAATCTGACTTTCGACACTCCCGTCGCGCCGTACGTCTCGCCATCGCACCACGCTGCTCTCGCCGCATCTCTTCCTCGTGTATGGGCTGCGGGCCTTCTCTTGTTGGGTGGAGCTATGGCCGCATGCGGAGACCACGTCGTGCCCCACCTCACTGCGATCCTCGAGCACACAGTCTACCTCCTCGAGCGTACCCCGGCTGCGATGGCTGGTGCAAGGCTCCAGCTTCTCCGCTTCCACTCTCTGCTTCTGCAGATCTACCCTGCCGCCACCCTGCCCGCAGAGTACACCCAGAGGTTGCTGAAGTTCTCCCTCGGCGTGCTGGGAGGGGTGCTTGATGCCCGGCCTACCGTCACTTCCGCCACAGGGACGGGGCGGAAGGGAAAGAAGCGCGCCCGTGGAGCCGAGGACGCATTGGTGGGCGGACTGGCAGGCCGCGCACCCCGCCCTGCTACCGCCGTCGAGGCTGAGATTATGCAGGCCGCCCTCGAGCTCTCGCCCGCCCTCCATAAGACGGTGCCGCCTGCACTTCTGAATTTCTCCCTGCGCCTTCACCTGGCGCTGTACACTACTATCGCGTCCCGACCATCTTTCACCGCCCCATCATCTGCCACGGCTGTCCGCGCTACATTGGACAGCGTTCTGGAGCATGCGGCGACTCTTGAGGCGGCCGGCACGGCGCGGGACATCCGTACCCTCCTCCTCTCCATCCTCCCTTCCACTGTCGAGCGGAACGCCGTCTTCGATGCTCTTCTCCACCCTGCCCTCCCGCCTCTGTCACGACCCCTGCCTCCGCTCGCGCAGCTGCACATGTTTGCTCCGGAGAGCGAGGCTGAGAAGAAGGTGCGGCTCGAGCTAGGCTTCCGAGACGGCAACGAGGAGGATGAGGAGGATGAGGATTCGGACGAGGACGAGGACATGGCCGTCGACGACTGGCCGACAGGTAACGGCGTCGCGCAGCCGGTGGCACCTCCGACGCCAGCCCCAGTAGCTGTTGCTGTGACCATCGCACCGCAACCAGTTGCGGTCGAGGTTGTCGTTCCACCACCGGCTGCTGTTTCAGCGCCGTTTTCGGCACCTATTCCGGCCTCTGTTCCAGCCCCAGCTTCCGTACCGGTCGCCGCGCCTGCTGCAGTGTCTGTGCCTGAAGCAGCCCCCGCGGCGGCGCCGTTCATGTCGAGTAGCTCTTTCTCTGCACCCGCGCCACCCGCTCCAGCACCGGCTCCGGTCGCGGCAGCGGAGGACGAGGACGATTCGGACGAGGAGATCCCGGACCTTGACAGCGGGAGCAGCGACGAGGACGAGTAGAGTACATCATTAGATTTGCATGCATTTGGCCACTGGACGCGAATCGAGGCCAGTCTCAGCTGGAATATCCCTTGTCTGCATGGCTCCACTAGTTCCGCATCTCCTACTGAAGCCGCATCGCGTACCGGACAACCATGAGAATGGACAGCGCCGCGACTGAAAGTCAGCGCTCCACGAGTTCTGGAACTCACCAAGACCCGCAGGCATGAACTTGCCGGACGCAAGGAACCGCTTGCCCATGAGCAGGGTGAGGACAGCAGCGACGGCTGGGATCAGCTTTTGTCTTGGGCTCAAGCTCACCGAGGGAGACGCGCACGTCCTTGGGGTTGTAAGAAGCGCGCTGGGGTCAGTTGATTAAGCAGGGCAGGGGACGCACGTAAGCTCCCCACCCGGCCAGCACGCCGGAGCCTCCGCCGGCGATGAGCGAGGCGACGGAGCCCTTCTTGATGAATCCCATCAGGCCGCCGGCCGAGATGAGGGAGGCGTAGATGAAGCCTGCGGTCAGCTAATCGGTGGTCTGACCTTGTGAATGGACGCGTCGCGTGGGCATGTATCACAGCCGCGTTCAGACGCGACGCCCACGGAGCACGAGACCACGACATGGGCGGGGGGCGAGCAGGCAGCCGCGGCACGTTGCACGCACCTGGAATATCGTACTCTGGGGTGCGGGCCATATTGTCGAGAGGTGAGAGGTATAGAGATCGAGCGATGATGTAGTGTCGAGTGTCAGGTCATGGCGGGAGGCGGATGGCGGATGGCGGATGTCGGCTGACACTGGACACTGGACACCAGTGACGATGACCCCGTGGGGAAGGTGCCACAAGAGGACTGTCGGAGGAGAACACAGTCACCGCACGTGCGAATCTGACTCACGCCCCAGGTAGATATGATCGCCCTCCCCTCCCTCTCATCACCCAGCAGTCGCGTTCAACGCGACTCTTAACCCATCCGTCGCTCAACACTCGTCCCCCTGCTCATCTTCCAGCTTCCGACTACATTCTGGACTCAGCTTCAGCTACGAGCCCGCCACCACCTCTCTCCAGTATACCCGCCGTGACCCCATCACAGGCGCAATTCGCCACTCAATCCCACTCCGGCGTCGGCTCCGAACTGCTCTCCCCACGTCCCACTTTCCCCACCCCCACCGCCGAAGCCTCCAGCTCGACCATGCCAGCCCAGCAAGTCCACGCCCGCCGCACCCCCCAAGCCGCGCGCAAAGGCAAGCTGGGCGGGCGCAAGCCCGAGCTGGTCCTCGACGGCGGCGAGGACCCCTCGCAGTGGCTCGGCTTCTCGCTACCCCCGCGCGCATCGAATTACGGGGGGATGGCGGGCCCGCCGCGTCGCTCCCGCCGCGGCGACGCGTGGAAGGGCAGCGCGCTCACGCGCGAGAAGTTCGTCAACGCCAGCTTCCGCTTCATGCTCAAGCCCACCGATGTGGTGGGGTATGGCGCGCACTTTGCCGATCCCGATATCAGCCTGCACTGGCCGAACATTCTGCAGGTGCTCGTTCCCACATTTTCGGCGTATTCCGTCGCGCAGGGGTTCGTGGACACGGACGCCGATGACGACGAGGCTGGCGAGGAGGCCGCCGAGCGCCGCCGCCGCATCGACGAGGAGCGTCAGGGCCGCTCGTGCCCCATCTGCCTCAGCAAGCCTGTCGCGGGGCGGATGACCAAGTGCGGACACGTATGTGTTGCTTCTGGAGCGCGCTGACCACAGATCTTCTGCCTGCCGTGCATCCTCCACTTCATCGCGTTGTCGGACGTGCCGCGCGCCGCGAGCTGCCCCATCTGCGGCGACACAATCCAGGAAAGCATGCTTAAGAGCGTGCGCTATCTTGACGCCGAGACGATGGTTTCAGCTGCAGAAGGCGATACGGGCGGTGCTCCCTCGGCAGAGAACGCGGCGATTGTCTCCGAGGCGCGCGCGATAGACGAGTCCGAGGCTGCGGCTGCTGCGAAAGGGGATGAGTCCCCCACCCATCTTTCACACAACCGCGCACACCGCATCCACATGCGTCTCCTCCACCGCCCGCAGATGACGACCCTCGCCCTCCCGGCGACAGCGACGTGGCCATCTGATGCCATTCCACCCATCAGTGCGCCGTGGTACTTCCTGCCCGACGTTCTGACGTATTCGCGCTTCGCCCTCGCCTCGCCCGAGTACATGGAGGCCGAGCTCAAGCGCGAGTTGGAGGAGCTTAGACACGAGCACAACCTACTCGTTGGCGACGAGCTCGGGCGCGCGTTCGTCAAGGCCGCGCGAGAGAAGGTCGAGAAACAGCTCCACAAAGTCCAGGACGAGCTCATGACGCCCGCCGTGCGGAAACATGAGGCTGAGGCACGTCGCGCATGGGGTGACGCGGTTGGTGGCGAGCGTCGCGAACAGGAGCACCAGCGCCAGCGGGAGCGCCGGGCGGTCGAGCGCGCCGCGAAGGAGAAGGAGAACGAGGAGGACCTAAATGTCCCGCTCGAGTTCCTTGCAGCAGGCTCGTCCGCGACGTACGGCAACGTCGAGAGCGTGCGTGTACCCCCGAACATGGTCGTCGAGCCGAATCCCATGCCAAACCTCGACGCTCGGACCAAGGGCCAGCGGCGCAAGAACAGGGGCATCGCTGCGCCACCAGTCTCGCCTGCGCCTGCGGCAGCGCCAGCTGCCTGCTTTTACCAGTCGTCGCTGGGTGCGCACGTGTACATGAGTGCGCTCGACATGCGCATCCTGATAACCCACTTTGGCTCGTATGACAACCTTCCGCCGACTCTCTCTTTCCCAACGACGGGGTACGACTCGGCGACAGTGAACGAGGACCTTCGGAAGCGTACCAAGTACCTCTCGCACCTGCCTATCGGAACCGAGGTTGTCTTTGTCGAGGCAAACCTGGCGGGCATCGTCCCCTCGGACGTGCTCGCCAAGTTCGAACAACCCCTCAAGACGCGGCGGGACAAGCGTCGCGCCCGTACACGCCGGGAGGACCGCGACAAGAAGCGGTGGGAGGAGGCGGAGCGCGCCAAACGTCCGCCTGAGGTGCACGTCGTGCCCTCCGCGCTGTCGCCGGTGGACGCGGACCTCGCCCGGGCGCTAGAGCAGTCGCGTCTCGACGCGGAGAACACGACGCACTTCCCGTCGATGGACAGCCCGCCGCGGCCGACGCACGTGCCCGCCCCGCCGTCGCCTACAAGCTCGTTCGCGAGCGCGCTTCGTGGCCCGTCGACGGCGCGTGCGTGGGTTCGGCAGGAGGAGATTGACGGCGCGGGCGTCGACGCTGCGTGGGCCGGGTTTGGCGGCGAGGGCGAGGCGGGGGAGGAGGGGCGGAAGAAGAAGGGCAAGAAGGGCAAGAAGCTCGTGTTTGGCGGCGCGGGGAGGCAGGCATAGGAGACAATAGCATTGAAATTTAGACTGTAAAGCATGGATGTTTGTACACTGCCGGGGGGTGAAGGTTTGGACACGGAGTGAGCAAAGCAAGTGAGATACATCAGAGTGGGGCAGCCCGTGGTGGTGAGCAAGCGCGGAATCGAAATTTCCAGATTCATGACGTTCGGCGTTCATCCGGTCCAGTTGAGATTGCCACCCAACTGACTATGAGCCACGCAAGACGAGCCTGCGCTGTCGCGTCGCGCCTGGCGCGCGCTTCATCTCTCAGGCCAGTGGCGGCCCCCGCCTTTGTTTCGTGCTCTCGATGGCGGAGCCTCACCACCGGCGCCGGCCCATCGACGTCGCAGTTCGGCATGAAGCAGTCTGGCCCGTTTGTGGACTATGAGACTGCCCCAAAGCCTCCTACGGAGGCGGAGGCTGGGCCCTTTACCTCGATCGACAGCGTCGATGCTTGGACGGTGAGTCATTCTCGCGACATTAGCTGACAGCAGAAAGCCGGCATCCCTCGACCTGTGATCGACCGCCTCCTCGCTGCCTATCCGGAGTGCGTGGCGCCGACGCCCGCCCAGCTCGCCTTCCTCCTCGGCATTGCCAAGGGCGATGTGGATATCTTCCTCCGCGACTACATGGGTCGCGGCAAAACGTTCGCGCTCGTCCTTGCAGCCCTCGCGATCGTGGAGAACAAAGGGCGGGTCGTGGTGATGCTCCCGACACCACATCTGGCGCGGCAAGTCACGGCCCTGTTGTTGGCTCTCGGCGACGCGCGCGTCTCCACCGTCTCGAATGACGGCGAAGCGGACCTCAACGCGCGTGTGCTGCTCGGGACCCCGCGGAGCTTCCTCGCGCTGGCGGGGAAGAAGCGGAACATGACCCTCGGCGACCGCTTGAAGGGCGTCACGCATGTCTTCGTCGACGAGATCGACAGCCAGATCGGACCGCTCCCGCACTCGCGCATGACGAAGAGCCAGCTCGAGCGGCACCCGTCGAGGAAGCACACGCCGGCCGTCGCTGACGCCCTCAACTCCCTCTTCGGAATCAAGGTGAAGCAGGACGGATACATCGACTTCTCTGGCCGCAAGAACATCACGTCGGTCTTTAGCTCGGCCACGCTCGACAATACCACCCGCAGGCACATCTATGGGCGTGGGTGGGTGCGGCCGAAGGGTGGGGCGGCGACGAAGCATATCCTCGACTTGGACTTCAGTGCTGCGGCTACGCCGAAGCAGGTCGCGCTGCGTGACACGATGGCGGTAATCGCAAAGCGGGCCGGCGCCGTCTCCGCGCAGCCTACCCAGCGCAAACCCAGACACTACGCGTTCTCCGTTAGTCCAGAGGGCAAGATCGTGCCGCTGGACCTCGCGCGGCCGGGTGACTCGGGCTTCATTCCTCCTGTTGTGGATGAGAAGGGGCGAGAAATAGATCTCGACACACTTCCCCTCAAGGGCAAGTCAGCGAACAAGCCCCGCCCCGGTCTGCCCGTGACACTGCTCGAGGGCATGGCATACCTGCATGCCACCGTGCCCCCGCCGAGCGGAACCTACTCGCTGGCCGTGCTGCCCGACGGGGCGTCTGTGACGGGCGCGACGACCGAACTCGCAGCGCTGGGGCTCAACGTCATTGCGCTCGTCCCCGAAGTGCTCGAAGGCGGGATTGAGCCGCCCCCCGCCACCGCGCCGCACATCATGCTGCTCACGACCCGCGCCGCCGTTCCCGGGCTGCACCTGCCGCACCTACACTCGATCTACCTCCTGAACGGGCTGGACGTGAGCAAGCTCTCCAAGTCGGCCAAGATGGCGGGCGGGCGCGAGGGCCAGAGCCTCGTGTACTCGATCATCACGGGGCGGCTGGGGCGTCTCGCGACTGAAGTCGGCGACCCCGCCAACCCCCAGCGCGTCGTCAGCATCGTCCAGCACGACTCGTATGAAGAGTGGGCGTTGCGGCACATGTTCGGCGACATGTACACCAAGTGGCAGTTTGCGCTCAGCCAATGGCCGGGCGAGATCAGCTGATTGTACGATTAGACATCACTCTGTACTGTATGCATCACCACTTCATCTTAGCCTCACGCGTGCACCCGTTGCCAAGTATAACGGTCGCGAGGTCTGGTAAAGGCCGCGTCTTTGAGGGGGAGCGACGAGCGGATCCCGTGCCTGGCAGCCGAGACTGGGGGCCCATGTTGTCGCCCGCGCGAGATCTAGAAAAATCAACAACAACTTCATTACCCCGCTCCAGGCCCCCCAGGCTCCACGCGCTTGAGGATATCGGCGTCTTTGCGCCTCCTAACCTTCGATTGCCGCCGCATATCCCTCGCCAGCTGTCTCCGAGGCGCGACATCAAAATGGAGACTGAAGTCCTCCCCGCCCCAAACACGAAACACATCGCGACACTACACACCCGCCTCCCGCGCGGCGAGGAGATCGTGCTCCTCCAACAAGCCGTCGACGTGGGCGGCGCGCGCCTCGGGACAACGGGTACGACGCTGTGGCTCGGCGCACAAGTGCTCTCCGCGTACCTCGCCTCCGCGATCGAGTTCAAGCCGAACCGGGGGCGCGCGCTCGAGCTCGGCGCCGGCGTAGGGTATCTCGCCCTCACGCTCGCGAGTCTCGGCTACGACGTCGTGACCTCGGACATTGAGCCGGTCGTGTCGCGCGTGCTTGCGCCAAACGCGGCGGCCGCGCCGCGCGGGTGTGGCGCGATCGACGCGCGCGAGATCGACTGGTTCGACGCGGTGCGGGCCGCACAAGCCGGCGAAGCAGGAACAGAGGGAAGGACGGAGAGCCTTGCCCTCTTGGACGCGCAGTACGACATCGTGGTCACGACCGACACGATCTACGCGCCGGAGATGACGCCGGCGCTGTGGGCGGCGCTGGAGCGCGCCGCGGCGCCCAAGCCCGGCCGGCGGACGCCGACGGTCTACATCGGACTCGAGCGGCGCGATCCGCGCGTCGTGGATGCCGCGCTCGAGATGGGGCGCCAGAGGGGGTGTACGATGCGGCGCGTGGCGCATGCGCGGCTCGTCAAGGCGCTCGAGAAGGCGGGGTGGCAGTGGGCCGACGAGGATTGGGAGGGCATCGAGGTGTGGAAGGGCAAGTGGCGATAGCCGCGCAACTAGAACCATACATGTTACTATTACTGTACAAGTTATCACAGAGACAGGTTGCGCCGCAAGAACGCCACGGCTTTGCCGTTCGCCTCGTGGAACGCCTTGAGGGTCGGCGCGTGCTCGAATGACGGGCGCGCCGCGAAGCCGTGCGCCGTGTCTGCGTAAGCGTGCTACTCCGCGTTGCTCACCCTTGAAGAAGGTTGCCTCGTTCGGCGCCGTGCCGAACTTGGACATGATCTCCTCGACACGGTCCCCGTAGATGTATGCGCTGGAGTTAGCGACGCCGGTGGACCGTGACTGAAACCCACTCGTCTTCGGCGAGCACGAACGCCGCCGGGCGCTTGTACAGTGGGTACCGCGCGGGCGTGTATTCCGGGTGGAAGGCGACGCCGGCAGCGATCGGAGACTCATCGCCCTTCGAGAGGAGGTAGGAGATCATCGTCCCGCCACGGCAGTAGCCGATCGCACCGACGGAGGTGTACCCCGCGTCCGCGATGTCGGCCATGGCCTGATGTCAGCACCAGGATCAACAGTCAGCTCGGGTCTCTGTGCCGTGCTCCGCCTCACTTTGTCCACCAGCGGGAGTGCCTGCCCATCGAGGATGCCCAGAGCGTACGGCAGCATCTTCAAGAGGCTGAGCTTCCCCCACAGGCTCGCGAGCCAGCCCTGGTCCTTCTTCTCTCCGGGGTACCACTCAATAGCGGAGTTGAGTGCATCCGCTGGCGGTGGGCTTGGGATGTAGTCGGGCACATACACCTCCACGCCGAGCTGGGCGGCGTATGTGTCGGCCAGGATCTTGGGGTTGTGCTGGCGTCAGCTGCTGCACAACTGCGCCATATTAGTCCAGACACACAATAGAGAACCCGAAGATGTCGTAGAACAGCACCATGCACGTCTTGGGGTGCTTGACCTCAGCTGGGCGCGCGTAGTACCGGTCAATGCGGAGGGTATGGCCGTTCACGGTCGAGCCCGCGAGCTGGAGCTCGCCTGTCGGCTCGCCGGGGAGCTTGGAGCCACGGAGGCAGCACTCGCTGATGGGGATGAAGGGGAGGGTCATTAGTGCGTTAGTGGTGTGGGAGGCGGTGTCAAGATGCTCATGTCTTATGGGAAGAGGCGTTGAAGATGGGAGATGGCCGGTACAAAGTGGACCGGAGCCGAGGATGAAACGCGAGGTCAGGTGACAGGTTTCCCACGGTTGCAGATGACGACGAATGGCCGATCGCTTGCCAGCACAGCAGGCGACCTCCCGAGATTATCGTTGTGCCTACGTCTGCTACATCCATCTCCATCCTCTCCGTCTCTTCTTCTCTCTTCGTCCTCACTTCTCTTCTCCGTCTCTGGCTCCTCGGTTGGTTCTGGCATCTAGGTATCCCGCATCATGTCTCGCTTCGTGCGCCCCGTAAGTGTCGAGGTCGCACCGGCCCCTAACATGTCTTATACTCACACGACAGAGCAGCTACCGTCACGTGTACGGGCAGCCGTCGAAGGTCCACTACGAGAATGCAAAGATCAGCGGAAGCGCATGGGACACTAACCTGATTACTGTCGGAGGAGTAAGTATCGAGCGGGATGCGAGGCCGGGGCAGTCGGCGCCAAGCCGATGTCGGCAGGGAAGCCGAGGTATGCCACACCGACCACTACGGTGCTTGGCTCCGGCTTTGGGAGTAGGACTGCTCTGCCACCCGAGTGTACAGCATCAGACTTGTCTCGTATTCTCCACGCGCGCTGACAGCAGAAATACCTCGCCGTCAACTGGCAGGTCTCGGGCGGTGGAGCGTTCGCCATCCTTCCCGCGTTCTCGCCGTACGCACTTCCCGAGCCCTCCGGATTCCCGACCAAGCTTCCCGACATTCTTCCCCTTGCGCGTGGGCACTCGGCGCCTGTGTGAGTCCTCTCTCACTTCAAGGAGCTGACGACAGTCTCGACACGGCATGGTCGCCTTTTGACGATGACCTTGTGGTTTCCGCGGGCGAGGACGGGAAGAGTGAGTATCTAGGGGATCTGGCAAGAATCTGAGGCCTCTTGCCTCGTGGTGCCTGCACACCAGGACTAGATAATCGGGTGCTCGTGGGCCTCGGCGCGTGCCCGCCCACTCCACGCCTTCCTCACCTTTTGTTGGACCCGCTGACCCCAGTCTTCATCTGGAAGGTCGATGAGTCGATCTTCGAGGGCTGGGGCGAGGACAAGTGGGAGCCAGAGGACTTTGCCCCGGTCGGCAGGCTGAATGCGGGCGGGCGTAAGGTCGGGCAGGTCGAGTTCCACCCCTCCGCTGCCAACGTCCTCACCTCCGCTTCTGGTGACCACCTCGTGCGCGTGTGGGACATCGAGGGGTCGACGGACAAGCCGACGCTGTCGCTCGCAGGGCACAAGGACAGCGTGCAGTCCATCGCCTGGAACTCTGTCGGCACAATGCTCGCGACGACTTGTCGTGACCGTAAGCTGCGTATCTTCGACCCGCGCGCAGGCGCCGACGCCGTTCGCGTCGCCGAGGGACACGGTGGTATCAAGGGCTCGCGAGTTGTGTGGCTCGGTGACCGCGACCGTCTCGCCACTACCGGCTTTAGCCGCATGTCCGACCGTCAGCTCATGCTCTGGGAGACGGCGGGGCTCACCAACCTGCAGACGGAGAGCCTCGACTCGTCAGCTGGTATAATTATCCCATACTTCGCTGAAGGGAACGACGTCCTTTTCCTCGCGGGCAAGGGCGACGGTAACATGCGCTACTTTGAGTATGAGGGTGACCACTTCCACTTCCTCAACGAGTACAAGACGTCCGACCCACAGCGCGGTGTCGGGTTCCTGCCGCGCCGCGCGCTCGACGTCTCGCAAAACGAAATCGCGCGCGCGTTCAAGCTTTCCAACCGCGATATCACCCCACTGTCCTTTATCGTGCCCCGCAAGGCCGAAGGGTTCCAGAGCGACATTTTCCCGCCGGCCAACTCCTCTGAGCCTGCTCTTAAGGCTCACGAGTGGTTCGGCGGCAAGGACGCACGCCCCAATGTCGTCGACCTTGAGACACGCGCCGTTAGCGCCAACAAGGCGCCGCTGGCGACGCCCAAGCCTACGGCGCCGAGCACGCCTAAGCCTTCTTCGCCCAAGCCGGAGCAGAAGGAGTCGAAGCTGAGGGCAGAGATCAAGCCCGAGCCTGAGGTCAAGAAGGAGGAGCCGAAGCCCGCGCCCAAGGCCGCGACACCACCGCCCAAGGAGGAGCCCAAGGTTGAGCCTAAGAAGGTGGAGCCGGAGGTCACGAGCCGCGACCTCGAGATCGAGCAGCCCGACAGCAGTGACGACGAGAAGGAGGCGCCAAAGGCCGCGCTTAGCGTCGCCTCGGCGGTTGGTGGAGGAGCCGCGCTGGGCGCTGCAGCTCTCGCCGCCAAGCCGGCTTCCGGCGCAGCCTCGGGTGCTGCCTCTCCCAATGGCGGGACAGTTAACACATCTGACGATCTCCTCGTGAAGCTCCTCAACCCGGGTGCCACACTTCCAACGCGCGGATCGGCTCTCTCCGCCGGCCACGACCTGTACGCAGCCGACGGCATCACCGTCCCTGCGCGTGGCAAGGCGCTTGTCTCTACGGGTCTCGCCATCGCTGTGCCTGCAGGCACGTACGGGCGGATCGCGCCCCGTTCGGGACTGGCATCCAAGCACAGCATTGACGTGGGGGCCGGTGTCGTCGACGCCGATTACCGCGGCGAGGTCATGGTCCTGCTCTTTAACTACGGCAGTGACGACTTCACGGTCGCTAAGGGCGACCGCGTCGCGCAGCTCATTCTTGAGCGCGTGCACATGGCTCCGGTGCGCCAGGTCGAGGACCTTGAGGCGACGCTGCGCGGCGCCGGCGGTTTCGGGTCTACGGGCGGCTTTGCCTAACTTGGTATCACGAAAGATGTATGACCTGATGCTCTGATATTGATTGGCCAGGATGTTGGACAATTCATTGCGCTTGGGGGATTTGTGCTTTGTTGGCTCGTCGAGACTGACGATGCAGCAAGTCTCCGACCTTGATGCAGACACCGATCAGGCTTGCCATATAGCGAATCACTCAGCGCGTGGCACCCCCAATGGAGACATCCACTGGCCCGGCTTACCCGTTGATTGAGAGCCAAATGGGCACTTACATGAGCTATAAGTGCCACAGCGATGTCGCCGTGTGGACAAACACGTTCTGTTCTCGTTGACAACGTATAGCAGCACAGTCCGCAGAATAGCGCTAGCTCGTCCTGGGAGCAAATAATCCCGCGGCCGGCACACATCACAGCAGAGTGTATAAAAGTCACGCCAAGTAGTTGGCCGATTGATCCATCTCTACGCCGCTCCCAGGCGAGATCGCCGCTGTACGTGCTTCTGCGCCGAGCGTTGGCAAGTGGTCACCGACAAGCACACATCCGGGACATCCCCTACGTCGCGGGTAAGGGTCTCTAGGCTGACACATGTGATACCCAACGGGTCAGTTTGTTTCTTACTTGGCACTGACTCTTTGCTTGCCCAGTTGTTACCGTCACCTGCGGCGCCCCGGGTACCCCTCCCACCACCCCCGCGTTCCCAGCCTCCGTCAGCGATGCGCACCCACGTTTGACCGTGCGGAGACAGCCCTCGTTACCTCCACGGCCGATCTAGGGAAGTAAAGAACAACGGAGGCTGCATTCTACGCTTACAAAAGGATCGGTTATCTATCAGTCTAAGGAGAGTCTAGGTATGTGTGAGAACTGTGTGATTATGCGTCGGGTGATGGTTTATATGTATTACACTGCCGAATGCGTCGCCCTGCGTTCGGCTTCCATGATTTCTTCGCCACGGTTGCGCGCGATGGCCTGCTCCTTGAGCTCCTCGGCGCGCGTGTTCCATCTATTCAAGCCGGCCTGCTTCGCCTCCCACTGCGCCAAGTGGCGGAGGTATCGCGGCGACGTCTTGCCGCTGCCCCACAGGTCACCGGTCAACGAGAGGAAGTAGAAGACGAGGATGAACGCGATTGTCCACTCCATGGCGGCTGCGCCTGACGTGATGTTGTTACAGGTGTTGGCGCTTCTCGATCCCCGCGCAACGCTCTTGCCGCGGCACTGTTGTCAGATTCCAACCTGACACAGGAACTCACGATGCCGTAGAGGATTGCGAAGGCAACAGCGCCCAGCACGGCGGATAGCACGACAATGAGCTTGAAGATCGAGGAGCGGAGGAGCGACATTCTCTGCGGGTGGTCCTTGTACAGACTCCATACCTCGCCCGTCTGACAGATGGCGCTCAGCGCAGTGAAGACGATAAAGACGCAGGTCATCGACCAGTGCAGGCGCGAGTAGTCGTAGGAGTCGAAGATGGCGAGCAAGAGAAGACCCATCCCGCCGATAAAGGCGCAGCCGATTGCACAGTAGCCAAGGATCCACTCGCGTCTGCGGATGTCTGAGGGCAGGCGATTCGTGTGTCGCAACCATCGTTCCGAGATGACCGTCGCCCACCAGAACCTGCTGTCAGCTCGATCTCTCTCCGAACTTACGCAGCAACGACAGCCGTGATGCAGATGAACATGGTTCTGTGCACGCCAGCGACGTGGCTTACAAAGACAATGCTGCCCTGCGTTGGGCGGTAGCGCGGGCGTCCGTCAGCGGCCCACAGCCCGATGAGGGCGAGCAGACCGCCGAGCCATGTTAGCCCGGAAATGATAGGAAAGTAAACGTAAGGACCGAAGACTGGTGTTAGCACCTTTTGCGACGCGAGGCGTACAGATGTGGCTGCCGAAGCGGCGGGTGTTTAGAATGTAAGGCAGTTTGGGGTTGCCAGTGGCGTGCAAGGTCGGGCGCTCGGGGTGCTCCTCGATACCATCGAGGTTGAGGTCGTCGCGCACAGTGCTGGGCGAGGTGCTGCTCATGGTTATGGTGTTGTTATTCTTGGGACAGTGTCATCAAGAGTATATTTATAAGTGTGTGTCATTCGTCGAACTCTCGAAAAACGTTGGTGTCAGCCGTCGGCCTGCCTGACGTCAGACCTCATTTCAGTGGCGCATGGCCGCAGCCAGGCCGCGCCGCGCCAGGGATACGCAGGCCGGCTTGGCGGACTCGGAGTTACCTTCCATGCATCCATGCACATGTATGGTCTAGGCCGTGCGTGGTGCCGCGACTTGACCTTGACAGCAACGGCGTTCATCGTCGGCGAGCGGCCCATGAGCCATGAGCCATGAGCCATGGGCCATGACCCTCGGGCATGATTCTTGGCACGCACCTTGACATGCTTGACTTCGCAGCCGAGGTCGCGCCCGCACGGTGCCTGACGGAGAGTGCGCCGACATGGTACTCAGTCTCTCAATATCGGTTCCGCGATCATCTCCTCATTCGACAAAGTGGTGACAAACCACACGAGCAGCATTGCGGCGCTGCTAGCACCAAATGGTCACTATCTTGGCTTAGTCCGTTGCCTCACCCGCCTCACCCGCCGGGGGCCGAAGTAACCGCAGCCTCAGAGGCGGTGTTGAGGCAATTGATCACTTGCGATGGTGAGAGCGCAGTCTGAGCGCGACGAAGTTCGATGCACAATGCAGGAATGTCTCAAAGCGTGTGGACCGCCCATCTCATATCATCCGAGGGTATACCTGAGCACGGATGCTCAACAGTGCACGAGCGTACGCCAATGAATGCCCTCACGCGGGGTCTAGCATAACTCGGGCCTCTCGACACACAGCACAGTCGTTGCATCGTTGCACCACCATAGTCTCCCATTTGATCTTGCAAGACGAGACATCCAGGACTTCCTCGTGCTTGGGACTCACACAAATACCAGCCACTTTTCATCTCCAAGTCTTCGGCAATGTATTGCAACCACATGCAACCACACAGGTTGTGCTGTACTTGCAGCCTGAGGATGTGGATGATAGATCTCCATGAGTTAGAGTACGAGGGAAGCATGCGCCTGCCCTCGTTCCAGGCAGGCCCGACATCGGTTTACTGCGCGAGTTTTGCGTGAACAGCATTTACCGAGGAAGGGCGGGGTGTAGCTGGTGATGGGCTATGTTGGTGTCGATGGGAACGAATGGGGCCTCCACTAAACATAAACAGGGCTCTGTCTTTCCTAGGCCAGTCGCGTGCTTCATTTTCAGAATTCCTCGCATTTCTGCGCGTTTCACCACTCACCGCTGAGGAGTCGAGGGACGCTGCCGAGGGACGAACACCCGTGTGGCATTTCCGCTGCGCAATTTGCAACCTTTTGGCATGCCTCCCAGCGGCCTGGCCCATCCTTGCAAAAGAACAGCCTTACTGATGTTGTTGTCTGCTGACAGCCCCTTCGATGCTGAGTCTTTGGGCGAAAGAGAGCGCAAAGGGCGGGTCAGGAGCAAAGTGCGGCTGCGTTTGCGGAAGTCTTGCCGCCCCCCACCCGTGCCCCGCGTCACAGTCAACCAATACCTTCACCTACCGGGTGAACATGACCCTTGCGCCCATCCGTACCAGGCCCCCGTGTGAAGTCTAGGCTTGCAAAGTGGTGTTTGTCGTGCAGATACTCCGAGTCGAGGCAGTGGCGTACATCCGAGCCGATCCGTCATTGTGAGCAGATGAGAGACAGGCTGCTATCATATCAGTTCGGTTGCGGCAGACGACGCACGACGCTTTCCCGTTGGACAGCATGCCGGCGAGCCGTAAAATGAAGTTGGCCTCACGTTGTTCTTTCCACTGTGATCCGCGTCGGCACATGCCACAGAGCTCGTCTCGATTCCTTACGGATAATTATTTTTCCGATACCGGGGATGAAGTGGTCGAACATCCCCCGGTGCCTGTAAAGTCTTATGGTCTGTCACTCTTCTCTACTCCCCGTGGAACCCCGACGTCCGACCAAGTGGAGCCCATACGATCTCCCCACTCCGACATCGCAGCGATGTCGATGCAGATGAACAAGATGCCGTGCTGATCGGGCAGCTACTGCGTGTGCCATTCGTCGGTCGGCCGACGCGCTGATTGTGAAGGAGCGCCTCTCGTGACCCTGTGGCGGTCATTCGTCGTCCCGCCGCCCTACCTTCTTGGCTGCTGCACATCTCCGCCAGAACTTCAGCAACTAACTCATGTCGAGTACGACACTGATTATTTAAAGGCCGCTGATGTCGTCTCTGGCTACCACCACCACCGACACTCCCACAGCTACAGCCATGTCTACAGACAAGGTCAACATTGAGACGGACGAGAAGCGCGTCGGTTACAATGACGGCGCGTCCGAAGTTCGCCTGAACGCCAACATTGACGAGGGTTTCGATCCCGCCTTCGTGAAGTCGACTATGCGCAAGGTCGACTGGCGCCTCATCCCCATTCTCTCGGCCATGTACTGCGTGTCGCTCATTGACCGCACCAACCTCTCGCTTGCCCGGCAGGCCAACAACATGCACATGGACAAAGAGCTCGGTACGAACCTCGGCAACCGCTACTCGATCATTACTCTCATCTTCTTCGTCCCCGTAAGGCTTTCTGTCGGGCTTTGCTGACCATAGTACATCATTTTCGAGGTCCCCTCGCAGCTCGGTATTCGCAAGTTTGGTGCTCGTTGGTGGCTGGGCGGCGCCACCACCCTGTGGGGCATTATCATGCTCGCCATGGGCTTTGCGCCCAACTGGCAGACGCTCGCGGCGCTCCGCGCCATCCTCGGTCTCTTTGAGAGCGCGCTGTTCCCCGGTGCCGCGTTCCTCATCTCGTGCTGGTACGCGCGCCGCGAGATGGCCATTCGCAATGCTCTCTTCTACGTCGTGGCCGGTATCGTGAACACTTTTGGCTCCCCCATTGGCTACGGCATGTCGCTCCTCCACACCCGTGGTGGCCTCAGCGGCTGGTCTTGGATCTTCATTTTCTTCGGTATCCTCACCATCGTCGTCGGCCTCCTCGGTATCCTATTCATCGTCGACTTCCCCGACAAGGCTACTTTCCTGAGCGACGAGCAGCGCCAGCTGGTGCACACCCGTATCCAGCGTGACCGCGGCGACGCCACCCCCGACCCGGTCACTCTCGCCAAGGTCATCCGCTACCTCTGTGACTTCCGCATCTGGGTGTACGGCCTCATGTTCATGAGCTCGACCATGTCCTCTTACTCGCTCGCATACTTCCTCCCCGTCATTCTCGGCAGCATGGGCTTCAACAACGTCGAGACTATGCTCCTCAACGTCCCCTGCACCGTCTACGCTTTCATCCCCTCGCTTGGCACAGCCTACCTCGCCGACCGCTACCGCAACGCGCGTGGCTGGTGCGTCGTATTCAACGCTCTCTGCGTCATCCTCGGGACGTGCATGTACTCGCAGCTCCCCATGCCGCAGAAGGCTGCGCGCTACGTCGGCGTCTTTTTCGCTGTCGGCGGCTGCAACGCCAACATCCCTCTCCTCCTCGCTTGGGCGCAGACTTCGATCCGCGCGCAGTCGAAGCGCGCCGTCTTCGCCGCCATGATCGTCGCCTGGGGCGGTGTGGGTGGTATCCTGGCCGGCGTCGTCTTCATCCAGAAGGAGGCCAAGCGTGGCTACCCAACCGGCGTGTTCTTCACGATCGGCATGAACGCCTTCACCGTCGTTGCGGCTATGGGTCTTGCGGCGTTCTACCGCTACAAGAACAAGAAGGCAGAGCGCGGTGAGGTTGTCCTCGAGGGCTCCGAGGACTTCCGCTACCAGCCTTAAGGGGCAAGAGGAGGGGAGAGGAGTGGGGTTGTGGGATTTGTACGCAGGGCTTTATATATTGTGTTATAACGGGATGTTAGGTTATCATTGGGAACTGCAGGGCAGCGAGAGCCCCATCTCGAGTTTGTTGTGCGACCTCTGAGTCGGGAAGCACGGTTGAGGCAACTGGTCACAGCTTCTGTTCTGAGCAAATACGCCACATGCCGAGGATCCACATGCTGGGCAGGGTCTGATCGTCGATGTGGCTGCCACTCACCAAGGGGTTCCAAAATGAGGCCATCGTCACCCTGGACACTTCGGGGGGTTGAACCGACTGGAATCGGATCAAATGGAGAACTGGTTGCCACGATGCCGTCTGTCCGTCTGTGCAGGTCAACGTTTGCACAGTGCAAACTTGGAGACGAAGGTCAACTGACGACGTAGTCCTGCCCACCACAGCGTAGGTCGTTTGCTCTCAAGAGAGATTTCATTATGCATTACGTCTTCTTTACTGCACATGAACCGCCGTCGCTCCGCCTCCAGAAATATTAATTAGTTCAGGACTGGAAGAAGGGGGTGACGGACTTGGCTATGGAACTACACTTCCGAGCGGAACGGGCCACTCGACTTCTTCTCGCCTGCAGAGTCGAGAGGGCTGCCAGCACCAGTGCCGCCGGTCTCCTGGTGCTGAATGTCGCGCGCGACCTTGTCGAGGCCGATCTGCTTGGCGATGCGCTCGCGACGGGCCAGATCCTCGGCACCTGAGGTGTCGTGGCTATAAGTCAGTGTTCAGCAGAGTGGAGCAACGCACAAAATGTGGTCAACTTCCTCAAGAGTCAGCCCCTTGAGCTCAGGAAGGATGAAGATGGCGTAGAGAAGACCGACGAGGCAGAAGCACATGAACACGATGTATGTCTTGTAGCCGATATTCTCAATCATGCTGCTGTCAGCCGTGACCTCAACCCACGCGAGGCGCCCGCTCCCGCCAGCCTTCAAGAGGACACTAACACTGGTGTGGCCATCGCAACCGCGAAGTTGTTGAGCCAGTTCGTGGCCGACGAGACCGACATGCCCTTGGCGCGCATGTCGAGGGGGAAGACTGGATTGTCAGCGCCGCTGAACCCGGCAATACTCACCCTCGGCTGACACGACCCATGCGAGCGGACCCCAAGTCACGGCAAAGTTTACAATGTACCAATAGATCATGAATACGGCAGCGTTGCCTGCTGCCTTGTTGCTGAAGTCGGGGCCAAAGGAGGCAATGATGGCGGCGATGACGGCGTGTGAGATTGACATGTTGATCTCTCCCCAGATCAACATCGGCTTGCGGCCGAGCGAGTCGACGAACATGACGGCAGGGAACGTGAAGACAAAGTTGACGATACCAACAAGGCCAGTGGCAAGCAGCCCGATAGTGTTGCCAGTCAACCCGAGCTGAGCGAAGATTGTGGGGGCATAGTAGATGATGGCGTTGATGCCTGTCCACTGCTGAAGCGCCTGGGCGGAGGCACCAATCAAAAGACGGTGCAGTAGCGACTTGGTGGTGAGGAGGCGCTTGTACTCGAGACACGCGACGCGGAAGTTGACGGTGTCGATACCGTAGCGCTCCTTCGCCGCCTCACGCTCGACAAGGCGCTCGGCTTGAAGGGAGCGGAACTCGTACTGCACAGTAGGGTCCTCGGGCGGCCGCTCACGGAGCCTGGACAGCGTCATCAGACTTTCCTCCTCACGACCCTTAAGCATGAGCCAGCGGGGCGAGAAGGGGATGAACACTGCGCCGATGCAGAGAACGATGGCTGGAACGAGCTGCAGGGCGAGGGGGATGCGCCTATCGTCAGTCTGGGATGGACAGAAGCCTTGAAGACACTCACCATGCGGCCGAAGACTGACCCACACCTGTGGCGCGGTCATACGAGGTACCGCCGATGTAGTTCTGACGGTCAGCGGTCATGCGACTCCCTCGGCTCTTCTGATGCTTACAGTGCCGTAGCCGATCCAGTATGACACCATCTGAGAGTCAGCACAGGGGGTTCTGTGGGGCAGAACTCACAATACCGAACGTAATTGCAAGTTGCTGGAGTGCGACAAGCGAGCCACGGATACCGGGAGGGGCAAGCTCGGCGTTGAACATTGGAACCAGCATCGACAGGGCACCGACGGCCATACCAGCGAACCAGCGACCAGCTGCTCGTCAGTCTCCGCCAACGTCGCATCAGCCGCTTAGCCCACCATAGATGCAGGCAATCTGGGAGTTGGCTCCCACTTGCAGCGCTGTCCCCAGCATGAAAACGATACACCACCCAGAGATCGAGTACTGCGTCGCGTTAGCACCGGAAGATCGGTGATCAAGCATCGGTGACTTTTATCTTATCCGAAGGCTGCGACGTTCCTGCCATACCTTCAAGTACTCACCTTGCGCGAAAACCTGCGTCGTCAGTATGTGGGATGACAGCCGGGTGTTCCTTATGAGCAGCTCAAGGCCGCCGGTACTCACATGTCGGCCAACGGACCCGCCATCAGACTGCCCACGAAAGCGCCTAGTTCTGCGGGTCAGCAGATGAGACTGAAACAGCTCACCGAGGATGGCAGTTACGAAGCCTTTCAAAGTTTTGTTGGTCACATCATCTCCAAGCTACTGTCAGCTGCATTACACCGCCACTGCTCAACTCACGATCCACCAGTAGCGAGCCTTGAAGCTAGACATGACCTGGACCTGGCCGAAGACACCTGGACGTCAGCGCCTCGCTCATCCGATGACCGAGGTATTCATACCTTGGTTCTGGATGTCAGCAAATACAGGAGATACATGCCAAGACCACAGCCACATTCCCACTCACATAGCCGTACAACACACCTCCGAGCGAGGCGAAGAGGGCTAGTCCAAGGGATTTGGGGTTATGAATGAGGCCTTTGAAGCCAGTCTCGCCTTTGTCGGCGAGGAAATCCGGGTCGCCAGTGGCGGCGGCTCGAACTTGCGAGATGCTGGAGCTCCTGCGACGCTGCGTAGCCGTAGCGCCACCCGCGCTAAACGAGGACCTTAACGATTTGCCTCCCACCATTGTGGACAGATGTGTGTCAAGTGAGCTAGGGTGTATCAAAGAAGTTGAGTATGAGGGACCATTGCATCGCGAGAACTGAAGCCACCTGTTTTTGAACTAGTTCCTCCGCCCCCGACTCACACCCTCCTCGTTGACGGGGAGGTCGGAAAGAGGTCCGCTTCTCGCGCGCGGAGTCAGCGCTGAGTAGTCACCGTTGGTAAGCAGGACTCGAGGAGAGCAAGCCTCTGAGTCCGAGCGCCCTTGGAGCAGCCTCGGCCAATGGAGTGATGGATGACGCGGTTCATCAGCACTTGGCCCTAATAATAGGGCGACAAGTTGTTTGGAGACGTCAGCTGGGCAGGTGGACGGAAGGTGTCCGATCAGCTGCACCCGATGTGACGTAAAGCCGAAGGTCAAGGGATCACGAGTAGTGAGCTAAAGCCGGCCTCGTGATGCCCAGGGTGTAATATGTTGGAAGCATCCCAAACGTTTGGTCTCCGAGGGTTGCCTTATGACTTAGGCGGCGTTGTCAGTGATCGTCGTCATGTTATGTGTTTCGGCCGTTTCGCTTGAGCTTTTGAGACGGCCGTCCACTACCGGCCGCCGGTTCCTATGTAATGTTGTCAGGCTGCTGTTTGCTCGTGACAGACCCGCTCGAAATCACAGCGTCCACAGTGTCCAACTTTTCGGTCTGCGACCTGTAGTTGAAAAGGATGCCGCAACCATCGCCCCTCGCGCTTGCGTAGACCGCCATAGAGGCGAGGAGTGCTTGGCTATATTGATAAACTGTAGAGTGTGGTAAGGAAAGCATGCCGTGAGACGCGGTGACGATATAATCCTCCCATGGTGGAGCACGCGTGGCAAGTGGAGGGAACAAAGAGAAGAAAGCGTGGGATGGAATGAGGCAACATTGAGGTCCGTGCGTTCCCCAGATGCTGTAAGGAGCGCGACGAGCGTGCTCCCAGGCGTCCGCGAATGCTCAAAACCGACGCCTCTCACAACCGCCATCGGCACGCCTGGTAACGCTGCGAACCTCCCGTCCACTGCTGACTGTGCACGACAAGCCACTCGGCAGCTCGGCAGCCCAAGCGAACAGAGCGCAAGCCCCCGTTGTTACTTACAGTCAGACGCAAGCGAGCACCTTAACGCCACTGACCTCCCCCATACTCACTCTCACAGCCCACGGTTCCCAACCTGGGGTAGACGAGAGCAGCGCACATGCGAGCATGCCAACCTGACAACTGATAGCTGACATACTCGAGGGATACCCGAGAGCGCGAAAGCGTGTTGATGCACTGACCACCTTTTGTCCAGCTCGACCGATTGATAACTCCTGGATGGGGGGGTCAGTGCATGCGCCTTCAGCTTGCCAGGCCGGTCCCAAGCCGGCCCCCCTCCAGGTCATTCATGTCGACGTGCCCGTTGCGACCCTTCCGAAGACCTTGCCAACCGGCGCCAAGGCAAGATTATGTAGCCCTAACCCACCTCGTCCTCACGTCTTCAGTAGTTGTTCCATCCACTCACCACCACCCTCCTTGATCTGTTTTGCTCTCCGCTCCGCTCCCTCCCCCCTTCGCGGAGGTCGCAGTCATGTCGACCTCCTTCCTCCCCTTTCCCTCTCGCTTTTTCTCCCGCAAGTCTCGCTCCAAACGCACCAAGACGGCACCCGAGCCGCTCAAGCAGCCTGTCGTCGTCTTGTCCCCGGCTCCACTCCAACCGCTGCGGCCCTCTCCTCCTCCACGCTCGCAGGGGTACCCCGGGTCTAGAACCCCAAGTCCGAGCCTCCGCTCGGCCCACACCACCGAGTATGCCCCTCAGCGCTACCCCGACGCCTACCTGCCTCGCAAAATCCCCTCGTTGAACGAGTTATCACGCAGTGCGCCACGCTCCCAGCCGCCCCAACAGGCGAGGCATGCTCTCAAGGCACCCGATGGTCCGAGATATGCCCCTCGGCACACCGCGCATGCCGCGCCCATGCACACGCAGCAGAGGGAGGACGCGTGGCGCGGCAGAAGATTCTCTGAGCAAGTTCAGCAGGCTCAACCTAACATGCCGCTCACGCGTTCGACGTCAGTTAACGGACACGGGTGCACCCTTGAGCCGCCCTGGCAAGGTGGTCTCGCATCATCTATCCAAGAGGAGTCGGACTCCGAGGGCGAAGCTGAAGGACCCCTGGGGCCTCTGGAGGTCCTTGAGGCCTTCTTCAATGAGGAGCCTTTGCCCGACTGCATAGTGCTGCCGCCACCAACGGAGTGGGACAACTACGTCGCTCCTGCGCCCAACGGCAGTCAGGCCGGGCATACCCATATCGATTACACGCAACCTCCGCCGAGCGGTAGCCAGGCCGGCCACACGAACTCCGACTTTACGCAGCCTCTTCCCCCAAATGGGAGCCAGATTGGACATACGAGCGGTACTGTCGCGCGATCTCCGCCGACTGGGAGCCAGCTCGGGCATGCGAACGGAAGTTACGCACCACCCCCGCAACACAACAGTCAAGTTGGGCATTCCAACGGCGGTCGCGCGCAGCCCCCGCGGAATGGGAGTCAAATCGGCCACACCTCCCCTTCGAACAGACTACAGCGCCGCCCCCTCTCTCCACCGGCCCCTGCACAGGCAGCAGCGTTGCCCCCACCTCCCCCGCCGCCCAGTTCCCCACCACCTCCTCCTCCCGGTGCGCCCAGGACCACCTCACGCTCCCGCACCCCGCAGCTTTTAGATAGACCTCCGCCCACAACGCCGCCTAGACGCCCCTCGCCATCGAGTGTCGAACCAAAACCTGCTCCCGTCGCCTCTCCTCCGAACCCGGGCAAGTCGTCCTTCTCCATGCCGCGGTTACGACGAAACTCAAGCCGCAGGCGGGAGTCGCCGGAACGGCCTCTCAGCCCGCCGCACGGTGACATGTCAGCCGCGAGGAGGCGCAGAGCTAACGCCAGCGTCCCCTACGGCCAGAGACCTCTCCCTCCCACTCCGCCTGAGCGCGGAGACTCACTCCGCAACCGCCTCATGAGCCGGCGCCGCCGCTCGGGCGAGCCGCCGCAGCGAGACGGTATCCAGGAGGAGGAGGTGGCCATCGCGCAGGTTGTGCCGGAGGCGGAGATGGAACCTCCGCTCAAGCAGCTGGGCGAGGCCCTCTCCCTTTCCCCTGCGCCCCGACCGTTGTCGCTCGGCGCGTACATCATCCCACCCGAAGAACGGGCGGCGATCGGGCACACCAGACGTGGTTCCACGTCCTCTGTCTCATCCGCCGGCGACTCGACGTATTTATTCCCGTACACCAACCCACTACATGCTCCACAACCTCAGCCGCAGCCAATGCCCACAAGCCCCTTCAGACTCACTTTCAGCCCACCAACAGGTCTCCAACCGCCGCCACGACCCCGCTCGTCCATGGTCTCCACTCGCTCAGCCGCCAGCTCCAACTCCCACCTGTTTCCACAACACTCCGTCCTCAAGTCCTCCGCCCTCCGCAGATCCCCTGTCCTGCAAGACGATATGATAGCGCACTGGTAATAGTTGATGTCCAATATACATACGGTCCTTGTCATAGCTACATAGTGTATCACTTCTTGCCTGGGCGTGCGCGCTTGACGCGTGGCGTGTCGCCTTTCGTCGTTGTGGCGGCAACGCGGGTGCGCGTAGCCGGCTGCCGCGGAGCAGTTGCACGCTTCGCTGGACCGGATGCGGTCGCAGCCTTCGAACCTTTAGCCTTGCGAGGCGTGTTCCTGGTGGACATGGCATGGGAGGAGCGGTGCGTGGATGCGTCGCTTTCTTCGTACTCTTCCTCGTCCGGTCGAGCACGTTTTTGCCCACGCGTGGGTCGCTTCGGTTCTGCCTGCGACATTGAACGGGGAGGCATGGTCTGAGAATTAGAGGACCGGGAAGGGCCCGCGATCGGTTGCCGCGGATCATGTGAGGGTGCAGGTGGAAGATGCTTCAGAGCTGAGCGCACTTTAACTGAGTGAGCAACGTCGCGCTGGTCCTCGGCCTTGCCGGAACGAATGGGCCGCACCAGTCGCTTGTCTGAAACCTTCTCGGAGGGCCGCGCCGCCTTCAGCGGTCGAACTGTATCGTCGACTCGGGGCGGGGCCACAGCTCTCTTTGAGCGCTCACTCAGCGCTGATCGAGGGCGTTCACGGTCGCTGGTGGAGGCAAGGGTAGAGGAGGAATCGAAAGACAGAGCTGCAGCCTTAACGCGGCCCGGCTTGTTTGAGGGAGCTGCACTCTTAACAGTGGCAGCGCGTGGTTGATGACTCGTTGCAGAGTCGGCCTTGTGCTCGCGAGGTCCGCGTGGCCGGCGAGAGGGAGATCGTGGCGAACTCGTTAGTGTAAGCGCTTGCGGCGCCTCTTTGAGGAGAGGGGGCTCTGGCTCGGTGTGAGACACAGAGTGGGAGGGGGAAGGCGTTGCCGGATAGGCGACTGTCCAAGCGGGACGTTGGCGTGCCGGCGTCCGTGGTGCGGAAAGCGCGGGCCGCTTGACCAGTGCAACTACCGCCTGGTAAGGCAGTTCAATCAGAAAGTGAAAGAAGAACAGGGCCGTGGAGCCGATGAGCAGCAGGGTGAGGTCGATTTGCCTCTCATACCGCCGCACGAAAGGCACCACGATAGCCTGGAAGAGCAAAGCTGAGGACTTTTATCAGTGCAGTTCAAAAAAGCAGTCCGTACCTCGACCCTCCAGTAGATGAGAGCCAACATAATGAGCATCTTGATGGACGAGTAGAATGGGATCCAGACGAGAAGGGTGTCCGCCGTCATTGTTATCGGCTGCACCGACACCTGTGGTCAGTGCCGAGATTGTCTTGCCTCACCAGAACGATCCAACCCGCCAGTGCTGCTCGAAGACGCCGCCGGCGTGTGACAACTCCAATACGACGTCCATTCGGATACACTTCCTTGAGCGCGCACAATGTGTCGCGGAGGTTTAAGAGGATCCTGACGTCAGTCTGGGCTATGACAAGGGTTGGCACATACCAGAGCGTACGGCCAATCTGATTCCTCGACCCGAGAAACAGCAGGAGGGCGTATGCACCTGCTACCCGCGAAATGACCTGCTTGCTTGAAGTCATGTCCGCATGTTTCTTGAGCGAGTTGTCGTAGTTGTTGTGATTGTACTTGAGCCAAATACTCCTAGAAGGCAGTCGCGTCCTCCACTAGGGTGGCGAGCGGATCTAACGGTATCAATAATGACGTGTTTTTCGCGGAATCCAGAGTGCTGGAATGCCCTCAATCACCCCTCGAGATCGTTGTCGTTCATCATCCGTTCTTTGCTCCTCACTATCGCCTCATTTCTCATCCCTCCTCGCCTCCTCTTTTCTTTCTGATATCCTCACCCTCTACACTCCACATCGGACCGCCTCCGCCCCTCCCCAGTTCTTCACCCCCGGTATTGCAGCTGCACTCTAACTCCGATCTCTCCGATCTCAACAGCTCTGACCGGCCCCTGTTGCGGCCCATTTTCCCCCCTCCTATACCGCTACCTCCTCGCCTTTCTTTACCATGGACTACAGCCAATACGCGGGGTGAGTAGCCCAAACGTATGCGTACTTAACATATCCAGCAGGCCTTTCGAGGTGATTAGCAAGCTCCAGGTGCGCTACACGGGCATCTTCCAGGAGATCGACCAGGAGACGCAGACGCTATGCCTATCTGATGGTGAGCTAATCCATCGACACGGGAGCTAAACTCAGTCTACAACCATGGTACGGAAGACCGGCCCTCCGAGCGTTCCCTTCCTGGATCCTCAGAGAGCTTGGGATGGGTTCGCTTCCAGTGAGCAAGCTTGGCTGAAAGAGTGCTCACTCGCAGTACCAACTCTATCAACAAGCTGTCTCTCCTGGACAACCCCGCTCCGCCCGTCTCCAATAATGCTCCCGTTGACCCCGCCCTGGCATCGGTCGTGAGTAGAAGCTGCTCCTTCCCATTCCCCTCCTCTTCAATGATGAAGCATTTTTCGGATGTAAACGCCGTCAGGCGACTTTCCAAGAGCGCATATAACCATGTGGATACCTCCGTTGCCTTCCTTCTGATTCCCCAACCCTCTACATCGGCTCTCTCCGCGTCGTGGAGCTGACAATTACAGAGTGGACCTCGAGGCAACAGTCAAACCTCACCAGCGCCTCGTGGGGTGGCGGGGCTTCCTCCAAAGCCTTACACCTCTGCCCACTCCGCCGAAACCGCCTTGGGCCGCGTACAGCAGTCTCTCACCGAGCTGAGCACCGATCCAGGGCGCCAGCGTCGCAAGCCTCAAGCTCCCGCCGTGCCCGATGCCGAGTTTGACTTTAGCAAAGGCAACGAGAAATTCCAGAAGGAGCGCCAGGCGCGCAAGGCCCAGGAGGATCACGAGGAGGAGGTCAAGGCCGAGGTGGAGGCTGTCGACCTCGGCGCGCCCCAAAACGTGCCTCACCCGAGCGCTGTAGTCAGCTCGTCTGACGCCGCTCGTGACCGGAATGGGAAGCCTCACCCCCGTAAGGGACCCTCCTACAACAAGTCGAGCTTCTTCGACAACATCAGCTCTGATTCCTCACGCGTGAGCCGCGCCGAGGAGCGCCACCGCAATCTCGACACGTTTGGCGAGGCGGGCGGCGATATCACACAGGGCTACCGCCTCGGTCAGCAGTCTGGGCGTGGAGGTATGCAGGGTCGGGGACGTGGCCGCGGTGGTGGTGGCGGTGGTGGTAACCGCCGAGGCGGCTATAACAACACCCCTGCATGGGCAGCTTAGTAGTCAGAAGTTTCCTCATGTGTAGTATACTTCATTGCATGTAACAGCTATCAGAAGAGCGAGAAGACCTTGTCAAACACTGCGTCCATCAACATTTGCAACTGGCCTCCGACCATCGGATAGGCGTCCCACAGCGACTTCCAACCAAAGGCGCAGACGACGCCGACGGTTGTCCCCACGACCACCTGCGGCACGGTGTGGTAGCCTAGCTCGACGCGGCTCCAAAGGGTGAGTGCTGTGATGGCAGCCACGGCTACCCGCTCGCCCCAGACGGCAGAGCTGACGAGGGGCAGCAAAGGCCACATGTACGCAAAGTAGAAGCCGAGAGCGGTCGAGTGAGTCGATGGCATGCCGTATGTCCGCTTTGGGCGCACAGGTGCAGGCTTGGTGCTCGGCGGCGGGGGTGGGGGACGCGGCTGCCGGATCGTGCGCTTGATGATACGAGCTGGCGTGAGCAAGCTAGGACAAGATGCGTAGGGAAGGTGAGCGTCGCAGAGGAGACGGGGCCGGGATCAGGCCAGGCGATGGGAGATGGTGTAGCCCCATGGTCCGTGGAGTATTGGTGGTGCGTCCAAGGCATCACACTCAGCACTCACTGATGACCGTACTCCCGACGGCGCCGGCAGCAAACCACGCGCAATGCGCATTGCGCGTCCACAGGATTGCGATGGCCGTCGCGGCCGTGACGGTCACATGGGTCTGGAGTTAGTGAAGACGAGTGCTGGCCCACCTCGTCCAGAAGCCAGAGAAGGGCGGAGGGGTAGTCGGATGGTCGGTGCATGGTACGGAGATGGGCGAATTGTCAACACCGAAGTTGTCCGCGTCCGTGATCCAAGCGTCTGCGACGTCATTTTTCCGCGTCGACGCGTCGATCGTCGAATCCCCCGTGCCTTGCGATATGAAATGAACTGGCTTGGTTGCCGCAGTGAACACCGGAGCGGAATGGCAGTATTTATACATATATATGTACATGCATCATCATGGCCAGCGCTGGCGTGGCAAGCAGGTAATCTGTGCAAGCGCAAGTCCATGCTCGTCTAATCTTCTATCCCTAATCGACGTTCTTCGCAGGCAGGAAGAACGTCAAGACGCCACCAGCCTCGTCAATCTCTCCGATGTAGACGTATGCAATTACGCAGTGTCCCTCGCATATGCCTGACGTTTCAGTTCGACTCCGTGGGCAGGACTCACAGGCAATCGCAACGCCACTAACGTAGTGGCTCGTCAAGAACTTCTGGAAGCCGCGGATGGAGATGGTTGTGCTGAACATTTGTTCTGGCGGGGGCGGCGGCGCGTTCTCGGAGTCGGCTGGGGTCAGCGACGCGGTCACCCATACGCACTGGTGGTGGGAATGCGGAGGTTGTTCCAGGTTGTGCTCATGTGCACACCGCTCGTCTTCACGCGGAGGTCCAGTTGCCCTTTCTAGAGGTCAGAGACGCCAAGAGATTCTCGAGCTCACATGATTGGCAGCCAGAGTGACGTCCTCTGCGAGATGACCCAGCCGTGAGACAATCGTCTTGAGCTCTGACAGATTGGGCAAAACAAGATGGATCTGGCGTGAGTGATAGTGTAGGTGAGAGACATACGTCTGGTGGCGGACACAATGGTTCAGTGAGCTCCTTCTGCCGCCTTGACGAGATGATATGCACAGTAATATCGTGCGCGATGTTGATCGGATTGCCCTGCGGCGTCTATGATCAGATTTATGTGTTTGAGTAAGCTCACTCGTCCAGAGATCTCAAACGTCCACACTGGTCGTCCGTCGCGCTTGTTGAGCTTGACCATGACGTCTGCATCGGACAAAGAGGCGTTGCCACCACGCGCGCCGTCGGCGATCCCACCTGGTGTCAGCGCTGCTTTTGGGGAGCGTACTAGAGGTGTCCGCGCTGCGGAGAACTTTGAGAAATGCGTCGAGGTTGACTTCTAACCAGATCTCGTTGTTGTTGTTCGACTCGATGCGGAAGTGGTCGAAGAGCGTAGGAACTTTGACTTGGCTGGGCGTGAGCGACCCGAGCGGTGGCGGGAGAGGCAGCGGAGACTCACGACCACACCTGCACACCATCACGCCCCTCGTTTCCTGGCACGATGAAGTGCACCGACTCTGGACTCAGGCGGACGACGCAGACCTTGGCGAGTGCGGCGAGGGAGCGTACGATTTCTGCTGTGAGCTGCGCTTTTACCACAAGAGGCCACTATCGACGGATGACGACGTGAGATACTCACTGTGAAGTAGCGCAACATTAGCAATGCGTGTCCGGAAGCGCATTGTGAGTGGGAGTGGGCTAGCGAGGTAGTGACATGAAGAGGGAGGAGATGGGTTGAAATACCGAGATGCTCAGACGCTGGTGGTGGATGTCGGGGTGAGTGGACTTGAGCCAAATAAGAGTGGGGCTCCCAGCTGAGAGTGGCAGGATTGGAGGGCGATTAAGCGCCCTGGATTCATAGCCTGGATGGGCTGCGGGCTGAGGTCAGGCTGATCGGCACGGCTTCAAATACTGAATGCGAGAGTCTGACGGCTTGAGGGATCAAAGTCAGCTGCTGGAGAACTCCTCTCGGATCTCGGATGGATGCGTTGATGCACCGCTAGTGCTGGAAGCCCCCCCGCGCCGAGGCACATTACTGATTGCATGGTTGATGATGGTCGACGCGAGGCCGTGAGCGGGCCGACGGGGCGCGGGCGCGTGTTGGTCGCAAAGGAACGCCCCGCCCCCATGTGCGCAGGGTGAATTTGGTTCCGCTGCACCGCTCGCGAACACCACCCGACCCACGCCACCACCACACCGTGGCATGTCGACGTCTGCGCTTCAATTCACACCATCAACAACCTCTTCATCCTCATCCTCGTCCCTCTCGTCCCCCATCGTCCCCTTTCCGTCGTCAACCTCGCCCCAGACCGTGAACAGGACACCTTCCATCCTCTACATCCCCCGCTGCGTTACCGCCCGGCCCACGCCCCAACTTCACAACCTCCCTCGCCTTCCTCCGAACCCGTGCAATGTGCGTGAGATAGCGGCGGCACTGACATTCAGGTCGTCCGAGCCCTACGACCCGTACATCCCCGCTGGGTCCAGCGGCGCTGGCCCTTCCTCTGGCGGCGGCCACCCCCAGAACCAGAAGGTGAGTTCACCCTCCGCCCGACCGAAGGGCGCCATGTGTGGAGTGTCCTGCTTACCCCGAAGATCGCGGACATCCAAGCGCAGATCGACTCGACCGTCGACATCATGCACCAGAACATCACCAAGGTCGCCGAGCGTGGCGAGCGCCTGGATACCCTCCAGGACAAGACAGGTGAGTGGAGCGCGGGCTAGCACACCTTGATTGATTGTTGGCTGACCCACAGACAATCTCGCCGTCTCCGCTCAGGGGTTCCGGCGCGGTGCCAGTCGCGTGAGGAAGCAGATGTGGTTCGTACATCCGAGTCGCTGGCTGCACGGCGCTTACGCTCAGGTGGAAGGACATGAAGATGCGTGTCATCATTGCCATCGGCATCTGTGTCCTCATTGTCATTATCGTTGTCCCTATCGTCAAGGCGTAAGTCTACCAGTTGTGTTATTGCGGACAGAGCTGACAAGCAGGGTTAAGAACTGAGCGTGTTGTGCTATGCCTTAGACGTGAGAGTTGGGTCGCTGTCTGCCGCTAGGTCTGATGCGCTCGCCTTCCCCCCTGTCCCCCTCTGTAAAACCGATATCAACTGTGGCCTACTGCGTGGTGTGACGTGATAGACATACATGACTGGGCTTGGACTAATTGCTGAACAATCGTTTGATACTACAGGTCGACGATCAGAGTGGCGCCTCTCGAGACCGAAGGAATCTAAAACAGTAGGTGCTATGGCCTGGATCGGGATGGAGTGCTTCTACGCGCACTGCTCGAGCTTGGGTGTGCACCGCCTCGCGCCTCGGTCTGCTGCGCAATTTGTGACGGCGCATCGGAGCGAATGTACTCGTCCGCTCCAAGACCCCTTTGGGTCGGCGACCGACCTGTTTCGCGAGATCCTCCAAAATCTCGAGCACCGAAACTCTCACGCTGAACAGCATGGGGTGCGAGGGCTCGGGGTTGAAGCAGACCAGATGCACGGCCATTGGTCTGGTCACCCTCGACGCGTTCTCCCAGAGTCGTGCCGGAGAAGTCCCGTATCAGGTTTACCATGTCTCCATTACGTCTCGTTGCGGAGTAGGATGGGAGCCGCGTTTGCGACGCATCCCTTGACGAGCCTTCGGCGGCTGGTGTGAAGGTGGCACCGGGGAATCTGCGATCCTGTACGCCTATCCACTGTGCAGCCGTGGAAGACACGGGTGGGCCAGGAAGCACGGCAGACGGTGACGACGGGATTGAGCCCCCGCGGGCGTGGTCCGAGCCCTCGCAACCTGTCGCTTGGGCGTTGAGATAGTTGCGCAAAGCCACAACGCCGGGACCTGAGAAGACGCAGAATGAGGCGCGCTGATGAATAGAAAAGTCCTGTTGTAAGCGAGTCATGGTAGCTAGAGCTCACTTCTGGAGCAGGGCGGCAGAATTGCTGCAACTCGGGCACCTTGAAGCAATTAATTCCGGTCAAGCTCAGGTGTGTGAGAAGAGGTAGCTTATTAAGTAACTCGGTGATGGCGGCGACAGTGATCTTGTCGCAGTAGGAGAGATGAATTCGCTCCAGGGTGTTGTAACGTGCGCCGAGGGGTAGAATGCCGTTGTCTGTGACGTTTGTTACCTGGAGAGTCAGCTGAGGCATATATTCCGACCTACCTTGACCAGGCCGATCCTACGCAGCTTTGGGAGGCTTGATGCCAAGGCGATGACACTCGAGTCGGTCAGAAGGGCACAGTTGGCCACGTCCACATAGCGTAGGCGAGTGCATGTCTTGGCCAGTCTTAAGATTGCATCGTCCGTAATACTTGGGCGGGTCAGCTTTGCAATGACCTTACTCACTTCCCGACGTGGCCCAAGTGAAGATAGTGGAGACACTTGCCGAGCCTTGAGATGCTCTCCACAGCGAAGTCGGTCAAGGCCGTACACTTCGTCAATGTGAGGTTGCGGAGCATGGGCGCATTCTGAACAAGATGATCAACGTCTTGATCTGTCAAGCCTGTGCAGCTCGTGAAGTCCACAATGCGGAGTTGATCGAACGAAATGGTGACAGGGCGAACAAGCGCTGGGCTCATTGCCGGTGGGCGAGAAGCCATCCTGGAGCTAGCCTTTGGCGACGGTACGTCAACGAGATACCATGGATAGGCGCCAACATTGTCGAAGATGGTTGAGTCGTCCATTCGGGAAAGGGTTTCTAAGTCTGGGATAGCGCCCAAGCTGACAGTTTTGTTGTCGTTCATCTTGAGTTCTCGCAAAGCCTTAGCGTTGAGGAAAATGCTGATTGTCGTATCGTTGGTCAGCTGGGGAACTCCAGCCAAGTCGAGTTCCAAGAGGAGAGGACAGTGGCGGGACAGAGCGACCACGGCCCGATCCGTCAGGCGATGACACCCACTGAGCTTGATCTGCGCAGTCAGCACAGTCGACGATCACATTTTATACTCACTCTCCTCAGATGGGGCAGTTGTTGTGCCACTGCCAGAATGCCTTCGTCGCCTATCCGCTTGCATCTGGACAAATTCAGCCCTTGCAGCTTCCGACAGCTGGAGGCGATCTTCTTGACGACCTTGTCGTTCACCGCGTCCATGCCGCTTACGTCGATCGATACCAGCTCTGGCAGCTGGCCAAGAACCTCCAGCAGTGTGGTTACAGACAGACGCGTGGCGCCTGGTATGGTCAGCCGCTCTAAATATCGGCAAGCGGTGATCTCGCCGAACAAGTCGTTCGTTAGATGGCGAGCGAACGAGTTGCAGAGGAGGCGCCTCACGGTCGTTGGATAGGGAAGGAGGGGTCTGGGAGTACCGAGGGCACGAACAAACCCCGCAAACTGCGAGACCGTTGAGAGGGCAGGTCGCTGCCAGATAAGAGGGTAGGCAGCTAAGCACCATGACTGGGAGACGAGCATGGCGGAGAGGAGGTCATGTGACGAGGGGAGGTAGCGCAGGATCTGTCTGTAAGTCAGGCAGAATGATGGTCCTCACCAAAATGAGGAGCTCCATCGGAAGAGACTCGGCAGGATCGGTCCTTGAGTGTGCTTGAGGACGCCCATCATCGCGATTGCTTCGCAGCCAGCTGGCTGTGCTTGGGTCGCGAGAGTCAAAGTACGGCAGTTCTGCGTCACTCAGGCTGCGCGGTGACGCGGGGGAAGACACGCTGCTCGATCTGCTACGCAATTGATCAATCAGGTGTCCCGCCTGTAGCGGCGTCGAGCGCTGCGAGCTGTCCCATACAAGGGGGGAGGCGTCGTTAACGGCGCGGCTCGGCGACGAGGATCGCGCTCTTGCAGACATTGCCAACGATGACCGTCACCCTTGGACGCGTTGGCGCTAGCACTGATAGCCAAGAAGAGACTGGTATCAGCACAGAAACAGCGGACCACTTACGTAGGAGCCGGGTGCCCAAAGAATGACAGGGCGTTGTTGGACTCTCCCTGTAGTGTTGTTGATCCAAGCCGATTGCTTCGATTGCAGGCGGCGCCGTTTACGTTGCAGAGTACTGAGGATGAAGTGGAAGTGAAGAGCGTGGTAAAGTAAGAAGAGTGAAGAGGAAGAGTTAAGTAATGTAGAGAAGTGATGGTGAATCAGACGTCTGCTTCGCTCGCGCGCTCGCCCGCATCATCCGTTGCAGGGGTGCCATCATCGCACGTGACCGACCACCTCCACCTGGAAGCCGATCGTAGATACCAGCCGGTCTGACGCGTTTCGCGACGCCCTCCTGTCCTTCATCTCTCATCCACTCTGTGCCCAAGACGCGAACGGCGACCACACCGCGATCTTGAATCATCCCGTGCCCCATTCAGCACAACCTGTCGTGGGCTCGGAACTCTCCCGAGTGCCCGCTCAGCCGTCACCTCACGTTACTCCATCCACAAGAGCTTGGCATCAATGCCCGCGCAACGTGGCCGCGATAACAACATTGCGCTGACTACGTTTTCGTTTTCCGACCCCGGCATCATCGACAACAACATGGCACACGGCTCCGGCGAGGAAGAGCCCGGATGGGACAGCGGCGTAGTTGAAGAGTCTCAGGCTCTGCTGGGAAGTTATGAACGGGACGACAGGTTGATGTCTCAACGTCAGGTGGGTGAGGGCCGGGTCTGCACTAACTGGCCAGAGTGTCGGGCCTAGGCAGGGAAAGACCGTATCTGCTTCTAGCTCACGAACAATACCTCTGCCTGCACAAGGTGCGGCAAAGCCAGGAAGTGGGAAGTGTGCTGATTTTGACAGGAGCCAGATCTCAGTACCCACCAAACTTGATACGAAATCAGAAGTACTCGATCTTGTCATTCCTGCCGATAGTGTTCTATGAGCAGTTCAAGTTCTTCTTCAACTTTTATTTCCTTGTTGTGGCCCTCAGCCAGTTCATTCCGGCGTTAAAGATCGGTTCGGCCTTTGCCGAAGCCTCCGCTGACTGCAGGCTACATTGTGACCTATGTCGCCCCTTTGGCATTCGTCCTCGCAGTGACCATGGGCAAGGAGGCGTATGACGACTACTGCCGATATCAACGTGACCGCGAGGCCAATTCGACACGCTATCTCGTCCTTCTCTCTCACGAACCTGTCGATCCATCCAACCCTCCTGCGTATGACCTCCCCAGACCACAGACTCGATCCACACCGTCCTCCGGGCTTAAGGTTGGCGACATGGTTTTACTTGAGAAGAACCAGCGTGTGCCGGCCGATATGGTTCTCCTAACAACAAGCGAGGAAGAAGGCACCTGTTTCATCCGCACTGACCAGCTCGACGGCGAGACGGACTGGAAGCTCAAGGTCGCAGTATCCGAGACGCAGCGGCTAGGCGACAAGGGCGTTGGAGGGATAGAGGGCAGCCTCTACGGTGAGTCTATCCCTGCTGCTACGTCTCATTATTAGCCGACCCGCCCATCAAGGACATCCACACTTTCTACGGTGTCCTCACTCTGCGCTCCACAGACCCAGGACTGCAGACCGAGACTGCGGTTCCGCTGTCAGTGGAGAACGTCATGTGGGCAAATACTGTTCTTGCCGCTGGATCCGCCGTAGGTCTGGTCGTTTATACCGGCAAGGAAACGCGCGCTGTTCTCAATACTAGCGAACCCGGGACGAAAATGGGAACTTTGGAGAAGGAGGTCAACAAGATGGCCAAGGTGCGGCCCTCTTCTGGCTATGCTGATAGAAGATTCTCTGTGCGGTCACGTTCGCTCTGTCGTTGTTTCTCGTTGCGCTGAACGGTTTCCGCGGACAGTGGTACATCTATGTTTTCCGCTTCCTCATTCTGTTCTCGTCCATCATTCCCATCAGGTGAAGATCTCATAATTTCGGGTCATTGCTGACAGGACAGTCTGCGTGTTAACCTTGATATGGCCAAGACCGTTTACTCGCACCTCATCCAAACCGACCCCGAAATTCCCCAGACAATCGTCCGCACAAGTACTCTTCCTGAAGAGCTGGGGAGAATTGAGTACCTCCTGACAGACAAAACCGGCACCTTGACCCGCAACGGTGAGCTTGGACTGGAGGAGTGGTCACCTGACACGCAGAAATGGAGATGAAGAAGCTCCACATGGGGACTGTTGTCTTCACTTGGGAGTCGATGGATGAGGTAGCCCATCTCCTGTCGCAGGCCTTTGGGGAACAGTCCCGTGAGTATTAGAGGTGCGATCAAGGCTGACCCACAGAGAAGCGACAGGGGTCTGTTGGCCTTGGCCCTGGGGTTGTGCCCCGCAGTCGCCGAGACATCTCGACTCGCGTTAAGGATGCTGTAATGGCGCTGGCGACATGTCACAACGTGAGTTGCATGACAGCACAAGCTTACCATGTAGGTGACGCCTGTAACTAACGATGATGGGACTGTGACCTACCAGGCTTCGTCCCCGGACGAGGTGGCAATTGTAGAGTGGACAGAAACCGTTGGGCTCACCCTCGCCTCGCGCGACCGCACAAGCATGACCTTGCAGACTAAAAGCGGGCAAACACTGGCATTCGACATCCTAGCTGTCTTTCCGTTCACTTCCGAGTCGAAGCGCATGGGCATTATCATTCGCGATCGCTCCTCTGGGGTCACTACCTTCGTTCAGAAGGGCGCCGACGTCGTCATGTCCAAGATCGTTCAGAAAAACGACTGGTTAGATGAGGAGACCGGCAATATGGCGCGCGAGGGCCTGCGCACGCTGGTTGTTGGCCGGAAGCGTTTATCGGACGAGAACTACGCTGCCTTCGACACGAAGTACAAGGAGGCGCAGCTAGTTCCCGGCGACGAGCGCACGGAGGCTATGAGGGCTGTCGTCCAAGAGTATCTGGAGTCGGACTTGGAGCTGCTGGCTCTGACTGGTGTGGAGGACAAGCTGCAGGACGACGTAAAATCGACCCTCGAGCTCATGCGCAACGCGGGGCTGAAGATCTGGATGTTGACCGGCGACAAAATTGAGACGGCCACCAACATCGCAGTGTCTAGCAAGCTCGTATCACGCAATCAATACATCCACCAAGTTGCGAAACGTGAGCCAATATGTGGGGCCGGGGCTGATCCTAGTTCAATCATCTCACCAGGTCCGAGATATGCTTGACTTTCTTCAGGCCAAGCTTGACTGCTGCCTCGTTATTGATGGCGAATCTCTCCAGCTTTGCCTGGACTCGTTCAGGACCGAGTTCGTCATGTTAGCGACGCAGCTGCCCGCCGTGGTCGCGTGTCGTTGCTCGCCTACGCAAAAGGCCGACGTTGCAACCCTGATCCGCGAGTTTAGTAAGAAAACGGTGTGCTGTATCGGCGACGGAGGCAACGACGTCAGCATGATCCAGGCTGCCGATGTTGGTGAGTATGCACGCTTTGCGCTGCTGACGACCAGGAGTCGGCATTGTCGGCAAAGAGGGCAAGCAGGCGTCACTTGCCGCCGACTTTTCCATCAACCAGTTCTCGTATCTCACACAGCTGTTGCTCTGGCACGGGCGCAACTCGTATAAGCGCTCTGCGAAACTGTCGCAGTTCGTTATTCACCGCGGCTTGATCATCGCAGTCATCCAAGCAGTCTTCAGCTCAATCTTCTTCTTTGCGCGTAAGTTGTCTCCAATTCACGACGCAGCAGCTGACCCTAGCCATCGCCCTCTACCAAGGATGGCTGCAGGTGGGCTACGCCACCGTCTACACCATGGCTCCAGTCTTCTCTCTCGTCCTCGATCGCGATGTGAACGAGGACACGGCGCTCATGTACCCCGAGCTGTACAAGGAGCTCACCAAGGGCCGTTCCTTGAGCTACAGGACATTCTTCACTTGGCTCACGATCAGTGTCTACCAGGGCGGAACGATTATGCTCCTCTCCCTGCTCCTCTTTGAGTCTGAGTTCCTACACATTGTGGCAATCTCGTTCACGGCCCTCGTTCTGAACGAGCTCATCATGGTCGCATTGGAGATTACGACCTGGCACAAGTATATGGTGTTGAGCGAAATTGCCACTGCCATCATATACTTTGGCTCGATGTGGATCCTTCCAGAGTACTTTGGTGAGCCTCCGCGATCGCCCCCTGTACTCCTGCTTACCATCAGACATGCACTTCGTCCTCACGACCACTTTTATTAGCAAGGTCGCCATTATCGTGGCGGTGTCCAGTCTACCACTCTACGTTATCAAGGCATTGCACCACCGACTCAATCCAGCAGCATATGCGAAGGTCAACGAATCTTAGAGCCATAGACATGTTTTACCATGATACATCCATCTGTACAGGAGAGCTAGGAGAATGACGAGTAGATTGATTTTAAGAGGCCACAACAGGAGCGACTGGAGTGGACGAGTTGACAGTGAAGCGCCGCTTGATGCTTGCACGTGAGCTAGCACGGCTGAGGTTGCTACTCGACTTTCGGCGGCCGCCCAGCAGAGGCCCAGTAGGACGACGCCCTGTCGAGCGGTTGAGCTCGTTGAGGAAGGAGAGGCCCCAGGACTGCGCGGTAAAGTTGGACACGTACTAGGGATTAGCTGGGAACAACATGGTTCTGCGGACAGGACACTCACTGCAAACAGCTTTGTCCAGTTCTGGGCACGGATCTCTGGAGCCAACGTGAGGGCTTGGTGGATGGCACTGGCCGTCGAGTCAACGTCCCAAGGGTTGATAATGAGCGAGCCAGCCAGACTCTGCGAGGCTCCAGCAAACTCGGACAAAATCATAGAGCCGTGCTTCTCAGCCTGAGACGAGATGTACTCGTAGGCGACGCTACCTATTAGCAATGCTTGTCCCAAATAGACTCACAGGTTCATGCCATCGCGAGTTGACGTCACGAGGCAGACATCAGCCAGCGCGTACATGGCGGTGAGCTCCTCAAAGGGCACCGAGCGGTGCATAAAGACGATGGGTGTCCAGGTCGGGGTACTGAACTGGCCGTTGATGCGGCCGACCAGCTCGTTAACGCATGAGCGCAGGTTCATGTACTCCTCGACATCCTGCCGAGACGGGATAGCAAGCTGGATGAGGATGACCTTCTCGATCCACTCAGGATGCTGGGTGAGGAAAACCTCAAAGGCATGCAGCTTCTGCGGGATGCCCTTGATGTAGTCAAGACGGTCGACGCCGATGATGACCTTGCAGTCCTCAAAGCGCTTCTCGAGTCGATCCAAGCGTTCCTGGACCACAGGAAGCTTGACGCCCTCGACGAATTGCCAGGGATCAATACCGATGGGGAACGTGCCGACTTGGACCCAGCGACCTTCGAACTCGATGCCGTTGGGCTGCGTCTCGAGGCCCAAGATACGCGTGCAAGCGCTCAGGAAGTGACGGGCGTAGTCGTATGTATGGAAGCCGATCAAGTCGCACTGGAGCACACCAAGAAGGATCTCACGTCTGACGGGAAGAATCCTGACCATCAGTGACTGGTCATGGAGCGGGTCGACTCACCTGTAGATCTCACTCGAGGGGAACGGTGTGTGGAGGAAGAAGCCGATGCGCACTCCCCCCTTGCCCCGGCGACGCGCCTGGATCTCCGACTTCTGGAAGGGAGTCATGCCAGGTGTGCTGCTGCTCTGACGATGGGTCGGGCTTTTGGGGTTCGACTCCTCCTCGACGTCCTCGAGCATCTCCACTCCCTCATCGGCACCGCCGCCGTTGCCGCGGTTTGGCGGCGGCATCTTTATGTTGATGTCATTGACGACGGCCTCGTCCACCCCCTCCTTGACACGTCCCATCTCACGGCGCGTCATCTCGCCCTGGTTTGACTCGCCTGTGATCATGCTGCGGAGAAGCATGGGCAGGAGCATGAGGTGGTAGTCCTGAACCCATACGACATCGCCAGTGCGGACGAAGGAGGCGACGACGTCTGCGAAGCGGATGTTGGCCTCACGATATGCGAGCCAGTATGACGCGTCAAAGTTCATTTCTCCGGGGTGGTAGTGGAACAAGGGCCACAGGATTGAGTTTGAGAAGCCTGATGTCAGTGGCGTGAGAATGAGAGTTTCAGACTCACCATTGTAGTGACGGTCGGCCACTTCGTCCGACAGGTAAACAGGATAACACTGGTACTCCTCGAGCAGGCGTTGATTTACGTACTCGCGGTCTTGAAGTGGGATCTGGGTGTGAGCAGAGGAGCTAAAGACAGAAATAATAGCTCACGTCTTTGCCAGGCCACCCGATCCAGGTGAATGACATCGTCTTCTTGCAGCCGGAAAGCGCCGAGACCAAGCCACCCGACGACATCTGTGGTGAGTTAGGGCAATACCTTTGGCAACGCTCTAGTTACTCACCTTGAAAGAATACTCGCCGTCGGCATCCTTGGAAATGGTCACCGGAAGACGGTTGGAGACAATGATGAGGCGGGGCTCATGGCCATTGTTGGTCTCGGTAGGCTTGGGCAGCTGCTCTGGGGCCATATGAGGGGAATGTTCGGCTTTGGGGGATGAATGGTGGTTGGCAGGATAACAAGCTGGGTCGGCGGTGCTCATCGTGCAGGAGGCTGATTTGGAGTGAGCGAGTAGCGCACGAGCCTAGCGATAGATAGACAGATGAGGAAGTTGGGCGCGCGTGCGATAACGGCAGCTGGGTAATTGGGTGGGTGTGTGAGAACGTGTGAGGCGTCGCCTTGCTGGTCGGCTCGCGGGTCGATTGGGCTCGGGAGCTTGCGATCTTGCGAATGAACCTGCGCAAAGGCTGTCACGGATCGGTAACCGTGCGGAGAAGAGGGTGCGGTGTCTTGGCTAAGTCTGGGTGAGGAAAGGAGGAGATTGCGATAAGTGCGATGAGTGCGATGCGATGGTGGGAAGATGAGAAGACGGGAAGATGTGAAGATGGGGGAGGAGCTTGATGGGAGTCGAGATGAGATGAGGTGAAGAGGTCGAAGAGACGAGATAAATGTGGGAAACTTGTGGGGACCAGGGGTTGGATGGGTCGCCTGGATGGGATGCGAGGGATGGATATCGCGCAACGACAAACGTCAGAGGCTGATGAGGCTGGTGGGCTGATGAGTCTAGAACAGTATCGATGCATGATGATGACGGAGTACCCAGGAGAGAGTGGGCGGGATTCACACCGGCCTAGGCGGCTGACTGCACCGGAGTTGTCACCGCCGCTCACTGCGCTCCGCTGTTCCCACGCGCTGCGCCGAGCCGGCAAAGCCCGAGGCCCAAGGCTCAGGCACCCTGTAAACCCCAAGGTGCCCATGATCTTGATTGGATGCAGACACGTGACGTCACTCAGCCATACACCGTACACCGTCTAACCCATAACCCAGACTCGGGCCGCTCGGTCGTCATCACTTCAGTAGTCCTGCGCTGCAAACGATACGACAAAACTTGTGGCAAACAGTGATATCTTCTGTCCCAACCCTTACTGAACACTTCGGCTGCGGCCAATGCACTTCCTGATATAAATATTTAAATCATGCATTTCTATAATGACTGTGACATGTCCGACACCGACATAAGAGAACCGATTTCGCATAGGCCTGGCCAAACGGTACAGCACCCACCCCCCTTAGCGCCCAAAATTCGCCAGGGCCGGATGACGCGCAATCACGTCGATGTCGGTCTGGGGATCCCATACTCGACCGCGAGGCGGACCACGAGCCGCCGTCCTCGCAGCGCCGCGCTTGGAGGTCATTGCAGGGAAGTAGGATGCTGGTGACGTTTTCGGACCAGGCTGAGACGACATCTGTCTCTCTGGCGGAGTCACCGGCGTGGTCGCAACGGAGACCATCTGGCGGACAAGCGGGGCGTTCTCTGAGTAGGGACTGTTTTCTGGTGACACTTGGACTATCGCATCATTCTGCGGGGTGCGCTCGGTCTGCGTACCCTTGTCCTCATATGACAGCCGCCTGCCGCCCTCAGTGGTGGACTTGATAATGTTGTCGTCCTTCTGCGAAGCGGGCAAGGGCAGGTGACGCGATGAACGACGCGGGCTAGGAGGAACTGTGTGCATTCCAGCTTTACGCCTCGAGGTGGCGATGCCGAGGTCCGTGAGCCTCTTGGCATAGCGCCCAATGGAGGCGTCGGCATCCCAAGCGTTGGTGTAATCAGCCATCGCCTCGTTGAAGCTGGGGATCGGCTTAGAAGGTTGGGAGGCGTGATGATGCACCCCCTCCGGCGCCTTGCTCGGCACAAGTTGAACAGGATCGGGGGGCAAGACGGTTGTAATGGATTCGTCCGTCTTGGAGGCCACAGCCGGCGGAGGTGTCGGGAGGCGCTCTTGCGGAAACTTGCGCGACGCCTTCGCAAGCGCGGTTCGTCCCTTCTCCTCCCAGGGGAATGCGCCTCCGCTCTTCTTGGGGTCCGGAATGGTTCTGGTGTAGTCTCCATACCAATCATTCTCTCGGACATTGTTCGGCAAAGTCGGCATCGTGAATCTGTCGTGATGATCTTGATAGTACGTGCCCTGCGATCTGGTCGGCTCATCCCACGCAGCGACATAGAAACTTTGCACACCCTTTGCCATCTCTGGCTGGCTGTCTTTCGGAGGAGGACCTCGAGACCCGTCCCAGGCCGCTTGTCTAAACTCGTGCCGCTCAGAAGGAGAAGAGTGCGCCTGTTCCGGAGGAGAAGGTTGCGACGACTGGGCGGTACAATCCTCGGTAGCATTTGAAAGCTGCTGCTGTCGTGCCTCACGTTGATCTTGCTGGGACTCTGTTGCGTGGGGAAGGTGGGACTGAGAGGTGGGCGGAGGGCTAATATCGGGCTTGAGCTCAGGCTCAGGTTCCGGCATCATAAGATCATATCGGCCGTCAAGAGGAAGCGAGGTGTACTGGCCTCTGACGGGCACCAAGTTGGCGACGCTCGCGCTTGGATGAACCTCCTCTCCGATATGGGGGCGGTTCCAAACGGCCACATTCTCCGGTACGGTGAAACGTTTCGCAAGATTGGGTTCGTGGATAGCGGAGGGGCGGACATTGCGATCATACACATCGAACCAGCGATCGATCAGCGCTTCATCTGCCAGTTAGTTCTGCGCGAGAAGCTAAATCATCGTCAACTTACAGCCCATAGGAGAATCCTGAGTCTCCGCAATGCCGAGGCCGGCCGGACGGGCGGGAAGTCTACTCCAAGGCTTTCTGGGCCCAATGAAGTGTATCACACTAATCTTGTGGGCAAAGCGCTTGAAGGCAGGCATGTACTGGTATGCGGCGCTGGGGGTAACATTGTAGCTTGATGGTCAGCTCAGGCTCCTGGCTCATCTTGTAGCGAGACGTACGTGAATGGGAGTCTGTGCCAAGGCCCGCCTTCGCCTTCCTCACTGAAGTAGTGGTTCAGAAGGCCTTGGTCTGCGCCATCAAAACTGCCGTTTCCGCCGCTGCTGTCGGCTACCATAAGCTGCCGCAGGTTCTCGAAGTCGCTGAGTCGGGGGCGGATGACCATAACACCAGAGTTGAAGCAATCAGGCCACCCGATGTCAGGGCAGGCCGAGAGAGTATGTGGAGCAGTTGAATGGAAGAGGTGGGAAAGGGGGCGTATTGGAAGGGTGTCGGCGTCCATGTAAAAGACGGTCTTGAACATGGAACCGAGGCGGAAGATGTGTAGCTTGGTGAGGGCCCGGTCAAGGTCTAGGCGGCCTCAATGTCAGCAGTGCGAGGAAGACAGATACGTACCCATGAGATGAAGGTTTCTCTGCCCTCTCTGGCCCGATGCAATGGGCTCAACACCGATAACAACGTCGTAGCCTGCATTGCGGAGGGCTCCGATACTCGCCGCGTCGACCGTTTGTGGTGTCACAAGACAGGCAATCTTGAAGTTGCGTGGGGCTGGGTGGAGTTCATGGAGGGCGTGCAGCAACGCGAGGGCGCCCGGCAGATATGAGTCAGCGGTGAGGAGAGTAACGAAGGCGTCGGGTAGCGCTGGGTTGGCGGCGGCGGACGGATTGTCCACGAGAGACTCGACCATGCTGGGAACTGTGCAAGGAACTAAAGAACCTGGGTGTTAACAACGGCAGATCAAAGAAGAGAGAATGTGCTCTGACCGGCTAGACTTACAGCGAGAGGAAGTGCGCGAATGAGAACTGAGGGGGAGGGGCGATGTGAGAGACGGAAACGGAGTCGAGGACGAGCCAGAGGAGGGCGAGGGTGTGCCAGTAGGCGAGAGAGGATGGGCGTCCGCCTGCTCGCTACTCGCTGAGTCGCCGATGTTGGATTGCGAACAGTGTGACCCAGCGTTTTCCGAGTCGCCCGTGAGAACAGGAGAGGAGACCAGATTATACAAACGATCCGGAGTAGAGTAGGACTAGAATGAAGTGTCAGACGTCAAAGTTATCTGGTCATCTCGACGGTGCGGAGTGGACCCCACCCTCATCCATCCCAGGATTCCGGTTTCCGGCGGTCTGCACCGGTACAACCACTGGTTGGCTAATTGGTTGACTTTGAACCCAAACAAATGGCCGATTGCAAAAGTCAACGGTGCCCCACAGATTCGTTACTCTCTTTCCAGCACTTCTTAACGGATCATGGGGGTATTTGTGCCCTGCAGGCTGCACCACGCCCATGCACGCCATGACCCCCCACTCGCCCACCATCCACCCTGCGCCCAGCGCACCTGTCGCGCCCGTGTGAGCGGTTTAGACGGTGCCGCAGTTCCGCCCAGCTGCCCCAGCCCACACTCGACCCACAGCGCACCGAGCGACTGGGCGGCTGAGTGATTGGGCGATTGGACAAGTTGCCGATCTGCTGAACTGAACATCTGTCTTGAAGGGCCTGACACGTGGTCAACTCAAGGAGGGCACGGATGTACGGATGTACATTACGGTTGGCGCTGTGACAAGTGGCAACGTCGCACGTCGTTGAACGGTTACGACAACATTATCCACCTACATTGCTCGCCGCCCTTCAAGCGACCGACTTGCCACTAGTTGATTCATCAATACCATGTCGGAGCCAAACAATCTTTCGTCCGCGGACTTTGACCTCCCTAACGACTCTCCCGATCTCAATGCACAACGGCCAGCATGGGGCAACACCGAGCCCGTTTCCTCATATCGCCTTCCAGCGAGCGAACAACTACGAGGCGTCGCCAATCGCATCATCTTTTCCCGTTACTACATTCTCTTCTACTTCATTATGATGACGCTGAGTATGGCAACCGTTGTCTTAAGCTTGATTGCAACTAGTGAGCGCCAACAAAGGGTCCGTTCTTACGCCCAGGTCATCACGAGTGCCCTCCTCCCGTCTGGCATGTGCTCGAGGTCATCGTAAACGCACTCATGGTGCTCGAGGTATCTACACGCTGGATTGCGTACGGCAAGGTGGGTATCAACTTTGCACACCCAACGCTGACTGTACAGAAGTATCCGATGACGCTACTCAACATGCTCGACCTTGTTCTTGTCTTCTTCTGCGTCGTCACGCTCATCTTCGTCTTTGCCAGTCCATGTGGCGAGGGTACAAGGCGTGCGTACTCTCAGATTGGCTTGCATATCTGACACTGCAGAGGAGGAAGTTCTCGACACAATCCTGCTTGTGATCCGAAATGGTGTTCAGTTCCTCCGTCTTGGCAACATCTTGCGCCGGTGAGCGTTGAGTATGGGATATACGCTGACATCCAGCTCGGGTCACTCGCTGTTCAACCCACCAAGGCCAATGGATCTGTCTCAGGCGCGCTCAGCCTCTGCGGGGATGGACTTTGACATTGACGACGAAGAGGCAGCCGCGGAGCGTGCTCTTCGCGCTGGCCGCTTCGGGACCGGCTACCAGCCCGTGTACGCGGACGAGCCTCCTCGCGACGAGGTGGGAGAGGATCGTGCTGCGTGGAGCCGCAGCTAGATCGAATCTCTCATTCTATCCGCTATCTTCCACTCTATGCATGTTGTAACTAGCATTTAGCGGCCGTTTAGGATCAGTTGGGATTAGTGGAATCATCTAAATCACTCCATCTAATCTAAACACAGGTGGAGGCGCAGCAGAGCAGGTGGAGGTCCCATCTCCGCATCAAGGAATTTGTTGCATCGGCCGTTTCATCTCCAGGTCTAGCGATCTCACATCACTCATCCACTCGACATCTCGCGCCCTCGCTCGCGCCGTCCTTAATCCGCCATCCTTCTCATGCCCCTCATTCTCGTGCAACAGGATGGTGACCTTTGTTCCCTCTGTACAGAGGGTGCAACGCCGCAGCGATAGCTCGCCCCAGTTGGCTGAGAACCAGGCGCCATCTGGCCCGACCTATGCATTCGGCAGCCGCAGCGCCGTAGCGCTTGCGATCTATGGCAAGCGGTGGACTTGGAAATGGGCAATGACCACGCCCTCGACATGTACGTGACGCAGAGGGCGCACTAATGCCAGTCCCCCTCTGGAGCACTTCGCCGGACTGGCAGAGCATTGCTTTGGTGCAACATTTCCGGCCCTTCCCAGTGACGGCTGCCAAGGAGCTCGTAGGTCACACAGCACTGCAACAGCTGAATGACAGCTCGTCACATCCACTGTGCACTTCAGCAACTCCACGGAGGAGAGGTCGCTTAACGGGAGTCTGGTCAACGATCAGGCAAATGCAACCGAGCAGCTTCCTGGTCACGACGAGGAACACAATGTCCGGACTGAGGAAAACTGTGTGCACAATGACGGCCAGGTGCCCGCAGGCTGTCAGAGCGAGCCGCTTGCTGCCACTCAGACGCACGTAGCCGAGGCCGCTGTCCTCTTGCGCCCACGCTCCCAGCGCTATCGACGTCGACTACCAGCAGTTCTGGTGCACCGCTGCGGCCCTCAGTCATCCTACCTAGGTCAGTTAATGCTGTGGTTTCGGCCCTCACCGCTCGCGAGGCTGATCTATCAGGCGCAACACCGCTGTCGCCAGCATCCCAGGCCGCCCCGTCGGACAACGAAGATCACCCGTTAACGAGTGTCATCGATACATACGATACGCCCATTCTGCAGCTTGCGAGCTCTCCTTTCGTGAACAGCGGTCGTCTTGATGGTGCGTTTACATCCAGGTCTTTCTCTGACACTCTTCAGGTGGGGCCACAGGTATGCTGGTGCGCCTCGAGACCGTCACCCATCTGATCAATCTTACTCTCGACCCGGAGTACTATTATGGCTCCTCCTCGCCGACATACAACGTTTCCCGCATAGCGGAGCTCAATAAGGAGTATACTGAGGGAAGGCGGCACGTTGATGTCGCATTGGATCCTTTTCATTGGGGCCGCGCCGCGGTAGTCGACGAAGGGGGTGGAGTGTGGATGTGGTGGGAGGAGAAAGACCGCGGCAATGATCGGCGCCTCACCCATGCCATGAAGCTGTAAGCCGCTCAGCTGGAACGACCAGACGCTAATGACTGATTGAAACTGCGGAGCCCTGTATCCGATCCAGAAGATGGCTTTTTCCGAGTCGCGTTTGGTGTGCGACCCGACACTCTGCTCATCCTTTCCCGTGACTCAGTCGTGCAAATCGACACCGCGGTAAGCTTATTCTGGGGAGGCGTACTGACAAGTCTTAGCAAACCCTCACCTCCAATCATCGCTCCGCAACATTGCTCTCACTTCGGGATCCCACCGAAAAGTTCTCGGCCATTGAACGAACGGCTTCTTTGCGAGGTGGTGTGTTCACTTACGTGTGTACAAACAAACACGTCATGTGGATCGACCAGCACGGCGGGGCGCAGAATCCGTTGCTGCGTTGGCGCCATGATATGGGGGGCGAGCAAGACGAAACCCTGCAGCTTGTCGTCATTTCGTCGCGAGATGTTCCCCATGCGGGTGGTGAGACCGTGCTTGTTCAACAGCCATCGTCTGGGCGAGTCCACGGTGTCCTCGGCGCCGACCATGGTCTGGCTGCTTTGGTCTCGGAGCCCTGGGCGCTGAGCGCGCCACAGACGGGGCGTTTCAGCACACTACACGCATTTGCTCCACCGGCGCACGAGAAGGGCAGAAGTATCGTGACGCTGGTTGCGTTAGGCGACAAGAATATCAGCGTTGGTGAGATGTTCTTGACAGACCATGATGCTGTGGCGGGCAGCTCTGGTTCGTCTCCGACTATCTTCAGGGCATCGGAAGTCCCTAAACTGGCTACAGAGCAGACTGCTTCTGAGGCTCCAACCCCGACAGCTCCAGTCAAGGATTGGGTCATTCCAGCCCGATGGGCATGGCTTTGTTCGTTCTGTACGAAAGGCTACACTGACGGTCAGCAATCAACGACGATGCTGCGATTCCATCAGCAGATGTTGGCGAGATGAAGGCGTACTTCATGGATCCTGAGGAGAACATGAAAGTCGTCACCACACGGTGCGTTGTTGCTTAGGCCCTGCTGACGTGTAGCGCTGAGCTCGCGCACGCTGCCTGCTCTGGCCCACTTACTGTTCACCCTCATATCCTGAACAGCATCAACTACGACGAATCTTTCTCGGCCAGCGACATCGCCAGTGTCCCATTATCCTCTCATTTTGCCTACTCGGCGACTACCGGCACGCTCTTGGGGGATGCGCCGGGCGACCTGTCGGCAAGTCCGCCAGAGGAGGATCAAGGGCCAGCAGCGAGAAGGCTTCGCAGCGATCTGCTCCTCAGCTCCAAGATCGTGTACCCGACAGATCCTCTGCCCAGGGAGGATGTCAAAGACGGCGGTCCTAATGTCGACGACTTGTTTGCCGAGGCAACTGGACAGTTGAGCCTCACTGACCGAGTTCCGGACCTCTCCTTCGCAGTCCTCCCGCCTCCGCCACGCGTAACAGCTTCTGACTACCACGAACATTCCAAGATTTACGCCCCCTCACGGTCGGATATGAGCACAGCGCACGCGCTACTTCGCGACTGGAAGCTCGGGGCAGATCCTCTGCAGTACGAGTGGACACCCTCTGAACCATCTGCGTCACTCCCTCCTCTGGGTCGAAGTGTGACGAGTCCGCCTCCGCGCCAATTCTCGCCCAGGCCACCATATGTGTCAGCACCGCGCCCCGTGAGCCCTCTACCTAGGCTTCACGCCCAGTCGAGCCCTGTGAGGAGGTTCCCCGTCTCGTCTTTCGCAACTCAGACCTTGCCTATCCTCACTCCTGGTCACCGGCCGGCGTCTCCGACCGTTCCCAGCGACCCAGACGTATTCCCTCATACTCAGATTGAGCGTGGGGCATACGGCGCTCGCCCGGAAGCTAGCGCTAAAGTGAGAAGAAAGCCTATCAAGCGCAGACATGGCTTCTAGACCTGCTGCGATCAATGTAGTCACGCATGCGGAAGCAAGCGATACGTGTAGTTATGCATGTTGTGTATTGCCCCCGCATGCTGAGAACTGCTCCCGTATATCAGAGGCCACCTCCAAGGAAGTTGATAAGGCCATCTAGAATCATTCGCTGCTGGAGGACGCTGGGGTCTACATCCTCTTCGTCGACATCGATGTGGCTCGCACGTTCTGCAGTTAGCCTTTCGTCTAGCAGTGGCCATGCCCTTTATAACGTTGACCACGTCGTGCATGGACAGGCTTTTGCGCGCCATCAGCGATTCGGCATGGGCTTTGATCTTGAGGTCAGCGCTGCAGATGCTGAACTCACTCCGTCGTCCTCCATGCAAATCCATCCAAGAATCACGTCAGCGGTCTGCAGGGCAGACAATCCTGCTGCAAGTCGGGTCAGGTACCACTCCTGCTCCTGTTCGTCGTCAATCTCTGCGCCGAGCTCCTGGCCGTGAGTGAAGTCCACATTGACGCACATACATCTCGAGATGCAGCGATCTGTCGATCGACAGGGCGCAGTTTGGCTGACGCCTGCTCCCGCAACTCCAAGAGCCGGTCAACCTTCTCATAGTCTTCCTCCACAAACTTGGCCACCAGCCGCAATCGGGCGGGGGAGTCAGAGGCCAAGTTTGAGAATAGCGTAGCAATTACGCTCATAATGCGCTCGTCATCTTCGAAGTTGGGCGCTGCCTGCCGCTTCTTCTTGTCGGTCTGGAATCATCAGCATGCGATACTGGTCAGCGATCTCACCTTCCCCATGAAGAATGAGAACATAGTCTTGAGGCCGAGCATTTCCACAAAGCGCTCGCAGCTATTGGCCCCGGCCTCCGTCTGAAGGCCGTAATCGAGCACCTTAAGTGCGCGAAGACTTGATAGTTGCTTTTTTCTATATGTCAGTAGGTACCAGGCAGCCTACTCACTTCAGGATGAGAAGCATCAGCTCGACGCCCTCAGTGTCGAAGAATTCTTGACGCCCGCGCGTTGTTGACAACAGAAAGCACAGGCAGTCGACGATATTTTCCATGAACTCTTGCTCCTCGCCGTCCCTGGGCTCCGCTTTGCGATATTGCTGCAATTGTCAGTTGTGTGCGCGACTACCACTCCTTACCGCGAGAACCATCAATAGGGTTTCAACACCACCAAGCTCAAGTGCCTTTTCGACATTGGCTGCGCGCTGCAGAAGGATGGCAAGAATCTCCGAGGCATACTGCTTGTTGCTGTCGAACGTGCTTTTGCTGACACGGTTAAGCAGCCAAGCCAGAACATTGGTGGATGACACGAGCTGGTCCGCCAGTGGAGGCATGAATGTGAGCAGGTTCTCGAACATCCCTAAGATGTGGAAAACACCCTGGCTGTCACCTTCTTCCCCTTCATCAAGCCGCGAAAGATTTGAAACCAAGAGCTCGAAGATAGAGTGGCTGAGCTTATCTGTCAACACAGCTAGCAAGGATAGACTTACCAGCTCGTCCACCACTTGCGCGAGAGCCAGCCGCGTGGCTGCGGCACCTCCAACCTCGTTGCCATCATTCTCCTCCTCTAGCTCATCCTCCTCACCGATATCCTCGTCCGTCAACTCTTGCAAAACCTGGACAACATCCACGGTAATGTCGGTGTTCTCGTGACTCAGGAGATTGGCGAAGAGGCCAATGACACCAGAGTCGATCAGCTCCGGATAGTAGAGAGCCGGATTCTCCGTCAGTGGCAGGAATTGCTTCAGCATGGCGTCGAGGTCCGCCTCCGAGTCAATGAACCTGTCTTCGTCAGACACGCTCTGCTGAACTGAGACCAGAGCTCACTTGGTGGGATCGTCGGGATACTTGCCGCGCTGCTCAGCGTTCTTCGCTACGACACGTTCAAATAGGCCTATCAAGCGTCGCAATTGTGGCAAGGTCAGGGCTGCGGTCTTCGGTCAGCTGGCGATCGCTCGTAAACGTACGGTTCCTTCAGCATCTCCCGCCTTATCGAAGATGTCAAGGATATTCTGCGCGTCAGCTCATTCGTGCCACTTCTGAGCTAGCTTACCGTTTGCTCGTGATTCAGGCCACCGCCGAAAAAGCGGCCACCCTCGTCGTCGTCCTCGTCATCGACATCGCCGTGAGGCTCCTGCGGCTCTTCCGCTGCTTCCATCCCGTGGCTCTCCTCGTTCTCATCCTCCACTCTAGCTGCGCGTCCGCTCAAGCCCAAGGAGGGGTCCCTGTCGTCCGTGTCGAGCTTGAACCGCTTCAAGATGTCTAAAAGGTGAGCTGGCGTTGGGAAGACGACGGACCTGCGGACGGAAGGTCAGGCATCCTCCTCTTTGTGCCTTTCCCCACAGGGGCGGACGGAATCTTGAACATCTTGTCGATCTCCATCTTATCGCGCGGGCACAATCCAGAAGTGCGAGTAAAGTTGCTTGAGGTGAAGTAGATGCATCGATGGTTGTTGTTCAAGGGTGGAGGTTGGAAAAGGTTCCGGAGTGCGGGGTACGCGGGGAAGTAATGACGCTCTTGGTTGCTCTGCGTTCATCATGATCTCGATACTTGACTCTTCCCATCAAAGTGGCCATTCTCATCATGGTTGCGCCATTCGCAACTCCCAATGTTGCAACGGCCGATGCGGATGCCGAGGGTCCCATTCTCGCCTTGGCTCAGCGTGTGACCGTCCGGTCTTCCGCGAACGACATTAGCGCCGCTCGTTCGAAACTTACTCAGGCGATATCGGCCAACGAGGTACGTGACAAGACGGAGGCGACGAGGGAAGGAGTTGTTGCTGACAGTGATGAAGTCCTACTTGCACGATATCACACATAGTCACACCTCGGTGATGGCCAATCACCTGGATCAGAACGCCAAGCTCAAGCAACGCTCTGACGTCGCGCAACGAGCGGCCCAGGCACTGGCGGATGACTTTGATGTTGGCTCTCTAGACGTGAGTTGTCTCTTGGCCAAACCTAACGACTATAGAGGGTCCACCGTCTAGAGAAATTTCGTGTGACCACTTCCAACATTCACACATCACTCCAAGGGCAAGCGCTGGCTGGCGCGTCTAGGGAGATCCTCGAGGACCTCAAGCAGCGATACGACCTTCTTGTCCGCGTTGAGGATGGCGTATGGTGCGGAAGGGGAGCGGACCCATCAACGGTAGCTGCTGTCGCTCAGTTCAACTGCGACGAGCAGCGAAGCACGGGTGCTGCTGTGCAAACAGCCTTGGCCGTGAGTGTGCACTTCCGCAAGATTCTCTGACATCAAGGCGAGGTGCGCTGTGCTACGTGCAACCGTTACCGAGCAGCTTTCGAACGCGTGGAATCTGGCTGTGACTGTCTCCATTAGTGCGGAGGGTCTGCCATCCGTCATGGTAGCCTCAAGTTTTACGCTGTCAGCCCCCAAGGGTAAGCCAATCTTACAGCGAAAGTCCACCTGATAGCAGCTCCTCGTTCAACACCGTACGCAACATCAGTTGTAAAAGCGCCACGCTACGATTTTGTCAACCTCTGTAAGGCTCTCCAGACCCTCAAAGTACTTCCTGGCCTGCTACATGACCTTCACAGTTGTGTCGTTCGCAAAGTCATCGAACCATTACTGAGTCACGATAGCTGGCGGCCTTCCAAATGCTCCAGGAACGACGGCATTGGACTGGAGACTGTGTCCGTCTCGTCACAAAATCGCCGAGATTTGATCCAAAACGTCAAGGTTGTGCTCGACTTTTTCCACCAGGCGCTGCCAGATGAATGCCGCGTTTTCAATGTCAGGCTACAGGAGGCCGCCTTCAGCTTAGTCCTGGACCGTATCCTAATCCCAAGTCTGCCGACACCTCTGGCGAATCTCCCGGAGTGGCTGGAATTGGCCCTTCAAGCAGCAGATTGGGAAGGCTCATTCAGTGCCGACGAGGCCGACCCAGGGGTTATTCACGCTTTTTTAAACGATTCGGCTGGGGGCGTTTGGCTCCAAAAGCGGAAAGCAGTATCCTTGAGTCAGGCACGACGGATTGCCTACAGCACCTGGTCCTCTTGGGCGTCTAAGACTGTTCAGCCCGACGTCGTTCCGCCTATGTCTGCTCAACCCAAGGCACAGGCCCTCGTTAAGACGGACGACGAAGACGGCTGGGGCTTTGAGGAGGAATCTCAGCTCAGGTTAGGCAGTCACCGCGCAGCTATCCAGGCCGAGGCTGCCGAGAACGACGGATGGGACTTCGATGATATCGCTGACGAACCCGCTCCCTCGCCGGCTCCCGCTCCTCCCATGGTCCACCGCGATGCCCCCAAACCCCGCGAAGCCAGACGTCTAGGCAAGAAGGCAGCTCCTAAGGGCACGCGGCTAAGCTCAGCCACCCCGTCTCCGCCGCCCCTCTCCTCCCCTTCGGCGAACGCCACAGTGGCATCATTTACACCCTCAGATCGGAGGGTCTCCGAGCCAGAGGCTCCTGCACTCTCAGAGACGTTCAAAGTTTCTATGGCCACTGACGCGGTCATGGACCTAACCGCAACGGCGCTGAAAGAGCTTATGGACATATCGAACATTCGGTAAGCGTTCTTTGCAGCGAGTAGTGCTTATGGTTGCCCGGCCGTGCCCTCCTTTGCAGGCGTACCGCGCGGTATTTCCGAGCAGCTGGCTGAATCCTTGGACCTTATCCGTGTCAGCATACCAGTCACGCAGTCGTCGTCTATCGTGAACTTCCCCGTGAATCTCGTTCAACTGTCAAACGATTACCGGTATTTGAACTCCAAGCTTCTAGCCATCATGCCAGACGCGGAGTGGATGGATCGGGACGACTGCGCCCTTCGCTTCTCAACTGCCAGCGCAATCGCCCTGCAAACCTTTATCGCCGATCAAACTTCTGCGCTGGCTGGTTTGCTGGACTACACTAACGGCTTTGTCGGCACGGACAACCCGGAATCGTATCTGCGCGTCGAGCAAGCTGTGCAACAAGTGATAACGTATCTCAAGAATACAGCAACGCAATTGGCAGTGAGGCTCCTTTCTGCATCACTTCGCCGCTGACCCAGACATACGTCAACATTGAGGTGTACCATACTGTTCTGGGCAAACTTGTCGAGGCGACCGTTTCTTCAATCCTCCTCAGCGTTCTGGCCCTTGAGGATATCACGGAGCTTGAGTCGCAGCGCATCGGTGATCTGCTAAGCTTGGTGGAGACTCTATCCAATCTCTTCCAGAACGATCAAGCTCATGTATCCACCGTCGCGGCGTTCGTTCCCCATTGGATCAAATTCGGATACCTCAACGAGCTTCTGGTGAGCCCTTCGAAGGACGTGCTAACAGTTAGCACGCGAAGCTCATCGAAATTACCAACCTCTATGATAATGGCTCGCTTGTAGACTTCACCTCCGACGAGCTAGGAGGGCTAGTACGTGCCCTTTTCGCGGATAGCCCTCAGCGTACTATTCTTCTTGAGAGGGTCGCGATGTGATTCCTTGTCCAGGGAGAAGGCTTTGGGGTCCATGACATCTACAGAGTCTGTCAACTTGCGCGCAAGTTACCGACCCACGTAAAAAAGTCAAGCCAGAGCGCGAGTGCCCTAGGTGCATTACGTTTGATCAACTCTGACCCCCCAGAGCGCGAGTGCCCTAGGTGCATTACGTTTGATCAACTCTGACCCCCCACTGATGAACACCGCACCCTATGCTTGGTGCTACCAAAGTTCAGTGACAGTTGTTGTCCGAGGAAATTATCACACCACCTCGTCATACTGGGTCGATGGTCTACCTCACTGTGCTCTCATCATCATCCTCGCTGCACAATGTAATAGCACAGCTTTACTTCCTCTGCCATAATTGAGCGGGCTCTTCTGACACAACAGCAGATTTGTCCCACTCAACAGCATCAAAACCATGTGAACAACGGCGACTTGGAACGCTTCGGTAAACTCTCGTTGCCTTGAATGGGCAGGCCCTTGCACCAACCATGGGGGTACCGGTGTCCCATCTGCTTGGAGCCCTGTTCAATATACACTGTATGTCATCCAACGATCAATGTGAAGGCCAATTGTAACACACTTACACAAGTGACACAGCACGTTCTTCCAAAACTCGAAGTAACTCACCGCAATACTGGTGTCCATTTACGTCGCTGAAGTCAGTCTCATCCACTTCTTAGAGACAGATGTCTCTCAGCCAATCAAGTTGATCATAACGGGTTCCCAAACTCGGTTTCTATCTCCATAGCCTGCAGTTGACTGCATGTGAGTTGCAAAGGAGATCTGAGCGGCAAACGTCGACATGGAGGAATGCATAGGTGCGATACCGGCGAGTAACTTGTGTTGCGAAGCGACATTGCTCGTTGCACTCACGTTCCTACTGTACATTATTGATCATCCGAAATGATGCGCCAACATATCGATAAGTTTAGCTTTTATTACCCTCTGATGTACAGCGTCAATGTCGGGCTGACATCCATAGATAAATTTGTGATACTCATCCATCTATCCAAACCTAAGAACGGTGCCACGCCCTCCTGGTTCAACGTTCAAGCCTCGTCAGGCCGTCAGAAAAAGATGGAAAGTGCCTGTCGCCTGGTCAGGTTGTATATCTCTCACTATTCCGTAAAGTCACAACATTCGGCGTCAACTCAAATGCGGCAATACACCAGTCGGATAGTGTCCTTCCTTCTTCATTCTCGACAGATACTAATACCATTGAAGCAGGGGGAACAGTGGGAGGCCATCCGCACGAATGGCAGGGTAGCAAGCGCCAGACACTGCGATGATGGGGGAGAACCAGGTGACATGGAGGAAGGGGCTCGGTCTTCCATCGTTCAGCCTTAGAACGCTACGAGGATACTCCGAATTGCCTTCAACGGTGGTTGCCCTCAACTAGTAGGAGGCTAACTTCGTGCCATGCAAACTGTGTGGAGAGCGCGATTGCCTGATTTTGCGATTGTAGGATATACACTTCGAACAACATATCAACGCAGATCATCGTGCATGTTGAGTAACCAAGGCCCGCCCAATTGTTATCTCACCAGGAACAACACCACGACACTTATGAAGAATACAGGCTCGCAATAGTTATCACATTTGTTGGTTCACACACGACATATAGTGACATATACTTGCGGGCCAGGCCGGAAAGGTTTGGGATTGCTTGCAATTTTACTGCATTCGGATATTGTCGACCCATTGATCCCTGTTGCACAATTACCGAAAGTGGCAATGTGAACTTGACGGCATCCGAGGGCAACATGCCCTTCTCAAGATAAAAATTGTCCTCGAAAGAGCAGTGGTACTCCGCTTTCCTTGGTCTGGTCTAATCAACATGTGGAGATGCCCATGATCCCAAGCTCTAGGAAATGTCTCACGGTCAATAAGCTCACGATCAGAAGCAAAAGCTGATTGCCTTGGTTGACGATAGACAGGCCAGAGGAGCGGATCGGACGCTCAGAAGAACTGTGTTCCCGGGCAGGACTCTGACTCCTCCAGGCATTGCGCTCAAGCAGACAGCTGGTCATTGACTGTAACAGGAGCACAACATGCATTGTGTGTTCCCATGCTCCGAATACTTGGGGCTCGCATGGAGTACCCGCAAGACTCACCGAAAGTCATCCATCTGAATCACAAGGACATCAACACCAGGATCACCGTGGTACGATTGCGATCATCCGCAGAGATATGACACCCTTGGAAACAAAAGGCTACCCTATCCTCACCTCTCCTCTTATGGCTTCTACAGGTCATGGGCGACCACGAAGGCGGCGATCGTCAGGCAGTGTGCAGCATACATGAATCATGGACTAGCGCAATAATGGGATGTCTATAAGATGAGGTATCGCCATGCTACGTGAAGTGTCGGTGAGCGGCAAATGTCCCACAATGGCGGCAAGACATCCGCTTGAAACCAAATGAGGATCCCCGTTTCGTTGAGAGGAGGTGTGCATTGTAATACTTCGCAGCCCTACTGCAAGAATGATGCTCCTCCACGGTTCGAACCCGATCAAACACACAGCAGCTACGGTGGAGAGTCCTCCACAGTCACCAGCGGCAACTTTTGAGGGTGAGGAGATGAGGATCAATGCTGCTGCCAAAGCAATGTTGGTCCTGGTTGGACATAATGTGACCGTGCAAGGTACACGCACCATGGACTTCCTTAGAATTACGCCACCCTTCGATCATCGGTGACGAGCATCAACCAAATTGTTATCGTTTTTTGGCGATATGCAAAGATGAGTAACTGTATTCACTGTTGAGATTTTTCGGTCAATACATGGGTAACGATCTGTTAACTTCACGCCCCGTAGAGGTGCCATGTCATTGCATGTCCACAATTCTTCTCCACAGGGTAAGGATTGCAAGTAATCATCGAAGGTACTCGCATTGTGAATGCATATAGAGATCGGCAAAAGGAATATCTACACAGAGATGGTCGTCTGAGATTTATGCAATGCACTGATGATAGACTTAGGAAACTCTCTTAGATCTCCTGCAACTTTGATCTCCTCGAGCCTTCATGGATGCACTTTGGTCAAGGGCTAGTCACCTTGTGTATGGTTAACGTCATGCACGTCTCTGCTTATCGTCGAGAACTATCCTTAACTCCCTCTAGGTAGACATCCAATCAGTATTGACTCTTCATACCTATATATCCACCCAATGCCGATGGATGTGCTTCATGCATATGGTAAATTTGGGCAGGAGCTGGGCTGTACATTACGGAGTTGATGCAGCTTGGGTGTGATTGTCCACACATCTGCGGCAGGATCTATTCGATATCACGTACCGCGTATCATCGCAGGATGGCATAATCATGGATTAGTTATTATTGCCCTGATTGGGCCAAAAACATTACATTACGCACCTTCACATGGCTAATGCAGCGATATTTGTTGATCGGTCAAAATTCATATATTGCATACGACTGCCCCAACCAAGATTCCGCAAAGGTGACATTCGAGTTGGGCCAAACACAGACATTTCTAGCACTGCAAGAGGTGCAACGAGCCCCTACTCACGCATCTGTGCTGGTGTTCACGACTTGCGATTCACGCACGGTGATTGCTGAATTACTGGCATACCCACTCAAGAGGTGTACCACCGCCCAGGCTATAGAATGACATGTGGCTTATCTCTCAAAAGCTACGCGTTGCCAACAATCACCCCGCAGCGGCGACATTAAGCGCGTTTAGAGTGCAAATTGTCCGGTCCGTTGTTGAGTGCTCCCCAATGCACGTGTTCCCGTTAGCCACTGTTGGGAGTCCTGATCACACTGAACAGGCTTCTAGTGAGTTTGATCCCCGCCAATCATCGATACACTCCATCAAGGACACACTTAGCCCACGTTAAGCGGGTATCCGCCGCGCAGTACACTTGATGCTGCTTAGAATGACAATCTAAGTTTAGTGCTCCGTGCATTTCACTGTGACCGGTGCGCGTACGAACCATTGTTTCCCTCCGACTGCACGTAGGAAAGTACCACCTACAGTGCAAGCACGTTCTGATGATCTTCGCTAGCTCACAATCAACTGAAGACGACCACTGTCTCTATCAAGGTATGAAAGTCAAATGCCAAGCTGGTTGGTTGCATCTCTCACATAAGGCTATATGGCGGGGATTGTGGTGACTATAGTCAGGCGCTTGCCAGGTGTCGGGGAACTGTGTGAATCGATAACTCTAGTCAGCAAGGCACTTTTGTGGAATGGGTCTTTTGACTATGGCCCGCCAGTACCACAAACTCACCCCATCCCCATCGCCCGAACGCTGGAAAGCAGCCCGTTCCTTCTTATGAAGGTAATTTCTACCCTCCTGGTGCCTTTGAAACGTTCAGGCGACACTGTTCGAACTTGAACAGTGGGCTTCGCACGAACGGTGTGCGATGAAACACCTACTATCAAATTACTGAAATGCTTGGGAATATGCCATGCTGCCAATCACCTAGTGCCAGTTCGTCAATGTTACCCAATTGCAGTCGCCTATGACCCCGAGTGTTCATGCAACAGGCCAAGTGTACTTCGGTTATAAGCCTTCATTCTCTATTTCTAATGACAGCGGTGGATGCTGCTAACACTTCGTTACGATGTAAGAATCGACATTCTTAACTCTTCACAATGCAATGCTGCGGTCTGGTGTCAAGCCCGTCTAATCTAGCCCAATCAGATGATGCCGCCTTTTACCGTCTGCCGTGCGGTCTGGAGGGGCATGGCAGGCGAACGTCACACATTATTGAATGCTCGCAACTCAAGCGAGTTTCGCGCCCACACCCACCTCGATTTCGGTTCTGTTTGCGTTTCGCTTTTGTTTATGTGTGGGTCCTCTTGCTTGCGACTTAGCGTCTGATAGCGGTTCGGCTTCTGTTCGCGCACTTGCGCTTCGGTCTATATTTGGGTCATTAGACGACGCATGTGCTACGTTTCACTCTCCTGCATATTTGCCCCTGTTATGTACATACTCAATCATATGTGAAATTGACGACCATGAACTAATCAGACCTGAAAACGTGGCCACACGTCAGTTTCCTACCACAAGCGTCAACATCTGGCAATCGTATGGAGCCATGTTTCCGTGGGGCGCCTGCGAGAACGATAGGTCTGATGTGGCAGCACTCAAGGCGGAATTTGCGGCGGGTGCATTACAATGTGCTACCGTTGGTAGGTATCGGGTGACTCAGTCTCATGAGCCGACAACAGGAGCCAGAGCCCGTTCCGAACAATCGGTGATGCATGCGCAGATTGCCCTCTAGTCAAAAGCGTCATGACTCAATTCGGAGGAGAGTTGTGACAACCATGGTTTACAATCGCCATCGTTTGATTCCAGCCACGGCCGAGTATCAGACTTGCGCGCTACACGTCGAAGCGGCACTCAAGCCTTGAGGTAACTCCTGCGCGTCCCATCCATGATTCCATTGGCGTGTGTGTGATACAGGACAAAACATCTGTGACTTCGGCGCAGGTGCTCCCATTGACGAAGGGGGCAAGGCGGTGAGCGATCTGGGATGTAATATCACGTCCGTCGCTGTCCACTAAAGGAATCTTGAGAGCGCACTCAATCCCAACAATCTCAAGGGTGAAGGTGCCGATCATGACTTGCTGCGCCAGCTCATAGAGCAAAAGGCCTTGCTGGACGATCGTCTCCGCGCCCACTTCACACATGCCGACAACAACAACGGCGGACTTGACTGACCGCGGCATCTCGCAGCGCGTCATGGCAGCTAGCACAGTTCCAAGTGAGCCTTCGACGGCGTTTGGGTGCATTGTGCCCCCGGCGTGAAGAACGGCACGCTGAGTGCCAGGAGGGAACATGCTGGAGCCCAAGCGGAGTAGATATGTGTTCCACGGGATGGCAAAATCGACAAACGTGTGGGCACGCGGTAAAATGCAGCGCGGTAAGCGAGATCCGTGATTGCGCACGATCTCCAGCAGAGGGCGGCCTTGCTCGAGACGCCACAATAGCGGCTGAAGCGCATCCCCGCGGGGCGCGTCGTCCGGGGGTAGATCAAGAACGCGGGTAAGACATAAGTTGTCGTGGGCGCTCGGAGGGCCGAGGGGTAGACGCGAGTATACTGTAGTCGAGGGGGTGACAGGGCGCGAAGCCGGCGGTGTGGGTGTGGGTGAAGAAGATAGTGTTGGAAGACCGCTCTCCTCCGCGGAGAATGAAGGTGTTGCTACATGGGAGATGGCGGCAGGAAGAGGGTGGAAGCCAATAACGCCAGCATGTCGTGATTCAGTTGGGGAAATGCTGGAGCATGCCACCGACGTTGGCATCGCGCACAAACTCCCGAAGAGATAGCCCCACATGCCCGCTTCCGCGCGGGGAAGAAGGCAGACTCGAGTGAAGAGTCGCGCGTCGGCGCGTTGTTTGTAGTGTTTGCAGGAGGCGCGGAAAGCGAGGAGAGCCTCGTGCGGCGCAGCATCCATGATGCCCTCAACCAGGTGAGGATAGTAGGCGGAGTCAATCATTGCACTATGTCCTGAGGCGAGAAAGCAAGCTGGAGAGGCGTTGAGCGACCGTCGGGTTGAGGCGATGGGGCATAGGCCGTCGACAGGGCAGAGTCGACTGGCGTTCCAAGACGGGGAGGTGAGGAGATTCAGAAGGCATGGAGAGCCACTCTGCGACCTCTGCTCAGCGTACTTATGGCCAACAGTCTGACGACTGGGAGCCCAATGCGGTCATGTCCACCAGGCATTCCGCCCCCAAGTGGCTCCAACGGCTGGACCTCCCCCTCTTAGCTGACCAGATCTACTCCAAACAACCCCGAAAGCCCGACAATACCATCCTGTCTATGCGATGCCTTGGCATCATGAGCCATGCTTCGACTGTATCGCCCAACCCCTTACCCGCTACGGTCCTCAATCCCGGTGCTATCGATCGGGTCCATACCGGTCGGGTCCCCTCCTATCAAACTGAGTCGGTATGGAGCCGCCCTCATCACAGTGTGGTTCCCGAGAGGTGTGGCGTCGCGTCAGCTGCGAATGACGGAGCGCGGGGCAGACATAGACACAGACGATGATAGACGAGCTGGAAAGCTGAACGCCATTAGTTACTCCGTGTTGGCCGACCATTGAACTCTTGCTCCAGCGATCCCCTACACCGTATAGTAAGTAGCGATTAAATACTGGCACCGTCATGCGATCGATGAAGGTGGAGCAGTCGGTAATGGAAAAAACAAAATGGCTAACGCGACGTCATGGTGATTGCCCTGGCGATAGCGGCGATAACGAGATCAATAAGAGATAACGTGACCTGTGGTGGTCGTAACTGAAAACGTGACCACTAATTCTGAGGGCCCCGTTTGGGGTCCCGGGAACGTTACGTCAGCACCAACTTCACCGAAGGCAGTGGCCGTCTCCCATTTATATACATCGTTCATGTTACATATACTTTACGAGCTTCTGGCATGTCGCTGCACTGCCACTCTAACCGTCACACCTCGGCACGTCTGGAATCCACTTGTAGCCCGTTTTGGTGTAATAGTCGGAGACGTAGCAATCGAACGCCCAGCTGCGGTCGATCTTGTTGGGCTACACGGCCGTTGTAGTCACGTCGAACGTTCTTTAAAGCCTATCGCACAGCTTCTTCAACCTAATCCTGGAACTCCAAACCTTGCGACGTCCGTTCAAGCCTCACCTTCGTCCCGTTTTGAGATGATCGATTGACGCACTTCCGTCGAGTATCGAGGGACCGTATCGGTAACCTGACTACGACTAAGATCTTAATCCGCACCGTCTGTGCTGGTCTTGAGGTCATCCACGTTCCATCTATGACATAGTGCTGCATCTGGTCGGCCGCGAAACCGTCATGTGCTCGTTGCCGCCCTCAATCGACTGCGTCGCCGTCGGTTCCGGCGAATTTGGGCGAGAGGCGCGGGAGGAAATGGACAGGGTGAAGGGACATAATGGCAGACTTGGGGTTGAGCGCAGGATGTGCTTTCAGAGGTCGCCTCCGTCGTGACCGGTGCTCCATCGTAGTAGAGGACTTTGTTGCTGTGAATCGCCTGATCGCAACGGTGTGCGAGGTCCTAACGTGTTGCCGATCGTGTACATGACCTCCTTCATGTGTACAGAAGCCTTGCCAGATGGACTGCCACACTTTAGCGTTCGAGGATAAGGTGAGCAACTTGATGACAACGGGCACCGTGCCCCTGGTAAGTTGATGGCGGAGCTCGGCACCGAGAGCATCGAACAGATCGGGTAAGACCTCTTAGTATTGAACTCCGTTAATGGATATCAGAAGTCGTCCACATGCATGTAGTAGGACTTGATGTAGATACACGAGCCTACTTCACAGCTGCGAACTAGTCCACTACCTGCATCACCACAAAGCGGTTGGTCGCAACCACATCCGATACGATCCTCTCCTTACAGTGTTTGGTACCACATAAATAGGCGCTGCGCCCCGTCCGTCCACTGCACATCGTTCTGGAGGTGGTGGCCCGCTCCCTCGACGAACTCCAATTGCACTTCCTTGCTCTCAGCCCGGTAAAAAGCAGCTGTCGCGCGTGTCACGTCAGGCGTCATCAGAGCGTCCTCGGATCCTGCCATGACCAGCACACTCCTGCTGGAAACTTTAGCAAGGATCTGGGACGCCTTGGCGAAGGGGCGCATCATGGAGATCGGCCACCAAAAGCTCTCGAAGCGACTCATGCGATGTTGAAACGCCAGGACACGGTCCTCAGGGAAGGACGGGCCGAAAAATGCCGCGTAGGTTAGGCGGGGATGAGAGAGTGGAGAGTTAGGGTGCCAGAAGTGAAAGAGCATGCGCAAGGAGAACCATGGATCGAGGCGCGCCCAGTTGAGGTAGACACCGGTGCTGGAGTGAGTCCTGCACCCAAGTTGAAGATAGGACCAGAACAGCCACTTACGAGCCGAAGGCCGGCACCGCGCCCAAGAGCGCAAGGCCACGCGCCTGAACCTTGCCTGCTCCAAGAACCGCCTGTGAAAGTCCGCCGCCAGAGGAGTGGCCCACCAACACTACCTCATCACCAGTGTGTTTCTCAACCCAGTTTACAGCTGTGACGAGGTCGCTTTCAAGATCAGTGCGCGTCGTGCCGTAAACCATCCGGAGAAAGTGTGGACACCTGGAGTAAGCGGCAACCTACAGCATCGCAGAGCAATGAGCCAGGAAGCAGGAAAGAGACAGGGCGCGAGAGGCGGCGAGCGCTGCCTCAGTCCGTCTTAAGGCCTTTGCATCAAAGGACTTACCAGGAATCGCCATGCCCGCGCAGCGAAATAGCGTAGCATCTCACCCCCTTGGACTTGAGGTATGTCATGTACTCCTGCCAGACCCATGCACCACCCATCCCACCATGGCAGAACACGATTGCAGGGCCCTGGGCTTGGTCAGGCTCGGCAGCAAGCAGCTCGAGCGGCCCACGCGGCGTCTCGAGCCAATATCGGTGAAGACCCGGAAAAACGGGCTCGGCGGGCTGGGCGGAGCGCAGAAAGTGAAGGTACTTGTAGCTGAAAGTGAGGCCAAACATGTTGTTGATGAGGAGAAAGACTAACGGAAGTAGATAACGGTACGGTCGTCGGATCGTCGGAGTGTGTTCGGCTCCCCACATCCGAGTTGATCCGAGTGTTTGCGGATAATGCTGTGAAAGAGACGACAATCGCGCTCACTCTGTGCTCATGGGTGCACTCTCCCCAGACAGCGAAGTATCGTCGCTTGCGCAAGAGCAGTCGATGTTGCATGAATGGGCCTTGCATTGCCTGATTCGGTCAGGGGAGGATCTACAGGCACAATCCGCTCGGCGACTTTCCCAGTTACTGAGACTACACCAGATCAGCTGCACATTAAATCAGCTCCTCCACAGCACTGCGCTTTTGCTTGCTGTTAAACACACTGTTGCACACTCTCAGCACTGTCTAGTGTACCAGCAATATGTCAACGGTCTTCCCCTTAAATCATTGCGGCACTATTCACCTCTACCACAACGAGCATTGCTCGCTCTTCGGCGGGTTCATCGGCGTGCCCGGCTTGCAGTTGAACGCCTTGTGGAACGCGTCATTGTCCCGCAGCGTGCCAATTACACGCCAGTACGGAGGCGAGTGCGGGTCGGTGCGCACACGGGACACGGCAGTGGCTGGGCGTGCAAGGGTCGCCCAAATACGTCCAAATGAGATGAAAAAGAGCTGCTCTGGCGTGTAATCAAGGCCAGGAAGTGACTGCGCGTGCTTTGCGTCGGTCTTCCACGCTGCATACGCCTGCGCAAGGCCCGAGTCCGCGATATCCTCACCGTTTGTGAGATTACCGTTGACGTATACCTTATTGCCGTTGTCGTCGACAACATAGTATTGGGAGTACTGGCGAGAGACGCATTGCGCTCGCTCCTGGAAAGCCTTGACCGTCTTATTGGTCCACCAGTCGCGCAGACGGCCGTGTTCGTCATACTGGGCCCCCGAGTTGTCGAACGCGTGCGTGAGCTCATGTGCGGCCACGGCTCCGAACGCCCCATACTTGAGGTGCGACGGCCAGTCGTACGAGTAAAAAGGCGGCTGAAGGATGCCGGCTGGGAATACAATTTCGCCATCCGGAGGCGAATAGTAGGCGTTAACAGTCTGTGGGTACATCTCCCAAGTGTTGCGGTTGCGCTCGCGGCCGAGCGACAGCCAGGCGCGTCGATTGCCCATGATTTCACTGCCGAGAACGTTGCCGAAGTAGTCGTCGGCGACGATCTGGACATTCTGATACCAGTCACGAATGGAGTTGGGATCGGTTGTGTTGGGGCTCAAGGGGTAGCCAACCTTGGGGATGATAGCTTTGGCCTTTTTTTGAGCCGCGGCCGCCGACTTTTCGTCCATCCACATGATGCGCGGAAGCTTGTCATAGAATGCCTCAACAATCGAGTTGATGATGTGCTCGCCGTCCGCCTTTGCCTCGGGCGAGAAGGAAGCCTGCACAAACTCACGGCCGGCGATGAAGCCGACTATAGAGTCAACTGCTCCGAGGCAAATGTCCTGACGATTCTCTTCAGTACCGGGCTTCACACCGGTGAGCACGTTGCTGAGCTGCTTGACTTGCTTTCGGATTTCGGTCTTTGGTCCAAGAGCGCCGCCGTAAGCCAAGGCGAGCTTCGAGACAAGATACGCGCTAAGGACGTGGTCAGGAACGTCCTTGACCAGCTGGGTGATTTGTTTGAGGTACGGCGGATGCGAGACTACAATCTTGGATGGGTACTTGCGTGGTCCCATTGCCGATAAGTATGCCCCGAGGTCAATGAAAGGGAGCGCCTTTTGTACGTCCTTGGCAGAGTACGGATTGTACGAGAAGTGAGGGTTGAAAAGGTATTCGGGGTCCGCACCAGCCCGAGCAATTTTGCGCTCGAATGCAACCACTTTTGCAGCAAGCTTGTCCATCCGCTTGTCAAGGGGCTCGGTCTTGACCGGATCATCCTTGTCGCCTCCCGGCCAGGGCCAGGGCCAGCCGTCCTCGACCGCCTCCTGGGCAGCCTCTTGCATGATGTCCGTGAACAGGTCACGCTTTCCGTGACTGACCAGCGACTCCTCGGCGACGCTCCGAAGAACCCCAGAAATAACCGACTGGTACAGGTCGAGGATAGGCTTTTCCTCGTAATACTGTTTGGAGGGGAGGCCGCCAAACGACTGGTAGAAAAAGAGCGACTGAATTTGCGAGTTCTCTCCTCCAGCGTCGCCTTCGATAATGAAGTTGAACAGGGCGTCGATCCCACGGGCGTGCAGGAATGCGAGTGCCTTGGTAATCTTCTGTCTACGGGCGGGCTCAACCTCCTCCTCCTCAGGCTCGAGAACAGACTGCTGACTCGGCACCTGGATCGTGGCTGCGCGGCGGAGGTGGTGAGCAACGTCCTGGGGGGTCAAGGCGGTTGCACGGAGTGACTCTGAGATTTCGTAGTCCGGAGTGTATGCCCCGGTCCAGAATGCCACGTCGACAAGCGATTCGGATTCAGGCATAGGGTTGACATCGAATGTGCCGATGGTCCTGACCACTTCTCTGACAAGAGGAACGATCGGCTCAGAGCCTCGCTTGTTCATTGTCTCGATGTCCATGCACGAGGTGTAAGTATCCTTGAGTTTACGAAGGTTATCCGTCGCGGCGTCAAAGCCAGCCTCGTCGATATGGATGGCCTCGATGATCTTGAGGAGCGTCTTCTTATTACGGTCCGAAACCGCGTTAAACTGGCCGTAAATGCCTCGGTCGGGGGGGATGTTGTTGGCATCGAGCCATCCACCGTTGGCGAACTCGTAAAAGTCGTCGCAAGGATCCGCCGAGACATTGACAGACCGGATGATCTCGGCGGCAGCCGTTACGCACTCTGGGGTGGTACATACTGACTTGCGAGGCTTGCCGGTTGGTGAAGGATGGTGTCGAGTGACCGTGACCGTACTAGTTGGGTGGTTAGCACGCTCCTTCTTTAGCGCCACCTCAGTCCCCGCGAAGAGGCCGATGAAAGTGCCGGCGATAGCGAGGAGAGCTAGAACAAGTACTGCAAGGACTTTCTCGCGGTTGTTGAGCTGCGAGGGATCAAGCACACTCGCACCACCATTAGTGTCGGGTTCGTCGCCGTCCTCACGGCGGAGGAGCGGGGCACTCTCTGCCTATCAGCAAGTTGGCGGTCGAACCACATACCCTGGTCAGTGGATGGCCGAGGCTCAGCCATAGTGGTTGCACTGCGTTGAGGGATAGAGTGCGATGTGAAGGGTGTGATGTTAATGGGAGTGGGAGGCATGCGTCGGTGACGGCCGAGCCGGAGCTCAATCAATTATGACGCACCATGAACTCAACCACGCGTCACTCGCCCTGGCACTGGTCATCTGACACAACTCAAATAGGCCTGTGACCACGGCCTACCGGCGTCGGGGGGCCTAAAATCATATCACTTGAATATGTCCCTACATTGTCCACGCGAATTTGGTCCCGTAATCGACGCGTGACGCGTCCGAAGGTCGCGTTTGTCTTGCGCTGATTGGAGAACAACAATTAACGCGTCTCGCTTCATCACCCCCTCACATCCCTGCTCATCTCATCTCCATTCACTTCCTCCGTAATGGCCACCTCTCCGGCACCCCCAAGTCATTTCCCTTCATCCTCTGCGGCCGGCGGTACGCCCCACCGCACACCGCTTGCGTCCTCCTCCCTCGGTGGCTCACGTCCCATCGACCCTCTGAACTATCGGGATGTCCACGGCTTGGGAGCCACCGCCGAGGGACGACGCCCAACGCGCGAGTTAGACATCGCCGACAATACGGACGAAGGCCGGCGCCCACAACCACGAACGCGTATCCAGGACCGGTCAAATATCCCGCTCGTGTCCGATGAGCTCGGCGAGAAGGTGCAAGCGCAATTTGAGAAGTTCCTCGAGAAGTGGGTGCTTAAGATGCGCAAGCTCATCCCCTAGCTACACGGATGGCGTTGAGTTTCCCCCGACTCCTTCGTCAACCGGAATGGGGGAGAGGGAAGAACCCAATTCCGACCAGAGGCCATACATCGACCAAATCTGGCAGATGAAGGAGCTGGAATGGGCGACTCTGTACGTCGACTGGCGACACCTCATGGAACGTGAGGAGACGCTCGCAACCGCCATTCAGAACCAGTACTACCGCTTTGTGCCATTCCTTAAGCGTGCAGTGCAGAACATGGTCCAGAAGTACGCCCAGGAGTACGTCTTCCGATCGGCTCCGACTGTCGCTAGCCCTAGCGGCTCATTCACCAACGTGAATTTCAAGGACTTCTCGGTTGCGTTTCACAATATGCCTCTTACCGCTGGTATCCGGCAGCTGCGCATGGAAAATGTCGGCAAGCTCATGAGCATCTCAGGGACTGTAACACGAACATCCGAGGTACGCCCAGAGCTCGTGTCGGCGACCTTTAAGTGTGAGGAGTGCGGCACGCTCGTTCATAACGTTGAGCAGCAATTCAAGTATACTGAGCCGCTCATGTGCACAAACGCGACATGTCAGAATCGCAAAAGTTGGCAGCTCAACCTGGAGATGTCGAAGTTTGCAGACTGGCAGAAGGTTCGCATTCAAGAAAACGCAAACGAGATACCCACTGGTAGCATGCCTCGTTCGTAAGTTGTCTCGCCCGGCTCCGCTGACTCCAGCCTCGACGTCATTCTGCGCGCGGAAGAGGTTGAGCGCGCAAAGGCTGGTGACAAGTGTACCTTCACGGGCACTTTCATTGTAGTCCCGGACGTGTCGCAACTGGGCATTCCAGGCGTCACAAACGAGATGATGCGCGAGAACCAAAACGGACGAACCGACGGTGGTGTCGCCAGCCAGGGTGTGACCGGTCTCAAGACCCTAGGCGTGCGCGACCTCCTGTACAAGACTGCCTTCTTAGCCTGCAGTGTATCGAATGCTGACCAGACCGGATCGGTCGGCGACATTCGCGCTGACTTTGACAACGACGACGCGGAGGCTTATCTGCAAACTCTCACGCAACAAGAGCTCGATGAGCTCCAGGAGATGCGCCTAAACCCGGACATCTACCAGCTCCTGGTCCGGTCCATTGCCCCCACAGTCTATGGACACGACATTGTCAAGCGTGGTATTCTGTTGCAACTGATGGGCGGCGTGCACAAGCAGACGTCAGAAGGCATCAATCTTCGCGGAGATATCAACGTCTGCATCGTCGGCGACCCATCGACATCAAAGTCGCAGTTCCTCAAGTACGTCTGCGGGTTCCTACCCCGCGCTGTATACACGTCGGGCAAGGCGTCTTCAGCTGCTGGTCTCACAGCAGCCGTCGTTAAAGATGAGGAGACAGGGGAATTCACAATTGAGGCCGGTGCTCTCATGCTGGCGGACAACGGTATCTGCGCCATCGACGAATTTGACAAGATGGATATCGCTGATCAGGTCGCCATTCACGAGGCAATGGAGCAGCAAACCATCTCCATCGCCAAAGCTGGTATCCAGGCTACCCTCAACGCACGTACCTCAATTTTAGCCGCTGCCAACCCTATCGGCGGTCGCTACAATCGCAAGCAGTCTTTGCGCGCCAACGTGGCGATGTCGGCACCCATCATGTCACGTTTTGATCTCTTCTTCGTGGTGCTGGACGAGTGCAACGAGGAGGTGGATCTCAGGCTCGCGCAACACATTGTCAACGTCCACCGCATGCGCGACGCAGCGATCAAGCCCGTGTTCTCTACAGAGTCTCTCCAACGGTACATTCGGTACGTGAGGACAATCAGGCCCAAGATCTCTCCCCAGGCTTCACAGGTTCTGGTGGAGAAGTATCGTCAGCTGCGACAGGACGAGGGCGGTCCCGGAAAGTCGAACTTCCGCATTACGGTGCGCCAGCTCGAGTCGATGATTCGCCTGTCTGAGGCCATTGCGCGCGCGAAGAGCCAGGAAGTGATTACACCGGACATTGTCAAGGAGGCGTACTCGCTGCTCCGCCAGTCGATCATTCACGTGGAGCAAGACGACCTCGACCTCGATGATGACGAGATCGAGATGAACGGCAATGGCAGAAACGGCCACCCCCCTACGCCCGGCCTGAGTGGCGGTGACGACACAATGGATCAGGACGAGGACGCGGCCCATATCGCTGCCCTTGAGGCGGCTGAATCCAGTCACCAAGCTGGGACGTCCGCAGGGGCGACCGTCGTCCCAGCGCAGAGGCGTATTCGGATCACCTGTGAGTCCGCCTTGCCCTCCAATGACTCACATCAGACGACCGGTACATGGAGATCATGAACCTTTGTGTGTTGCACCTCTCCGACGTCGAGAGGACGACAGGCAAGGGTGTAGATCGCGAAGAGCTGATTATGTGGTATCTCGAGCAGAAGGAATCTCAGTTCGCGGATGAGGAGGAAGCTGAGTATGAGCACACGCTCATTTCCAAAGCCCTCACGCGTCTGGCCAAAGTGAGCTGTGCTGGGCTGAGTACAACTGACCGCAGGAGAACTACCTCATTGAGATCAGAGGCGAGGCCCAGGAGGGTCTACGGCCATCCGGCGAACTGGAGGAGAGTGGCGAGTCGCTCCCTTCGGACAAGATTTTCTACATGGTGCATCCACAGGTAGATCTGTCCGACTTATCGTCCTCTGCGCCGCGCATGACAGCCTAGGTGTATTGTTGGTAGCCGCCCGCCTGCGGGGCCTGTATTCTTCGGCCATGGATGGTATGCGTTACATGCGGTGAACGGAGAGATGCTATGCCCTGCAGAAATAACTATGAGGAAGGCGCGGCGCTGCCCTCCTTCTCCTTGAGGCTCTCCTCCAGACCTTGGAGAGTGCGTACCAACGAACCGCCGCCAGCCTGCTGGACCACACCGATGAGCTGCCGCTGCGGTGTCTCCAGCAGCCCGATGAGCTGAGCACGCAGCTGGTCGAGCTCGGGCAGCTTAGCAGCCTCGACAACCTGCGCAGGGTTGAGCAGCGTGTTTCCCTCGAGGATACCGGCAAGGAGAGTGAACGTGGGCTGCGACGCGGGCCCTTTCTTAGGATCCTCCTCCTTCTTGCTGGCCTTGACGACGCGTTCGATCGCACCTAGCATAGCGTTGACGTATTTGGGCGAGAGAGATGGGCAGGTAATAATGGCAGTGGGTCCATCGAGCAAGGGGGAGAAGTCGGCGTTGGGTCGCGCAGCGCGCACTACGGGCGCAAGGATGCCAGTACGGGTGACTGTTAGAGTTGCCCGCTCGATGTCTTGTTCTTGGGGCAGAGATGCCGGTCGTGGGACGGGTATTTTGGCAATGGCTGCACGCAGCTTGCCACTCGTGGGCACCGTAAGATTCTCGTGCTTGAACAACAGGACGAGCTGGGAGCGCTGCATGAGATGGGTGTAGTAGTCGTACAGGAAGGCCTTGCGCTCGGTGTAAATGCGCGGCACGTTAGCTTCGGCTGACGGCGAGCGGAAGACGGGCGCGGGGGAAGAGGCGGCCTTAGCGGCCGGCTTGGCGGCCGCCGTGGCGTACCCCCTCAACGCAGCGAGGGATGGGCGAGGCGGCATCGTCGTTAAGAGTATGGTGGGTGGACGCGCCGAAAAGTCGGAACTCATCGAGGCCACCAACCTCTGGGCCCTCTCAAGCGATGAATACGTGTCATTTTGATTTCACGGAGCCTGATATATCCCACGTGAGATATGTTGCGACCTGACAGCGGTTACGCGTTGGATGCAGTACATGACGCTGACGAACTTGAACACCACAATCACCACAAGTGCATAACAATGGACGTCGACCAGCCATCGTCCTCGACCACGGCCAACCCTCTGGCTTTCCTCGAGCAGCAGGAGGCGGCTGCTCCGCCATCCCTCCAACCCGCATGGACCGAGATCCGCACTACATACGAGAAGAAGTAGGTTGCCTAGCACGATCTGTAGCTGACGCAGGCTGTGGCATAACTTAACTGTCGCGCTGCTCAAGTTCGTTGCACTGCCGGGGTCTGGTCCAGCGCAAATCGAGCTTTTTGACAAGTTCATCACGTCTATCGAGGGCAAGATCAATGCCTTGCGGCTCGTCGAGATTGCCCGCCGTGTTGGACGCGAATATGCCGAGCCCGAGCTCACTCTCAAGTTCCTCGAAAGCGTCCACTCGCGCCTCCGCTCCCCGTACCCTGTGGAGGCAACGGAGGACACTCCAGCCCAACCTGCACCCCCGCGCCCCATCCCAGAGGCATTCGCACTCAGCCTGAGCGCGCTCGCGTACGCCCAGCTTCTTCTCGCCGATCTGCCCGGCTGCAAGAAGCGTCTCGACGAGTGCGAGAAGCTCCTCAATGAGCAGGATTCGGTGGAGCCTGTTGTGAACGCGGGATACTACGGCGTCGCTGCCGACTATTACAAGGTCAAGGCGGATTACGGGCCGTACTATAAGAACGCGCTGCTCTACCTCGCGTGTGTCGATGAGAAGGAACTGAGCGACGACGATCGCAAGGCGCGCGCGCACGACCTTTGCATTGCAGCGCTCCTCGGAGATGCTATCTACAACTTTGGCGAGCTGGTGAGTACCTGCCTGCCTGCGCGGCGAGTGCATTCTGAGCACTATCCCTCCTCCAGTATTTAGCTGACAATAGTTGCAACACCCAATCCTGCAGACGCTTGAGGGCACCGAGTACGGGTGGATTAAGGACTTGATTTCGGCGTTCAACGCCGGCGCGATCGGAAAGTTTGACTCCCTATCGAATCACTTCGGCGCCGAACCCATTCTCGAGGAGTCTCGCGAGTTCCTTCGCCAGAAGATCTGCCTGATGGCTCTGATCCAGGCGGCGTTCGAGCGCCCTCGCGACGGCAAGACGCGCCTCATGACCTTCGAGCAGATTGCCGAGGCGACCCGCCTGCCAGTTCATGAGGTTGAACACCTGATCATGAAGGCACTGAGCCTGGGCCTCATTCGCGGCTCCCTCGACCAGGTTGCCTCCACGGTGGACCTTGTGTGGGTTCAGCCGCGCGTGCTTGAGGGATCGCAGCTCGACACTCTTGCCGAGCAGTTTGGACACTGGACCGACGCCGTGGGGCAGACAACGAACGGCGTGGCTGGACTTGAGGCGGGCGTGGGACTTAACGGCGTCGCGCATGCGCTCGCGGCATAGATGTATATAAGTAGAGTGTACAGCATGAAGCAGCAGCATTTCACTACGGATGCGGTGGCAAGGCTTGAGCAATCTAGATGGCTCTTGATAGATCAGGAACGCGCTAGGGTTACAGTTGGCATCCAACACACTCTTCTACGCTCTACCACTGTCCGCGCCCGCGACCTCCCCTGATGTCAGCAACAGGGATGATCACCGACTTACCTTCCACGCCCTCGGAAACCGCGCCCCCGTCCCCGGCCGCGACCTCGCCCACGCGCACCCATTCCTGGGACGTTGGTCCGCTTCTCTTTGACAGTGATAATGCGGCCGCGGAATGAAGACTCGTTCAGCACGAGGGCATTCTGGACAATCGATGGGTCGGCGAATTCGACGTAAGCAAAACTGGAGTCAGCGAGCAGACACAAAATGCCTTCAGCCGCAGGTCAGGCAGTGTGGCACGAGCAGGTGCTGGTGCGATGACAAGCTTAACCACCGCTTCCGGACGAAACGCGTGATGAAAGATGGCCGCTCGTAGATGCGCGCCAACATGGTCTCACTCGCCGTCCTCCATGGTCCCCGCTAAGCTTGGCACTCCGTCCACGACATCAGGAACTTACCCCTTGGGGTGACCTGTAAACTTGTCACACAGGATTGTTACGCGGTTGATCGTCCCACACGCCTGGAAGTGCGCCTGGATCTCTTCGGGAGTCGCGCCGTAGTCAACCTTGAGTCAGTGATGGCTCAGAGCGCCGCGCATGGCCCATCATCTCGTCATCGTCTCTCTTTGCGGTCGTCGCGTTCTTCCGTCGTGTGAAGCACTTACATTGCCAATGTAAACGCTACGCGCGTCTACCGCAGCAGGAGTCTCGTCCTCCATCTCTTCATCCCCCTTTTCCTCCTTCTCACCCTTCTCGAGCTGGCGTTAGCTGCTCTGTGCCGCCGAAGGCCATATGGTGCACTTCCGTTCGCCAGTCTTTGGCGGCGTTACGCACCTGGCTCTTTTCGTCTTCAAACTTTGCCAGCTCCTCCTGCATGCGCTGCAGCTCCTCGTCTACGTCGACATCCGCGATGCGGGGCGAGGCCTCGCGCTGTTCCATGCTGGATGATGTAAAGTTGCGAAGTATGTCTCTTGTGTTGTGGCGATCGGCGGTGGAGGTAATCTCGAGGGCCACGCCCGGCATTAATCGGTGATAGTGTTGGGTGGCTATTGCTGTTTGCAGCATTGGTGGTCATGATCCATCACAATAGACACAAGAGAGACATTGGTGACTGCAGCTGCACAATTGCGCACAAATGTTCACACAGTCCACGCAATCAGTTGGACGGCTCACACGGCTGCATGGTTGGGGATCTACAGTGAGCTTGGGGTCACCATTACACAAACGGCCTACCAGCTCGATTGCATAGGCGAGTCAGGTAGTCTTCGCCCAACTCTGACCACCTTGTTTGACTTCGAATGATAATGGCTCTATCACTCCTGGAGTAATGATCTTGCTTCTTGTACCATCATCATCGACTGACGGACGCTGCTTCTGGCATTTACCCCATGCCGCGACACGGGCCTTCCGGTCAACTGGTGTGGACATGAACGCTTTAGCCCCATGGACCTAGTGTCGTCCAAGAACCCTGTGCCCAAGGAGAGCTTGAGGTGATTGCCGGCTCCCTTCATAGGCATCGCTCGGCATGCCAAGCGTGGTGCATGAGCGATGCGAGTCAGCTCGCTGGACCGTCGGGTATGCTACTGCACAAGGTGGTGTCGCATGCAACTTGGCCCACAGACCTGCAGGATGGTCGGCTGGTGCCCACGAAGAAGAGGATCTCATTCAGAGCCGCCTCCAGGCGCCTTTTCATAAGAAAGCTGCCTATCTTTACACCCCCTCTCTTCCTTGCGCTCTTCTCCCGATACAGCTACGAGTCCTACGCCAGCTCCAGCAAACTAATTATGCACCTACTGCGCATGCTTTCGCTGTGGACACGCGCTGGCGATTCGGCTTGGAATGGAGGACAAGACAGCGGAGCCAGGCACTAGTGCCACACTCGGCCTCTGTCGGAGAAATCTCCCCCCGCCCGAGGAGCTCCGGGGTGTTGGCTGTGCCGCCCTCCACTGGCTGAAGCCTGGGGGGGGGTCAAGCCCTCGCCCGCCCTTCTCCCGCCCCGCCTGCAGCGCAAGCCGAGCTTTCGTCGACATCGCAGTCGCGCTCACCATCCCACCCACCACTCTTCTAAAGTGCGTCTAACGTTCCCCCTCGCCGCGAGCCCCCGCCTCTCCCCCCCTCCCTCCTCTCCCCCTCACCCCATTGTTGCAGCCGCGCGCCGCCCAACTCTTTCGCGGGTCCTTACTGTCAACGCGCCCTCCGACACCGCCCGACCTCACCCTCGCCCCCCGCTCCGACCAATCTATCCGGCTCGCGCGCATTCCCTTCACTTGGCTTGCCCACTCGTCTAACTCCAGATCATGTCCGCCGCCGCCCGCAGTGCCTCGGCCAACGTCGACTGGGCCAAGATCTACAACTCGCTTGGCCTCAACAAGGGTGCGTCCAGCGGAAGCCGCAGGGGGCGGCATCGCGCTCGCAGCCGTGCCAATCACCTGGCATGGTGGCCTGTGGACTGCCATCCTCTGTCCCCTCCACATCCTTGTTGCGCTCCGCTAAATGCCAGAGACCCTTGCCCAGCTCCAGGCCTTCCGCGCGCGCAACACCTCGGCGTCGAACAAGAATGCCGCGCTTAAGGCCTCGATCCCCGAGATCGACCTGAACCACTACAAGTCGGTGCTCAAGGACCAGCGCGCGGTTGAGCAGGCGTCCAAGATTCTCGCCGACTTCAAGCCCGTCGACTACGACGTGAAGAAGTTTGACGAGATCGTCGGCGCGTTCGAGAAGAAGGCCGTTGACGCCGCCAAGGCCACCGTCGCCAAGGTCTCGGCTGAGGAGGAGAGCCTCCGTGCTACCCTCAGCAACATTAAGGACGCGCGCCCGTTCGAGGACCTTACCACTCTCGAGGTCGGCAAGGCTGCGCCCGAGGTCACCAAGGCGGTCGAGACGGCGATCAAGAAGGGCCGCTGGACCGTGCCGGGATACCGCGAGATCTACGGTGGGTCTCGCAGCGCGAAGGAAGCTAACAGCAGGCGAGCAGTCGTTGATGTAAACGGTTTGGGCCATAGAGAACTGATGCATCCGTCAAAGAGGATGGTCAAGAGACCAAGTCGACAAGGGTGAACCTGGGGTGAGGGCAAGGAAAGCTGCCCATAACAAGTTGGAAAGGTCATCGCTGGGCAGTTGCAACGCAGAGAGCAAGGAGGGTGCGCGAGTAGGAAGGTAAACTCGAACGCATAAAGGTTGCTGCTGACCATTGACTGCGCAGTGGAGCAAAGCGCAATGTTGCAGGATGCGTTTGGGAGACCAGGCACGGAATGGGACGCTGAGTCTGCATGGACCATCACAGGAGCGGCATTGAAATCACACACCAAACCACACAATGCGTCCCACCAAGTCTCTCCGCCACCGCGCCATGTCATTGACCTTGTTGTGTGCATTGCCACGACCATCACTAAGACTGCGGCCACTGACCAGACGCAAAGTGATGCGAGGCTTTGCATCTCAGTCACGTCGCGAGTCAAACCGGTGAATCGCGTGAGATCATCCCACCCCTTCCGAGACAGTTACTTAATCTCTCATCGACTGAACGTCAAAAAGCACCCCAAACCTGCCCTATCTAAGACGCTTCAACTCGCATCTCTCGTCTTGTCCGGCTGCGTTGGGGGTCATCAACCCTGCTCTCCCTCTCCGTTCTCACTCCCCCTTCCTTGGACACTCTCGACATGACCTCAGGCCAGATGAACGAACGGAACTACCTTCACGTCATAGTCAATGATCTCTTTCCCGGCCTCCTCCCGGTTGACCCCCTCGGTGATCCTTACAGCCCCACGCCCTACCGCCTCATTGCGCAGTCGCGCAAGCGTTCTCGCGACGAGTATGAGCCTGAAAACCAGACGCCTGTAAAGCGCCCGTGCTACCCCCAACGCCGGCCCGCCGAGCCCCTCTGTTGGCCGCCAGTTCGCGTCAAAGTTCGGCAGCCGAGACGCAAGCGCTCCGCCCCCATTAAGCAGAACTCAAATACCACACCAGCGGTGCAGTTGACAGCGGCGCCATCACTCGAGACGTTCGTGTTCGCTTGCGAGATTGACGGTGTCGTTACGGCGATCACCGCGGAGGACATCGCCCAGATGCACGCCGAATTCTGTCCCACCAAGCGCAGAGCGAGCGCCCAGGTCGGCACGAGCCTCGCCCTCATGCGCCGCATCGCGCACCACGCCGACCATCAAACCCGGCTGACTCTGCGCGCATCCACCCGGTGGGGCAAGCTAGCGTCTGACGCCGAGTTCTACAACCACTGCACTTTGCTGGCAACAACGGACAGCGCTGTCCTCATGACCCGTAACTACCAACGCCTCCCTCTCGACCCGGACAGGCCAATTGTGCCACGAATCCACGTTCTCGATGCGCTATATCTTCAAGCGTTGCCGACCAAACTGCTGCCACTCGAGCGCATCGAGGGCGCGCTGGAAACCTGTCAAATCAGTCTGCTTCGTGCCGAACAATTCCAAGTCATGCCTCCTGCGCGGACGGTGGTGGCTCATACGTTTCCGCTCACAATAAGAGACGTGCGGCCGCGCGCTGATCGACTCATCTGGCACCCCCAAACCGGGTGTCTGCAAGACTGTCTACTCGGTCTCAGGAACAGTGCGGTTGGCTGTCTCGAAGTGGCAATCGTGCTGGACGACAAGCCTGCCTGGGTGCTAGGGGCCGAGCTACTGGAAACACTGCTGTCCCACCTCCTTCAAACGCAAGGCAAGCTTACGATCGTCTGCAGCCCGCGCTACGCCGCCACCTTCTTCGGTGTCCCTATCGCTTATGATAGCCACAAGGCAACTCAGTGGGTCCGCAATGACCTACGGGAGGCGGTGGGCTCGGTCAACGAGGTCAGGAGCGGCATTGAGGGTGAGGAGGTGGTCAGCCGATTCACTGTCGTCTTCCTAGAGGAGTGGCGCGTACCTCCCCTGATAAAGCAGAGGCAGCTGCGTCCTGTCGACTGCATCTCCCAGTCTACGGGTCTATGCCCACAAGAAGGTATGTCAATCTCGCGGAAGGGCACAGGTCAATGTAATGAGCTTACGGCAGCGAAATTAGCCAACGAATTCGAGAAGAACTTCGTCAACGACGACTGGTGGCAAGACGACCTTGTCCTGTCCGAAATTGGGCGCTCATTCGAGAACATGGCGGTGTGAGCGTGAACAATGATGTATATACACAATGCATACTACTGTGTCTTCCATTGTCTGAGTTATCCCGTGTTTGCGGGTTTCTGGCTGTAGTCCCATTCCTCAGTATTGTCGCGAGTTCTTCGCTGATAAGCACACCTCTCCATGTGGCTCCACGCAGTAGCATCCGTCCTTATGCGGTATCAACTAAGCAGAATGCATCAGAGCAACTCGGATACAACCCCTGCGGCAATAGTTTCGCCGCTGCGGCGCAGCAACACCCTACCCATCTCCTTGTTCTCCATGGCAGTCTCGAGAGGGATGACTGCAGGCCGCGAGCTGCCGGTTGGCGGGCGCAGCGCGAGCTCCACAATGGCAGTCGTGCCCTTCTGAAGCACACGAGGGTTGTTCTTGACGATGTTGCCCGTCTTATCCGTCGTGGCGATGAGACGCGTTATGTTGGCAGGGACGTTGACCGAGTGGTGGAATAGCTCAACTGCCGTACCGACGATGATGGGGGTCGTAACATCGAAAACCAGGATCTGGCACAGGAACTTGCTGACCAGTCGAATGGGGTACGAAACGGGGCAGAGAACGGCGCCGATACTGAGTTGGTTGGCGTCCACGCCAGCAAGGTACAGCGTGACATTTTGACCAGCCACGGCGAACGGCGCCGAGTCGTCGTCGACCTCGATAGTGCGAATGCTAGCCACCACGTCGCCGGGCACGACACGTACTTGATCGCCCACCTGCACGACACCACTAGCGAGACGGCCCTGGCATGCGACGCCAGAAGCAATGGCAGTCTGACCCTTGAAAACGTTGCTCACAGGTATGCGCAAGGGCGCGGCATAAGGCCGTTCAGGAACGGCAACACGATCCAATGCCTCCATCAGAGACGGTCCCTTGTACCACTCTTTCGCCTCTTGCGGCAGGGTGTCGATGAGAATGTTGGTGCCCTTCATCGCCGCCAAAGGCAGGAACGTCGTGCGCCCGCCAGCGAAACCCGCCGCGGCGAGGAATGGCTTAAGGTCCCCCACGATGTCCTCATACCGGTACTGGTCCCAGCCACCGACGTCCATCTTGTTCACGCCGACAATGATCTCTTTGACGCCCAGCGATCGGACAAGCCAAGCGTGCTCACGCGTCTGGCCGCCGCGCTCAAAGCCTGCTTCGAACGCGTTTGGGCTCGCGTCGATCACCAGCAGCGCTACGTCAGCCTGAGCTGCGCCACTAATCATGGCAGGGATAAAGTCCCGGTGACCAGGCGCATCAAGCAGCGTCACATTACGATGCGGCGTCTCGAAGTGTTCCGTGGCGATATCGATGGTGACGCCGCGGTCGCGTTCGTCGCCCAGCGCGTCAAGACCCCAAGCAAAAGCAAAAGAGCTCTTGCCAATCTTCTGTGCCCCGCGCTCATTTGCCGTCTTTTCCTTTTCGCTCATCTCACCCAGGTCGTACAGCAATCGTCCCATAAGAGTAGACTTGCCGGCATCGACGTGGCCTGATATCAGAAAACCATCCAGCCTTTGAACGTACCGACAACAACCAGTGAGATATTCTTCTTCCCTGTCTTGTCTTCCTCCTCGCGAACCTTGGCGATAAGCTCTTCCTGCTTGAGCGTAGGCACCGGCTTCTCGCGATACTTTTCCGCCTCGCGGCGGAGATACTCCTCGTCTACGCTGTCTTCAAGCCCCAGTCCAGCCATATCGGATGCCGCCAGTGAAAGTGGCGTCCCAGTGCCTCGGCGAGGGGTGCTCGCGGCAGAGCCGGGCTTTGAGCTAGTTTTGGAACTTGGTGCTCGGCTCGAGGGTGCGTTTGAGGCAGATCGGCTCGGCGTCCCGGGTGTCGAGGAAAGAACACGCTGCTTAGCAGGTAGCGACTTGGAACGTGTGGCGGGCGGTGCCGCTGCTTTGGCAACTGGTAATGTAAGCGTCAGTCCACGGTTAAAAGGAGCGAGTGCGCATATGCCGAGTACATCTCGAGTTGACGCTACGCGTCCTACTGCCCGCTCGCAGCCGTCGCATTGGTCCGCGGTGATTTATTCGATTGCTTCGTGGGCAGCTTGCGACTCTTGCGAGTTTCCGAAGACTTGGAGTCATGGTTTGGTTTCGTCGCATTCGCATTGCGGGGCTTGGGGTCGGCCTTGGCTTTGGAAACCTGGCTCTCGCTGCCGTTTGCTGCGGGAGGCTTGACTGCCGCCCTACTGCGCGCTTTCGACAGCTTGGAGGTCGGTTTGGAGGCCTTCACCGCAGGCTCAATGACTGGCTCCTTCTCCTCCGACACTTGCTTGGCCATGGCGGCCGCCGCCTCGGAGACGACCTCGGGAGCAGGTTGCTCCGCCTTCGTCGCGCGCACAGCAGCTCTCGCCTCCTTTGAATCGCCGTCGGCCCCCACACTGCTCTTGCCCTCACGAGCGCGCAGCACTATGTCGTCAGGGCTCTCCACCCCAGGGCCAAATGCCTCGCGCACCCGCTTCTCAGCTGCAGCGAGGTCCCCGCGCACAGCAATGTGCATGTTCGCCAATGAGGGCGGGTCGGGGATTGCACCTTGTTTATGAGAAGTAAGGAGATTGAAGAAAACGGATGGTGGAGACGCGGCCTGAGCGACCTTAGCCTTCGGAAGAAGCACCCACTGGGCCTCAGCCGCCTCCTCGGAGGCCGTCGGGAGAGCGTTGTCCACATCTGCTGGTGTTCCAGCGACTGGCGTCTCCGTTTCGGACTTCAAAGCATCGCTGCGAGCAGCCCGGACTGCGGCCATCTTCTGCGCGAGCTTGGACAGCGGCTTGGCGGGCGCGCTGGGCGAAAGGATTGCATCCTCCGCAGCGGGAGGAGTGAGCGAAGAAGGCGCCGACTCTTTGGCCGCGTTCTCACGGCGCTTTTGCGCCAGAAGCGCAAGCTTCGACTTGGGCCGCGTGTCGTCTGGCGGAGGGGTCGGGGCCGGGGTGGCAGCTGGGCTTGGCTGGGAGGTGGGGGGCACAGAATTTGATGCAGAGCTGGACGCCCCGCTCGCAGAGCGCTGCTCGCGCTGGAGCTTAAGCCGCTGCAGCGGCGTAAGAAGTACAGTAGCCGGCTCTGGTTTTGGGGCCACCAACACTCTTGCATCCGATCGTCGGAGGCGTAGGCTGGGACGCGGGCGGGGTTGTTCGTCGGGCGTGGGGATGAGGAACGCAGGCGGGCCGTCTGGACCTCGCTCAGTCTTGCTCGATGGCCGGGCTTGTGCGCACTCGCTCGTACTAATTAACTCACCTTTCTTCTCCCAGTCTTTCCGAAGCCATGACGAAGCTTTGTCGACATCAAACCAGTAGTGCCAGAGCGAGTCCTTGATCGCTTCATCGGATATTGGGGGCTTAATGTCCTTGAGCTTCTCCTTGACGTGTGGGAGGGCGGAGTGGAGCTGCGCTTGGACATCAGCGTTATCAAGGAGACAGATGGCAGCAACGTACCGCGCTCCTCCGGAGTCATTCCGTCGTCGGGCTCCTCGGAGTCGTAGCCCTCGCCTGAGTAGGCACCTCCGTCATCGTAGTCGTCTGGGTGGTCGTCGGCCAACTCGGCTGACGCGTGAGCGGCTTCTGGGAGGGCCTACGCACCATCGAGATCCAAATTGCGCACAAAGCGATGCCTGGACATTGCTATGTGGTGTCGTGGAAAGCGTTCGTGTAAGAAACCGGAAGGAGGCAGATGGAGGCTGCACGAAGCAAGTTTAGTGAAAGGATGATTGTGAGGTTGAGAGATGAAGCTTGCGAGTCCGATGCGGGGTGGAGCGTCATTGTTGGACTGGACCCCGTTCGCCTTCGACAAATCAGCCATTCCATTCTGGCGATTAGATGCCAGATTTGGTTCCGCATATTTCGGCCGCCACCGTAGGGATCAACCTCGTCATGGATCGAGGCGGCCACCAGTAGACCACGCAACCACGTATCGCCTCTTGGCATCCATCCTTCTCATCAACATCCACTTTCTCCTCCTCACTCCTCTAATTCGTTCAACCACTTGGTTCATAGCTAATCATGTCCTGGTACGCACTTGATTCTCTCCATCTTCTCTCTCCCAAGACGATGCTAACGGCAGGGGCGGGTATGTGATACCGAGAGGACGTCCAGCCGGGCGCCCTCTTAATCAGTTTCCCACTAACATCAGGTTCAAGAAGGCCGCGTCGCGCGCGGGCACGCAGCTCATGCAGAAGACGGGGCAGGTCGAGCGTACCGTCGACCCAGAGTTTGCCGAGCAAGAGGGCCGCTACCGCACGTATGTATACGGTGTTCGTCGACTGCGCAGCACCGCCCCAGTGACGTGACTCACGCAAAGCATGGAGAAGGAGTCCAAGAACCTCCAGAAGGACGCAAAGACGTACCTCGACGCAATGCGCAGTATGTTTGCAGAAGCGGTGACGGGATAATCGCTGACAGCAGCCATGGCTTCGGCGCAAGGACGCATCGCCGAGACAGTGGCACTGTTCTACACCGCCGATCGCGCAAGCGACGTGAGCCAACTTATCCATGACAGCGGGTGCTGACTGAAGGGCGCGATGGCAGGGCACTCGTACAAGGCCGCCGTTGATGAGCTCGATGCTATGGTCACACGTGATCTTGTGAGATTACTGGGTTTCGCTAGCTGACGGCAGGATGGGCCATTCCGTGCGACGGTGCTGGAGCCTGTGGGCAAGCTCAACCAGTACTTTACGAATGTGAACGCCGCAATCGAGAAGCGGAATCACAAGATGCTGGATTATGACTCGACGCGGTCAAAGGTCCGCAAGATGGTTGAGAAGCCGTCCGACGACACCGGAAAGCTGCCCCGCGCGCAGGCAGAGCACGACGAGGCCCGCGAGATCTACGAGCTGCTCAACGAGCAGCTCATTACCGAGCTTCCGCAGCTTGTTGAGCTGCGTATCCGTGAGTAGTCACCTCCGTGCACGACGCAGTCGAGGATGCAAAGTGAGGGCTGTCTTCCCCGCAGCACCTCGAGATCCACGCCGACTATTCCCCGAAGGAGTGACTAACGGCAGCCTATCTGGACCCATCGTTCGAATCAATGGTGCGTTGCCAGCTGCGTTTTGCCGAGGAGGGCTACGACAAGCTCTCTGGTGTGCAGAGGTACTTCAACGACAACATCCGCGACGATTACGCGAACGGGCAGCTTGACGTGCACGTGGAGAATGTGCTTGCGGAGATGAAAGAGCTGGCCATCTACGGCGTGTAATAGACTGTGGTGTTGTATCGTATGCAGAGATGGCTCTGGTTCTCTGGTCGATGGTGGTGCGGGGTGCACACATGAGTATTGCAAGATCTTTGATCCGTGAGCCGTGATGGCAATGACATGATGACATGAGCGGCTTGCGGAGGTTGAGGGTGCCTGGAATGACTTGGAGCACCCTGGGAGCGTGCTGCCTCCGGTACCACGGTGCTGCCTGCGGTCTTGACGGTTTTGATTTTGCACAGACCACAACGCCCCAAGCGCCCCTCGCCCTTTGGCCACACTCTCTCTACTCTCTCCTCGCAATTCCTCGCCTCCTTGTATCCTTGGCCTCTCCTTCCTCTGATTCCTGCGATCCTGCGATCCTGCATCGTCTGCTGCGTTTGATCGCTTGTCTAAAGCTCTTGAGGCCATTTCCTGTCGCAGTGGGCAACGCGCGCGTTTCACAGATCACAGATCCAGTGTGCGCGCGGTCTGGCCCGCGGCCCAGCTCTGGTCGTCTCTCCTCCATCTTCTCAACCGACCGACCAAACCCCTCCGAGTCTAAATGCATCGTTTACCTGGCTTCCTGCCGGCCTGCTACACCGTTCCCAGCGACGCTATGCTCGCCATGACATTATCCGCGTTGGTGATTGCATGGCTGATGAGCGCGAGAATATGTCGATGAGCTCGAGCCATGTCCGTGAAGAGATGACCTGGCAGATGCGGCGCCCGCACCCTCTCAGGCCTCACACATTGTGGCCTGGACGCCCTCTCGGCCCTCTTCTTCCACCCTGCGCGCCTGCGCCCGGCCACCATGCATCATGAGCCGGGCCATAGCTCAGTACTGTGAGTGCGCCGAGCCGCGAGCAGACGAGCATGCCGACGGCTGACGGGCGTACCTGCATGCGGGCATGCGAGCGTACGCGACGTGCTAATCTTCAGAACGCGTGCATCCGCAGTTGCTAACCGATCCCTCATCCGCTCGTGCCGCTCACTCGCGATCACTCGAGCACGATCGAGCCCGCTCGGATTTGGCTCCAAGTCTGTTTCACTTGTCACTCGAATAGACGAACAGTGCGAACAGGATCGCTGATCCACTGACTGGCATGGCTGTCGAGCACCGTGCCCAAGGGCTGCCAGCCCCTCGAATTGCCACTAGCCAGCCAAAAACTCACACATGACAGATACCTGCACCCCAGCGCGGTCATACAGGCCACCCCAGGCAGGCCAGGCCCAGCACTGGCCTGCTCTGAGCACGGTCAACAGCACAGCTTGCATCGATGCATCTTGAAGATACCCACTCTCCGATCTCCGAAAACGTGACCCAACGACGATATTGTGATTGTGAAGACGAACTTGGAGAGGTATCAACCGACCATCGCACGCTCGTACGCTCGCACTTAGACTTTGAAGGCTGTGAAGATCAATCCCCGCCTCCTTGCTCACCTCGATATCCCTCGATCAATCTCCTCATCTCCTCCTCGCCTCCTCCGTCAATCCCACCTTCCCCCCGCACGCACACTCTACGCACACGCACACGCACACGCAAACGAATGTCCACACTTGACGAATTCACACTCTACATTCGTCACTCTCACGACTCTGCTTTACCGAGCTACCGAGCCCCAACGATTCAACCTTCCAACGATTCAGCGGTCCAACGATCCAAACGATCCCAACAATCCAACGACAACTAGTTCGTGATTTGTGAGTTCCCGCAGACCCTTGTCCATCGGCTCGTCCTACCTTGCCCTCGATCACTTGCTTCCGCTTCCCTCCCCTCTCTCCGATCTCCGATCTCCGCGCCCGCGTCCGCGCCCGCGTGGCGCGCGTGGGCACGTTTGAAGAGACAATCATCAGCCGCTCACCGGCGAATCACAAGGGGTTTCTTTGCCCTATTTGCCCTATGTGGCCAGGTGATCAGGTGACAGATGGCTGCAGCATTTCACGATCGTGAGTTCGCGAAAGCGAGGAGCTAGGGCCGTGTGATGGCTCGTCGGAGCTTCACCCTCGGGCCTTGCTCTGGATGCTCTGCCCCCCTTCGCGGTAGTGCTGCCATGCGGTGCTGCGGTTGCGTACGTGTATACGTGCGTGTGAGGAGGTGTGGCAGCATGATGCGACAGGCCGCGGGGTGGGAAGGCGGAGGTGGCGTGTGCCGAGCGGGGAAGCGGAGGAGTGGAGCGGAATGGCCCGTCCGGTGCCCCGGTTACGCATTCAGCCCACTGCTTGAGAAACCTGAACACACAAATACCAATCCTCTCCTCGCGCTCCCTGCGCTCCTCGCCTTCTCGCATCCTCGCCTCGTTGTCCTCCTGCTGCTTCCTGGAGCCTGGGAGCTGAAAGCCTCCTCCTGCGCAGTCTGCGCCCCCCCTTCGTCCTCGTCACCTCAAACGGATCACTGTTTCGCGCCGTGCAAATAGGTCACACGCACAGACCCAGGCATTGTCCTGGCAGCTGGCAGCTGGCTGGCGAGCCCGCGAGCAATGTGCATGACACGGTGTTGTCGATCACTCGAGACCTGGACATGACTCGGATGTGCGGACCAAACGAGTGCCGTGGGAGGTCGTGGCAACACTGCTTTGTCCACCCCTTGATTATGTTGCGCCCCGCGCTGCGCCGTGAACTCGCAATGGGATGCGCGCTCGAGCGTCAGAGCCCCCTGCCCCTGGCCCACATGACAACGCGGAGCAGCGCAGTCGGTCACCAGCTCACAGGCGATCGCGACCAAGACAGAGAGGGACAGGAGGGGGAGGTGGGGGTAGATGGAAGGCAAAGGAGACCTAGGCGGAGAGGGAGAGCCACCGTGCACACTTCTCTTCTCCCTTGCGACTCTGGCAACGGGCGCTCTGCTCACCGCTCTCGACCATCCATCCCTCGTCCCCTTTTACCCACTCATGCCTCTCACACACACTGTCAGAGGCGCCCTCGCCTCTCGCCTCGCCGATCCTCGAAGGTCCCGCCGGTCGGTGGCTGCCGCTTGCCCCGTCGCCCCGCCTGCACGCTGGCTACTCAGAATGTGCCACCGGGCCACCGAGCAGCCACCAGACGTCGTGCCGTCGGCCGTCGCACCGCACAGTCACCTTCCCCCCTTCGCCCTTCACTCCTCTCTTCCTCGTCACCCATCCTCCCACCATTATCCTTTCATACTTTCGTTCTTTCATTCTCTCATTCTCTCATTCTCCCAATTTCTCTCCATTTATCTCTCTCTCTCTCTCTCTCTCTCTCCTACAATCCTCTTTCCTCCTCATCCTCTCAGCTCCTTGTCCTGTAGACACACTTTGCGCCGCTTCCTTGCTTACATCGTGTCCACAAGCACCGCCTGTCCCGCTCGTCCCCACCTCTTCCTAGCCTCTCCCCCTCCCACCCTCCTAACATCTCGCCCGGAAGCTTTGTGTTGACCACCCACTCAGGACGCACTTTGTGACCGAGGAGACACGCGCACGAGAAGGATACCTGCAAGCTTCCACGTCCTCTTGGTTCCATCCCAACCATACCCACGTTCTTCCCCTCTATCACTAAGCACGAGCACAACCGAGCCCACACCCGCGCGCACAACGACCTGTCAAACTCTTCCGACTCGTTGTTCTCCTCGCGATCCCGCTGTTTCGACGAATCTCACGGTTGGTACTTTCGCCCACTCTTCTCGACCTCTTCCCTGTCTACAGCTCCACCGTTCACAGCTTCCTTCCTCTGGCCCGAAAGATCGACGTCGTCACGCTCCTTGCTGTCTTCCAATCGACGCACACCAATTCGACCCCGCTATGACGGCCACCACCAACGCATGGACGACCTCGTCCCCCACTCCGGATGCTGACCTCGCTTCTCACATTTCAAACCTCTCTGTGGACGACTTCGCAAGCAGCACCAGCGGCGGAGGCAACCCTTCCTCATACAACGTGCACACTCCTCCGCGCCCAGCCGCTTATCCTCCCTTCGACGCCAACGCACAGTTCCTATACTACGCTGTTGCCGCCAGCGGTAATACTCTCGACCCTGCCACTTTCTCCCCCCAGCACTACCCTTACGAACTGAGCACACCTCTGCCCTCGCAGCCCGCGAGCATGACTTATGACCCCTACCCCTCTCCCTCAGAGAGCTATGTGCAACACGGTGAGGCTCGAGCCACCTCCGCCACGTCATTCCAGCAGCAGCAGCCCGGCCTCCTCGGCGCACGCGGCAACCAGGCAGCTTATCGCCCCCCTCACATGGTTCAGCAGCTTCGGGAGCTCCAGGACCTTACCGCAGCCCAGCAGCAGCAGCAGCAATACTTTTACGGGCAGCGCTCGCCGTTTTGGGCGTCTCTCCACGCACCTGAGCGCGGGATGGGAGGCATGGCTTCATCGGTTGCCATGACCCCCTCCAACTCGCGCCAGCGCAACCACCGCATGGGCTCCGGCGGCCCGCGCCGCAATAACTCGAGCCAGCACTCGCAGGTTACATCCCCGCTCGCTGGCTTCCCCGACCCTCAGGCGTCGCCCTTCGCTTCCGGCTCACTCGCTGCCTCGTACACGAATGCCTATGGCCTTCAGACACCCCTCACTCCGGCTCTAACCGGACCAGGCGGCCAGGCCTACCCCTTCCCCGCAACATACGGCACGGCATACTCGCCCACGCCGCTTCACTTTGGTGGCTTTGTACCTAACGGTAAACGGGGGCGCCATACTCATGTCGAGGATCCCAGTGTTGTCCGCAGTCAGCGTCTCGAGGACTTCCGCCAGCGCAAGAACACTCGCATGGAGTTTTCCGTGAGCCCTGCCTATGCGGTTGTAACTGACAATAGGAAATCTACGGCAGCATCTGCGAGTTTGCCGGAGACCAACACGGGTCGCGCTTCATTCAGAACAAGCTCGAGACAGCGTCCCCGGAGGAACGCGCGAAGGTCTTTGAGGAGGTCATGCCCAATGCGTACCAGCTCATGACCGATGTCTTTGGCAACTATGTCATCCAAAAGCTCTTTGAGCACGGCGACCAGCAGCAGAAGGCGGCTCTCGCCAAGAAGATGGAGGGACACGTCCTTCAGCTGTCCATGCAGATGTACGGGTGCCGGGTAAGCTTTATTTCATTTGCTCCTGCTGACTTCAGGTGATGCAGAAGGCCCTTGAGCATCTGCTCCTGGAGCAGCGTGAGAAGCTCGTCGCCGAGCTTGAGGGTCACATCATCGAGTGCGTCAAGTCGAGTAATGCCAACCATGTCATTCAACGCCTTATTTCGCTCGACCCGCCGAAGGAGGTCACCGACGCGTTCATCGGCCACGTCCAGGAACTTTCGGCCCACCCATTCGGCTGCCGCGTCCTCCAGAAATCGTTCGAGGTCCTCGACCCGGTCAAGATCCGCCCCCTTCTCAACGAGATGCACAACTGCAGTCTTAAGCTCATGATTGACCAGTTTGGCAGTACGTTACTCCGTGCTCATGCCTGCTCACGCTAGACTACGTTGTGCAGAGCGTTCTTACCGATGCCCCCGGTCGCGAAGCCGACCGCGACCGCGTGATCGGCGGGATGAAGGGCCGCATCTTCGAGCTAAGTCGTCACAAGTTCGCGTCCAACGTTGTCGAGCGCGCGATTCGTACCGCCAAACGTGAAGACAAGCGCGCCATTATCGCCGAAATGATGGGTGACACGGCTGAAGAGGGCGAGAATCGCATCGGCACGTTGCTCCGTGACGGCTTCGGCAACTTTACGGTGCAGACGGCGCTAAGTGAGGCCGACCCGGACCAGCGTGACAAGCTTCTTGGTATCATTGTTCCCCTCATGCCGCAGCTCAGACACTCCCCCTGTGGTCGCCGCCTTGACGCCAAGCTGCAGGAGTACGAGGCGAAGGGTATTCTTCCTAGTCCAGTGTCGACAACGCCGCCCGAACACAAGGAGGCCGAGGGCGTGAGCGACACCCTCACGGTGCCTAACGGGAAGTCGGCGAACTCCATCCGCCGCACGGTGAGCCCGGCTTCAATCGCTTCAACCTGTGACGAGCAACTTGTACTTAAGGCGCTTCTCACGTAAAATCTTGGCGCTCAGAGCGTCACCACATCTTATCAATCCGTAGACATAGCCGCAGTATATCAAGGAGGAGTTTGTAGATAGCAATTGTGCGCTGACGGCACGCGTCTGACATGAGGAGGGCGGCGCGGTTATGCAGACATTCCCGTTTCCTCGCACAGGTGGCGTGAACTGTTGAGATCTCTACTGCGTTTCAGAGGCTGAGGTCCAGCGTCGCGCGCGTCGACTAGGTCCAGCGTCGGTACGGCAGTCTTCACCCGAACTCGGTTGTTGCTATGGCACATTCGCAGATGCCGTCACTGCCTTGTCGCCGCCTGCTGCACAGCTTGACCATTTCCCACTCCTTCGCACTCCACTGGAGGCGCAGGACGGGGTACCAGCAAGCCTCTAACCCCAAGCGTCGCGTCTAGAAAGTAAGACACGGCGGCCATCTCCTCGGCTGAGCAGTCGATTGAGACCTTGATTTCGACATCACGTTTGACCACGGCGGCGGTCAGAAAGTCGGCGACCACATCGGTCGCTGCGGTGCCATGAAACACCTCGATGAACACATTGATGGCCCCTCCCCATCACCAGCCCGTGTATCTGGCAGGTAGCCGCAATGGACGCGGTAGATAGTGTTTCGATATCGAGGGTGGGCCGTTCCCCGCAATCGCCCCACCGTGGGCCAGGTGGTCGGGGTTTACGAAGAATTGAATGCTGCCGGCTAGTCCTATACTCTTCCGACTTGGGTGGCAATTCAAGACGTGGGCTGCCTCTCTTGGTGGTCTCAGGGAGTTTAACGGGGGGCTTGAAGAAACATCAAAGTAAATCGTGAAAACCGCTGGACAAGGTTCCGGCCGACAGCGACAATCCCCATGTGGTTTATCTCCGACATGGCGGAATCAATTCTTGCCGCGACAGCGGAGGGCCCAGAGCCCGGTGGTGGTGGTAGGACGTTGAATCTGCGTCGTCGACCAGACTAACCATCAACACATCTCGTGAGTCCGATAGCGAGCACGGCGGCAACGACCTTGGTGCACAAGTGCTGACGCCCGATCTCTGTGCCCTATACGAACCGCGTCGATTTCGCGCTCCCTCGATTCCCATCCCCACCTATCCTCTCGCCGTCCTTTGTGTTGTCTCGCACGACCTCACATCTGCCCGCTCACTCGATTCCTCCCCCACATCTCTACGCCTCTCCGATCTGCGCGCACTCGCACTCTCACTCACACATCCGCTCGCATAACAGAAAATGGCGGTTGGAAAGAACAAGCGCCTGTCCAAGGGAAAGAAGGGCATCAAGAAAAAGGTCGTCGACCCCTTCACCCGCAAGGGTGCGTACAGAATTTGCGCGAGGAACAGCGCTCACGAACAGAGTGGTACGACATCAAGGCCCCCTCGTTCTTTGAGAACCGCAACGTCGGCAAGACTCTTGTCAACCGTTCGCAGGGTCTCCGTAGGTCTTGAGAGATCTGAACACCGGACCTGACAACAGGCAACGCCAACGACTCGCTCAAGGGCCGTATCGTTGAGATCTCGCTCGCGGACCTGAACAACGACCAGGACCAGTCGTTCCGCAAGATCAAGCTGCGTGTTGAGGATGTTGCCGTGCGTCATCTTGAAGCTCTTTCAAGTTTTTGGAACCGCTAACATGTCAGAACAAGAACTGCCTCACCTCGTTCTACGGCATGGACTTTACGACCGACAAGCTGCGCTCGCTCGTTCGCAAGTGGCAGACTCTGATTGAGGCTTCGGTCGACGTCAAGACCACTGACGGCTACATTCTCCGCCTCTTCGCCATCGGCTTCACCCAGCGCAACCGCAACCAGGTGAAGAAGACCACCTACGCCCAGAGCTCGCAGGTTCGCGAGATCCGCGCCAAGATGGTTGAGATCATCCGCCGTGAGGCCGAGGGTTCGGACCTCAAGGAGCTCGTGCAGAAGTTTGTCCCCGAGTCGATCGGCCGCGAGATCGAGAAGGCCTCCAAGGGCATCTACCCCCTGCACAACGTCTACATCCGCAAGTGCAAGATTGTCAAGGCGCCCAAGCTCGACATGAGCAAGCTCCTTGAGACCCACGGCGAGGCTGCTGACGCTTCGGGCTCCAAGGTCGTCAAGGGCGGCGACTTTGTCGAGCCCGAGATCCTTGCCTCGGTCTAAAGGAGTCTTTAGCTTGGGTAGAGGGTGCATTGGCATGTATACGTATCGACACGGGCGCGTGCCTCGAGGCGGGCAAGCTCAAAGTTCGTCGGGGCTCAGCGGGTGCGGATTGCCAGTGGGAGCGGTGAGGCAGAGGATGTGGATGTGGATGCCAGGGAGGTATGGCCGAGTTGGGTGGCATCGTGTGTGCGAAGCGAAAAGTGAGAGAGGGTTGGGCGCTGTAACTCATCAGGTGGTTGGGGATGCGGCGCGCTCGGTGATGAGGAGGCGGCGGAGTGGATGATGCGTTGCGGGATTAGGACTGGACAGGGGAGAGAGCGGAGAGAGGTGGTGAGGAGGACTCGGGCTCCCTGCCCAGACGATGACGGGCTATGATGCGCGAGAAGGATTAGTGAATCACACGCCGGGAATGATCCGGTTGGCATTCTCTCCTGCTTGCCCGGCCATGCCAGCCAGCAGCCAGGCCTCTCTCCTCCTATTCTCTTATGGCTCCCAGCTTTGAAGTGCGCTTTTCCGGATCTGCGCGGTATGCTGGAACGCGCTGAACATATGCACACGCGATCAAGCTGTAAATGAACCGCACTGTCATGCCTCTCCGCTTGTCATGCCTCTCGCTCTCCTATCTCCGAGCACCCATTCACCCCACTGCCCATTACCCACTGCCATCTCGTAGCTCGCAGCTCGCGGGTCATTTCGCAGCCTCAGGACGGCTGGGACGGGCGGGAGCGTTAGGGTTTACTCCGCCGGTTGGACAGATGCTCGGCGGCCTGTGCGCAGGCCAGGCGGATGCTTGGGTTGCCTGGGTCCCGGAGTCTTGGCGGTGGCGGCTCCGATGGTGTGTGAGTGGTGCGTGAGTGGTGCGTTGGGAACTTTTGATCGTCATCAGTTTGACATGTGACAGACATGGGCATGGTCGTAGATCATACAGATGTATAGTACAGCGGTAGAGCGGATGGGTCGAGGTATGAGAGGAGCTGGAGGTAAGATTCAAGGGAGGGGATGGACCGGATGGAAGGATGTACGAGATATACGAGATCGTTGGATCGTTAGATCGCTTGCAAGTCGACGCATGCGCGACATGGCTGACTGGAGAGATGGAGATTTGGGTCAAAATAGCACTGCGCCCGGCACGCCCCGGGCGCCTGGAGCGCGTGGGCCAGACGCGCGCGGGAGATCTTGGGCGACTGATTTTTGCGGTGAGACCCGCTCAGCAGTACCAGCGTACTGTAATGTGACACCAAGGCGACGTGGTGCTGCATTCGTCACAGCGTACGCCGAAGAGCCGTCGGAATCGTGAAATCCATATGGATTCCGATTGCAGGTCTTGGAATTTAAGAGTCGCCCATGCGCGCCATGCGGTTGTGAAAGGCGGATGTGTTGGTTCGGGGCCGATCGCCGAGAATTCGAGAAGCGCGAGTAAGGTGAGGGCCGTGAGGGGCGGTCACTCATGATGCACAGCCCGCGATTTAGGCCGAGGATTCATGGATCATGGATCATGGATCATGGATGAACATGAAAATGCAGGCACTACTAGCTGTATAGCTGTCTACTGAACGGGGAAGTGGGAAGTGGGTGGATGTGAGCATGTGAGCATGTGAGCATGTGAGATCGTGAGATTGTGAGATGAATGTATCCAGGTGGATGGAGGCGACGGCTGCGACGGGACGAGTTTAGCCAGCGATAGCCAGGGAATGTTGAAATTCGAGACACCCGACGCGACGAAGACGCGCCAGTACGGCTTTGGACGGGGCGCGGGGGCGGGGTGGCGGGGGGTGGATGCAAGGCATGGGAGCAGAGACTCGGAGACTCGGCTTGAGGATCGTAGGCGCAGCAAGGGAGAGCAGGGTGGAGGGGGGGCGGAGACTTATCTTGGCTGCAATGACTCAAGACTGGACCCGGCACACGGCACGTAGGGATTCGACGCGTCAGGGGGGAGGGAGGGAAGGCAAGGGAGGGGACGGGGCAAGGGGAGGAGGAGGATAGCCACCCTGCCTGCCGCCACCAAACTCATCCTACTCACCATCATCTCAAGAGTCCACATCCGGTAGCATCCTTGCTACTCGTTCACTCTCCTCCACTCCTCCTCTCCATCTCTCTCTCTCTCTCTCTCTCTCTCTCTCTCTCTCTCTCTCTCTCTCTCTCTCTCGTCGTCGTCAAAAGGCTTCATCACAGTCACTCCATCCTCATTCATCATGTCTAACGCTCTCGACGCTCTCAAGGCGTAAGTCGCTCTCTCTCTCTCTCTCTCTCTCTCTCTCTCTCTCTCTCTCTCTCTCTCTCTCTCTCTCTCTCTCTCTTCATCTTTTACTCTTCTTCCTCTTTACTCTTACTCTTCATCCTCTCTCTCTCTCTCCCCCTCCTCCCTCCCTCTTTCTCTCGCGCTCATCAGCATTCATCTTTCATCTTTCATCTTTCATCCTTCATCTTTCAGCCATCAACTACTCTTGCTCCTTCAAACGCATCATCCCCCTTCCCTTCTCCCAACTCCTCCTCCTCCTCCTCACCTTCGTCATCCTCCTCGGTCTCATCCACCACACCACCCTCGTCTCTCTCTCTCTCTCTCGTCCCCGTCGACTCTGTGCGATTCTAGCAGCAAGCGTTATAACCCTCGCCGAATCTCTTGTTCGTCAGACATTCCTTTGTCCCCGCATCACTGGCCCGTGCTTTGGCTAGAATCCTCCAGTCGCCTCAGGTGAGTAGTCATCCCTCCTGTTCACGCCATCCATCGCACCGACCGCCTTCCCTGTCAGTTGCACCACACCACCCTCAGCCTACAGCCACACCACACACTGCGGCGCGTGCGGCACCTTCCGTCAACTCATCGTGCTGTCCTCCTCGACAACGCGTCTCTTCTCCGTTCTCTTCTTCATCCATTTCCGCAGCCTCGCTTCGATCACGCACCTTTGTTTCGCTGCTGACACGTCCGCTCGCTTTCACGATTCATTCATCTCGTTCCTCTCCGTCGCTCGCACCCATCGCCACCGCCATCCATCTACCACGGCGGCCGTAATCGCTTCTCGCTCTGGTGCTTCGGCTTTCGTGATCGCCTGCATACATCTCGAATAGCTTTACTCGTCCCTCTGTACGTACTGTACATCCCACTTGCTCCGCGCCAACTGCATGCTGATACCCGTTGTTCCTACCGACGCGATGCGCGCGCGTCCTGACCCTTCCACGCCACCGTCACTCTTCCCTCTGCCCTCGCCTCCTCCGTTGCCCTCGACTCCATCTTCACCCGGACACCGCCCGTCATCGATCCATGTCCGAACACCTCGAACAACGCCGTTGACACGATAGATTTGGTTACATACGCTGCGCAAACCAGTGGTCCAGTTTCGCCTTCCCCTTTATTCGCGTGCCCGACCCAGCCTTCAACCCCGTGTCACGCAGCACCTTCGTCCCACAAGATTCGTCTTTGACCCCCACGTCGACTGCACCTCTTTTCCGGCTCGAGTCGTTGCTCTTGACTCGCCGTGTTACTCTCGTTCCCTTCACATTCTACTTCTAAAGCTCTATTATTATGACCCAGATCCCCGTCAATCGCCCCGGTGATCAGTCACCACTATCCGATACGCGCATGGACCCTACCTACGGTCGTCTCTCTGGCCACATCAGCGCCAGCTCAATGAGCGCCATGACAGGCTACCCCACCGACTACGTTGCCTCCTTGACTGGAGCACTGGGATCGCTCGACATAAATGCGATGGTGCGTGCTCCTGTGTTCGTGGGTGGGTGGTGTTGCTGACGACAGCGCGCTTTCCCGCAGCCTCTTCTCGATGGTGGCTTACAGATTCCGACCCCTGACGGCAGCATGGGTGGCCACTCACCCGACTTTGGGAGTGAGGCCGCGCGTCAGTTCATGGCCAGCGGCCTCATGGCCGGATCTGCCTCTCCCTACGGCCAGCCTGGTTACGGCGGGCTGATGGGCATGCCAGTGAACTCGAATCTCGGGTTGCCGAGCGGGGCCGTGTCGCCCAATGCTGCCACTTCTGCGTATGCCGTGCCCGGGTACTTCCCCTTGATGGTGCGTGATGTGCTTGGCGGTGCCACGCTGACATTACAGCAGCAGGCGAATTTCGGCTTTCCTCCTCAGCGCATGACGGGCAACTACGGCCCTGCTGCTGCTGCCGCCGCTGCCGCTGCAGCCGGCAACCTGACTGGACGTACCGTGTACATTGGCAACATTCCTGATGACGCGTCTGCCGACGAGCTCCTCAACCTCGTCCGTTTTGGCCCCATCGAGTCTGTCAAGATTCTCTCAGACAAGAGTTGCGTCTTTATCTCTTTCCTTGACGGCTCAACTGCAGCGGCATTCTATGCCGACGCCGCTGTCAAGAAACTGGCGCTGCGCGGACAGGAGCTGCGCATCGGGTGGGGACGCGAGTCCAACCTTCCTACCGCCGTTGCCATTGCTGTCAACTACAACCAGGCAACTCGCAACGTCTTCATTGGAAATCTGACCGACGAGGACACTGAGCAGACCCTGCGCGACGACCTCGCTCGCTTTGGAGATATCGACCAGATCAAGATTGTCCGTGACAAGAACATCGCCTTCATTCACTTCCTTTCCATCACGGTCGCCATGAAGGTTGTCAACACTCTCCCCCGCGAGCCTGCCTACAAGGCCAAGCGTGTCGGCTTTGGCAAGGATCGGTGCGCCTACGTGCCCCGCGCCCAACAAGCCGCCGTTCGCCAGGCAGTAGCCCAGGCCACTGCCGCTGTCCAGGCTCACTCTGGTCAACTCGCTGGCAATCCGTTCAACTATGGCTTCGGATACAACCCGTCGGCAGGCTTTGACCAGAACGGGTTCAACACTGCCGGTGTGAACGGCTTTACCACCACTGGTGGCGGTGCAGGCTATGTGGACCCGTCGCAGATGAACAACCGTTCGATCTACCTCGGAAACATCAGTAGCGAAACTTCTGTCGAGGAGCTGTGCAACAATATCCGCGGCGGAGTACTCGAGTCGATCAAGGTTCTGCCCGACAAGAAGTGCGCCTTTGTCATGTTTGTCGACCCAGCCGCGGCGCTGTCGTTCTACCGCCATAGCGAGCAGAACCCGATCACCATTGCAGGTCGCCGTCTCCGCATTGGCTGGGGCAAGGCTTTGACGCCTGTGTCGCCCAAGCTCCTCGCCGACGTGCAGCAAGGTGCGAGCCGCAACGTTTATATTGGCCAGATTACCGACTTTGACTTGTTCAACGCTGAGAAGCTTCGCGCCGACTTTAGCGAGTACGGTGACATCGAGCTCATCAACTTCTTCAAAGAGAAGCATGCGGCTTACGTCAACTTCACCTCTATCGAGGCGGCGCAGAAGGCGATCGCGGCAATCAAGCAGAAGGATGACTATGCGGCCCTCCGCATCGCGCACGGCAAGGACCGGTGCGGCTACCCGCCCCGCCAGCCGCGCTCGCAGGGCAGACGCGAGACCTCCCCGCGCGCCAACAGTGAGAACGACCCTGTCGCCGCTGCCATTGCCGCCGCCGAGGCCAACGCTGCGGCCGTTGAGGAGTCTCCCAAGGAGTAGGTAGTGCCAGGTATCAGGGCGTAGAGTTAGAAATAATTGCGTGTCAGACGGGTGAATCTGGTGCATCACAATACCCGCACATGCTATACCGTGTCTTTCGAGATGCATACATCTGGTCGACGCATCACTGGAGTCGCAACCACTACTTGGAGTTGCTGTAATGTTGAACGCGTAAAAGCGCCGATCAAGCAGGCACTGAGCCTAAGCTGTACGGCATGTATGACCATGTAACATCATCGCGGGTGATCCCGGCCGGCCCGAGGACTTCAGGAAGGGCCTGGTCAAGGCGACCACCCGAGACAGCCGGAGCAGACATCTAAGATTGGGTGCAATGCCCTCCCGTGCGTCTGATGTGTGTGTCTTTCAGACAGGGCAATTGGGGGGAATGTCACATACTCCGAACACAGCAAGTCTGGCAGCGCAATCCGCTGTTCCTGATGCCGAGCCGGTTAATGGTTCTCATCAAGTACGACAAGGTATCTACTTCTCACTGTCTTGCCACTGCGCTGAACAAGAGGCAATGTTGCATACAATCACTCTCCTCACACAAGCTGTTCCTCTATACAAAAACGATACTTCACTTCACCCCTCGCTTCGGAAGGTTCCTCATCAGCATTCCCCTGCACTATGGAAGCACACGCGTCACAACTCCGAGCACTTTGGTCTTGGCCTCGCGCAGCAGGATCAACTGGCCCTCCTTGATGTACTCTGCGTGTCCGAGGAACTCGAACACAACCTTGCTGCGGTCGCCAGTGCGGATCAGGCCGCTGGGGTGGTCGAGGCTCACGATCCGCACAGACTGCCGTATTGCGCCGCAGTGCAGCATTGCAGTGTACTTGGGCTGGATGGTGCTGCTGTGGTGCAGTACCATGACCATGCCCTCGAAGCGCATGACGGCCTTGGGCGGCGTCTCGCTCTTTGCGACCAACACCATGCCCTTGCGGACCTGGGGCCGACGTATTCGCTTAAGCGCAAGACTGTGATCAGCAGGTGCCGGTGTGTGTTGGGAAAAGCCCTTCCTTATACACATGACTACTCACGCAACACTCTGTCCAGCCTCGGCGCTGTCGACGCGCGCGCGTTTTCGCTCGATAGTCTTCACCGTAGTAGGTATGAAGTGGCCCAGGCTGTCGGGGCCGAGTAACACCGGGTCGTTGCCGCGCACCACTCCCGCGGTCACAACACCCGAGACCACCGTGCCAACGAAAGGTACGCTGAAGACGTCCGAGATGTGGAACTCGAGCGGTGCGTCGACGACGTACTTGTCGTCCATCTGCGAGCTGGGGAGACAGTTGAGGAACGTTCGCAGGTTCGGCAGATTGTGGCCGGTCACGTTAGACACCATGAAGATGGGGCATAACCGGTAATCCGATCTGAATATCAGCTCAGCCCGGAAGAAGGTTAACGACTCACTTCCCACCCTGCATGAGGGGCTTGGAAAGATTGCGCGCGCAGTCGACAGCTTGGCGCTTGTTCTCGACGAACACGGGGACGCGGCGGCACCCAGGGCTCTTGAGGACTTTGACGAGCATGTTGACGGTCTGCTCCAGGATGTTAGGGGGCGTCATGTCAATCTGGCGTGAGTCTTCTCATCTCTTCCTTCTCTTTCCCCCCTTTGGATCTTCTTCGTCGTTTCGTGATGACATACCTTGGTGACGCATACCGCGATGGGGACGTTCAGCGCGAGCGCAACCCCCAGGTGCTCTTTGGACATGCCTATGAGCCCGGCGTTTCCTCCAACCATGAGCAAGACGTAGTCTGGCGCGCACCCGCTCAACCCATAGAGAGTGGTCTTGAAGTAACGCTCGTGACCGGCCAAGTCGATGAAGCTGGCGACCTTCGCTGCACGCTGGCAGATCTCCTTCCAGCTGAGCTTCTCGCGCTTGGCGGAGCTGGCCTCGGGCGCATGGATGGTGGGGAAAATGGACTCGCCCGCGGCTGTGAATCCAAGTATCTCTCCGCCCACGCTGGAAGTGCGACCGGTCTCCACCTCGTGAGGGTGTCGGAAGAGCGCGAGACGTGCACGGCCACGCCCGTCGTCGAGCCCGCCGCGGGTGAGCACGCCGAGTGTAGTGGATTTGCCGGCGTCCACGTTTCCGACTACCGCCACCCGCACCTCGGAGACCTCCTCTACTCGCGCGGGCTGCAGACGAACGAGCCAGCAAGCCGCCCCTCCTTCGTTGTACAAGTCAGTGACAATCGCTTTGAGGCCACCAGCGACTCTTCGGAGAAGGTCAGCGGCGGAAGCGAGCTTGTCTGCAGATATTGGCTCAGTCTCGCCGAGCGCAAGTATAATCTCGCCATGACCGCGGAGTAAGGCCGACGCAAGGTGTGCCGTAGCCCGCTCCTCGTCACCGTTCACAAGAAGCGTCTGGTGTCAGATGACTTCCTCCGAGTGTCCGAAGGAGTGGGTCCGGTGGCCCTGGTGGCGAGATTGGGCCTTAACAATGATTCAACTCACCTCTATCCTCTCGTCATCGCCCTCATCTACGTGGTTGACCTCCTCTTTGTGGGTGGCAGGCTCCTCTTTCTTGACCTCTTTGGGGTGGCTAGCCTTGAGCTCGGCGAGGTGCGCCTCGCGCGCCAGGGCGATCGCGGCCTTCTGTTTCTCGTGCGAGAAGTGCTCTATCTCAGCTTGAAACGAGCGAAGAGTTGTCATGGCAGTGATGGGGAGAAGGAAGTGATGTGCGCGATGCAGAGAAGAACGTTTATAGCGAGATGGTGGGGGGGGCAAGCCCTGGGGTGGTTGAGTCGAGTGGCCCCGCGATACCGCAGTGGGGAAGCACGTGCATTTGATTCCGGGTGGCAAATTGCATCACTGTGTGACGGCAAGAGTGGTATGAGTGGCCAAAGTGGCAAGCTCCGAGACGTTCGACTCGGTCATTCGAGTCGTACATTCAGGGAGAGCATGCCAACAAAGAGCAAAGCGATGTGCGCACTGTGATTAGACCGGCCATGGAAGGCTGCAAAATCAACCGCGGCTGTGGTGGGATATCATGGCCTCTCCCCGCCCCTCATTGGCCCCAACCATTGATGGGTGACAGGTAGGAATTACGCATTAGCACAGGTACCATCTCCGGCACTGCCTGTTTCCTTGCGAATAAGGCTGTCAATGTTGTACAGACACTGATGACTGCTCGGAAAAACAGGGCAAAATCAAATTGCCTCGAGGATGCGGGGTTGGTGGCACGCGCCGAGTTCATTTGAGGCTGTGCCCCGAAGGCCCGTGGCCCATGGATAGCCGCATAGACTAAAAAGCCAGTATTGAGCACGGGGCGCATCGATAAGCCTCGCCACTCAGTTAGGTTTGCTATGACATTTACTGTCGAGTGTAGTATCGTCGTTGTTGTACGGACCAGATTGGAGTATTGGAGACACGGGCGGCAGAGCTGCCATAGTAACGCCTCCCACTGCCGCCCGTTCAAGAGTGTCCGATAGTATCTCCTCAAATGGGGCTTCTAAACTAGTGGAATCCCGAAGAGGACGGAATGAGCACCGCACCTCGGTATGCACACACTCTTCTAGATCTTTAGACCTCTTCGCCAAAGTGGACTTGACGCAAGAGGTGCGTCACTTCTGGGCGGCAAAAGTTCGCCCCTATAGACGCGAGCAGGAGTTCAAGATGTGTCTTCGACACCTGAATGTGCGCACACAAAGTTAGGCGACACCACCACCATTGGAGGGGTACTGCAGGCTCAGCATAGTACGTCGAGGGCATCGGCTTGGTCATGGGATAGCCTGGACAACTGGTCAGATCTGGGTGGTAGTCCGCTAAACAAGGTTGACTCAGTCCTTCGGCAGTGGAAGACACCGGACAGTGACAGTGGAAGCGAAATCCGCCAGGCAGATAATGACGTGCTGCAGAGGACTGGTTGTTGTTTGCCTTCTACTCTTTCCCTTCCTTATATCATAATCTCTCACAATCTACCAATCTTCATCTGTCGACATCCCTCAGCTCACAGGCCTACTACGAAAATTTGGAGGACCTCGGAAAGTCGGAGGCTTCTCAAACACGAATTTCCGGAGGCGTGGAAGCCACACGAGGCTGGTGAGGAGCGCCGATCACTGGTTGGACAAGAGGCGGAGGAGGGGGGGGGAGGACAGAAACCCAGTGTGGCCGAGTTGGTCTTAAGGCATTAGAGTTATGAGTAGTTCATAACATCTAACTCCCTATTCGGGATCGCAGGTTCGAGTCCTGTCGCTGGGGGGAAACCTTTTGGGCTCGCCTCTGGGTTGCGCAGGAAGGTGGAGGCAGGCGCAGATCAACAAGAGAAGCCAGGAAGGTGGAAGGAATACGGCCAGCGGGCCAGAGGTGGGCGCAGGCTGGATGAGACGGGCAGGGGGATCGGCGGGGCCTGGAAGGGGAGGGAAGCAGGTGAAGGAGGTGGAGGATTGTTGCATGCGTACGGGAAGGCCTCATCTAGATTTTGAAGAATGCATGGACGGCAATCGTGCAGCAAAAGGATGCACAAGGTAGTTTGGGTAGTATAGATCGGGTTTTTCGCTGGGGGGTGGAGCGAGAGACGTGGCGGTGCCACAGTCCGTGGTTGGCACCCAAACCCTGGCCCAATTCAGCCAGTGGAGCGAGGCACTCAGCAAGAGAGGTTGCCATGTAAGCGTATGAAGCTAGGTTTACTGTTTAGGTGAGTGGGGGCGCTCCGACATTAGCTAGCAGCTTGGTTGTTTCAAACTTGGCTTGAGAATAATCCATCCACTTGTTGGCTGGGAAACCCCACACCTATGGGCTCAGATATTAGTCGACCGCAAACCCGGGTGAGGCATGAGAAGTGTGGTTACAGCGAGGTGCGCACTAAGTCGCACATGGAACAGTGGCTCCAGGGCTCGAGTTCACCTCTCAACACCAGCGGGCTCCCGTGAGTGGGTAAGAAACTGGAAGCCCCCCATAGGCGCTCTATCCAAAGCACCTAATGAGGATAAGAACGCCGCTATACACAGCCATCACAGTCTCATCGCTAGTCTTTAGCCTGAGGCTCATCATGGTGGAGGAGAAACTTGGTCCGGGCGCTGATTAACCGGTATACCCTGGTTCCGCCCAACACCCCACATGCCCCGCACTATGCATGCCTCGCCTCCGCCCATGCCACAATCTCACATCACCATCTCCTATGCACACCTCGCAGAACACCACATACTCTCACTCCTTCTCATGATCACCTGAACTGACAGCCGCCGTTGGGACTGCGGCGTCTGTCCCCCACGCCCACCGCTGCAAGGCCTCCCCCACTCGGCGATCGCCGATGACGCTGCCCACCAGTTTATAATGAGACCAGGACGGCTTGGCTTCAACCTCTCCCTCGCTTTGCCGCATCGCCCATCCACCCACCATGGAGAAGCACACGGACGACGGCATTCCCGCTCCAGCATCTACGCCACAGCGCCAGAGCTGGTCGAAAGCGCGCATCGCCGTCGCCGGCATCGCGCTCCTCTCCTTCGTGACCCTCCTGCCCGCCTCGCCAGGCTGCCTGCACGGCTTCAAGGCCGAGCCGTATGCGCTCGAGCACGCGCGCTGCCCCGCCCAGCCGAAACCCTTGCATCCCGCGACCACGATCCACTGGGACGACGAGAAGCGCGCCGCGTCGATCGAGCTGTTCCGCGCGGCGGTGCGGATCCCGACACAGAGCTACGACGATAATGGCGACCCTGGGGTCGACCCCCGCTGGGCGCCGTTCCATGACTTTATTGACTGGCTTGGTGGCGCCTTCCCTACGGCTTGGAAGGAGGCCAATGTCGAGTTTGTGAACAGTGAGTCAGAGTTCTTGGCAGACGGCAGCTGGCTGCGGGCGTGTGAATTGTAGCAGACCGGCAAGGCTGATACTAGCACTCGGCATCGTCGCAACATTCCAAGGCTCAGACGAGAGCCTGAAGCCACTGCTTCTGTGAGAGGCCCGCCACTGCCCATCAAGCACCGCTCACGCCAGCATGTCGCACTACGATGTCGTTCCCGTCCCTAACAACACCTTTAGGCGGTGGACCCACGGGCCGTTCAGCGGCGACCTCGCCGACGGGTGGGTATGGGGCCGTGGCTCGGCGGACGACAAGTCGCTCCTCGTGTCGCAGTGGGAGGCGATCACGTTCCTCCTCGAAAGCGGATGGAAGCCGCGGCGGACGGTGATTATCACCCACGGCTTCGACGAAGAAGAGGTGCACGCGCGGCGTGGGCAGGGGCAGATCGCGCCGTTCCTCGAGAAGCGGTATGGGCGGAACGGCTTGCTGATGGTGGTGGACGAAGGGTCGGGCACCGGCGAGATGTACGGCGGCGCGTTCGCGCTCCCCGGCACAGGCGAGAAGGGATACCTCGACATCGTGATGCGGGTAGGCACGCCGGGCGGGCACAGCTCCATGCCGCCGCGGCACACCGGCATCGGGATCATGGCGCAGCTCGTCAATGCGCTCGAGGAGAATCCGTTCGAGAGCACGCTCACGCCCGCCTCACCGCTGCTGCAGGGCGTCGCGTGTCTCGCGCAGAGCAAGTCCTTCCCGAAGAAATACAAGCCCCTCCTCAAGACCCAGAAGGGGTGGGCGAAGCTCGCGCGCCTCATGGCTGACGAGGGCGCTATGCAGCGCGCCCTCGTGACTACCACAATTGCTGTCGACGTCATCAACGGTGGCGTGAAAGTCAACGCCCTACCGGAGCTCGTGGAGGCCTACGTCAACTTCCGCATCGACTTCTCCGAGTCGCTCAAGTCCACCAAGGCGCACGTGGAGAAGATTGCCGCCAAGGTCGCGAAGAAGCACGATCTCGAGTTCCGCGCGTGGAGCGGCGACGAGAAGAATCCCCCGTCAGGCCGCTTCCTCACCCTTGAGGTGCTTGGTGCACCCCTCGAGCCCGCGCCGAACACACCTACCAGCGGTGGCGTTTGGGAGCTCTTTGCGGGCACGGTGCGCGCCGCCATCCCCTCGCCGGACGGAGAGCCGCTTATCGTCGCGCCCTTCGCTACGCCTGGCAACACTGACTGCAAGATGTACTACAACCTCACTAGAAACGTCTACCGCTTCATGGGGAGCAACATGGCTAACATGGCCAACATTCACACCGTTGATGAGAAGTTTAAGGCCGACGAGCACCACCGCGTCGTCGACTGGGTGCATGCGCTCATCCAGAACGCGGACGCATACAATGGCGAGCAGTAGACGATGAATAAGGTAAGACCCAGACAATGTTCCGTAATGTACATGCAGCGTGCAGATCTAGACTCTATACCTCGCTCTCAGAGTACACGTTGTACCGCCCCGGTCGTTGCCATGGGTACTGGGCGTCGGCGTGGGCCTGGGCCAGCGCGTCGAGCTGGGACACACCCGCGTTCCACCCGCCCGCCGCGCCACCAACGCCCGCCGGTCTAACCTCCCATCCCTCGCTTCCCCGCCGGACACGCGCGGACGTGTACGCAAGAGGCTCGTCCTCATCATCATAATCGCTGAGGTAGTATTCGGGCGAAGAGGAGGTGCCGTCGCTTTCCTCGATCGCGTTGCCTTCCTCGTCCAGAGCCGTCTCCCAAGGTGACGTGTAAGGCGCGCACCCTTCACGAGCACGCCGCGCCGCGTTGCTCGCACGCAACGCCGGGTTAAAACCATCACCGTACACAAACGCCGAGCCAACGGGCAACGGGATAGGCTCAGAGTGTTGCTCGCGCGGCGGCCACGCGTACTGCACGCTCGATTCTGGAGTCAGCCTGGCGTCAGAGCGGACGCGATGGACACTCACTTATACTATGTCGCCCGCTTCCCCGCCTGGAGCGGCAGACAGGTGGCCGCGGAGCCGCGCCTGCAGGGCCTGAACAGACGACGCCTCGCGCGTCCCCGAAGGTCCTCCTAGACCAGGACCGCCTGGACCACCGGAGAGAGGGTACCGGCGTTCGTAGGCGCGATCTTGCGCGACTACACCTGCCCACTCCGCGATGGACTCACCGCCGGCCTCTGGATTGACGGCATAGCTCAGCCCGCTCCCCTGCATCTTCTGAGGCCAGAGCCACATGTACCAGCGCGGACCGAGGACCGAGCGCATGTTGCCCATGAAGCCGATGTTGTACGGGTAGCGAATCGCAGTGATCTTTCCTCGGCGCACGAGGGTAGACACCTTGTCCTTCTCCCAGCGCTCGATCGTTGTGGTGTTGCTGGACACCAGCCACAGGTGATAGATGGAGAACATGCCGACGCAGAGCCACACAGGAACGCATGCAGCAAAGTTGAACACCATCATCAGCAGTTCTGTGAGAGTGGGCTCCTTCTGCCAATGTCAGCGGACAAGCTCCTAGGCAGGGGCAAGGAGAGAGAGAGACGCACCCATGGCTCGCGCATGAACTCGTACACCTTGCCTGCCATGAGGATGAGGTGAAACGACGTGGCAATGTCAACCCAAAGGAGGAAGCGAATGAAGTGGCCGTGGTTGTGGAAACCAACGCCTGTTGTCAGTGAGCTCAAGGATGCAATGTACAGTTCGCGATCCATGGGCAGTGGTGGTCAAGCTGCCGTCAGCCCTCCGCCGTCTACCCTTGGCTCTTGCACACACCTTAAGAACACACGCCTTGCACTGGCGGCAGTGGTGCGCTCGTGGCGGCTTGAAGTGGTCACACATCTTGCAGTACCGTGGGGCGTAGTTGCCGCGCTTGACCTCGATGCCTTCGCCGTTCGCATCGGGTCGCCATCCGTGCGGAACGTGGCCAGGTTCCGTTACGACACAAAGACGGTAGTTCCACCACACCATGGCGACGCAGAGGCTGCCGTTAGCAAGACAGTGGTGCAACGATAAGATCGAAGAGGGAAGGCGTGCAAAGAGGCCACATACTTGAACGCGATCATGACCTTGAGGAACTCCCAGCTCCACTCGCGGCCGTACCATGGCCAGAAGACCCATATCTGGGACGAGTAGCTGATGAAGCCTATGAGAGACGAGGTGGCTGTCACCCAGACCAGTCTCCAGTTGAAGGCCATGGTTTTGGCAGAAGAGTGGAGGATGGATTGAATGCGGGATGAAGATGAATGCGGAGTGTGCGCGTGTGCGTCAGCCCTCGTGATTTTCCCTACCTGTGTTCCTCGGTGGCGGCATAGCGGTGCGCGCCGAGACGCGTCGCCTGTGCCGGCAGCCTGCAGCTCCTACATCCTTCCATCCGCACGCCGCCCAACTGATCTTGCTCAGCCATGGCGCCGCACTGCAGAGAGCATGGAAACACAGCCCACGATGCCGGTGCTACCATACGCTCTGGAGGAAGCTTGAATACATCATGGAGTCTATTGCTAAGGCTATATAGTTGGTCGCTCGGCATTCTAATGATGTCCCTTCTCGGACCTGCACCGACTCAGCTCCGGGTTACTTGACCTTCCGCACGCGGACTGGCACGCGCGGCGAGGGGATGAAGCCCAGCAGGCCAAACGTCAGCGAGAAGATGGCCGTGGCTGGCGTGAGCAAGGCACTGGATGGGGCCTCGGGGCCATCGGCTTCGGCATTCGAGACACTCACCTCCAGCCATGGACGAAAACAATCCCAGTCCATCTCTGTGCTGCACATCCAGCGCGCCGCGGATCCGCTCGTGAATCGAGCTTCGCGGTGCGGGGTGCGTTGACTTGGTCAAGGAAAACACAAGCAACGACCAGCCCAGGAGAATGGACGTCGTCAGTACCTTGCGTCAGCCACGGCACGACAACGGCATCTCGCGTTGGCGTGGGCGCGTCATGGAACGGACACCCCAGAGATCCGACTGCGACTCACTGGGAATATGACGCGAAGCCGCCGCGATTGCTGCCACTTGGGGTACTGCTATCAGCTTCGTCTAGTCATTTCAGAACGGAGGTGACATACGTTCGGCATATATCCCCTAAGCCAGGGAAGGAAAACCACGAGGTAGAGGAAAATGGTCAGAGTCAGAGCATGTAGCCCGCCTGCAAGAACAAGCATGCGTCTGCTGTCAGCTTATCTGCACTGCCGACACCGGGGTGGTGTTCATGCGCAAGAGTGTGGTCTTTTGCGGCCGCGCGGGCTAGCGAAGCCGTCCGCCGCTCGGACTCACCTTGCCCACGAGTCGGGGCTCTCGAGGAGATTCTCGACAGCCGTGACCAGATCCAGCCACCAGATACCAGCTGCGCCGGCAGCAACATACTTGCCGTGCTTGACTAGCCTGCGGAGGATGACGCCTGGGGACAGTGGGGGAGGAAGATCCATCTGGGCGAGGGTCTGGGAGGAAGAGCTCTTCCTCCTACGGAAGGAGGTTGATGGTGCTTCTGTCATGTTGAGACGACTAGCTGACTAGGCGGCCTCAATGTTTGAGCGATGAGGCAGTGGGAGAGGGGGGCAATGGGTGTCGTGGAGATGGAATGGGGGATGAGATGGAATGATTGAAGATGAAATTGGGGGAATGTGGAAGATGAGAAGTGGGAGGGAGGAGAGGAATAGAGTGGAATTTGAGGTTAATTAGTTCGACTCAAATAAGGGTCCTGAGGCCGTGGACCCTGAGTACCCTAGTTGGCTAGCCAATAGAAATGCAGTATTCAGTGCAACAGTTCGTCACGACGTTCACAACGTCAACCAGGTGGGTAACGTCTTGACACTTCATCTGACGTTTTCTACATCTCGCCATGGAAGCATCGCAGCCCCAAGCTGATACCACCACTGGAACCGCGCTGTCGAGTACTCCTAACCCACCGAAGCGCAAGCGCGTAGCATCAACACAGAGCAAGTTTGAGGGATCGCAAGATCCTGCCCCTGTCCGTACTAGACCTAGTGTCAGGCCCTGCGCCGTTCGGAAAGGCGGAGGCTAGGGAGTGGTTGAGCACAAAGGTGTTCGTACACCGGATGTCGCTCCACCACCCCGATGACTCGAAGTCGACAACTGTGATAGGCGTGCAATAAGACTATGATACTATGATGGGGTGAGAATACGACGAGTATCAAGAGTTGAGGGAAGAGATCCTGAGACGTCGCCGTATATGTGACGATACGTTGTGAGCGGTGCCGATATGGGTACCGATCGGTACCGACGCCGTTATGAGATGTGGAGCGCCTTGCGATCGGGATGCGTGGTTATCGCGTGGTGGTTGCCACGTGGTCGACACGTGTAGTCGGTTGGTCACTAGTCGTTGTCGTTCGGATCGTCA